TCTATAGTTATATTACGGTAGAACATACGAGGGACGGCGATGTCGCTAACGCGCTAGGTCGACGAGTTACCGTACTAATAGCGATAGTTATAGAACTCGAGTAGGGCGCGCTAGACGATTAATTCGTAGGTACNTAGGTACGACGACTAGCGGTTCTAGGCGAGGAGTAAGGCGTCCTTAGCGCGTACGACGTCGTTAAAGTATAGCGTTAAGATAGCGTATAGAGGGATATACCTATAGCGGTTACTAGCGTAGCGCTAGTATGCCTTAGACATGCCGGGCTCGTATAAGGCGTTATAGGCATCTAAGGAAAATGTTAGCGTATACGTATCGTATAAGGGTAGCACTAGGAGCTTACCAATCTTAGTAGCCTTTAGGTAGTAAGTATAGCGAAAGTACATAAAATCCTAGAGGACCTTAATAGCGCTAACGGGGTAACTAGCTAGGAAGTTCGGTAAGGGCGAGCGCGAGCGCGAAGGCGAGCGTAGGTCGAAGATAGGTAGGTCGCCGTAGGATAGATAGTAGCTACGCTCTACGGCGCGACGTTCCTCCTTAATTAACTCCTTAGCATTAATAAGGCGCTTAGCCTTAGTAGTAGCCTCGAAGTTATAGCGACGCTACTTACGCTCCTTAGGACTAACGGCGTATAGGCGACGACTATAGTTAGCTAGCGAGATATGCTCGGGTATATAGGTACGAGCGGCGTTACGACTATAGCTAATAGAGTCGAGACGAGGAGAGCGACGGCGTAGAAGATTATACTTACGCTAGTTTCTTTCTAGGGTAGTAAGACGGTCCTCCTCCGTAGCGCGGTCGGCGCGTCTACGAGCATTAACGTCGTTAGTAGGACTAGGGCGAACGTAAGGAGATCTAGCGTTTAAGGTAGGGTTAACCGGCCTACTAGCACCTCTAGACATTAGGGTAGGGTCCTCCTTATTACGAAAGGTAGGTATACGGCGTACGCTAGACGAGTTAGCTAAGAGCTCCTTAACGCGGCAGCGTAAGGTAGTAAGCTACTCCTTAAGGGGAGTCTTATTAAAGCGTACGCTACGAGAGGTACGAGTAGAGCCGGAGGCGGGCTTAGCGCGACTACGACGGGTAGGGGTAACTAAGTCCTAAAAGGGGGATAAGGAGCGCTTAGCGCGACGGCGGCGTAAGGTAGAGCTACTACTAAAGTTAGGTTAGCGAGGGCGCGATAGAGTAAGTAACTCCTTACAAACGCGGCGTATACGCTTAGCGGATACGACGAGAGTACTATTAAGGAGCACGTCGGGAGAAGTATAGATAGATATAGGAGCCTCGTAGCGACGGCGGTACTAGGATCTAGGACTAGGGAACGGATTACGTAGAGTGCTAGGCTTATAGCGAGAGCTAGAACCGTATATGCCGCTAGCGGCGCGCGTATAAAGGGGGCGACGGGGTATAAGGAAGGCGATCGTCTTAGATACGCCCTTATAGCGAGCCTCTTCTTCGCGTAGACGAGCTACGGACTTACGTTCGAAACGGGTAAGATCTAAATTTAACATTACGAGATCTATCTACTAGAAAGTTAGTATAAGGTGCGTAGGCAACTTATAGAGTAAGCCTATCGGAGGAGGGGATAAGTAAGTTTAATGCGTATGCCGCGCGTATGCTACGCGCATGCGGTTATAATAAAAACAATTCCGTAAGCGGAAAAAAGTCGAAACTATTAAACATATACTAAGCGTAAGGGCCGCATATATTAGAAAGGATAAGCGGTATTAGGAAGGGTTACTTACTAGAAGTGTTAGGGCTACTAAGTAGATGTTGTAAAGCTAATAGGGAGAAGAATTACTAGCGCAATTTGAAATTCTATATGTTATGCTATAGTATAGACTACTAAGATAATAGCGTTATTATTACGACGCTAGGGCGTACTCCGGTAAAGCCTAGGGAAGCGAGCCCGTACGCGACGTATACCTAACGTATACCCGACGCGATAATTTTACGAATTCCGATCGTACGCGACGTAATACCGGATTTAGGAGTAAGTAAAGTAGACGCTACTCCCCCTATACGAGCCCCCTACGAGCCGTATACGAGGTAACTATAAATAAAGCACGCATTACGTACTATACGCTAGCCGTATACGGTATATCGACTATTAGCCTCTCGGTTACGGATAACCGTATAGAGGAGGGGATAGTTATTACCGGAGAGGCTAGGGTAACCTCTACGACGAAGCCTAAGCCTCGAAGCGAGGCTTAGTACATATAAGTATATCTTTACTTTCGAAGACACCGATACTCGGGGCATCGATTAGTCTTTACTATTAGTGACTATATCACTAGCGGGACTTTATACGTTGCTACATACCTTTATACTCTTACAATATAAGAAGTAGAGGAGAGGAGTAGAAGGTCGGAGGGTAGAGGAGAAGGGAGGTAGAGGAAGCTAAGAAGAGACGGCGGAAAATGTGTTATTATAGGCGAGCGCTCATATGTAAAGGTAAGAGAAATCGAGTAAGAGCGACGGAAATTTCGTGCTCGAACGTCTACCTAGAGGAAATTCGAGAGGGTTCCGTAGAAGTTGTAAGAATGAGCGCGTGTGAACGGAATTATAAGCGTGCAAACAGAGGACAATGTAGCCTACCGCACGCTACGAGTGAAACGCGCCTTAGGAGGTAGACGCTTTTCATTATCGATTTCTCAGTGAAGATAGTTATGTCACCAACTTTCCGTATGTTTCCAACATTGCTATTGGCAGCTCTCACTGTAAGATAGCCGGCGATGAGAGTCTGACGGAAGCACCGAGCATAGACTTATTAGATCACAGACATCATCTTGCAGCCATATTATCAGACGGGAACTGAATCATCAGTCGAATTCCCCACTCAGACAGCCCCTTTGCGGCAGAGTTCGTGGGGTGAGATTGAGTTTACCGCCTTGTGGCTGGACTTCAACTCACTCGTATGAGTAGGACTGCTACTCCCTGAACAAGATCATGTTCATGGGGTATCTCGGAGATAAACCGATAGGAAGGTTCGGCGGTGGCTAACGTTAGTCCTTCTGCGCGTGGAGGACACACAGAATGCGCAAGAGAACAGGGCGAACAGTCTTGCCTCGATATTGAAGAGTCTGTCCAAGTGCGTGTAAACAGTCTTTGTAATTCTTCCGGAATGTAAGACATATCAACAGCCTCATGGAGTCATGGTGATGGCTTGTAATTTTCCAGCATCAAACAGACTTGACTAGGCCGCGTGTCGATGGGGTTTCCTGCTCGAGAGGACCTTCTGTAGTTGTTCGTGTTCACTACATCGAGATCTGGAATGAGCGCTTCACGTGGTTCATCAAACCATAATGTACCGTAACTGCTGGTAGGGTGGTTTGGTGCTGGTCTCGTGCCGTGATGGTTGAGTCGTGGGAAGGTGTATCTGTACCAGAAACTCGAGACGAGAACCTCATTCAGCATGTTATGTCCAGCTAAACACAGGCTGTATGTCTTTTAAAGCACATACTTGGTATCGCTAGGCTCTAGCAGAGGCGTTCTTCGAGATATAGGAAATGGTGTTTTGTTACTGGTGTGGGGGGTTCAGAGGGGGTTCAGAAGGTCAAGTCAGGGTGTTGCTACCCGTGAGATTCGATGAGCTACAACGTCATCGGTATCGCGACACAAGCCCTTGGCCTTGAGTTACAACCGCCCAGTGGAAGTTCCCTTTGATATGCCTCAACGTCTCTCACACATCTTGAGGGTAGGTTCAGCCTCAATAAATAGGAAGATCGTTATAATGAGGTGATAGACAGAGATGGCTGCGTCAGACGTTCATGAGCTTCCAGACACGAAGCTTCGTAATCCACAGCAAGACTAGGTAACTTTGAACATCTCAACAAAGCAAACCGTCTACCTCTCGGTCCACACAAACCACAGCAACGACTCTAGACTTTTCAATTTACAATATCACACATCATGTCAACACAAGGGCCCTCCTCAACAAGCGGCACTCTCCACCACGTCGCTCCAGTCTCCGCCTTCGAAGTCACCCCCACCACCAGCACACAGTCTCCCAACCTCCTCCTCTGGATCGGCGGCCTCACCGACACATACCACAGCGTCGATTATGTCTACAAACTCGCCTCATCTCTCCCTCCTACATGGTCTCTCGCACAAGCAAACCTCAGCAGCGCCGGCAGCGGTTTCGGCATCGCATCCCTCACTCAAGACTGCAATGAGATCTCCAGTCTCGTATCCTACTTCAAGAGCAATGGAAAGCAAAAGGTGGTGATCATGGGCCACAGCACTGGATGTCAAGATTGCTTGCATTACTTTGCTTCTGAGGATAAAAGAGGAGACCGCGCAAAAGTTGATGGAGTGATTTTGCAAGCGCCGGTTAGTGACAGGGAAGCCATGGTCAAGGATATGGACAAGAAGGACTACGATGGTGCTTGTAAGATAGCAGAGGATTGGGTCAAGGAGGCCAAGGGTGAGCATATCTTGCCGTTGAACGTTACGGCTGATATGTTTGGTCGTAACCCTTTGTCTGCGCGTAGATGGGTTGCTCTGGCTTGCCAGGGCGGTGAAGATGATTACTTCAGCTCTGACTTGCCGGACTCGAGGCTGCAGAGCACTTTTGGTAAGGTGGACAAGCCATTGCTTATCCTCTATGGTGAGGAGGATGAGTATGTACCTGATCAGGTCGACAGAAAGGCGTTGGTGAACAAATGGATTCCGTTTGTCAAGGGCAAGGTTGATGAGCAGAGCAAGGAGTTACTGGGTGGTGCTAGTCACAACTTGAACGGTGACGATGAAGAGGTTGCCGATGAGCTTATCAAGAGGGTTGGTAAATTCTTGACCGCCATCTAGGAAGGTTGGATAGAACACATGATAGACATGATAGTCGAGAACGAGGCAGGCCGTCTCGACATGATAGCCTGAATCATCAAGTAGTAACAGGAAGTTGACAATTGAATTGGTCAAAGAACAAGATACTATTGAGACCAAATCCGAGCATATTCACAGTGCACACAACATATCAAGATTGAGAGCGAAAAATTCCTTTTCTTTTTGAAAAACGACTGGTAGAGCTACTTTTAATGCCTTCCCAAGCCAAAATTTTATCTCATCACATTCCGACCAACAGTCCCAGTAACCAACACTTAGTTCTCGTGGAGGAGGGTCTTGAACTCGGCAGCGGGGCCCTTGGGCTTGCCGTCCTGGAGCTTCTGCTGACCAAGGCCAGCCTTGGAGAAGGCAGTGGCGTAGGGGTTGAGGCGGAGAAGGACCTGCTTGTTGCGGAGAGGGTTCTTCTTCTGGACGTTGGTGCGCTTCTGGATGGCACCACCCTTGGCGGGGCGGAGGACAGACTGAACCTCAGTGGAGTTGATGAGCTTGACAATGTCGGGCTGGGCGACAGAGTTCTGGGGAAGGAGGAAGTCCTTCTTGAGGGCAGAGGCCTCGGTGGTGGAGCCGTAGATCTTGTCAAGGGCCTGGAAAGCGGAAGAGGTCCAGACGATGAAACGGCCGAGGTGACCACCAGGGGCGAGCTGGAGGAGGTTCATGGAGAAGACGGGGCAAGTCTCAACACCGGGGATGTTGCGGAAGGCAGTAACGAGCTCCTTGCCATCCTCGCTGGGGTTGTAGACAACGAGGGGACCACGGCGCTGGCGGTGGCGGCGGTTTCTCAGCTTACCCTTACCGGCGCGGAGCTTCTTGGAAGCCTTGACCTTCTCGAGGTCAGCACCGGCACCGACGGCCTTGAGGAGGGCGACGGCAGCAGAGGTCTTGGTGATGGCGGCGTTGCTGAAGGCGGTCGAGTTGATGACAAGAGGAACCTCAGGAACGGTGGCGACCTGGTGACCACGGGCCATCAGGAGGGCGGCGGAGGAAGAGGCAGCAATGGCAGAGGCGGTAGCGAAACGCTTCTGGCCAAGGTTGATCTTCTGCTGCCACTTGCGCCAGACCTTGGTGGGGGCGAACATGCGACCGGAACGGCACATGTTACCGAAGGCGGCCTGACCGGCACGGTGAGTACCACCACCGGAGACACGGGGGATACGGGCAACAGCACGGCCTGGAGAGAGGAGAGGTGTTAGTCGCGATATTCTTGGCGTTTCGAGATTTTCGACGTCTGCAACGTACCGGTACCCCAGGACTCAGCAGAGGTCTGGTGGCCAGCCTTCTCGCTCACGGCGTAGGGCTGTCTCTTGTTCTTGGCCATGCCAGTGTGGACAGTCCTGCGCAGTCATATCAGCCAATTGTCCTTGTCGTGGTGGTTCGCAGGCGGTTCAATCGTACTGGACAATGTCGGGACGGATGGGGGCCTTGAAGACATTGGGGAGAGGGTGGCTAGCCTCGCCGGCCTTGCCGTCGGCGGAGATGATGGAAACCGTGGGTCTGCTGGTCATTTTGGCGGTCGTGGATTGTTCGTCGCTGTCGTCGATTCGGAGGGAGAAGATCCAAAGAGCGAAGGCTTTGCAATTGTTGGGGGGTGCGAGATTTTCGCTTAGCTCAGCCGTAAATCTTGGCGAGCTGTGGTCAAAGCTTTGCACATCATCTGGATTCTGAACATCTCAACAAGCTCCACATCTCTTTCATTGCATTGAGATGGCCGAATGATTGCTTCGTTTAAGTGAGGACAGCAATATTCATGCGATGGTTGTCACATGAGTGCAACATTCAACGAAGTAATGTTGAAAGTCGAGTGAATCTTAAGCGAGCTGCAATGCCTGTTCTTGAACAAGCAGATGCACTGAGTGCTCCTTCTGACCACAAGTTATCAACGACCTGTGAAGACTGCTGTTTTTGAAATTAAGACGGACGTGATGTCGCAAACGCGTTCCGACGTCCAGCTCAATGGGCTCATTGCCTATGACATCTGCAAGCCTTCGTCCGTGGTTGGCCGATTTCGTTCCCTGCCATCTCAAGCATCATGCACACCGACAGTATATTTTCTCATGGGTGCTCCCTACCTCGCCACCTTGGAGTCTGCATCGTATCCTCTCAACAACTTCCTTGCGTCCGCCACGCGGGAAACACATTTCTTTCCCGGCTCTCCCTTCGTTCGACATCTCCTTGCTTGCTTTGGTCCCACATAGCGTTGATACAGCGATGTACCAAAGACAGCACTTCTGCTGGAAATGAGGATAGCTCCTTCTTTGCTCGCACAGCAACATCTTCGATGCCTCCAGGATGAATCGTCAAGAGCGAAGCCCAGATGATACTCAGGTCGCCCGAGAAGAAGTCAAACGTCAGAATGACACGTCACCTAAGATTGCAAAATGACTGACAAGGACGCAGCGGTGCACAATTGGAAGCCTATAAGCCTCAGGCTTCCGTTCCTCCAATTCATGTTGTTAGCGACCATTTCTACGATCATCATTCTGCAATCGCTCCTCTACAAGAGCCAGACACAGGGTGGAATTCTGTTCGCTCCCAGCATCGACGAGTTGTCTTTGAGCGTGACCTTCGGCTATCGCTATGCCCCCACCGTTATAGCAGTCATTTACGGCTTTCTTTGGAGTTGGATTGATCATGACACCAAACGCATGGAGCCTTACTTCCAGCTTTGCAGCCCTGGTGGTGCATCAGCAGAAGAAATTCTCCTACTGCAGTACCCACTTGACTTCATAGCGTTCGTACCTTTTCGGGCCGCTAGAAGGAAACATTGGTCCGTCTTCTCGGCTGCGTCTGCTAGCATTATCGTCTCCTGGACCCTGGTACCTCTCCAAGCCGCTATCTTCGCGACTGAGAACCAAACGCACGCACAGGTCCTCGTACTCTTGCCTGGATTCACATATGCAGTAGAAGCTTTATTAGTCCTGATTGCACTCTGCAACATGTCTGTCATACACTTCAGTGTGACGAGGAAGTGTAATTTCCAATCTGACCCATCAGCCATAATTTCACACATGTCCGCCACGAGCGAAGACGCCGAACTACTTGCTCTTTTCGATGACTTGATCAATAGACCCTCTGAAGACTTACACACAGCGTTGATGGGCTCAGTGTTCTCGATGAACAACGATGGCAAACTCGAGCTCCAGTCTGCACCTACGTTGAATCACAGTTCTGGACAAAAAGCAAAACAGACTTTGCAGTCTGACAAAGGTCATCCACCAGAGCTTCAGTGGTACAGCGGCGTTCTCTTCCTAGCGATTCAGCTTGCATGCATAGCCGTGCTTGGATTCCTATTCCATCAAGCGAGAGCGGGCAGTGGTAAGTTTCGCCTCCATGCCAACTAACTTTAGCTGACGATGGTACAGGGCTTCCGTTGCCATCGATCAGTCGCTTCATGCGACAGATCCTCCAGAACTGCATTCCAGTGACCCTATCGGCTTGTCTTGAGTCCGTCTGGGTCCTTCTCACACGGCATTTGTGCGAGCTGCAAACCTCGACGGAGTTGCGAAGGGGCAAGGTAACTAGCATGAAATCAGTAAATCCGGCATACATGAGTCTTCCTCCTCAATTGGCTATCTTTGAGGCCCTTCGAGCAGGCCACTTCATGCTGAGCCTTCTGGCATTTGTGGCAACGCTAGCCAGCGTTCTGACAGTCATTTCATCGAGACTTTTCTTCGAACACACAGTCAGATTAGACATCGAGACCATGCTCCGACCGTTGTTGTCTTTACCCTTCCGAGATCTGAACGAGACAGCGCCAAATAGCAAGTCTTCGAAGCAAAGTGGAAGCACGCAAGATGAGTTCCATATTGCGTTGTACAACGCGATGGATTTGTCTGGACTTCCGTCCTGGACTGATCCTGATCGGTTCTACTTCCCGATCACGTTTACCGAAAATACACAATCCAACGTCGACTATACCGTTACAACAGACTATTTTGGAGCAAGTCTAGGATGCCACGAGTTCTCAAATCATACAATGAGGGACTTCGAAGACGAAATCGGGAATCCAGCTCGTCAGCTTGAGTTCAACATCGCTCAGCTGGATGGTTCAATCGCAGTCTGCTCGATACCATCGCCCACTGAAGCTCCTAAAAACGTGTCTGGAAGCAGCAGCCTTGAACTCGCAGCGGTCGCTGAAGGCTCAGACTTCTGCCGGCAAAATGTGGTAGCAGGTTGGTGGCGAGGCTACGCATTAGACCAAGAGGTCGAGGTCACTAACAAGACCTTGATGCTTTGCAATCCAATGCTAGTCACCGGATCCGCACAAGTCAACATCAGTAGCACCGGCCGCGTGCAACGCCCGAAAGTGCTCTCAAGTGTCAACGGTTCGCTGCCAGAGTACTTCACCACTCATCCTAGCGATCTGATATTACAAGCTCACCATTACATCATCGATAAAAGCGGCATTTGGCACAACGACAATTCCTCCTCCGACTGGCTGAATCGCCTTATGGCCGAGACTTTCGTCGACAATCGCTTCCTAGATCCAAACTTACCACCTCCCACATTCAGTCAAGCAGTCACCATCTTCTGCGCCATGTACAACAAATTGCTTGCTATTTTCCTTGCGCACAACAAAGATCTACTCTTCACTCCATCTGGACCTACAAATCCACTATTGCCTGTCGTTCAGCACTCTTTCGAGACCCGCATCTTCCTTTCCACTTCTGCGTTCATCATTGCACAAATCATATTGGGCATCTATGCCTTTACGACGATCTTCCTCTACATCCGCAGACCATGGTGGAATACCCCCCATCCTCCGACTTCCATCGCATCCACTATTGCGTTGTTGGCAGCTAGCCATGCAGTCAAAGAGCCCCTGAACACCTCCAACGAAGATCCCTAAGAGGGAGGAACAAGTGCGAGGCATAAAACGAGAGAGCACCAGGTACCGAACGGCAAACAAGCATTTAAGGAAACAGTCTGGAGGATTAGCTTAGCAAAAAGTATTGAAGTTGAAGGATATACTTATATGACGGGTCAAAGTCATGTCTGCACTTCCTTCTAAACCCTCATCTTGTATTTTGGAGATTGTACTTTCCCTGATAGCAAGCTTCACACCGCACTGTTGTCTGCTATGCTCCTCCCCATGGACCTGTTCTTTGCCCCACAAGATCGTGCGTGTGTTGCCTCTTTTCTCGTCGAAATACAACTCCTCCCTCTTTTCCCTTTCCTTTTCTCTTCTTTTCACATATGGCGTCCATTCTTGGAGTCGTCCTACCCTACTCTAGTACTTAGTCATTGCTCGTCCTTTCAGAAGATCAGTACTTCCTTGCATTTTCAATATGGCAGACTGTTCTTTCCTTCTTACAAAGACTGCATTATTCGTAGGTCGCCCCTTCCTTTTCTTTGTAAGAGAAATTGTTCTTCTTCTGTGTGGACAGGACAGGACATGGACAGGGTATCGCTTCTCAGTCTTCGGACGGTAGATCCATTCGCGAGTTCTTTAGCAAGCTAGTGTAAAATACCGCTCGCAAGAACAAATAATCAGAGGAAAGCATGAGTCAAGCCAGCAAAAAACAAGCGAAATGCATGTACCAGAATATGTAAAACAGAATGTATGAAAAAGCAACAAGCGGAAAAGTCCCACTTTCAAGGAACCGCTTCAAGAGAAAAAAGAAAAAGCAAAAAGCAAAAAGGCAAACTCCCATCCATATCAATCAAAGGAGGAAGGGCAGCAGTAGCAAGCCCAGGGTATCATTTTAATTTCCTCCTTCCTTGCTCAAAAACTCCATCCCAAAAAGAAAACAAAACAAAAGCCCACACAAACACACATCCCAAAAAGCTCATCTACGAGCATCTTCCCAATCATCATTGTCATCAGCATAATCGGTATCGTCAGACTCGACTTCAAACTTGGTGCCAAGAGCAACTTGCCCCTGACGGATCAAATCTTCAATCTGACGGCTCATTTTGCGCATACTCTTGTCTGCATCGCGTTCCTGTCGTTCTTTGCGGTGGAGGAAGCGTTGGGCGTCTGGGCTAAGGGTTTCGCCGTTCGCACTGCTGGCGAGGCTGGCTCGACGGTCTGGTCCAAAGCTTGTGCGGATGGGGGAGGCTACGGGGGAGCGGTGAATGCCTACTGCGGGACGGAAAGGGGCGGTTGAGCGGGTTGATGCTGTGGAGGCGGTGGAGGTGGAGATGGAGTGGTCGGTGAAGGCTTGGCTGAAGACATCGAGACGGGATTGCGCTTGGGGAGAACCGGTGTATGAGGTTTGACGTGAGGGGCCGCGACGGGTGACTGAGCTTAGAGCGCGACGGCTACTTGCTCTTGTGGCGCCGAGATGTGTGAGATCCTCTGAGGAAGTCTTGCGGTTGGAAGGTCTAGGGGCGTCTGGGTTGGAGTCGACCATGACCCAGCCTGATTCTGTGTGTTGTCGCTTGTTTGAACGTTCAGGAGTGTTGTCTTGTTCAAAGTCGCCGAAGAAGTCGTTAGTCGGATATTGTCCAGGCAGTGGGGTTGGAGGTTGAGTGGCATGTGCGAAACCATAGCCTTGTCCGCCACCAGCGTAGAAGCCACTGAAGGCCTTTTCACGGCAGAAGTGCCACACTTTTCCTACAACACCCCCTACCAGCTTCATGGCAAATCCTCCCCAGCCTCTTGGTTCTGCTCCATCGCTGGCGCTAGCCATGCTGGTGTAGCTGACTGTCCTGCCCTTTCCATTCCTCTCTCTTGACAACAAACCGGGCATGTGTGCAACCTCTTGCTCAGGCGATAGATCAGAAGTATCCCATTTCCAGCGAAAGTCTCTTTCTCCAGCAAAGTCGTCGTGTCGCGAAGCTGCGGCTAGAGTTGGTGTGTCGAACTTGTAGTCCAGTGTGTAGAGTTCGTTCGCCAGTGGTGCTGGACTCATTGCCTGGGAGGTCCAAGCATCTCTGGATGGATAGCTCAATGGAGCCGAGGTGTTTGCCTTGTTGGAGTTTGCGCGTGATCGCTTCCTGGTTAATGCGGGTTTGTCTTGTGATGGCGTGGCTGCGAATCCCATCGTGTCGAGATGCGACATCCCTGGCGTGCGAGGTGGACGGAATATATTGCTGTGTAAACCTCCCGACTGTTGGTCCGGAAAGGGATAGCTCGAGGCTATCGAGTACGAGTATACAGTCATGTCGATAATGCACAGTCGAAAGCGTCGATGTTCAAGGGTTCAATGCGAGACTTGAGAGAGCTGCCTGGATGACCTCGAAGGCGGGGTTGCTTTCTTTTTCTTGCTCAATCTCGTCCCGTCGTTACACAATTGTCGTCCTGCATAAACACATGACTGATGTCGACTTGGATGCCATCGAATCGACATGGTCGATCATGATGATTGTTGTTGTAATATCTCGCTACACCCGTCATCGTCGCCGCTTCGAAACGCCTAGACTCTGGTTGACCTGCCAACCGTGCCGTTCATCTATATCAACTTCAAAGTTGCGGCCACTCCTGAGTCGTTGTCCTTTCTTCACCTTACCCAATCCATACAGATCGTTCACCGTCCATTCTTCCCGGACTTCACATCCATCACCCAGGCCATAGTTCGACCAAACATTTCCCTGATCTCTCTTCCTTGACACTCACATTCAGATGGTGAAGTTTGACATGTCGGTATCCTTGGATAAACCTTCAATGCGTAGCAAGTAGTCTTTATCATCACACTAATCTGCAACCTCGTTATAGACTCTGCTTCCAATGCTCAAGTCTGCTTCTGTCTCAACCCTTCCTCTGCACATGCCATGAGCACGGCACTTGCACGTCCATCCCTCAAAGCCTCATAAATGACACTAATGCGACTACCGATAGACTTACGGGGCTCTTCGACTTCGACACCTTCAGGCAATGGCTGAGTCGGGTGTTCAACCAGACCACGGTGCAACTTTACGCCCAGATCGCCACGGACGAACTGATACATGCGCTTTGCTGCATTTCCGAGGTATGTGGGAGTGGTGGTGAGATGATTCTTGAAGAGATTCTGTCTCTTGGCTTCGTACAAGTCTTGCATGCAGGTTTGTAACTTTGACGTGAGCCTAACCAGTTCGGCCGAGTCGAGGGGGATGGAGGGCGATGCCTTTGCAAAGGCGTTTATCACGTCCAAGGTGACGGCATCAGCAGTAGTCTTGCATCGTCCGTCAAGATCGGCCGTGGTTGTGGTAGGCCAGACTTTGTGAACACGCGTCGAGATGGCGTAGACGAGTTCGTCTTGAAGCCCCTGGTTGGATTGCTTGTTGGTCGAGAGGAAATCTTCAACCAATTTCTTCACCTCTGGCCCCATAGACTCGAGGAAATCATTTTGTAAGACGCGGAGATCGAGCGCCTGACACAAGACAAACAGATGAGCGGCCGACAGCATATATATAGTGTCAAGCGCTTGGAATGTGTATCGTGAGGAGATCAAGGCCAGACTGTTGATGGCTTGATTGTGCATCTCGGCAGACTGAACATGGTTTCCTACGGGATTGGCGAGGAAGCCAAGCTCCGATTGATACGAAGCCATGTTGATATCGACACCCTTGCAAGTGAATGACAATGAAGGGTCGTCAGCGGACAGATTGGCTGGTAGTCCACCATTAAGCATCGGATTGATGATCTCTGTTGCCTGGGAGAAGAGCATCTTGCCCAATCTCTCCAAACAGAGACGAGCTCTGTCCATAGTAGATGTCACAACGGCCGCTTGGAAGTTACCACCATGAAGGACATGATCTGACTCGACATCGATGAGGGGATTGTCTGTTGTTGAGTTGAGCTCCGTTGTGATCTGTGAGGTAGCGTGAAGGAGGTCTTCAATCTGTGGGCCGAGCCATTGCGACGAAGTTCTCAGAGCGTACCGGTCTTGGTACAATCCTGTCATCTTTGTATCTTTGGGTGAACCCACACACTTTGCCAGTTGCGACCCTTGGAGGAATGAGAAGATATTGGCAGCACTCTCAATTTGACCAGGATGAGGACGCATGTTTGCGATCTGGGGCCAGAACGACTCTGCGGACCCTTGCAAGGCCTCAACGCCCATTGCGGTAAGCACTTGCGATAGAAGCACGACGTCCTGAGATTGGTGTAAAGCAAGAGATGCCGTTGCAGCAGAGAAAGCGGTTCCGTTCAGCAGGCCAAGACCCTCCTTGGGTCCAAGAACAACCGGCTCCATGCCAGCATCCTCTAGTGCTTCCGATGCGAGCATCACTTTGCCGTCTGAGAGTCTGACGTAAATGTCGGGAGATCCTTCGATGGCTCCGGCAATATATGAGAGGGGACTCAAGTCTCCACTAGCCGAGATACTGCCTCTCAAAGGAACGACAGGGATAATGTTCTTGTTGAGCAGCTTCAAGATTGCCTGTCCCACAGAGATTCTCACGCCGGAATGTCCTCGAATGATGGAGTTACATCTGGTTAGCATGCTAGCTCTGACCCAAGAAGTAGGCATAGAGTTCGTGCTGAATGCCATGTCAATGTCTCGTGAGCGCACAGGGTCTTGCATCGATTTTGCATCCTGAGGACGGCCAATGTCATGGCTTGTTAGGACACCGGTATTTTGATGTTGAACCAATGCTCTCTGAAGGTCCTCCAAGTTGTCAGTTCTTGTGTCAGCACTTCCTCCAAACCCAGTAGAGACACCTAATGGACATTATTAGCATCCATTCAAGGAGGACGCCGGCGGTTGCATAAAGTACCGTAGACGAGATGTCCAGAGTCGAGGTGTGTTCTGAGCATGCCAACACTGTCATCGATACGTTTGCGTGTCTCATCGTCGGTCGACAGGAGTGCAGGTGTGCCATATCTGGATGATGATTTAGTTGGATGGATGTATCAGAATGAGCACAAGATGGACCCACTTTGCTACAGCGACGACTCCGGCAATGTCAAGTGAACTCCCGTCAATGATGCATTCATCACCCTGGAGGAACTCTTGAATGTTGTTCCACGCAGTCAGACCAGAGTTGATGAAGGGTCGTGACTGAGTGGTCGAGACGCCATGCTTTGGCGATGGTTCTCTGGTGTATGGCGGTGTCTGCTGCACATGCGATGCCATGTTTACTTTGGGAGATGGAAAGGATCTTTAGTCTTGGGTCTAGGGTGTGAACAATCTTTTTAAGAACTCACGATGACTTGGCAAACGCGATGCTGTTTGCTGCACGTGTCGTTAGCTCTTACCTCAATGTTGAGCGCAGTTTACATTTTGCTCTGTTGAGGTCGACGGTGGAGATGTGAGACGTCAGTCCGTAAGCTGTATCTAGGTCCTCCAGATGTTGCATAGACCGAGTTTGGTAACTAAGGCTCACAATTACCCTCCACAAAAACAAGCCTGGCGATCTTTTACGGAAACAGCAATCGGACTGTTGTTATAGATGACGTCTGAAAGCGCTTTGGCAGTAGCAAGCACGCGGCAGCCACCTTGTAGCCTCACAACCGATTCCCAAAACTCGGTGTGCACTGAATAGGACGGTGCAGGGCTCCTTGGCATTTCGATATGAGGACGCTGTACAAAGGTTGTTGATGACAGCAGGAGACTAAGCGTGAAGTCCGAGATCCGATCAAGTCATTATTCCGTAAGAAAGCATGATGGTCACAGCCTCAGAACTTTGAGAGCGTTTTGGTGCGAATTGTCGAACCAAAGGAAACTGAGGCACAAGCCAGGCAGTTTGTGTGCTCGTGTCCTGCGTCGACATATGCGACCGGCCGCAAGCTGTTTGACACAGAGGCGAGACACGTATTGATCCGATCTTGTTAGAGCATCTCATTCCCTTGATCTTCGATGTCATCATCAACGCATGTGTAGGATACTCATAGTGCATGGTACCAAGTAGTCCGGAATTTTGATACCAAGTGCTTGTTGGAGCAGCGCACGGACTATTGCGGACTTGAGTGCGGACAACCCTCCAAGGACTCTATGCTTGACTACACCCTTACATACAAACATACCTGTTCAGGATTTTACCGATTGTCTTGCCTGAGCACTGTGACAAGCAGTGATTGCGGTTTTGGAGTAAGTGACCTTGCGCATTTCTGATTCTCAACCTTCCATCTATCCAGCCTCCGCAGATTTTTCTGGGGAAAGAAAAAAACGAAAAATGGTTAAGGGAAGACATCAGGCTTGAGAAAGCAGGATATGTGGGACAGAAAGAGATCTGTGTGAAACATATCACCAAGCCTCTCGATAGGTTGATGCGAGGTTTCCCATGCTTCGAGGACGCCCAACACTTGACCCGACACCAAGTGCAAAATCACAACGAGATGAACCACCGAAATTCAGTCATACTAACACATCAGGACAGACAAATATAACAAGAGACAAACGAAAACCCAGTCTCGAACGGCCAACTCGTACAAAGTTCTCAACATGCCTCCTCAGTCGGCACAGCGAAACTACTTCGTCACCCCCTGGCGCAGCCATGCCGACCTCCTAAACGTCCGCCACGGCCTCTACAGCCCATCAACACCCGCAGAACAAAGTCACGCTATCGCCACAGTAGCAGCCTGGAAGCACAGAGGAAATGTGCCTCACGCTGTGGAAAGCACCGCCCTGCTCATGGACGCCATGCTCCTACACTCCCAATTCTCATCCTCCAGCGCACAGCAAACAACAGTATCCCAGGACTGGCCCACCGCAGGAACCGCTTCATCTTTTGCACTGAGAGCCGCTTACACGACCGCATTGTCTAGATTTGTCACTGGATTTGCGGATCTGGGTAGGCATAGAAACGGGCCTGGACAGAGTATGTTTGATGTTGCGAGGTCGATAGGCTTGCCTCCCCATTTCGTCGAGTTGCGTCATGAAGTCGCGCATGAGGATTTGCCCGGTCTGGCGAGACTTGTGCGCAGTGCTCGTGAAGCTGTCAACTGGCTTTGGGGCGTGTATTGGGCAAAACTGCCTCAGGATGCTTGGGAGGCTGAAGCTGGTGAAGAGGCTGCTGCGCAGGTTGACCTGGAGTCTTTGGCTGCCGTCAGACAAGAAGCTACAGAGTATCTCAAGAAGTTCAGATCGCGCAGGGTGACGGCTTTGAAGAGCAAGGCCAAGGCCAAGGATACGGCCACCTTGTTGCTTGAGACACAACAACAATGTCAAAACCTCTGTTGTGGCGAGGACGAAGCGGCAAAATGGACTCAGGTGGCTTCAATCTTGATCGACGATGGATTGATTGTACCTTCTCTGAAACAGTATGTGTGGCATGGGTAAAACTTTTGATTTTTGGTTGGCTAATCTATTTCTGCAGGACAAGAGGACCTCTTGCTGATTCGGCGCTGCAAGGCGCTTACTTGATCTGGGACGAACTCCTAATCATGCTTGCATCTGGATCTTCACAATTCACCGAGGCATTCTTCGAACGAGCCATTGCCCACAACGCAAAGCTGACAACAACAAACGAGGACCGAGACAGAGCTGACCCGACCAAATGGGCCATGTACCGCTGGATCATGCATGTGCTAGACTCGGACGCTTGGCTAGAGATGCGTGGTGAGAGTCCCATACTCTACGAAACTCTTGCGCTGAGAGAGTGCGTACTGCATCCGAACACCCAATGGAGCCACGAATTGGCCGAGGAGATCCTCGAGGATGCCGAGATGGATGTCCAAACTACTTGGAAAAGTTTGATAAAGGCAAGCGCGCTGCCGGATGGCCATAGCATTGATGTTGAGGAAGAAGCATCGAAGGAGACGAAGAAGACGAAGAAGACGGATGATGTGAAGATGGAAGATGTGCCTTCGGAGCAGGGATGGCGACGAGAGACGGGAGCGTGGGAGTGTGTGCCGATTGGGACCGTGTCAGGATAAGATAGACACACCCAGAGAGTACCTGTTAGCAGAGCTCCCAAGGAAGGGCCAATCATAATGTATATGCTCCAGAATGGATTTGTTGACATGTAATACCCCATCACTGAAGCCTTGGGGTATAACCTCAGCGCCTTCATGCGTAGGTGCTACAGACGAGAAGGTTGGTCCAAAATCAACCACCTCCAGCCTTGAGTGCTTCTTCTCTTTCGACCACTTCGGGCTTGAACTTGACGAGGAAGATGGTCTTGGACGGCCAAAGCTCGTCATTTTCAGCCCAATGGGCCGTTACGCCGTCTGTCGAGAAGCCAGCAGCATCACAGATGCCCTCGATGATGCCACCAACAAAGGCAGCGCAGTTGAGTTGGCTCATCTCCTTGGGAATACTGATGTATGTGTTGACAAGGGGGTCATTGTCGATAATCATGTAGTCATTGTTGTTGCCAGTGCTGGCCTCGAGGGCGTCGGCGGGGCGGCCAAACAACGAGCGCCATAGAGTGGTATGTATGAATTGCAGGAGATCGAGCAAGCGGGTCGGTCGAGATGCAGTGCGGGGCGGCATGCGGAAGAGGAGGAGATCGAGCAGTTTGACGCCGATGGGGTATGCCGATTCGGCCAGCCTGGCTTCAAGGTCCGAGACTGAGGGTGCGCGAGCTTGGTGATAGGCAATCAACGTGTTGAACAGGTGTGCAAAAGATGCCAGGCTCAGCTCAGAGGTACGCGCGCGGTTCAGGTTGCGGTCGTAGATGGTCTTGCGATTGCTGGCATAGCGCAGTGGTGTGTAGGCTGCCGGCGGAGGCAGCGCAGTGTACGAGCTCGTCCTGGCAGTAGCAGCAGTATTGGGCACTGCATTATTGGACTGCGGAGGCTGCAGCGGCGGCTGTTGTTGCTGTTGCTGGTGCGCTTGCTGCTGAGTAGCCATGGCGGGCAATATTGTGTACGGAGATGGTAACGATGTTATTAGCTGTCAGACGACCGCCTGATCACTTTGACGCACGCCGCTGGTCTGGATCTTCTCCACAGCTTCTCGCGTGCACAACACAAGCAACCTTCTTCCAATAAGATTAGGGATCCTTCTATCGATAAATCGGCTGCTGCTCCAAATCAAACTATGAGCTGTTCCTAACGCTCTTCCTCGCGAGCGGTTCGTATTTCCCAATCGGTTAAATCCGTACGAGTGCTTACGCGGCGAGCGGCCAACTCGTTAGAGAACATCTGTACTATGTACCGATGCTGATGTGCAAAACTCAATGCAAACATCATGTATTAGCATATCTACGAGCACCCATCGTCAAGCAGAGGCAAGAAACGACTTGAAACAGCTTTTTCCGTCGAGGAATTCCAAAAATCGAGAGCACAAACGGTCTCTGAGCTGACGCACATGTCTCTCATGCTTCTTTTTACGTTCCTTACCAGCTGAGAGCCGCGTCTCATAGCCCGCTTCCGTATAGTCTTGGCGTGGCACTTTCACATGTCAAGCCCGGTCGTAGGCGTTTCCACGGGCAGAGTCAATTCATCGAAGATGCCGCATGCAGTTGTAATGCAGTCACTTGTCTCTCTTCCCATGTCCATCCCTTCGTGCTTCTCCGATTTTCCTTCGGCTCTCCAACCAACCGTCTCGCAGTATAACCCACTGTCCACCCCTTTCATCTTGTCTTCACCGGCTTGCACATGCTTCCGACTGTCGGCAGTGGAGCGGGAACGTCATTCTGGCTAATATAGTACACTTTCACATGTCAGGCCTGCCAACGTCAGCCAACACGCCTAGTAGTACTCGCTGAATCGCTACTCCATCATTGTCTTATTTTCCTGTTTGTTTCTTCTCTTCCTCTCCAGTCACCTTCTTTTTATCTGGTCGCTGGACTCGTCGTGTCCTTTGCTCCATCATCCTTGTGCGAAGACGACCAGCCACCGGATAACATTCTGCCAAGGATCCTTCTTCCGACAAAAAAGCAAACATGGGTCGGCTACAACCAACAGTCGTTGTTACTCCTCAGGCCAATAGACGATCAGACAGGGCCAAGAGAGCAAAGGAGACTGTCAACAAAGTAATTCCGGACCTTCTCAAATCGAGTCCGAGAGCGAGACATGGCATCCACAACGCCGTCCTTACGAGCGATCCCAAACCGGAAAAAGATATCAAGTCGTCGACATCAAACTTGACAATCAGACTCTGCAACACTGATTCCCTTACTGCGGCACGTCGATTGACCCATTCATCCCGTCGACAATCTGCAGCGGCTGCATTGACGACCTCCAAGCAAGCAACCAGATCAACAAATGTTTGCATCCTTAATATGGCTTCTCCTCTTCGCCCTGGTGGTGGATTCCTGGACGGTGCCACTAGTTCCGAGGAATTCTTGTGTATGCGTACCACATTGTATGCTTCGCTCTGGGATGACTTTTACCGACTACCCGAACTTGGCGGAATAGTAACTCCGGATGTACTGGTACACAGAGACAGCACTCCTGAGGCAGAAGATTTGCCAAAACGTGAAAGATTCTTTGTCGACATTATCAGCGCGGCCATGATTCGATTCCCTGAGACCAACAGCGCACGTCTCGCCGAGAAGGAAGAGGCCGATGGTAGTTGCTCATGCGGTGTCAGCTACTGCGACCGTGACCGCGAACTTGTGACACATAAGATGCGTGGCGTGCTTCGCATGGCGCAAGCTCGTGGAGCTGAAAAGCTTATCCTTGGAGCGTGGGGTTGCGGCGCTTATGGTAACCCTGTGCGTGAGGTCGCAAAAATCTGGAAGCGTGTCATACTCGGTACTACCAGAAAGGCGGAGTCATGGCCAGGTATCAAGGAGATTGTTTTCGCCATTACCGACCGCGGTCAATTGAAGGAATTTGAGAAATGCTTCGGAGACGTCTTGGCCAAGGAGTCTGTATCGCCACCTCCGGAGGTTGCACAAGATGCACGCTCGACCGGCACACAAAGTCCTACCTCTGAGCTCATATCAGAGCTTGTTTCGAAGATTCAAGAGACGGAGCTACAGCTTGACCAGATATCAAACCCTCGTAGCAAGGCTCGTCTCCGCGAAGTGCTAGCCAACCTCAACAAGCAGCTATCACAAGCAGGATCAGGGCCAGAGGAAGACGAGATGCCCCCAGACCCGATTGGCGAGGAAGTAGAAGACGCTTCATACCCCGACGCTGCAGGCGGTTTCGAGGGCGAAGAAGGCGGCTACTACAATTTCGACAGTAGCGACATTGCATCTTCCGGCTCAGTATCACCATCGACATCAGATATCTACGAGTTCCGGGTTCCTGGAACCAGTGTACCAAACAAGAGTGTCGAGTCTCATATGACAGACGACTTCGAGCATGTTGGATTTGATACTGAAAGTGGATGGTTCTCCGGGTCCATCAATGGTCTGTCGTCACTCCTAGCAAAACAAAGACGAGGAGGATCTGGCACAAGTCCCGTGCTCAGAGGTGAGGGCGGCTTGGACGATGTTGAGCCACTGGGGTTTGGTAGTGGACTAAGCGATTATTTGCAACGCTATTCTGAGCAGGGAAGTTATTGATTTATGACTGGCTGAGGTTCGGGGACATCAGGAGGCGTTTTTGACGGCATTTTATTGAGCGATGAAACATTTGGGTATTGGGAGTCCAGGGGCAGGAATCCGCATATGAGATGTCGAGGACATGGCAATGTTCTTCGTACTTCCGGCATTTAGCGTTATGAAACGCATCAATCTTCTCTTGAACCAAGTGTGGTCCGTTCGTAATGTGAACTCCGAGGGTGAGACTATGCCAATGTAAGGGCTAAAAAAGCAAGTAAGGAATTCGAGTAATACTAATCCGTTGAAAAACTTCTCTTGCCTTCAATCCCTGTCGGTCATCAGGTCGAATGATGCGTGAAGCGTGAAATATGCAAGAAACTTAAGCCACCAACGCCTCGCTAATGTACAGATATGATGTGGTTATTGAAACTGCTAGATCAAAGCCAACTCAGGGTCAGGTAACCACAAGACAACGTCCTGGCCAGCACTGGCAAGACTGTTGTATCTGGGGTTTACACCAACGACTGTGGACGTTCTAGGACCAGGCAGATCGGTCATGGGGTTCATGGTGCCATCAGAGCGCTTGTCAGCAAGCAAATCCCAAACCAGCATGCCACCCTTAGATGAGGCAGAGACGACATAGCGACCATCCGAGGTGAAGCATGCATCGCCCTGGAGGGAGGATTGAGTATGGCGCAGAGGGCTATCACTCTGGCCGAGCTGTGAAGGAAACGGTGGAGGACCCTGTGCACGGTACAGGTAAGCCTTCAAGCCACCCTCGAAGGCATCAAGAACATAGTGGCCTGAGCCATTGGTGCCAACGAGGATGTACTGGCCATTGTTGCTGAACTCCAGAGTGGTCCAGCCTTGTCCCTGGGCTTGGCCGTAGTGGCTAAAGCGACGCTCAATGTCGTGCATATCGAAGGTTGCAAAGGGAGGTTTGTCAAAATTGCGAACGTCGTAGAGCACAATAGTCTGTGTGGCCGGAGAGGCTATGGCGATGACGGTAGCTGAAGGATCATACGCGCTCAGAACGGCCCCGTGCAGGTTGAGGCTGCCTTGAGGGGTGGATGAACGCAGATCCCACAACTTGACTGTGTGGTCCAGCGAGGCTGAGAGGAAGGTGTCATTGCTGGGACAGAGCTGGAGAGAGGTGACCTTGTCTGTGTGGCCCTTGAAGTAGCGGATGTATGTGTTGTCGTGGGCGGAGAGATAGCGAATATCGTGGTTGAGCTTGGTCGAGGCATAGATGACGGAGTGTGAATGGTGAGTGAAACGTGCTAGTGCAGCGCCGTGCTTTTGCGACTTGAGCTCCTTCGCATGGGCGCCTGCCTTTGTGTTGTAGATGTGCAGAGTGTCGTCGGTACGTGCGAGGAGGAGGAGTTCGCCTGTGGAATCGAAGTCGAGCGATGTGTAGTGCAGGTTGGGAGCTTTGAAGAGCTGGGTTGCGTCAGTGGTTGAGGGTTGGGAAAGGCTGCATGAGCGCGTGAGGGGGCTCTCACCCTCGTCGGGCGATACGTCGCGATAACGTCGCTGACCTTGGCCATCGCAGGCGCTCCGTTCTCTGCTCCCATATTACCGATTGGTGCAATGCTTGGGAAGAACTGGAGAGTGAATGTGAGAGATGGTTGCGATGCGAATGGCGCTTAAGGCTGCTGGCTCAATCTCAAAAGTTCGGCTTCCCCAGATTTCCAAAAGGGAAGTCGCGAGTCGCGACAGGGACCGAAAGACGTCACAGTTCCTTCCTTCTGGCGCTGACCAGCACCCGCCGACTTCGGACTTTGCTTCGAGTCTCTCTTTCACTTGTCTAACTGCTTGTATTTTTCCGCCTAACTATTGTTGTAATTGCATCTTGTCTGTCTCCTCTCATTTACACTTGTCTATACACCCCTTCTTGGTTATTTGACAAGCAGCCATGTCCACCGGCATTGGGTAATTCACCCACACTTTCCCCTCCACTCCGGGTAACGCGACTGACGCAACCTGACCAGTTCTTTTGTTGCCGGTGGTATTGCAGCATGCGGCGCCGTCACAGTAACTCACAGCTTCGAGACTGTCAAGGTACGGTTGCAGCTTCAGGGTGAGCTACAAGCCAGAAAGGATGCTCCCAAGATGTACAGAGGTGTGCTTCACGGCATGTCAGTCATCTTCAAAAACGAGGGTATCAGGGGCCTATTGCGTGGTCTGAACTGCGCCTACGTCTACCAGATGATGCTCAATGGCTGCCGTCTCGGTTTCTACGAGCCCATTCGCACACATACCAACTCGCTACTCCTCAATCGCGACTTCTCGCACGCTCACGATCCGAAAGCCACCGCAATGCAGAACCTCCCCGTCAACATCTTCTCGGGTGCTTCGTCTGGAATCATTGGCGCTGCCCTCGGCTCCCCTCTGTTCCTTGTCAAGACTCGTCTCCAGAGCTACAGTCCTTCGTTACCAGTCGGCGCACAACATCAGTACAAGAGCGCGGCCGATGGCTTCTCTCAGATCTATCGCGCTGAGGGTATCAAGGGTCTTTACCGTGGCGTTGTCCCAGCCATGGTCCGTACGGGTTTCGGATCTAGTGTTCAACTTCCCACATATTTCTTCGCCAAGCGCAACCTCGTAAAACACCTTGGAATGGAGGAGAGTCCTGCTCTGCATCTCATGTCTTCGGCCTGCTCTGGATTTGTTGTTTGCTGTGTCATGCACCCTCCGGACACCGTCATGGGCCGCATGTACAACCAGACTGGCAACCTCTACTCTAGCGCGTTTGACTGCTTGTTCCGCACAATCAAGACGGAAGGCCCGCTGGCTGTTTACAAGGGCTTCTTTGCTCATTTGGCTAGAATTTTGCCGCATACCGTACGTGAACCACTTGTATCTTAGACAGACTTCAGCTAATCCCTTTACAGATCCTGACACTCAGTTTGGCCGAGCAAACCAACAAGCTCATGCGAAGATTCGAAGATCGCGTCCTTCCTAGCAGACAAAAGGCATAAGAGTGAACACTGGTAGCAGACAACTTCCGAAGCTCTCGAGCTCTCTTTCAACTGTATATGTTCGATTCTCAAAGCTCTGCGAGAGCATACCTACAAATGATCAGACAGCCTACATCAGGTCAGGGAGGCCGTGAAAAGCAGACACACACTCGACTCCGACATCATACTCCGGTCAAGCAGTTTCGAACGAGATCTACTACACATCGATCTGAAAAGAACCTGATGTACAGTTGCACACAAGATGATGACTGCTGGAAGAGCAGATGATCAAAGTGGATGCACGAGCAGAGACGTCTTGCAGACCGGCCATTGTAAGACTCGGTACCTCGAATCATGAGGCATGAGGCATGTGGCATTCGGTATATGGTCTCAGCATGAGAAGCTATAATGACGAGGGCTCTTAGCAGACGGCTCGACTGATCTCAAAAGCAATGTGCATTTGAATAATAACCAAAAGCATTTCTCGACTTGACGAAAATCTAGCCCGTATCCTTTGTTCATTTCATAAGGTCCCACAAGTGTGCTTTACTCGTGTTGTTGGAGAGAGACATTCATTTTCATATAAGCTATATACATCTCATGCAAAGAGAGCATCAAGCCATCAATCAGGCTTCGCCTTGTTATCGGCCCAACTGGGTTCGATATTCCTACACACCGACACATAATCCTCCCATTGCTGCTGATCGGCAACCAAATCCGGATTCGTCCAAAACATGGTCCACTGTGTATCCTGCAAATGCCACGTTCCCCTCGATCGCTCAAAGTACCACTTGTTCACCGGATTATTGGAGCGGGACCGCCAGCACACGCCATTGGGGAAGCAACTGCGCACCATGGCTTGGAAAACTATATCCGCGACTCCAGAGCTTCCTTGCGAGCGTTGGAGGACGGCGAATTTGTCGAGATAGGGGACTAGGCGTGTGGGATCTGAGGGGTCGGAGGGGTTGGCGGTGCGTGGTTCTTCCCAAGTCAGGATTGCGCCGCCTTCGTATTCGCCGGCGATGATCACGCCGGCGACACGGTTCTTGATGCGGTTGAGGTAATGCTGGGCATCGAGGGGCCGGCGGAAGGAGTCCTCGATCAGAGCGACTAGGCGGGGGAAATTGATGTCTGGGTGGTTGTCTAGGGCAATTGTTGGTTGGCCGGGTTGAGGAGGTGTCCAGGGTGTTTTGCGGAGGTCGGGGACGATCATTAGAGGCATGCCACGCTTTATGAGGGTAGAGCGGGTTGCGTTTTCGGAAGAGATGGAAGGGATTATGCCGTTGGCTGAGAGACGGGCGGCAGGTAGGGAGGATGAAATCATGGGTTTGTTGGTGAGAAGATTGTGGATCAGAGGGTTCTTTTGTCGTCGAGTGGTGATTCCGATGCCTGGATCCTTTCGGGAGTGATGTGAAGAAATGGCTGCTTCTTCGGGAGATATGAGCAAGGCTGATGAAGCAGGAGGAAGCAAAGCCAAACAGTCTCGGACAAGACTGAGAGTGTCTAAATAGTGAGGACTCATGCCACAAGACTGGATCTCATTGCGAATGCCGTCAAACTCCTGCTCGAGATTAACGAAGACGTGGGCCTTGTCCTGTCGAGTCTCTGTGGGGAGGCCACCAAGAGGATCGAGCATGATGATCCTATCTACCGAGGTGTCCTCGAGGGGCTCATCTGCTACGCCAGGAACAGCAGCCAAACCAGACAAGGAGCGTGTCAGGGCCAGCATGACACCACTGACCGACACCTTCTGTACCTTGCAAGTCGTGTCATAAGCTATGGCAGGGATGACAGGGATAGCACTTCGCTTCAATGGTTCTGTGATGAGCTTGGGTATGCCGAGTTCCACAGCACCTAAGACCTTGGGACGCGAGGCAGGCATTGGCTCCTGGCTAGTGACATTGAGGGCAGAATCGACATAACGAGCACCCTCATTGTTGTGACGCTCCAATGCAGCAACGACTCTAGCTCCCTGGCGTCGATATGTATCCTTGTATGACTCATTCCTCTGGACTACCTCGTCCTCGCAGTTGAGTACCAGGACGATTTGCATGTCGAGTCGGACCAGCTGAGCCATGGTCAGAGCAATGCCGTCGAGTGTTTCATCGTCGATAAGATGAGGAGCTCTCAGACAGACCAAGGCGATATGAACCTCTCCAGCGCCTCGTTGAACCTGAGGATCTTGCTCGACGTGTTGTGAGAAGGTCGGCGTAGCAGCGGCAGCTCGAGTAGGGAGGTATAGCTGACCAAGGTTGACACCTGAGCTTTTGAGCTGCCATTGTTGCTTGGATTCTTTGACATCGTGTATGACGAGAGGCTTTGTGGGTTTCTTGTCGGATGTGGGCTTGAAGCGGGCCAGGTATTGTTTGGCGTCTCTGCGTGTCGCACTTGCATTGAGCACGTCGAAGAAGAAGTCCTGCTGTCGTTAGAGAAGGAACGAAGGGAACACGGAAACAAGACTTACTCTATGAGCTAGCTTGTCCCTCTTGTCTCCATTGCCGTGGCTGTTGTTATTGTTTCCATGATTGGCACGATTGGCAGCGACCGAGCTAAAATCACGGTGCAAACACTTCAAGGCTTCAGGGCGCACTTTGCTTCGAAGTGTCGGGAGACATGCTGTCGACATTGTTCATGGCCTGTCGACCGAGCTCCAGAGTTGTCCGACAAGATTGAAGAGGGACAGTCATCGCAATTCCAAGGCACGGCGGAAATAAAAAGACTCATGCGCATACACCAGCTGCCCTTATCTTATCGCCCTTCTCCACACCGCTGTCGGCCACTTTTCTGTACCTCTCCAAATCGATCTCAGGCATTTCCATTTCTAATATCTCGCTTCCTGACACGATTCCTGTTGATGAAAAGACTTTGAGGCCACATGCCAGATCAACATCTACGCCTTTGATTTCCAGCTCATGTATGACTTGAATCCATGTGATTGCTACTCGCATGCCGAGGATATGCGATTTACACCAACCCGCTGCCCCGCGACCTTAGAACCTAACTCCGGTGCCGCCAAGACGTCATAGAAGCTCATACAACGTGGAACAAGTGCTTCTCTTCGCCTCGGTCTTGTAAGCGGGAGAGACCGGCATCATGTCCTGTAGAGCTCGGTATAAACATCTCAGTTCCTCTACGAAACATCTTGCGTTCCAATACATTCCCTGAACACGTCCATACATCTCACAATGGCTCCTCAAATCGCATGGATTGGCCTCGGCAACATGGGCCGCGTAAGTTGACATGGACATTGGCAATGATGAATTCATGTTGACAAGTAGTCACAGGGCATGGTCAAGAACTTGGTTGAGAAAGGCAATCTCTCAAACCCAATCATCCTCTTCAACCGTACCACTTCTCGTGCTGAACAACTTGCATCCAGTCTTGGATCCGGCAAGGCCAAGGTCGTCTCGAGCATTGAAGAAGCAGTCAATGCTTCAGACATCATCTTTACTTGTGTTGGCGACGACAAGGCAATCGAAGAAACCATCAACTCTGCTCTCAAGGGCAATGCAAAGGGCAAGCTATTCGTAGACTGCTCCACCGTCCACCCCGACACTACAGACAAGCTCGCAAAGACTATCAATGACCAAGGAGCCGAGTTTGTCGCATGCCCTGTATTCGGTGCTCCCGCAATGGCAGACGCAGGTCAGCTTGTATGCGTACTTGCTGGTCCTGCCGAAGCTGTCGACAAGGTCAAGCCATACACAACTGGAGTCATGGGCCGTGCAAACATCGACTATTCTGGTGAGCCCCATGGTTCTGCCACTCGTCTGAAGATCATCGGAAACACATTCATCCTCAACATGGTCGAAACTCTCTCAGAAGGCCACACTCTTGCTGAGAAGTCAGGTCTTGGATCCGACAGACTGCATCAATTTATTGAGACCATGTTCCCCGGTCCTTATACTGCGTACAGCAACCGTCTCCGCCAGGGCGATTACTACAAGCGTGAGGAGCCGCTCTTCGCTGTTGATCTCGCAAGAAAGGATGCCGGTCATGCTCTGGCACTTGCCAAGACTCACGGTGTTCGTATGAAGGACGTCGAGGTCGCCGATCAGCATCTTGCACAGGTGCAAAAGCACATGGGTACCAAGGGTGATATCGCTGGAATCTATGGAGCTGTCAGACAAGAGGCAGACCTCAAATTTGAGAACTAGATTGCCAAGTCCTGCAGATGTAGCCATTGCAGCGGCAATGTATCAATGTATGCAGCAGATAATAGCTCTCATGAACAGACGACTTATGCACCAGAATCAAGACATTCGACAATGGATACGGAATTCGACATCCGCATTTATGCAGGACTTTTGTTTGACAATCAAGCTGTTGTTCAGATACTCTATGTGAATTTGTTGGAGATATCTCTGGGCTTTTTTCTTTCTTCATCGTAGTCGAGTCGTTTAAGCCCTCTTGCCGTTGATGGCCTTGAGGGTGACATCGAAGATGAGAGTGGCCCCGCCGGGGATGGCGCCGGGGAAGCCACGTGCACCGTAACCGTAGTCGCTGGTCAATTGGTCAATCAAAGTCGTCTGGCTGAGGAGAGTTGAAAAGACTTACTGGGTGATGATCAGGGTAGACTTCTCGCCGAGAGACATGCCCTCTTGTTCGCTGGTACCGACAATACCCTCGTCCCAGCCTGTTGTTCGTTAGTGCTGAAGTGAAGGGCTGGCAAAGAGGCATGATGGACTCACCCTTGATGACTCTGCCGGTACCAATGGGGACGTCAAAGTCGCCACGGCCGACCGAGGAGTCGAATCTAGTTTTGGTCAGCTTGTGAAGCTATAAGGTAGGAGCAGATGGTAGACTCACTGCTTGCCCTTGGACTTGCCGTCGGCCTCAGCCAACCAGCCGGTGTACTCCATGGTGACATTGTCGCCGTTCTTGGGGTAGTCGGACTTGTTGCCCTCCTGGATAAGTTGCTTGGTGACACCCATGTTGATTGAAGTTGAATGGAATGAGCTTCTGAGGAATTGAGGAGTCTGTCTTGGTCTGATGGAAGAGAGAAGGGAAGTGGGAAGACGAGCAGGCATTGTATTGGTCTGTGAAAGTCCGAGGGGCAGACTCGAGCTTCGGCGGGGCCCTTACGCAGCAGCTTCACATTGCGCTTGGCCGATTTGCCTTTCTGGGGAGCTATCTTTGCCTTTTCTGACCTCACCGTCTCTTAAACCTCACTAAAGGATCGGCCGCAGCACCCTTGCGTGCTCACTTTCTGAGCTGCCATAGGACTGCTGCACATTTAGACAAGACAAACTTGCATCTCAACAAGGAATGCATGAAGCAAGGAGTGTCTTGTTTTGTACCCTCATTCTGTACCACCTCAGACCACGTGTCGATGGCGTCAGTGTCTAGGTACCGAAGATTCATCAGCCTCGGCCACCAAGGTGTCTACAAACGTGAAGTTTCATCATCGATTTCGTGATTCATCACAAGACATCTGCTTGGTACAGACCGAGAAACCCAGTGAGACAGCTGCGCGACGACTTATTAATTAAAACAGTCATACCTTGGTAGTCCTCCGTCAGGCTTTCCAATCACAACCATGACGAATACGACAACACCCACCCTCTACTTTGGCTACGGCAGCAACCTATGGCAGCACCAAATGAACTTGCGATGTCCCACGTCGGAGTATCTCGGTGTCGCTCGTCTCGACAACTACCGCTGGATGATCAACGACCGCGGATATGCCAACGTCGTCCAAGTCGATCCATCTCCTTCCGCCGAACCCTCCTACGCCAACGTCGTCTATGGCCTCGTCTACTCCTTACAACCCTCGGATGAAGAAGAGCTAGATATCAACGAGGGAGTGCCATTTGCCTACACCAAAGAAGACTTACAAGTCTCGTTCTGGCCCAAGGAGAAGAAGGACGAACCCGTCGACACACACAAGACTCCCAAGAAGCAGGACATGTTGGTCTACATTGATCGCGAACGCGTCATCGACAGCAAGCCAAAGCACGAATACATATATCGCATGAACATGGGCATAAGCGATGCGCTCAAGGAAGGTGTACCCAAAGACTATGTTCAGGAGGTTATGCGCAACTTTATCCCACCCGAGCATGATGATGAGCTCCACGATCAAGCTCTACAGCAAGCTCTAGCTTTCAAGGATGAGAGGTGATGTACCATGCTCTGTTGCAAACAGGCACTTTCTTCAAAGTCCAAGGACGAGCAACTCGCGTACTGGCTATCGTCCCCCAATACTACAATCACTTCAAGATACATCTAGAAAAGCACTAGACAAAATACAATAATCACATTCTTTTTGAGCATACATCCATTCCTCCATGATCCTTCCCATCATTTCTCAGTGAACATTGCCAGTGATAATTCCCAAATTCCCACCTTTCTACAATCACATGTCCCTATGCTTCAAGCTCCTCAATCTCATCATCGTAGAGCAAGAGCCACCAGTACGCGTAAACATCTGCACCATCGTCGCCATAACCAGATCCGATCGGATCGCCAGCAAGGGCTTATCCCAGTCCATCGCCAAAACACCATCATGCTTACCAAGCCCCTAGAACACATCTCGCACACGCAATCTCACAAAACCCAAAAGAATCAAACCCGTCCGTCTATCCAAAATCCCAGACCAAGAATTAGGTCGTCTCGTCTTCCCATACCCAAAGTGGACCCTCTTCCATCCAGCACATGCTTCCTCCCTTCTTTCCAACGGGCCGCCGTTGAAAAAGACTAAACCACATAAGTTTAACAACCGAGTTTAACCAAAAACTTGCACTACACACACGAGTCAATCATATACGGGGTCTTGAGACATGTCAATTTCGCTTCCCTTTCGGACGTGGGTTCATCTGGTTCGGTTCGGAGGTGGGGGATGAAAAACGTGGAAGGGCCTGAAACCAAAAACGGCAGCTGTCGATGTGGTTGTGGTTCGGTTAGATGTTTTCAAGTGTACCGACCTATTTTTGCTAGTTATGATGGAGGGAGGGTATGCTGACTTCGATGCTTCGATTGACAGTCGAGGAATGTACCTGAGCTCTACATCGGGCTCGGTGGGTTGTGGTAGATGGCATAGACGGGCGTGAAGGCTTTGATATTGGGTTTCAAAGTGCTTCTGAAAATGGTAGTTACTACACTGATAGTACTGTTGATGTGAGTCGACACTTTGGAGTCTTGGATAGCTGGCATTGACGTGTGCTGGTTTGTTCTGAGGCAGTGGATAGAACAGACAACACAATTGGATATGGAACGCCGCATCAGATAGCCGACCCTATGTGAAGTTAGAGCAGCAACAAGTTTTGAGGTGCGACCAAATCATGAGGAGAGCACTTCTAGAAGTACGAAGCGTGAAGCTTCACATAATATCTTCAAGATTATGGATAGGAGCGATTTAATCAGCGTCGACAATAGTTGAGTGACTCAAAACTGCACATGTGAATAATTACAATAACTAAATCCAACCTGAGGACAAGACAAATATCTCAGTCAGACTAGAGAGGGAGAGTCAAGAGGATCAAGTAGACGTCAGGGTCGCCAGCTTAACAAGTGAGACTTGCCATCCGACATGCGGAGAAAAAAAAAAGATCGATTGGAATCATGATCTATTGAGATTTGCACGAAATAGAAAGGCAGGAAATGCGGGCATGAGCGCAATGTCGTTCCCTCCAAATCAATTCGCAGCTTTGAATGGTGCTTTGTTAACAACCGCTGGAAAGCAAAGTTTCTGCCCCAAGATTGTTCAAATTTGGAATGACAAGGCTGCACGGAGCTTTTCAATAAAGTTTTCCAGCTGCTAGAAGCAGCGCACTTCGAATGGGTTGATCCTGGTATGGTGATCCTAGCCGGGCATCCGCTTTGCTTGAGCAGGAGGCGCTGATGCGGGGAGCGCGGTGAGTTCAGTGAGATATACGGACTGCAGACTTACATGGAGTGTTAGCAGACCATGAAGTTGTAGAGCTGTTCAAAGTGATGTGATTTGTCCATGTACGTAGGATGCTGAATACTTCTTGATTGCAAGCACTTCTCTAAAGAATAGGATCAGACGTACCAGAGGTGTCAAGCCAAGATTGTGGATGCGCGAATTGTGAGCATAAGTTGTTGTGTACGAGCAGAATTATCGTGAGGCCTGACAAAAGTTCTAAATACCATTTCAAGGCAAAGTTGCAGAAGTGACACTCACGTCAGGTATGGCTTTCTCAGTCACCAGAAGTCGTTTCTCCAGATCTTCCAGCTTCTTGATAGTGACTTGTTGGTGCAAGTGAAGTTGCTCTCTATGCTCTTGCTTGAGGACCTTAAACTCCTTGTCAAGTTCTTCATGCCAGGGGTACAAGACGGCAGTCTGGAAGCCCAGAGCTGAGATGGCGACGGTGAAATTGAGGTATGGGAGCCACATACGGGCAGTAGGGCCGAGAACCATATTGTGATGAGTGGAGGGGAATGAGAGAGAGAATGGAAAGGCTGCGTGATGAGGATGAAAGAAACGAGAGTATGGATGGAAGAAGGTATTGAAGGGAAACAAAAGGAGATGAGGGAAAAGTCGGTAGGTAAGAAGGTTAACAGCGAAGGAAACAGAAGGAAACAGGCCGAGGTGAGTCAAGGAAGGAGTCGGAGAGAAGTAGAGAAATCGGATCACGCGACACGAAGAGGATTGATTGATGTGTCTCGCTCGGTCCAAGGCCGGTGTGGTTCGGAGCAGGACCAGAGACTTGGTATGAAAACATTTGGACAACATGAGCAAGACACACGGCACCTACTGGGATACACACAAGCCAACCACGAAGCAACATGGCTGTACACGCTGGAGAATAATTGATGTGACAGAGGAAAGAAGCACCGGAAGTACCTGAGTGGTTTCCGAGCCAGGCCAGGGTCCGGAAGGCGCCGCCACGCGTCACAAACGATGAGGGGGGCCGAGACTCATTAACGCTTGACTGACCTGACCACATGAACATTTCGACCAAGTAGAAGGGGCGGCATATTGCTATCCTCCTGTTGACGCCCGTAATCGAAATGCTTCCAGCGAGCGACTATCTCGAACAGTCAACATGACGTCGGTCTTCTCATCCATCGTCCTGCCCAAAGGCGGCCGTTTCTTGCGCAAACCCGACTTTCTCAAACCTCGCCCATCCGATGAATCCTTGTCGACAGAGTCCAAGAGACCTTTGGATCCGGATGAATTACTGAATGCTGTTGCGGAAGAGGAGGGGGCAGATCTCAGGGACTTGAATACTGCACTAGGAGCTTTGGTAGACATCTTTCCCGATGTACAGCCTGACGTCTTTCGCGAGATGCTATTGAGTCTGAGTGATGAGAGTAGACTGGAGGTTGTGACGGAACACATTTTGAGGAACGGTGCCCAATATATCCAAGGACGCTACAGGAAGAAGCCAAAAGACGACAAGGATACCCCGGCTCGCCACGATGCGCTTCCCAAGGACGAGACGTTTCGGAGTGAGAAGTATAAGCGTGCCGTCAAGGACACTCTATACCTCGAGTTCAAGAGCTTGAGCCATTCTTCCATTCGAGCTGTGCTGGCTGAACACAACTATTCCTATGCTCTTGCCCATCCGACTCTGCAACATCTAGCTTCTAAATCCTGGAGGGCCACCATCACCACATTCTTTGCCAGGAAACGTCCTGCAACTTCCGATCCCGACTCGCACCCTCATGTTGAATGGTTACCTAACACCGCCGAGCCTCTCAATCTCCTCCCCTATCTCAAGCGGACAGGTTGTTCAGAGTTGGATCAAGAGTTGTACCGCATGTACATTGCACCCGTGCTTGCACGCCAGAAGCAAGAACGACTGGATAGTGATGAAGCTATGGCAAACGAGATGAACGAGGCTGAAGCCGAAGAAGCAGATGCCCTGTTTGACTGCGAGTGTTGCTTCACTGCCTACCCTTTCGAGCGAATATCCACATGCGACTCACATGCTGGCCATTTCATCTGTTTCCGATGCATAAAGCATGCCGCCAACGAAGCCTTGTATGGTCAAGGATGGGCAAGGAATATCGACTTGACCAAATCTTCAATGAGATGTCTGGCTCCATCAGTTCCTGAATGTCAAGGATGCATTGCTCCCGAACTGGTCCGAAGGGCTTTGTGTACAGAAAGAGATGGCGCTATGAATTGGCAAAAACTTCAAGAGCGTGCGACCTCGGAGATTCTGATCAAGAGTCAGATGCCTCTACTGAGATGCCACTCCTGCCCATATGCCGAACTTGATGAGCCGATCAGTCTGAGATTCAGAGACCCAATGACTTTGACCGGAATCCTCGTGCACATGCCACTAGATCCGCTCAAGTCTTTGATCGCGTTGCTATTCATCTTTGTTTATCCGCTGGTATGGGTTTTGCTATACCCCTTCCTACTTTTTGTCGCCATAATCGACAAGCCAACATATGCCCGCATCCAAGCATCCCGGACTCGCACAATCCGTAGAAGAAGAGGTCTGCGGTTCACCTGCCAATCCACGACATGCGGCAAAAGCTCGTGTACCAATTGTGGAAGTCCGTGGTCAGATCCTCACGCTTGTAACGAAGCATCTCTACAATCTTTGCGACAAGCCATCGAAGCTGCAACGACGAGCAGCATCAAGCGGACTTGTCCAAAGTGCAATCTCAGCTTTGTCAAGTCTAGTGGCTGTAACAAGCTTGTATGCAATTGCGGATATACCATGTGCTACGTTTGCCGACAAGAGATTGGAAGAGAAGGATATGGTCACTTCTGCCAGCACTTCAGAGAGCTAGGAGGCCGGTGTTCAGAGTGTGATCGCTGCGATCTCTACATTGTTGAAGATGAAGAGGGCACGATCCGAAGAGCCGCAGTTCAGGCTGAAAAGGATTGGCTGGAGCGAGAGGGAAAGAGTAAAGATACGGATGACAAGCTTGGAGCCGTGGTCAATGATGTTCTTGCTAATACGACTGGAGGGAAAAGGTATGATTATGATGCATGGTTGGATTTTTTCATGTCGATTATTTTGGAGTAAAGGTCATGAACGGCGTTAGGATCTGGAAGATACCCCTATTATATCATGGCTCCCGGATATCGATACTCAGATATCATTTTCTTTTCTTCATATTAAGCTTCAGAAGCGAAGAATTTGTGCTTCTTCAACTGTTCCAAAGACACAGACTTGGTAGATGATGTGTCAAACGAGTTATCGGTCTTTGGCGTGAAGTAGTGGATTTCTTCGATGCCGGTGTTCTCGACGAATGACAGTACCTTGGAAAAGTTGAGGCCTACCTGACTGGTAGCGTGGCTGTCGTCAGAAAGGGCAAAGCGTCCTCCTTTCTTGACAAATTCCTTTGAATGGTCAGTAAGGGCCAAGGAGGAGAGCTTCTGTACAACATACCTTGCAGATTTCAGCCTTGGGATACGGCTCAGACATGCCCTTGCGAATGGCACTAGAATTGAGTTCGAGGATGCCACCATAGCTTGCAACAAAGTCAAGATTTCTGACAATCTTCTCCCACACTGCAGGCATGGTGGTCCAATTACGCTCAGGGTCATCGCTCTTTAGTCTGATGAGATCAAAGTGACCGACAAGAGGAGGAGTCAGTGCCTTGAGCATGTCGTATTGTTCATCGAAAAATGCAGCAAAGACGTCTTCGTCAGATCCACCAGCGATTGTTCTGGCCTCATAATACATGTCATGATCAAAGTCGATAGGTTTTGTAAGCGTATGGTGGATACTGCCAACAAAGAAATCAAAGTTGTAGCGGCTGAGCAAATCTTTGATGATGGTATGGCTTGAAGGGCGGATCCACTCGCCTTCAAAACCGATCAATAGTGTGATCTGTGAAGCGTACTTTTCGCGCAGACGCAAGGCTTCGGGATAGTAGGCATCGAATATTTCGACGAGCTTTTGGGCATCCACTTCTTCAGGATAGAGATCAGCGGTATCTCTGGGGATGTGCTCGGTCAGAGCAAAGGTATCCATTTTGAGGGAGATGGCCTGCTGGACCATTTCCTCGAGAGTACATGTTGCGTGAGCACAGAACTGGCCCGAGTGAGAGTGGTGAGAATGCGGCATGTTGATAATGAGATGAACGATGGAAGCTTAAAAATGGTAGAGATGTCAGATGATGATTGGAGGGGAGCGTCTGCATGTGAGAGGCTTGGCACTTGAGTCAGAGGGGCTGAAGTGTATTGGGAAAGGGTCCAGGAGCATGTGAGAGCTCCAGGGAAACACATCACAAGGCAACCTTCACTCAAACACCCACATACGTCGACTACAACCACCCGCCACCATGGACAAGTTCGCAGCATTCGGAAAGAACATCGGGTTTGTGGACCGCGTAGCAAAGCAAGAACAGCTGCTTACTCTTCCTTGGGCAGTGCATCCTTCACGCCCTTTGCAGCTCGCACGCAGCAATACGTCAAGGAGCAGTTTGGCCAGACCGAGGACAAGACGGAGCTGCCGCCAGACTACATTGAGCTCGAGAAGCGCGTTGATGCCTTGAAGCTTGTGCACCAGAAGCTGCTCTCGGTCACATCGCAATACACCAACGAAGCATACGACTACCCTCCCAACATCCGCGAGTCTTTCACCGACCTGTCCAAGAACGTCACCGAGAAGGTCCAACTTCTGTCGCGCGCCACCTCGACCGCCGAAGCTCAAGCCGCCTTTACCGCTACCCCTCAAGCAAAGCCTCAACCCAAGACCTTCAACCATGCTATCGCTCGCGCTTCCTTGGCTGGCAGCCAGCTGTTGCACCAGAGCGACGTTCGCGGTGCCGGTGCCGACGACTCGCTCGCCCAAGCTCTGGAGAAGTATGCTGTCGCCGAAGAGAAGGTTGGCGAGGCTCGCTTGAACCAGGACGAGCGCATTCAACAGCGCTTCCTCGCTGGCTGGAGCGCTACCCTCAACACCAACCTGCAGTTCGCTCAACGCGCCCGTAAGAACGTCGAGAACGCCCGCCTCAATCTCGATGCGACCAAGGCCCGTGTCAAGGGCATTAACAACCCCTTCAACAACAAGAACCAATCCCACGCCGAGGAAAACTACACAGAGGCCCAACGCGCCGAGATCGAAAAGGCAGAGGACGAATTCGTCAACCAGACCGAGGAAGCCGTCGGCGTCATGAAGAACGTCCTCGACACGCCCGAGCCCCTCAAGAACCTGGCCGAGTTGATCGCCGCCCAGCTCGAGTTCCACAAGAGATCCTACGAGATTCTGTCAGAACTGGCCCCCGAGGTCGACCAGCTGCAGCTCGATCAGGAGGTATCGTCTGTTCCATCCATCCAAGTCACCCAATTCTGATCATCTTGTGTTTTACTGCAGGCCAGTTACCGTAGAGCCCGCGACTCTGCTTAATTTGAACTTAGCCTCCCTTCCTCTTCCAGAGCCTCTTTGCCAACCAATCTTTCTGATTCTGCTAGTCTCGCTGTCGGAATTATTATCCTTCTTCTTCTTTCTGTTTCCATGCAGGCTCCGCTTCTGGATACCTAGCTCTCCCAATCAATTCAATACCACTATCCGACTGACTACCATCCGTCCGTCTCGTGCCGAGAAGTTGTGTATCTTTCTTTGGAAAGCAAAGTATTCATCTATCTCACGCCCACGTTTTCTTCCGTCCTCCTCACAGACCACATCAACCCCCTTCGATGCCAAGCTTTTGCTATATTACCCTTCCTACAATAGTCGCTATATTGGCAACCTTCTTATATTGCAACCACGGAAAGTAAGGTTCATGTAGAACAGCTGTACGATTCATACGGTTTATACGACCCGTGCGATTAAAAAGGTTGAACATGGCGTCAGCCGCGTCTTGAAACCACACAAGCTCAATCCATCCATCTCCACACGGGAATGTAATGTCTCACTCTGGAACAAGAAAGCACATGGACCAGAGTTCGTGTTACCCATGCACTTTTTTGTGTATCCGATTGCGAAAGAGTAAAGCAAGGGGGCGGAAGTGGGGATGCGTGATTGATGTAGATGCAGCAATCGAGTCATTTGTTTCTCTTGTGTAGAGTTAGGGCAGGTGCTGTGTTTGCCCTGGACCTTCCCTTGTTGATCAACTTGGACATGGTTGTCAATATGGACGCTCTACTATTTGGAAGTCGATGGTTGCGATTGAACATTTCAGTCCCTCATCGAGCCCCGTCCTAGTGGTATGATATTTGTCATCATGCTATGCTGACTCTTCTCGGAGATGCGCTGCTCCATTTGTCGACCGTCTTGCATGTCATGTCATCAATCCTCCATGAGCCCTGGGCATCACCATTCAGTCGGGTCCCTTGATGAAGGCATCCTAGTAAATCTTGGTCCGGCAGTCACAACCTAATCACACTGCATATGAATGTAGACATCTCCTGATAGGGGCTGTTCCTCCAAACAACATCTTGTTCAGATGATTAAATATATCCTTTTTGAGAGGGAAGATCTACTGACACCATGCCCTCTGACCTCTAATCCTCCGTCTTTAGTTTTGGCTCTCTAGGGCCAATTCATCTCAGGGCTGCTCTCCCAAGGCATGCTCCCCTGAGCGTCAAAGTCGAAGGGGTCAGATGAATCTGTGCCCCCTTGGCTACCTGTGCCCTTCTTCGAATCCGTATCGTCGAGTTGCAGAGCACTGAACAGACCCTTCATGTCGCGCAAATCGGATTGCACATTATCCTGCGGCACTCTGGCGCGATAATCGATGAATTCGCGAACGGCTTGAAGGATGGGGAAGTAACCTTCGTCATTGGGAAGCCACCAACGCATGACATCGACGCCCCAGACGCCAGTCATACGCTGTCGTAGAGCGGCAGGGTAAATGTAACTATAACACGTCTTGTGTCAGCAAAAGCGAACACGTGTAACACATCTCTGAAACTCGCTCAAGAACTTACCCGCATTGCTCGATTAGAGCGTACTTGTTGCGGCACCACATTGTGTGTCGCTGGTCCTTTGGCATGCATGCGGCAGCCATTCCCAAACTTGCCTGCGCGCCTAGAATCATGGCTGTCGAGTCCTCGCCGCAGTACTGTAGCGCCTCGAACATTTTGCACACCTTGAATGCCGTGGCCACTACTTCTTCTCCACCCACTGTGGGATCAAACTGTGCAACTTGTGACTTGAAAAGGAGGTGGATGGCCCAAAAGTCGATGAGGATGAAGTTCCAGGTGAATAGTTCTCCGGCCAACAGGAATTCGGGGTCTGTAGAGTTGACCACATCGTCCCAGTCTCCCTTTGGTGCGTTGGGAAACTCCTTCACATACGTTCGTGTGTCTTTGAAGGCGTTTTCGAGGTCGTGAGCATAGCCTTCTAGCTGCGCATTCAGTTTACCCATCTCGGTAATGAGCTCCATGCTCGGTCCTTCCTTTTTGCCTCTCGCGAACAACAAAGAAATGTCTGTTGCCAATAGCCTTGATCGTGCAAACTTCTCTTCAAACACGGATCCTAAGTCACGAGGCTTGTCTCTCGCCTGTCGAACATAAAATTCCATGCAAGCCACATGCCAATCGCGAGACAGTACCATTCCGTAGCCGTGCATGAATCCTGCAAAGAGGTCGAACCGGATGTACCAAGAGATGATCTTACGGTGTGTTTCGCTTTGCATGATTGTTTGTGGTGTGAAGAGTTCGGTCAGAATCTCGTAAGCAGCCCGTTGGTGGCCCATGAGGTTTACCCAGTCTCCCAGGAACTCCTCGAATGTGGCAAGCTGCAGGATGGTGAGTAACGTAGCTACAGTATGCCGCGGACTCCTTTCCAACGATTGACGTAGCAATGAGACCGATTTGTTGTAGTAGCCAAGGAAGCTTTGGAGCTTGCCATCTGGTTTCATCAAGGTGTGATGGTAAGCAGAGAAGGCTGTAATGGCGTAGAGGAGAGGCTCATATCCCAGAGCAATCTCCAAGAAGGTCGTCTTCAGGAAGTCTCCACTGTCGTACTTCATGGCATAGTGTTGGTGCGTCAACTTTTCCCTATGATAGGTAATATAGAACTTGACATCTTTCGGCAGATGAGCCCACTTGCTGTTCGGCGGTTGCTTGGACTTGAGAGACTTTCTCGAGCTTTGGCGGGGTATCTGTGGCCGTGTGGTGGGACGAGCCGATGTGATTGAACTGTCTGTGGTTGCAGGACTTTTGATTAAGGGGCTTTGATCCCTCGAGTTGGAAGACGCATCGGAGAGTTTGCGGTCGTCTTTGGAGCATAGGCTAGATGTGGCTTCTTCGTTTTCTTCGTCGTCTGGAATAGAGGGGAGCTTGTCGGCCTCGGTGACGTCGTACTCGTCGCCGGATGAGTTTGAGGCTTCGCCAGCGGAGCCCTTGTTCTTATAGTTTTTCGAAGGCTTTGATGATGCGCCCGTGGTAGCTTCAGGGTAGTGGCACTCGCGTTTGCCCTTGCGACATCCTGTTCCTTGGTTAGTACAACGAATGTCGTGCCGTAGTAAAGGTTCAGCTACTCACGTTCACAGGTGGGGTGAGCTTCGTCACACTACACAGCCAGATGTCAGATGGACTACTTCAATCATGTCTGTGTTGGTCGGCCTTACCTTGACCCTGCGCTGCCTGCAAGTAAAACAACCGCTTCTGGTTCTTCGATGTTTGACGTGATCAGCACCCGTGACGGATCGTCTCTTTCCACCGCGCGATCCCCCTTGTTGCGATATGGACCCACGGCTAGGATCTTCGATGTCTGAATAGCTGTTAAGGTTCTCCTGTGAGATGGTCGGTAATTGGTATAGCCTTGGGACATAACCATCCGGCATCATGACTCCTTCTGGCATCATCCCTTCCGGCGGGGCAATGGGTTGTCCGTTGGGGTAGTATCCAGCTCCCATGGGGTTCATAGGATAGTAGTGGTTGTCCATGTTTCAGGTAGTTTCGAGATGGTTTGAAGTTGTGGATGACGAACTCAAGCTTCGAGCATGGAAAGTACTTTTTTTTCCTAAGAATACCAAGGGACTGGGACTCAAGGTCTGTAAATATCCTACTGCAAGGGAATTCGGAGGAACCAGTGTCCGGGGATGGATATGGAACGGGCCCTATCAAGCCCTGTTGGATAACGTGATGGATTAAATTGTTGATGGGTCTCCTGAATGAGAGGATAGCACAGTGGATCCAAAGAGCTTCAGATCTAGAATAAGTGGTTCGGCCTGTTTTACGCCCGTAGGTTTTGCGTGGGCCAAGGCGGAAGTATGTCCAGGAGCAAAGTAGGCCAGACTATACTTGTTGCAGAGTAAACAAATCGGCGAAGGTAAGAGCTGCTGAGTCCCGGCTGAGATGGACCGACCACCGATATTAATTGATGCGGGGATGGGAATTCCAGCACCCTGGCCAAGAAATGGTCTCAGCGTACGGAAAAGATCAGAGCTAACAAATGAATGGTAAAAGCTGAGCGGTATCAAGAGCCGAGAAGCAGTGTCTCTTTTAATTGAGTATCCGTGGTCGCAAGTGAGGAGAGTCTTTTGGAGAAAAAAGCCAGGCCGGGACCAACGATGTTTGAGAGCCAATCCTGGTCCAGGTTTTTGTTTGGGAGAAAAAAAGATATCGTGGTCCTTGACGCACTGCACGGCAGGGATGCTCTGATGATCGTGGTCTGTACTTATGGTGACGGATACTGGCCACAGAACCCGGGTGATGATCTGCAGAATAGATGAGGAAAGGTGCTGTGAGTCGGCGTCACACAGTGGTTGGGGCTGTCGCGCACGATGGGAAGGAAGAGAGGATGTATGTTCGGCGCGCAGAGTGAGACCGGCAAGGGAACGCTTGATGCAAGCCTCCCTCCTCCTTCTTGTGCGAGGGGAAAAGGCACGATTTAGCGCAAGCTGTATGCAGGAAAGCCCCGTTTCAGATGTCAACTGTTTTTGAGCTCCTGGTCTATCAAAGAACGGCAAAGAAAGAGCTTCCAGAGCATCATGGCCAAACGGCTTGATCGACTTGATGGCGCACCTTATTGAAGCTTTGACGTGGAGCCGGGGGAGATTTCTTGATGAACGACTACCGCCTCTCAAGGCAACTTCCGATGTCTGGCTTGTGGTGGAGAAGAACCTACCGCGCCGGTTTAGCTTTTTGCGACAGGAGCACGGCGGCCCCGGTCGGTGTGTCGCTGCACCTGCAACTGCAACACGCCCCGCCCGCTCAGGAGCAAGCAATCTAGTAGCCTTCTTACCATGCGTGGATCAAGGGCAGCGATTCGCAATGCTTGCAGCTACAATAGGCCGCTCTCCTGAGCGGTGGGCACGTCTCGGACCGGACACGCCGATTGCTGCTTAGCAACTTGCCAACTAAAGGCCTGCCTGTCATCGGATGATTATTCACCATTTACGGCTGATTGGGGTCCGCCTGAATCGTGTCGCCTTTTCTAACCACAATCTCGCTGGAAGAACGACAGCCAGCTCGTTCCTCCAGAGAGTTCCGGCCTCGGTCGGGCATGTGAAAGCAATCTAACACACGATACCGACATCCGACTGATGCTACAGCACAAGACATGTACTCGACAATTACGTGAATACGGTTCAGTTCCTGGACAGCAAAATGCTCCGTGCCAAACAAACGGCTTTTAGACGTGAGCGTTAAGCTTGCACATGTCTCATATCTATCCACCGTCGCAGTCGGTGCCATCATCATCATCGGAGGCATATCTATGCGAATCCGAGTCTCCGTACTGCGTACACACTCTAATCATGGCAAGGTGGTCTCCGAGTTTTGAGTCGGCGTTACTTCCCAATGCTTCCAATGTGAGGTGACGTGATACTCGAGTAGTCGAATCAAGGACTTGAGCCGTCGTAGTCCGGGAGAAGCGCCGCCTTCTTGGAATACCCGGCGAGACCACTCACATCCTTTCAAGATCAAAGTAACCAATCGTCGCCGATGGAGATCCTCAGCCACAGCGAATTGTTGCTTTTCACCCACCCATGGTTTGCTGTATATCATCCTTTAGAAGCTCGTTGATACGGACGGCAGTTGGATGTGCTTCATTTCCCTGATGTGGCAGGTGGCTTTAGCATTAAAGTGCACACGCTCCCGCCAAAAGTAGTGGGTCGTACACGTGCAGAGACAAGACAGGGCATCAAACCTTTTTTCTAAACCAAAGCCGCATCAGAGATCTTGGGAGTCGCTTTTCTGATTCGAGAAAGGTGCCTGTTTCCCTAGATCTACCAGGGCATGACATGTCTCCGCGACTGGCGCGTGTTGTCAAGGAATAGCTCGGTGTCCAGTCCTTCACCGTTGTTGACGGGCCGGCTGTTGCTTGTGTGCATGCAGTCACAGTACCCACAGCAAATAGCGCTGCATCTAGAGATCTTAGGGAGACGAATTGCATGGAGGATTCGTTTTCCCTTGCAGGATTCTGTTGTTTGCAATTTTTTGATTGGTCTGGATGCATGAATTTTTCCGTTGAGATTTGTGGTTTCGTCGCACCAGTCAAGGCAAGAATTGAACGACTTGAACTTTCTGATGGACATCAAGGAGGCTCGGCGACGATCCAGGAGACATCATTGATGGGAATATTATGCGATTGCGCAAAGATGCCCAAGGTGCTGAAGATCCCGCATGAAAGCCACGTTTCCAACTGGCCCATGTTCTTTAGCCGCTGCTGTTAGAACGCCTCTTACAAGTGTCGATCAGTAAGGATCATCAACCATGACATGGAAAGTACCATAGATTTCTAGTCTCAGGCACTTTGAGGATAATCTCACAGTCTAGGGTGCTAGCAGACGCATCGTTGTCAATCATGATTTACTCTCAGCTGCTCAGCCGGTGTGATTGTCCGCAAGGATACTTTGAGTGGTTCAGAAGGATGTGTGCCTTGCGCGTCGGCGTGCGCGTTTCGAGCAAATGCATCTAGAGAATGTCTTAGATCAGTGATGCGCGCGGCCGATGTCAAGGAATAACCTTGTGACATGGTCACCGCATGATTTTGGACGAACATCACCTCTCGCGATTTTGCGTTTCATGCTCGCATCTTTGTGATACAGAAGTGTCGCACACACTACGAGATACTGTAATAGATATATATGTCCGGAGATGGGCACTGTTACAGACCAGTGGATATCCATTTATCTGTGTGATGGCTGGTGCAGGGGGAGTCAGTGGCTGCGATTCTGTTAGAAAAGAGAGCCTCTATCAAATGTTTGAGGATACGCAAGTACTGCCTGCACAATTCCTTAGTATTATGCAGTGACCCTACCTTGGCCAGGTATGTCACGGCTCATTCGCGATCCTAAGCAAGTTGTTGTAAGGATGCCATGTGGATATGCCAAATCGAGACGCAATCCAAAGCATCATATCGGAGCTTGGTAGCACCTGGAAGGGACGAAGATGATCGGGGGAGATGACATAGAACAGAAGAGATAGACCTCCTTCGGTTCTGACTGCATTTTTTGCTAACTAGCTAATCACCACTGCCTCCTAAGCACACCATGCTCCAGGACTGATCCAGGGCTGGCAAGGCTATAACCCGAAAGAAGAATGAAATGTAGCGATCGTGCGGCTAGTGATGAGAGAAAAGAAAGCGCCAACCTGGGAGAAAATATGCAACGCTCAAAACGCCAATGAATATGCATGGTGGACATTAGAGAAGGAAATTCGTGTACGGTTCGTGGAGGGTGATGGGAATAGCAGTGAAATGATATGTGGCGGTCGGAAACATAAACAAGAAGAGTTGACGGTCGTCTTGGATGTCGCATGGTGCAACATTGATGTCGAGTCGAGACTGATCAGAACACGGCAGGAGTGTCGAGGGTGGGACTTTCCGTAGAAGAGGGGGCAGTAGCTGTATCATCCGTAGCAGGCTTTTCCTTTTCATCGACACCTTGACCTCTGCAAAGAGGGCAGGAATTTCGACCTTTAGTGAGCCACTGTGGTGAGCGAGTTAGTGATATATCACTGGGTAGTGGTTGGCTTGTAGAAACATACCTGATCTATGCACTCCTTGTGGAACAGATGATTGCATTTGACAAGACGTCTAGCCTCTTCGTCGTGTTCAAAATCGCATAGACATACGAGGCAACGCTGTTCAGAGGTCAAAGAGATGCTCTCCTCTCCTTCAGTTGCAACAGCAAGAAGAGTAGTGCCAGAGCTTTGTATCCTGAAGATACCTGGAGCATCTGCAACATCTTGCTCACTTGCTACAGGCGGCTTGGCAGGACCCAACAAGGCCGACAACAACATCATGTCCTCATAGGTAGGCGAGTCGGTATAAAGACTCGGGGTAGTAATGATTGGGTGGTTTTCCGGATAACTGCCGCCAAGGACGTAGATGATCCAACTGCGGGTATTCTCGCCAGCTGCATTGTCAGGCTCGACGAAGCCATTGCGGCGTGATGAATATCCACGATGGCCGTAGTCTGACTCGCTAAGTCTGCGCGGACGATGTGGGCGAGGGCGCAGTGGGGCATCCTCGGCAGTAGTTTCGAGAGTTGTGGTTGTGGTGGTAGTACGAATGATGCTCTCACGGCGGTCAGAATAGTTTGAGTTTGAGCGGCTGGACGGAGGACGTTCGGGCATTCGAGTGGCAGAGTTAGCGGAACTGACTCGAGACAGTGTGGGACTCAAGGGTGGGCGAGCAGTGGCTATAGATCGGGAGCGGGTACGATCAGGGGTAGATGAATGGCGCTGGGCATCATATGCAGCAGGGAAACTGGAGAGGCCACCCATAGAAGCCCGTCGTCGATGACTGAAGCGGTGCGTAGGTGTCGGATCCAGAATGTGGTCAATACTATCACTCTCACCATTGAAGGGCGATCTGGGCAAAGCTGACAAGGCATCAAGGAAGGGCGGCATGGCGGCATCTTGAGCCCCGTTACCATTCGTCTGGTTCACTGATCGAATGCCCACAATGATTACAGGAACCATACGACCATCGGGACCAGCCTGGGTTGATGGTGAAGCATTAGCGTCCGTTGAAGCATCCCTGCCTGTTCCCGAGCCGAAGCGGAACATTCGAAAGAAGTTGAGCGGGGCGTTGGCCGACGTCTGTCCGCCTTGCCCGCCCTGTCTGAGGGCCGATGCCAGTCTCCCGCTTTCCAATGATTGAAGGAAGTTGCTAAAAGTGCCATCGCCACTCACGCTGTGAGCCTCTGCAATGGCCTCCTGATCACCGTCAAGCAGAGTGGCAGCCGTTGTCGCAGCGGCTACCGACAGGATGCGAGAAATCAGGGCTGTATTGTCTTCTCCCCCTCTTAGCTGCCCGTCTCCTTCTGTTCTAGGCCTTGTGCCGCTCAATAAAGACGGCTCTTGTGCTGCAGCAGGAGTCCAAGCTTGTAGTGGCTCCGATTCTGGTGCAGCTCGAGGTTCAGGTGAGTCGGCAGGAGATAGTCTTGGGGTCAAGAGAGGAGTTCTTGTCGGTCTGTCAGATCGCAGCGCGGAAAGACGTTCAGAAAGAGAAGTGGGGAGACGGAAACTCGAACGGGACGATGGAGTGTGCGGCGCGGGATCCGAGGTAGCAAGATCCAAGTTGAGCTCAAAGTTGTCAAAGTTGAGTTCAACATGCGGGTATGCGTATCCAAAGTCGTCTGTCCGTGAGCGAGAGAGTTGCGTGGGGCGTGAGAAAGGGGAATGTCGAGTATTGAAGTTGTGAAGCGATGTGCGAGCACGCTGTAGGCGTGAAGGACGCTGCGGACCAGAATCTACATGCTCTGTGTCATCGGTAACAGGGGTGGACGAGCGGAGCATCTGTGATAGTCTATGAATGGAGGACGAACGAGCGGCACGTGGGCGTGGCCTCGGTGATGGTCGGCGTGACGATCTGTCATGGTCAAGATCGGTGTGGTTATCCGGAGCCAATACCGAGGAAGAAGGGAGCGAGCGGCGCCAGAAAGACTCGCGGCGAGATTGGTGGCCAGAGGTAGGCCGAGTGGGCGGCGGTGAGGTCGTCGCTGAGGACGCGGCCTGACCCATGGCGGGATGTGGAAGCGGAGAAAGGATAGATCAGTAGAAAGGAGCAGTCGTACGCCGAGTGGATGATACAGGGGGCTGGAGCAATAGAGACAGCGCGATGCGAGGCGAGAGGAAGTCGAAGTCGCCGAGCTGGACGAGGGAGTGCTGCGTCGACGACAGGCGCGCAAGTCCAGGCTGACGGACAACGCTGTACACCGAAACGCCCACCTCCGCTGAGAGATGAGATGTGCTGCCAAGCCCGGATGACTCGCGCCGCCGCCCGCTGAACCTAATCTACCTGTTGTCGACATATCGACTCGTTTCAATTCCTCCTGCGCCTATCAACAGATACATGCACCTCCCGTTTGTATTCGTCTGCTTTTGCTTGTCTTGTCTGCATTCCATCCCAGTAGCCAACGCACATATCGACTCGAATACCCTGCATTCAAGGGGCCGTACTTTGCCAAACAGACCAACACCAGCAGCAGCTTCCCGCTCACTTGCAGATCTCTTTCAAGAAAAACCGCCGCTAAGATTCAGCCCTGCCCCGACACTGCTCACTGCCCTGATCGTTGGTCAATTCTTTTCTTTCTGCTACAAGTTGCTCTAGCCCATCCCAACTAAGGTGCTGTAAAACACGGGATACCCTATGTTCGTCTCAGCCTGAGACACGTCACACTGTACAAACAGTGACACTCCGTACCTTCTCTCCTCCACCTCCTGCACAACTCCCCCACAATGCCGCCAACAGCCCACCACTTCACCCCGGTTTATCCTCTGCATGAACCTCAGCACTCTTTTCGTAGCAAACAGTATGCTCCTCCTAGAAAGCGAAAGAGACAACAAGGGAACGACGATGACAGCGATGATTCCGATACGAATGTCGAGCCGCTCCAGCCGGTGCAATCTCACGACATCAATGATCCGTACCGTGTTGCCGGATGGCCCGAAAACATCCCTTTGCCTGGATCCTCGTTTCCTCATTCCCCTGCTGTCAAACCAAAAGGTCGCCAACTATCGTCCGACAATCTCCAAAAGGAACTCGCTGGCCTCAAACCTCCCTTGTACGTCCCGCCTCCTGGCGAACAGGATACTACCCCATCGCTACGCCGTCATCATCTGAGTGTACTCACCACAATATTACACACAAGCCTTCTAAAGCATGATTTTGTGCGTGCAGGCAGAGCTTGGGGTATGATCTTGCGCACCGATATCATGGGCCGACCACTGGATGTACGCACACATGGTCGATGGGGTGTTGGTGCTGAGATTTTGATGCGAAAATTCTCGCCTGAGAATATCATTGATGAGCAGCTCTACAACAGAACAATCATTAGTGATGAAGGATTTGAGGCCGCAAAAGATTACTATGAACGCTTAATTCTACAATTCCCGTATCAGAAGACGAACCCGAACGCCATATCATCACTTACATTCTATCCTGCAATGTTTGGCCTTTGCATCTACGAAATCCAACAAAAGTGCAGACTGGCTTACGAGCGTACTCGAAAAGACTCTCCGGAGGTGGAACATTCTGACTCGGAACTCGGTCTAAACGGCAATCCAGAAGAAGAGACGTCTGCCATCAGACGTTCAGAGTTGGCTTCTGCTGCAAGCCTCGCAGCTCGCATGGATGAATTGATGCTGTCTCCGCCCTTCGACACATACCCATCACTATTACAACTGAGGGTCTCTATAGCTCTGTGGTTAGCGGACCTGTACAGAACTACAGCCGATTCGGACGATGATGATGACGAAAACAAGGAGCGTGCCTCAATGGAGCGGGCGAAGGCTAGAAGGTGTTTAGATAGGTTAAAGGCTGCAGGTGTTACTGCACCGCAAATGCTTATGGATATCTCGGATTGATAATCTAGCTATTTCATGGCTTCAACACATGATTTTCTTTGTATTTTTTGATACCCTCTGTACAAGTAATGAATAACACATCCACACAAATTTCGTCCGTGCTCAAAACACATCAGCCAATTTTGCAGTCGACTTGACGTCTAGCACTCAGTCATTGAATGATTGCTCGTTATTATAATCTTGCAAGATTCATAGTTTTCAAATTTTTTCGACCCTGAAATTTCACAACAATTGAAGTCTCCAGAATGCAGGCAAGGCGCGCTCTTTACAGGGTCGCCACTACCTCTAGAGATGCAGTCTACAAATCCAACTTCAACTCCGTAACATTACGGAGGCCAATTGTCCGGGACAGGTCATCTCTCGCACTTTCTGGCTCTCAAATCGCATTCTTCCAAGGTCGTGGATATGCATCTACTTCTGGTCCAGATGATTTTTTGAATCAGCACAACTCTGCTGTCAACAATCTCTCCGCCCGTGTTGCGGAGTTTCACTCCAACAAACAAAAGTTTCGCATTTCTCATGGATCGACCAACAGCACTCGTCAGACGTCAAAGGGCCCTCATGTGCTCGACGTGAGTGCATTGAATAAGGTTCTGAGGGTCGACGTCGACAGGAAGATTGCCTATGTCGAACCCAATGTGCCAATGGACAGACTCGTTGAAGCCACACTTCCTTACGGCCTTGTTCCTCCCGTCGTCATGGAATTTCCTGGAATCACAGCTGGGGGTGGTTATGCAGGTACTGCAGGCGAAAGCTCAAGTTTCAAGCACGGCTTCTTCAACCACACCATTGAGTCCATCGAAATGATTCTCGCAACAGGTGAAGTCGTCAAGTGCTCACCAACCGAGAGATCTGATTTGTTCTACGGAGCAGCTGGCGCGGTCGGTAGCTTCGGTGTCACTACCCTGATCGAACTTCGTCTCGAGCCTGCGAAGAAGTATGTTGAGACCACGTACCACCCTGTCACCGGCATGCAAGACGCAATCGAGACCCTTGAAAAAGCGACATCGGACCATGGCCTTGACTACGTCGATGGCATCATGTTCTCAAAAACTCAAGGAGCAGTCGTAACTGGACGCATGACTGACACACCATCGTCAGAATTGCCTGTGCAGACTTTCAGCTCAGCATGGGACCCATGGTTCTACCAACACGTTCAAAGCCAAATCTCCAAATCAGGAACCGAGCCCGTCGTAGAAGCAGTCCCTCTTCCAGAATACCTTTTCCGCTACGATCGAGGCGGCTTCTGGGTCGGAGACATGGCATTCAAGTACTTCAACTTCCCCTACAATAAGTTCACCCGTTGGTTCCTGGACGACTTCACCCACACACGCATGATGTACACAGCTCTTCACGCCTCGGGTGAATCCAAGCGCTGCATCATTCAGGATTTAGCTCTACCTTACTCGACAGCCGAGAAGTTCGTGGATTACACATCCTCCGAGTTGGATATTTTCCCTCTGTGGCTGTGTCCTCTCAAGAGAACTGAACAACCTACCATGCACCCCTATACCAGAGAAGACAAGGAATTGATGCTCAACATCGGCGTCTGGGGCTTCGGTCCTAACGATCGCGCCGAGTTTGTCAAGGCCAACAGAGGACTGGAAGCCAAGTTGCGCGAACTCGGCGGTATGAAGTGGTTGTATGCTCAGACCTACTACACTGAAAATGAGTTCTGGGAGCAGTTCGACCGTAAGTGGTACGACGAGCTGAGAGAAAAGTATGGTGCTACGAACCTGCCTAGCGTCTATGACAAGGTCAAGGCACCGCCGGAGAAGGCGGCTGCGCCCGAGAAGTTCCTGGACAAGTGGCCTTGGGCTGGCTTCTTTGGTATCTACAAGGCCATCCAGTCAAAGACATACTTGCAAGCCAGAAGTGCGGCTTGGAGAAAGTGGATTGAATGATCGTTTGCGCAAGATCCTAAGCGGGTCGGGTCGCGTCTTAAATCATGTATGAATATATGTTGTAAGAATACATAGATAGACATTAGATATGGGAGAATACATAGTTTTCTTGTAGATGATAGTGGCTTTCCAATCTGAAAATTTAGACTTCCTGCTTCTCTTCCATGCCATGTGGACTTCCATTGGAAGAAGAAGGTGTCTGCTCGTCGGAGCTTCTCTGGTGCTCGGCAAGATGTTGATGCCACTCGCTTTGCTCGTATGAGAATGTGTTCTCGCCACCTTTTCCGTACCAAAGTGGCTCCTTGTTCGCGACCCTCACTACACTCAACCATGGACTTGAGGTCTGGGATGCTTGATGGAACAAGACATCTACTTCCTCCAGGCAGCGACATCCAGTCTCGGGCTAGCAATTGGTCAGTATTTGCCTAGGTAAGAGAAAGTCGTGATCTTGACTTACATAGAATAGATAGATGATTGGGACGATAGCAGCGTTTAGAACAGCAAAGATGGTGTATGTCCTGTACCCAATATGATGGAAAGCAATAGGAGCGATGAGCACAACAATAAAGTTACTCAACCAGTTTCCGGCAGTAGACAAGGCGTTGGTAGGTCCACGAATAGCTAGAGGCGTCAACTCGACAGCCCACAACCAGGACATTCCTTGCCAGCCGATGGCAAAGAAGGTATTGTAGACAAAGATAAACACGACCATGACGATGTGCGTCGAGCTGTTGTCCACATAGCTCATAACCGTGAGAATGATGAGTGAGATAGACATGCCAACAGCACCGAACATGGACAGGGCTCGTCTACCCCAGAAGCGATCGATGCCAATTACCGTAACGAACGAAGCCAGGAACAATTCTGTGGCACTGCAGCCTGCGAGTAATCTTGCTACCCATGGTGTATATCCTGTTTGTGTGTTGAACATCAATGCCAGGTATTGAGTAAAGATGTTGATACCAGTCCACTGCTGCATGACTTGAAGCATGAAAGCAAGAATAGTACGGTGCAGGAACCTGTACTCGTTCATCGAGAAGGCAGAAGAGAAGCCTCCGCGCGCCATCTCCAGGATGGCATCCTTGATCTGGAGAAACTCTTGACGGACTTCTTCATCCTCAGGAGTTGTGTCCGAGAGTGCTGACAAAACGGTAAGCGCCCCTTCCTCGCGACCAGTGAGAATGAGCCAACGAGGAGACTCCGGAAGGAAGAGAATCATGATGAAGGCCAACATTGCCGGCACGATCTGGAAGGCGGTAGCCACTCTCCATGAAGCCGAGCTGGGAGCAAGCCATGCGAAAGCAAAGGTGATCCAGTAGGCCAGGGCTACGCCGAATGCGATGCAAGCTCCAGATGATACCATGAGCATGGTGCCACGACGATGGGCACGAGTAGATTCTGCTTGCCACGCGGGTACGGCAGCAGTGTTGAATCCATTTCCGAATCCAGCAATGAACCTTCCAGCCACCAGTTGACCGTAGGAGAAGGATGATGCCTGAACGACCTTGCCAATTGCCATAAGTACCAAGCCGAGCATGATCATCTGTCGACGGCCAAGATAGTCACCAAGGAAGACAGCGATGATGGCACTTGCAAAGCACTAGTGTCTGATCAGTATACATGAATCAAGTAGGGAGGTGTGGTAATTCGTACCCCAATGTTCCAGGTCGCGTTCGTCACTCCTTGAATAACGGCGACATGATTGCTGGTGGGTCTACCAGAAGTGTCAATCTCTGGAAACCGCTCTCTGAAGCTCGAAACTGTGAGAAGGCCTCCAAAATCACTCTGACCATATCCGAAGGCAACAAAGCAGAGTCCGGCTGCCAAAGCAATTGCTGTTCGTAGACGCGATCCTCTCAAGCCCAGGTATGAAGCCATGATTGATGTCGGATGGGTTCGAGATAGATGATCAAAACTTCACCAACCTCTTCCAACAAAAGCAAGAGCGACGGGCGGGAGAAATACATCAGGTCGGCCCCCAACCCCGGCAAGCCTTCACGTCATGAACTGCTCAAGGCATCGGTTCACACACAGTTTAAAATGGTTCACAGAAATTGTAACAGGGGTGTTCGGGTGATGATGAATCGTGCAACAATTTGATCTCATCGGTGACCAGCGTGTGGCTGTCGATCAAAGTGGAGCCAACCAGATCTGAACTTTGTATCGGGCACGTTGCCGCCGGCACATGTCAACTCCAACGAACGCTCCTGGCTCTTGAGGCTTAAAATTGTTATCAAGCTGTCAGCAGTACTGTACCTTCTCGAGTCGGTCTCTTTGTCTTCAGGATTCTCTTGATGTCTGTTGCTCGATTGCCAAAATCCGATCCCTTGCGTTTACTTTCTCCGGACTTGCTTGCACTAACAGATGGCTCATGCACAATGACGATCGCGCTTGCCCTTTCCTTTGACCCTAGCTAGGCGCATGCCGAGAACGCATGCTGCGTGCTGATAACCAGCCCACTCCAGCATCTTTCAAATCATCAACACGCAACCAAAAGGTATCACAACTTTGTACCTCGTATATCTCTCACATTGCAACATCCCACGCCTGCTGCATTCCCCTCGCCATGATTCCGCTCTGCAAGGGCGAGCTGTCGGCACGTCAACAAAGGCAGCATGGCTTCCTTCGGTCTCCGCCGAGCGCTTACTCTCACACATTCCACGTGAATCTGTGTGTAGGGCAGGTTGTCTACACCCAGAACGTCCATCACAGTATGGTCGGGCCGTCTGGGCCGCACTTCGAACACCAGCCATGTGTTACACAAGATCCTTCGGGGTCGAGGACTTTCTAGCTTCCTTGTTAAACATGAGAGAAGCCACGTGCCAATGCCTCGAGCACTCCAGTAATCTCTCCACACACACTTACAGTACAGTTGTTTTCCTGCAGCCGCATTCTCCCATCCGGGTTCTTTCATTGTCTTACATTCTTGATCAAATCATCTCGACTCGGAGTAAAAACTCAAACTGCACCTACCCGGCGAATGGTAGTTGATGCTGCTCGCACTTCCAGTATCAATGTCAATGCGATTCCAAGTCTGGATCAGCTCAGTACCATCCCTTGCTTCGGTCAGTGGTAAATTGTGTGAAGATAGCTCATGCAGGCTCCAACGCACGAGGACTGTTTCAGCACACATCATCTCACGCAGGATTCAATCAACGCTGCGTGGGGTCTTGCATTTTTGTATGTGTGGCCTTGTAGGGTCAAGGCCGTTATGGTCATGCATTTCCCCAAGGGAGAGTCCTATAACCGGTGGGGTAGTCCTCAAGGGATAATGACCTGTCACATTTTTTCCAAAATGCTCTGTGGGAATTTTCATCTTTCTAGGGTGCAATGAGTTCGTCCTTTGTGGACCCTACTACGGTGCGATCCAATCTCTGTTGTCGGTCTTTGTCTGCAACCAATCAACAGACATCATTTGCCGACGATTCTCTGTGCTGTGGAAATCATGAAGCTCGCCATCAACAACCCCTCCAACAAGTCTCTCAGCCAATGCTGGCTAATGTACATGGCCGATATTGGCCCGTCCATGACACTCAACCCAAACGTCAGCTGGCTCCCTTCCAAGAGGCTCCAGAGAGCATGTGTACTAACGAGGCATCAGCGTGGATGTCATGGTCAAACAATACCTGGTACTCTCAAGCATCTCCCGGTGCCCACGGAGACGAGCACTCCATCTCGACCTGGGGCAACGCCGTACCCCAAGCATATATGAGTCCTCCTTTAAGCGACGGCGAATACATACAAGGCAATCAGCCACTTATCGACAACTGGCTTTTGCAGCGCTCTTATCACGGAGCACAAGATACGACCGGTCATCATATTCCATGGGATTATCAACCAGTTCAACCTCACTACAACCACCTCCACCAACCAGAATATGACTCGCATTCTCAGAGCAGGCCTTCATACGACAGCTGCGTAGACGTCAAATACCCTGATACTAGTGACGGCCGATCTGAGAATATGTCGGCTAGCACTGGACACTACGCTTTCCCTTCCCCTAACGAATCTCACATACACGAAACCTATTATACAGAGAGGCAGGACGCTGGTGTGTGGGGCTGGCCACAATCGATGCCTGATAATGTCCACACTCCGTTGCACTCGAATCTGGCCATTCAAGACCTTGGTAACACACCCGAGCATGGCAGGGTTTCCTTCTTCTCCGAGCCAAGCCCGTCGATGGCCAAACCTGGTGCTCAGACATCTCCAAGCGCATTCTCCGATGATACGACGCCGACAGACCTTATCCCCAACCCTCCGACTGAATTGATAGATCCACCATCGGAGGACATGACCCCCAGCGACAAGACCATGATCCCACAAAGACGTAACCTCAAGGACCCGAATCACCTATACATGCCACGTTGGATCAGAGGAGATGGCAAACAACGTGAAGGCTGGTGCGGAGCATGCCGTCCTGGAAAATGGTTGAGCCTAAAGCGCAGTACCTACTGGTGTATGAAAATATCTCCTTGATCTGGTGATAGACAGCTGACAAAACCACCAGATCATAAGAACTTCTGCCACGGTATTACAGTCATGGGCACTCCATTTCCGCGGCCAACTCGAACCCGCGCACTAGCCGATGACAAGGGATACGAAGGGTTTTGCGGAACGTGCAACAAGTGGATTGTCCTGAATGGAGGAAAGAAGAGCCATACTTCTTGGTTCAGACACGCTTACAAGGTATGTCTGCAGCCATGTCCTCGGATGGCTTCGATCTGATATAGGAACAGTGTGACCCATCTGCAGTCGCCAGAGTATCTCCATCCAGGAGTTTTGCATAGGCATCAGTACAACATGCACGTCATCCGCACTCCGACTCAATCTGACTCCTCGCGGCATCTACTTGCCATCTCATCATTCACGACATCACACTCCCAAGACCTCCAGGTGGCTCTTTGTAATTTTTTCGAGCTGTTTGATTTTCCATTGTTTTTACATCATGTCTTCGATTCTCATGTCACTTTGATAGGTCTGTTTTTGTTTCTTCTTGTTTCCGGCCATCTCTCACGACCTGATGGAAAGAGCATTCTTGAAGGCGTTCTTGTCTCTTCGGTTTGTTTTTTATAGCGTCACGATGCGAGCATGCATTTTGCCTTAACCATCTCTTCATTCTGATTCTATCTCGGCCTTTCCATCAAATGGTACACCTTCCTAACACAAACGCATTCATTCCGCACTTTAGTCATCGTGACAGACCACTATCACCATTGCTCTAATCCGGCATTCTTTCGCTAGATACTACAGTACCATCATATTCAAAGAATGGTCACAGGCATGTATGGTGTCCATCGGCCGATATATCGCCACCTTGTGTGCCTCACCGCTCAAAAGACCAAGCCCTTTGACAGTACATCAGTAGAAGCGGTGAAGTCGCGAGGCTGAGTACACACATCACAGACACACACAACACCCTTCCTTCTTCAAAAACACGATCTGGCCGCTGTCTAGAAGGAATTGCAATCCAGGCATGTCTCAACTTTTTAGGCTTTTATTCAAGAATGGTGATTAGAGTTTTACAAGTCCCGGTAGCTGCATGTGCATAATGTACTGCCGGCTTTCCCAAATAAGGCGTGGGGGGAAAGCGAAATAGGTCATATGTTTTTCAAGAGCAGAGTATACAGTTCAGGTCAAGAAGAATCAAGCCTCTAGACTCTCTGCTCTCATCGGCGATCCTCAGCAGCGCTCCTGTCAACAGGAGTGGCACCCAACATCCATCCGATACCAGATGCCAAACCGCCGGTCACGGTACTTGCAATCATGTCTCGCCTGCGCACTCTACCACTCTCATCCATACCTTCATGCAAACCCTCACCGGTTGCCATCCTGTCGACCTGCGCCTGTGATGGCTGCTGATGCTGCTGTTGTTGCGATGCAGCCCCAGCGGCACCACGCAAGGGGAATGCATTCCTGCTAAAAGCCTTTGCCGCTCCACGGGCGACATCGAACAATCCCATCGGCGCCTCTTCATCAGCACCCCGTCTAGCTTCCGCATTCGACCTTCCAACCTCTCGCCTAGGCTGTCCGAATACCATGCCTTCGGTCGAAACGTCCGAAAAGCCTCCAGGGACGGAGATGCGTTTGTCAGCACGATCGTCAAAGTCTTCTTCCGCTTCCGTCTCTGCAGCGAGGAGGGCGTTTGTTTCTTCCTCGCAGCGACGCCATATATTCAGGACTTCGGAGAGAGAGGAGGGCGGCGCGAGCAGGAGGGCTAGACTTAGCAATTCGGTGCGTTGATCTAGGCGGCGGAGGGTGGGTTGGGCGTTCGATTGTGGTCTGTAGCGGCCGGCGAGGAAAGCGGCGCGCCAAGATATGTCGTCTTCTTGCATCTCTGGGTGTTCGTCTGCTCCGGACACGGATGACGGAATCGTGTCTTGAGGTGCTAGCCTGTTGACTACGTACGAGTAGGCTGTCTCGAAATCACCGACTGTGAGTGCAGACTCGACACACATGTAAATGACTCTCTTCTCGGCAACTGAGAGCTTGGTCTTTCTGTCAATGTCTGTCTCCAGACTGCGGTCGATGAGATCGCCGTCGGCATTGCGAAGTGGTAGACCGGCAGCAATCAGATTGCGACCGATTCCTATGAGGTCATCAAGTTTTGTGTAGCTGTTTGCGTTTTGCTCGAGCAGTTTTGGAAGGAGCGATAGAGGATCCAAGCTAGCGCGGATGTTTACGGGCTGGAACGGAACACCGTGTTGCAGGGTCAGTGAGTAGAAGGACATCGAGTGCGTTGCTGCAATCAATGCCAGCGCCTTCTTGAACTCGGCGCTCTCGAGATAGTGACGTTGACAATGTATGATCCTGATCACGATTAGTTATTGTGTTGGTGGACCAACATTGCGAATAAACATACAAATCTTGAGCCTTCTTCATGTTGCCCCTTGTCTTGTTGCCATTGCTGGCATTGTCGTAGAGTTGCATTGCCTGGTCAAGGACGACCTTCTCGATTTGATCCGCATTGATTTTGCGAGAGTCTGACGTTGCAAAGTAAAGACGATCGACCAGCGAGTAACCTAGATCACGAAGACGTCAGTCCAGCTTCTCTTGCATTCGGTTGAGGCAGAGGTCGAAGAAGGAAAAAGGTAAAATTGGAATCTAGTCGTCAAAAATGTGCAGCATCCTCTCAACGTCCGAAGCGAGATCATCGTCCGACTCACATCCATTTGAGACCAGAACCTTGAGGAACTCGCGTTCGATGGTCGTCTTCTCGATATGACCAAAGATGCCAGCACCCTTAAGGCCTTCGTCTTCAAGCTCAATGTTCCAATTCCACAGCCAGATCAACTTGTCATAATCATGTTGCCATTGATGATCGTCACGTTTTCCTTTGGCAGCCAAGCCATGCACAATCTTGAGCAGAAGAGCAAGCTGTTCATCCTGGGTCGCAAAGAAACGCAACTTGGCAACGTTCAGGATTGAGATACTGTGACCTAGTCCGGCCAATTGGTATGCTGAGTAAACCATCATTTGTAAGAGCATGTATGTTTCGAGCTTGGGAGTTGCCAGAGGATGTTCGGGACGGAGGAGAACGTCAGGCTCTAGGTATATAGTGGAGTCGGTAGAGTGCAACAACTCAGCATGCTTGTCAACTTTGGGTAGCTGTTTGACACTGGTTGCAAGTTCGGGAGGAGGCTCAAAGTCGAGCAGCTGGGCCAGACGGACAAGAATTCCATGAGCGCCATCGATTGTCTCCGGAGTGTCGGCTTGAGCAGCATAGCACGAGGCAAAGGTAGCTTGTGCATACTGTCGCTCGAGCTTGGCCTGCGTGTCATCGTCAAGATAGGTCTGTGGATTGTGGAAGCCGCCGAGATCAACATCTCCAGGACCATCCCACTCCTCGATGAGGTTGGTGACTACGGCAAAGTCATCGACAGCATTGTGTACCATCCACTCAAAGACATACTCCCAATCATGGCCCGTCTTGTCTTCTTTTGATACGCCATCGAGTTTAATGAAGGCGGTACGTGGAGGCGATCGGACAGTGTCTTGGTCATGATGCTTGACATCGGGTTTGTCATCTTTCTTGTTGTATAGCCGGCGTCTCTTTCGCTCTGTATGACCATACATCCATGGGCCAACCATGGCTCTTGTGTCCCTGGCAGCTATGCCTTCGGATTCTGTCGACGAAGTGATTTCATGATCGACGTGGGTCACATTTGATAGCAGCAGGTCGATGCCGTGCTGGCCGTCAAGCTTCTCGAAGCTAGGGAGAGTCGGCGGGTCTTTGGTGTCGGGGTAGTATTCGTAGCGGAAGCGGAGCAGAGGCAGCACGACTGCAACGTACCAGGTGCGTATGTACTCGTTGGTGTCAAGGAAGGGCTCGGCCAAGCGTGGGACCAGCGTCAAGAGACCGGTCTCACTGTCGATGCGGTTTGCTCGGTGGATGACGAAGCGGGTCAACAGGTCGTTGGGAGCATGAGGAGGGAATGCCGGCGGACTGAGATCGGAGATGTTCAGCTTGTTGACGCGCCTTTGCGCCTGCTCGGGCGACAGAGAGGTTACGGGAGATGGGTCGACTTTGAGGGGCTCCTGTTGCTCCAGGTAGATGCGAGTGGCCACTTCGCGCACATAAGTCGTGTACAGAGACGGGTCGACCGTCTCGGGCAGGTAGCTTAACACGATGCGCAATACCAGCTCGGGCGACAGCACATCCAGTCGCAAAGGCGTAAATGCATACAGTGCCCGGATGTTGGCCTCGCTGGCATAGTGCACCGTCAGCAGTATACACTGCGCCGACGATAGTTGATTCACTTCTGGACCCGCCATGTTCAATGATTTATTATGAAGCATTCCATTCAAGCATTAAGTCACGATGCGGACAACTTGTCCGCTGAACGCACGCTGCGTCATTTCTGCCAACATGACTCGCGCTGATTTTCATGATACCAATCATCCCAATTTCATGTCATCTCGTCTCGACTACTTTTCTACATAGGCTAGCGATTTCTGTTTCTGCTTCCACATTTCACCTTTTAGTTGCCTGGAGGAGGAGGGGGAGGGGGGTTCTCCGAAGGCGGAGGTGGAGGAGGAGGTGCATCACCAGCAGGAGGAGGAGGCGGGCTGCCTGCTGCGCCATAAGCCTGTTGCTGCCATGGTGCCATGCCCGGTGCAGCTGCCTGTCCGTAGCCCTGCTCGTAGCCTGGCGCTCCGCTGTAACCATACCCGCCGTAGCCTCCATACCCGCCTCCATATCCAGCCTGGGGTGCTGCTGCGGGCTGCTGCTGTTGCTGCCATGGAGCTGCGCCTGAAGCCTGACCACCACTGTAGCCACCTCCGTAGCTGTCAGTTGCGCGACCTCCTCCAGAACCACCTGCCGCCCATGGTGCAGGTCCGCCCGAGGGGGGAGCATCGCGTTCGCGACCACCGCCACCGCCGCCACCACCCCCTTGCTGCCAGGGAGCGGGTCCTCCTGTAGGTCCACGCTGCCAGGGCTTGGCTGCTCCACGGTCGTCACCGTAACCGCCGGCTTCGATGCGAGCAGGTGCGGCATTTCCAGTAATGGCGCCGCCAGCACCCAGCTCTTGCATAAGGTTGTTGAATTCGGTGTCTGCGGGTTCGAGTGCTCCAGCGGGACGAGGGGCTCCAGGAGCTCCGCGCTCGCTGTTGCGCCAATCCTGTCCACGCTGTCTGTCGGGACAATCTCTTGCCATGTGGCCGGCGTTGCCACAAACACGACAAATGATGTTGGCGGTGAAGTTGCGCTGTTCGGGGCAGTCGTATTTGCGGTGTCCTATCTGGCCGCAGTTCTGACAAGCCTGGTTCTCGTCGTCGCGCAAAGTACCGTTGAGGGCTGCAAGTTCGCGCAATTGGTTGCGCTTGAGCTCGTTCTGACCTTCGGGGATGGAAGCGGCCTGCAAGAAATATGTTAGTCGGTCTTTTGCAACGCAACGTCGCCAATTTAGGTGGTGAAGAATTACCGTCTCAATGACATTGTGGATCAACTGCTTGGCCTTGTTGACCTTGTCTTCGGTGTCGGCCATGATCAGACAGTGCAGGTCTTCTTCCTGGTTGCTGGTGTGGGCGGCGTCGGATCGGCCCTTTCCTTCCTTGACGGAACCCTTTCCTCTGATGGCAATTTTTGCGCCAGACTCTGTTTCCATCTTTTTCAGGGTGTTGCCACGAGGACCAATAAGTAGACCAACTGTTAGTAGGAAAAAACCCTAAATGTTAGTATCTGTTAAGGACATGAGAGCAGTGAGTGGTTAGGGGCAGAAGAGCAGTCAACTGTAGCCTGCATAATCATGGGGAGCAAGAGGGGGAAGAGGTTAGCAATCATACTGAAGTTAATTTCTGGGTAGTCGTTGACAGGCACGTAGACCTTCTCCTGCGTCTTCGTAGGACGTCTGTAGTCAGAAGGAGGGTGGTAGCCTGGGATGGTCTTCATGGCCTTTTCGACCAGCTTATGACGCTCTTCTTCGAGACGCTTCTTGTAGCGGTACTCGCGAGTGTTGACACGACGACCGAAGTTGTCATACTGCGGAGGCGGAGAGGGCGATCTGTATGTGTTAGATGGTTGCCGATCTGAGCAAAAGGAGAAGGACAAGCTCACCTGTCGCCGTCGGCTGGGACGACATCGTTGATCCTCAGCTTCTGGCTGATCTCCTCAATGCGCAAGTGCAGTGTGTAAGCATCAAGCTGTTCACTGGTCATGTTGCCGAGGACGGCGGTAGGCAGGTTCATCAGACCGGCGGCCTTGTTGTCGGTCGCGTCACCCCATCGGTTGCGCTTCTTTCTCTTCTTGGTGCCATCGGGATTCAACTCTGTAGAAGAAGGTGAGCGAATGGCAGCAATTGGACGAGCGACAAACGTACCTCTAACGGGGCTGCGACCGCGCTTCAGACTGTCGCCTTCGACGGGGCCGCTGCTGTAGCTCTCTTCAACAGGAGGAGAACCATCTTCGGCTCCGAACCTGCGACGGTTACCGAGAGGGATGTTGTTGCTACCCGTAATGCCTTGACCGCGCCACGACATGATGGATATTTGCGATTTCGAAAATGTGGTTGTCGAAACGTAGAAGTCGCTGTGAGCGAGCGTCTTGGTCTGGAGAAGAGCAAGCGACGCTGATCAGGCGCGTGCACAGGCCACTCCGGCGGTCTTCCTCGACCATCACCGCTTTCACTGAGAATGACTGTTGCCAACTCGATTTCATTGCCGGTGGTTATCCTTCTTGTACACAGATGCTGTACACGGCAGGCAACTGCACTCGGCATGTGAAGTTCTAGTGGGTATATGCCGCCCGTCTAAACTTCTGCCCGTTCTGTGCATCCATCCCCCATGTGCTCAAATCTGGTCACACTTGTAGCCATAGAAAGGCACAAAGTCATGTAAGATTGCTTCAGTCGTCCGCAAAGAAGCGTTGAATGCCACACTCCCAGTGGATAATACCGTTAACAGGGTAAGAATCGAATACTTCTACAGCTACACGCGTGACAGAGTTTCGCGCACAGGGAGGCGTGGTTCGGCGACAGGCAGCGACAATCCTACCCTTCATCCTTATCGAACCCCCTGCAACATCGATGTGGTTGCACCTAGATCAGAGGTTGGTTTTGGTAGACTGGACTTTCTCCTATTCTTTTTTCTTTCTAGTTCCTCTCTCTGCCTCTTCTCCTGAGCCTACTCAAATGACCCATTTTCTGACACACATTGTTCCTTTCGGTCATATTATACAACTCCATTGGAAGCCTGAACTTGTCCCCTCGTTCCATCACAGCCAACGAGACTGATGTCAAGCTGCACATAGATGACCGAGCTAGTACCTAAGCGTAAAAAGACTCTTGTCGTCTCAGGCCATTATCGTGCATTGCGATGACTCTTCCCAGTCGCAATGACTTCTGTGAGGGCTGAGCGAGATGCATCCCAGTCTTGGCTGATATACAGAAGATCCGTATATTCGGCAGTGATTCAGCAGGACATTCCGGAGTAAACTCCCGACTCGAGATTCCGAGTTCGTCTTTAGTATCACTGCTCCATAGTTTCCGAGGGGCGTCGCGGCAGCCATAAAGACGACTGGCAAATCTTCCTCTATAATGAGGGATTCGTTCCGACGCAAGGTGTGACACAACACAAAGCTTCCGAAGCTTACGCGCCAGGTTTTCCTGTCTTCGAGGATGGCAGCCTTTGCTCCAACGATATCAATACCCAACATGTCAACAAGACGGACGCGTGTTCGGATCTTGAGCATCTGCAACGATTCTCAATCAGGCGACTACACAAGCTCCGTAGCGGCTCTTCAAATCTACCGCTGATACACAACTCAGCGCTAAATGTCACTCCCTTGACAGACTTCTCGATTGATTCATCGGCGAACGACTGAAACCCCTCGCTAGCCACCGATAAAAGACATGCTTCGCTAATGTCGGATGATTTGAGCCCGAGGCAGGCATCTTGCGCTCTGAGTGTCAGAATGGATGAACTTGCCTGCCTTCCAAGAAGACTCAGACGCCATAGCCGATGAGACAGTCAAACACAGACACGACCGCAGCAGGCACACTCTTGAGAGCGTGAAGAATGCTAAGAGGTACAACACTTCCTCGTGTGAGACATGAAGATGTGTAATTTGCGCAAGACCCTAAAGTGTCTTCGAATCGGATCCCGCAGCACAGGCGATCTCATCATCCAGCCAACACTTTTCCGAGAGAACAAAGAAATATATGTTAACTATTAGCCATGGGCTGTGGGGTACCCTGTACTTCATGGAGGCTGTAACACTGTGGCGTCGATGAATGCTCTCCCCGCCGGTTATACTGCTTTGTCTAGATGCCAGAGGGGACGAGTGTCTTGTAATGTTGTGCTGCAGAGCATACAGTATGCCCTGACCACGGTTCGGGGCTGTGACGAAGAGATCGATTAAGAGTGACGAATCAAGGAGAAGTGTGCCTGGCAGGGGTATGAAGCAAGATCGACGAAGCGCCAGCATGTCTAAAAAGCAGAGTTTTGAACCGCTTGAGATCCGATTCAACCGGGCTAATTATGCGTTTTGGGGCAAAGCGCACACAAGCCACCCCGTTCTGGGCACGCGCTTCAATGGACACCCATTCAAGCCCTGCTCCTTAGATTCAACGACCCACCACTCGTGTTTCACATCTCGGCCCCAGTGCAGCAGGAAACGTGCAGCAGTTACCACCGAGACGATGCGAAAACGCACTGGGGGACACAGCTGACAAGGGAGACGTGCATAGACGAGGACCAGGTGTTTGAAGGACGATAAATCTCTGACAGCCTTTCCTGAATCAACAAGCCCCTTCCTTTGCGCCCGCGAATTCCATGATTTCTATTTACGACCAGTGATTGACTCTTTACCTTGCGTGCCACCACGCCCATTCTTTTCCGAACTTTGCAAACTCCAAGACAGCTGTGCTCGTCGTCCATTCGCTATCTCACACTTCTCGGTAACCTCGAGGTCTAGCCTTCCAGCTTCAACCTCGATATCGAAGTTACGGTGCCGGCCACCTATTCCATTCTTCACGCAGCAACAAATCTCACTCGACATCTACCCCGTGGTCCGGATCTCTGCAATTTTCCGAACATTCTTTACTCCATCTCCTGTTGATCAGTGAGCCTTCACACGAAATCGTCAACATGTCATCGATCAACACTCCATTACTCTTCGCCGTGCTGGCAACTGCGGTGTCGGCCTACTCTCCCAGCATGACACCCGAGCAAAAGGCCCTACTCTACGACTCCTACTACCAAAACCACCGCATTCAATGGTATCTTGGTTATGTCTGGGCGGCAACCGTCGCTGCTATTTTCACCTACCGTATCACAGTCACCGGGTTGCGCTACGTCCGGACGCTTGCATGCCTCGAAAACGAAAAGCAGCACTACTTCGTCAACCCTCATCCCGGATGGGCTGCTTTGAGACGCAACATCATCGATGCGCCTCTCTTCCGTAGAAGACACAACCGGGAGTTCAAGCTGTCTGCTGCGGCCAGCATGGGCACGCTGCCAGGCAGGCTGCAGACTATGTATCTCATTGGTCCGTCATTAATCTGCATGTGCCGCTTGAATGATCGTTTTACTAATTCTCGCTCCAGGCTACCTTGCAATGAACATTGCCTTCTGCGTTGTCAGTATCCATTGGGGCGGAGGCAACGTTGCCACTGAGATCAGAAACCGCACGGGCGTGTTGTCTGTGATGAACATGCTTCCTCTGTTCTTGCTCGCTGGCCGTAACAACCCATTGATCAAGTTGCTCGACATCTCTTTCGACACTTACAACCTCATGCACCGCTGGATTGGTCGTATTGTGGTCCTTGAAGCCGTCGCTCATACTGCCGCATGGATGGCAAGCAAGATCATGGCTGGTACGTGGAATTATTGGCTGTGATTGTGCTCATTCACTGACATTTGTGCAAAGCTCCTTCTTCTTCAGTCGGCTGGAACATCATTGGAAAAGCAATGGCCAGCAGTCAGCTCATCCTAACTGGCACCATCGTAAGTCTCGTCCACTCTTAATGTCAGTCTGATTACTCATCAAGCCACAGGCTACCTCTGCTTTTATCATGCTGTTACTGCACTCTCCATCTGTTGTTCGTCATGCGTTCTATGAGACTTTCCTCCACGTTCACATTGTGCTGGCCATTATCGCCATTGTCACAGTGTGGATCCATCTCAAGACTCTTCCACAACAGGTCCTGATCCTTGGTGTAATCGTTATCTGGGTCTTTGAGCGTACTGCTCGTGTTGCCATTTTGATTCGTCACAATGTCGGACGTGGTGGCACCAAGGCTGAAGTCGAGGCTCTCGCCGGAGAGGCCATTAGAGTCACTCTTCGCATGGCACGTCCCTGGAAGTTCCGTGCTGGCCAGCACCTCTACCTTTACCTGCCTTCAGTTGGCATGTGGACCAGTCATCCATTCACCATCGCCTGGAGCCAGGAAGAACAGGATCTCACTTCGGAGAAGTTGCCAACTGACACTCTCGACGTACTCGCTAGACGCAAGACAACCATGTCTCTAATCATTCGCCGTCGCACTGGTTTCACTGACTCCCTTTGGAAGAAGGCGGAAAATGCTCCCGATGGCAGATTCTTCACCAACGCCCTTGTTGAGGGTCCCTACGGAGCTGCTGACTCTTACGAGTCTTATGGCCACGTTATGTTGTTCGCCGCTGGTGTTGGCATCACTCATGCAGTACCTCATGCTCGTCAGCTCGTAGGTGGCTATGCCAACAACACCTGTGCTACTCGCAAGGTCGTTCTGGTATGGATTCTCCAAAGTCCGGAGCATTTAGAATGGATCCGTCCTTGGATGACTGAGATCTTGGCTATGGAGAAGAGACGCGACTGTCTTCGCATTCTCCTCTTCGTCACCCGTCCCAAGAGCACAAAGGAGATCCACTCCCCAAGTGCTTCTGTCCAGATGTTCCCTGGCAAGCCCGACGTGGGTGCTCTTATCTCTGCAGAACAAGCCAAGCAGGTTGGTGCCATGGCCGTCAGTGTATGTGGCACTGGAGGTCTTGGTGACGATGTCAGACGTGCCGTCCGAGAACGCTGTGAGAAGACCACGATCGATTTCTACGAGGAGAGTTTCACCTGGTAGATTAGTGTGTTTCCGATTTCGAATTACGCGCTGGAGTTGAATGCGAATGTGATGATGGAATGAATGCTAGACATTTGATGGGCGATCAGGAATCGTTCTGGAATTTTGTTTCTTTTTCTTCGTAACCTCATGGGTCCTTCTTTTCTTGTTCTTCTTACACTCCTTAGGATGCGCATGATGAAGCGTCCATTTTCGTACTTCTTTACGCTAGTCGATTGAATGTCAGATCAATTTTGCTTTAACCCATGGGTTCGTAATGTTGAACTGGATTCATAAAATCCGAGTCTTGCACCATACGGCGATCAAAGGAGAAAAGAAGAAGATTATTTCCTGCCCTCAACCATAATTATATGATATCCTTCAGAGGTCTTAGCCTCGCCCCATTTTGGGCTGTTGGTGGTACTGGCAGCCAGTTCGAAGGCTACATTCTCGAACTCTGGCATCAGAGCTCCTCTGGTTTTCCAGCCTAGCGAGCCACCTGTGACAAATCTGTTTAGCATTTTTGGCCTGTCTGGCATGTGAGAAAACGACCGACCTTGGCGAGCCTTGTCTTCTGAGAACTCTCTAGCGACTTCATCAAACTTGACGCCAGCATTCAACTTGGCGAGTGCCTCTTCCTTCTTTGCGTGCTTTTCACAAAGAATGTGACGTACGTTGATGCTCTGGGCTGTCGTGGTGAAGGAAAATTAATACTCGGGCTTGAAGGAGCAGCGGTCGCTTGCAACACTTACCACCCTTCACTTTAGCTGCACCTGCCTTCTCCGGCTCCTTGGTTTGCTTGCCCTTGTTGTTCTTTGGGGCCATCTTGATATCGGTTAGGCAGGTGGGTTGTTGATGCAAGAGAACGCTGTTGCCGGCGTTGTGGTTGTTGACCGTGACCGCCATCGACTGAGACTGTTCACAACGGCATCCGCTGTTGACATCATGTCCCCTTCACTCGACCGCCACGATCGTGTCCATCGTGTTGCCTTCCCTGCACGGACATTCATCGGACTTAAGTCTTTCTTGTCTTTCGCGAGCATGCAACTGTTCATTACGCGTCTCGAAGGATTTCACGCGACACCAGCCAAAACCATGGCAGCCAGAAGCACTACAGAGAATCACAGAATCCCGAACATCCCAGAAAGTATGTTCTACATCCCGGACTTCATCAGCCACGAAGAAGAAGCAACTTTGTTGAGCGCATTGCCATCGAATCGCTGGATCCAATTGCAACATCGTCGCCTACAAACTCACCCATCACCTCTTTCGAAGACGAATACACTACTGGAGGCTCCCCTGCCACGCTGGCTCGTTGAGCCAATCATCTCAAAGTTCAAGTCACTCGGTCTATTCAGTGACAGCCCACATCAAGCACCAAACCACGTCTTAATCAACGAGTACAAGCCACTCGAAGGAATAATGCCACACGAGGATGGTGCGGCATACTATCCAATCGTAGCTACAGTAAGCTTGTCGAGCACTCTGTGTCTGGATATATACGAAAAGGCCCAAGGCGAAGATATGGCCCAAGCGAGCATTGGCTCGAGCCCCAAGTGGCGAGTTCTGCAAGAACCGCGCTCTCTTCTAGTCACTACTGGTGCGGCATATACTAATACCTTACACGGCATCTCCGAGATTGAGACTGATGAGAACCTCGGACCTGACACCGTGGCAAATTGGACTTTGCTGGGCGACAGTAAGGCCTTTGCTGACAATGGTGGAAAGAACACGCGCTCGACTCGAGTCAGTCTTACTTACAGGAATGTTCTGAAGGTCTCAAAGGCCGGGGCGAGGATTCTAGGTAGACCAAGAGGCTGAATTGGTACAAGCAACGCGCAAAAACAAGAATCTCAGTCGGCCTGGAACTTTCTCATGAAGCTTCTGCAAGAAGTCGAGAAGTAATCTATCAAACAGGTCTCAAAAACAATTGGCGACTCAGAGGATCATACTGTTCTCGCAAAGACTCCTCCACCATGAACAACAAATGTGACGTTCTCACAACCACCTCTTCCAGATCAACAGTATACGAGACCGCAACTTCCTCTTCAGAGTAGAACAGTACAGGATTATCCCTTTTCCACTTTCTTTCCTTGACTCTAAACTTGACGCCCACGGCGTGGTCTGCTGTGTTGACCCAAAGAACAGTTGAATCGTCTGCTTGAGCACCAAAAGAAGCAGTGGTTTCGGTTTTTGCTTGCTTTGCTAGCCAATCTCTCCAGACTCTGATGGTACCTTCGCAGACCTCTACGGCTGTAAGGATCGTGTCTGGGCGTGGACCAGGTTTCACTAGCATGAGTGTCGCTATCAGTTGAGTAAACAGCTCGCCGGCATCCAAGGACACTTCCTGAGATACCAAGTTGCTCTCTGCGTTGTACTTGTGAATCATTGGATCCGCAGAGCTCGGGTGCGTCCTCGAGCCGGGAACATCTCCACAAGGGTGTTTCAAAGATGGTCTCCGCAATATCTCTTGATGTTGGGGTCTAAATCTGGAATATACAGCCTTTACAAGATGACCAATCTTCTCAGAGTCGGAAAGTCTTTCGATAGACTTGTCATCTAATCCCGAAGTACCCAGTGATGTGCAGAATAACTTGCCGGCCGTCAGTCTGGCGCTCGGTGGATACAGTTCGAGCATGAGGACGTGATCGAGTAAGGTCGCAGCAGCAGTCAAACGGTTTTGCAAGATTCTGACAGATATTGCGTGGAACCTGCGCGATACTGGAGCGAAGGTCAAGACATGTTTCGTAGTGAAAGATTGCAGAATATCGTAGAGAAGCTGGTCTGATATTAGTCGTGCACCAAATAGGAAGGCAACACAATGTTTGCGATACCTCATTTGGCAAGGCCTCAATGCCTGACTTTCTGGTTGATTCCATGTTGTCTTTTGCTGGTGATCTGATGAAGAACGATTCTGCGTCTCGTCAGGCAGGTGCCACTCGAGATACCTTAGAAGGTTTAGGTCAGGGTGATGACGTGACCCCCACCGGGGAAAGGCGCGGGGCTAACGATAAGCTTCTTATCGCATTGTTTATCCCATTCGAGCGTGATCGAATTTCTACCTCGTCGTCGGCTCCTCTCAGCTTGCATCTACAACATCGAAGCGCCTATCATGGCAAATGGCATGGAGGGATTCGTCAAAAGCCGCGATCCAGGAGGCGCCGCTGAGCAATTTGCCGCACCTCATGCCAGCCGCCCACCAACTGTTCAAAAGATACGCGACACACAGGAGCACGACGTTCAACACAATGTGTACGGGACTGACACGGAAGGTTTCGATGACACTCGCTCTTCTCTCAGTGAACAAGTCGATTCAGATGGCGATCACGACGAAGGAGAGTATGACCAGGAAGAACAGCACAGTTTAGATCACATCCTTGAGCTAGACGCATCACAACTTGATCATGCCATGTGGCAGATGAGAAACGGTCAATTGAGGGGCCATCAGATCAATTCAGATCCAGAGTCATACCCTCCCACGACTTCTGGCGAGCCGGAACCTATGGAAGAGTACGAGACCCAGGATGAAGGCGCCTTCGTGCCTCAACCAGCCCAAGCATATGCTGAGCCCGCTCGTGATGCTTACACGACTAACGTTCCAACTGAGCACCATCCTCCTGTGGTGGCCATGCCCATACAACCACGTCATGTGATACCCTCCAAAGAGGAATTCAAGACTCAGGCCAAGCTCACTCTCACCCAGAAAGACATATTGCGTCAAAAGAAGTCGCAAAGCAAAGCACAAGTCACTTCTAATAATCAAGCCGCGCCTGCCCAAGAGCAACTTCGGGGTCATGGTCAGCACTATACAAGCCACAAGCATCCTTCCAAGTCGCCAGACCATGCCTCGCCATCTCTGAATGACCAATCTGAGCATCCACACCGCCAAGCCCCTCAGATCAAGCCCGAAGAAGGCAATCGTCGCCACCAGCGTTCGAACGGAGCTACTCATCCTCAGCAAAGAGCTAAGAATGCCGAGCCTTATAACCAGGGTGTCAAGAGAGACGATTATCCTCAACAAGGATTCGACAGAACCGATCGTCATGAGCAACGCTTTAACAGAGCAGACCAACGTGTGCAATATACCGACAGGGATGATCACCATGAGCAGCAAGAGCTCGACCACGCTCCTGAAGAAAGCCACGAACAGGACCCAGAGCCAGAAGAGCTTGACTACGATCCAGAAGAGTTGTTCATCAAAAGCCTCGACGAGCTGCAGAGAGATCCTTTCGAGGGACCACCGCGCGAAGAGCCCGAAGTCCCTCCTACAGACTTCTCTTCAAAGTCGCTAGAAGAAAAGCTTAAGCTTGCCGCCGGCTTCGAGCCAGAAAAGCAAAGGAAGTTCCTCGCCTCGCTGACTATTGACGAGTGGGAGACCGCCGGGGATTGGTTTCAAGATCGTTTCTCCGAAGTCTTCGAGAAGCTCAAGGAGGCACGTCGAGCCAGACGCACACTTGCGATGAAGTATGAACAAGAGATTGCCAAAAGACAACAGGAAGTGTCAAAGAAGAGAAAGATTACCGAAGAGGCTCTGTCAGGAATGAGGGTGACCGGTGCCCAGGTTCTGGACAGTACGCCCAAGAAGAAGCAGAAGCTCAGGGAATGATGAGGAAGACGCGGTCGATGCTGGCTTACGATGGTGATGATGGATGCATGATAGCGGCGTGTTCTCTTTCCTTGGTTTTCTCATTTGTGGCATTTCATGGCGCTCTATACCCTATCTGTCGACTGTCGATGGCTTTTTTGCTCTTTTCACTGTTGCTAGAGGATGTTTAGTTTGTGGCTTGAGCTGTCTACATCTCTCTGTTCATGAGAATATATCATATGGCTTTTGCTCCCGATCAGAACGATAAACTCTCTCGAGCAAATGTCGCTTCTCTTCGAAATGGTTCCGACAGACTTTCCTTTCGGTGCCTGTTTGGTCCACATGTGCTGTTTGGTCAAGTAGTCTTGCTGGGGTCCTCACCCTGGTCCTCTGACATGGCATCCAAAATACTACCTTCAAGACCCTATAATACTTTTATGTGTATCAACGCATGAGTATACGATGCTCTGTGGTGGTATGCTGATCTCGCTTATGCTGTATCGTCCGTCAATTATGAGTACGGTGAGCGATACAATTTCAGAAAATCCCGAAGCCATGACGACTCACAGCTCAACAACACAAGTGCGAGCCCACTGTCTCCAAGAGTTTTGAGCACTTAAGCCACACGAATGATAGAGTGACTACTATATACTCTCAAGGGAACATGTCAGAGTTTAATAGTCCACGTCGGAAATCATGGGAAAGTAACGGATTGAAATTCAGCGACAGCAACGCCAGACGTCTGTCAAAGGCTATACAAAAACGTAAGCTTCTCATCTCCTCGCCGTAACCTATCAATCCCCGCCCATTCGCGCAGATGATCCAACCTGAAGATCTTCGTGATCACAGTCCATAGATTCTTGTCCTCCACAACCGCACCATCTCCAAACATGGCTTCCCTTCTAATCTCCTCTTCATCCCAATTCGCCACGATTCTTGTGCGTCGTTGATTTTCAGCGACGACAAGAGCCCTGAAAGCCAGGTAGCCGATGAATGCCGTCAGGACACAGGCGAGAGTGACGTAGAAGGGGATCAAGTAGCCGCCTTCTTCAAACTTTGGAGCGAATAACATGCTTGAAATGACACCGGCGAAGTTGCCCCACCCGTTGATGCCCAGTACGATCGCTCGTTTGCCCGGTTGAGGTATGTTGTTGCTGAGCCAGGTTACTGTAAGAGGTGAAGCCACAAAGGAGCCGGACAGGAGGATGGTCAAGGCAAAGTAGCGCAGCTTGTAGGCGTTGGTGGGTAGAGACACCGTGGCTGCTAGGCCCGCAAGTAAGATGGCCAGACCGTAGAGAATCGGGATCAGACGAATTCTTCTTCGGTCAGACCACGATGTGAAGACGAAGAGAATGATAGCCCCGGCTAAGAATGGAGGTACCACAAGGAGGTTAATAGCAGCTGGCCCCAGGTCTTCCCGACCTGCAATACCCTTGATGACGAGTGGGAGAAACACTGCAAACGCGGTGGCTGGAATGGCGGAAAGAATGTTGCAAAACAGGAGGTACCAGACCTTCCAGTCAGCTACGGCGGAGAATATGTCTTCGCGAGATATCCCGATATCAGCAGTGACAGATGCAACAGAAGCATGGCTCTGGCGACGGCCAGATATTTCTGGTCCAATCTCAGCGCCAGGAAGTAGGTAATCGGCCTCCTCGTCCTCAAGAGTCAATGAATGGCGTGAATCAGATAGACCAAGCGATCTAGGCTCTCGAGTATCGATGACGGCTGGCTGCTGTTTTGATTCGCTCCATGAGGTAGCTGCAGCAATCTGATCATTCCGAATACGCTCTTCTGCGACGAGACGCTCGTCAGCAGTCAAGAACCATGCCGTGTTGGCACTATGCGGCAGCCAGAAGAATCCAACAGCTGCCACCACAATGGTCAAAGTGCCTTCGACGAGAAACAATATCTCCCAGCTCTTCCATTTTGCGGTGGTGATGTGTGGAGTCGGGTCGTCACGAGGGAAGTAGCTGAAGACAGCCCAGCTAAGCAGGCCTCCAAAACATCCGGCAAGTGCGGCCTGACCATAGAAAAAGGCTAAGCGCTTGCCAAATTCATAGCGAGTATACCACAGGCTCAAGTCTTCGTTCACGGACATGTTAGCAGGCAAGCGGTGTGGTACACTTTGACTCAAGCCGACTTACAGGATACAGTGGTGGGGTAGAAACCTGCCTCTAATGCCGCAATGAGTACTCTCAGAGTGACCAGTTGAGTCTGAGACTGTACAGCGATGTGTAGTGCGGTACAAACTCCCCACAAGGTCATGGTCCCCGGCACCCAGCGAACCATACCATACTTGCGACCAAAGAAGGCACCGATAGGCTGAAGACAGACAAATACTGCGAAGAACCAAGCCACGGAAACATTCAGAGCAGACTTGGGTAGTCCTAAATCCTCGGTAAAGTGGCCAGATTCCGCATTTCCTACATTCGACTTGTCGAGAGAATTAAGCAGAAACAGAAGACACAGGAAGGGGAGCAGTATCAAGTCGAGTTTGAGAATAACACGTTTGCTGAGTCGTGCTATCTCTTCGTCGTCGAAATGACGGATTGAGTCTCTATCCATGGGCGAAGTAGACTCAAGTTCGATATCGCTCCCGCAGTTCATTATCGCATGTTCAACAGGGGGCCGTCATCGCTCAGGTACGTGGGGAGAAAAGCACGGTTGATGGTTCTTGCACGAGTCAAGGAAGTCCACACCGACAAACCATGTCAGTGACCCGTGCGCACGCGGCTGTTGCTATAGTGACACAAGTGCACAACGAAAACATCATTTTCGATGTGCTGTTCGTTTCTGAGTGGGCAAGTCTTTGTGTGAGGCACAGGTTAATCACTCGTATTAGAAGGCAAGGAGAATAGATTGATTGCTTAATAGTGTGACGTGAAGTACAACACACCATAAAATAAACAGATTGCTCTTCAGACTGAAAGCATAGCTCTAAACTTCTGTTGTGTTGCTATTCCGTGATAACTTGCTTCCAACAGCACCATCTACCACAGTAAAGCAAAGACCAGCAACAGGCAAGCACTCTCGAAATCACAGCGGGGAAAGAGCGGCCCGCGCCCTGACAGTGTGCTTGTTTAGCGACGTGCTGCGGCTGTCTTGGTTCACTCTTGGTTCACCTAGCGGCAACCTGCCTGCTTGCCCGCCCTGCAGTGAATGCGTTTGAACAAGTCGGGAGGCGCATTTGGTTTGGAAGCCAACATTTTCTCGTCGAACAACGACCTTGCCGTTCAGTCAGGCCTTGATCAAGTTCTGAGGCTGGAAGGCAGTTGCTTCCCCGCGGGTGCAACATCAGACAGGTGTGTAATCGACTGGTCGGAAACGGTTTCAACGGCGGTTGAAACACAAAGATTGAATCATGGCCGACAACCCACCTCCTCCTCCACCGCCTCATGGAGCCAACCCCAAGTCAACATCCGGCGGTCTGCCTGAAGGCAACTACGACATTTTCATCATCCCACCACACAGCGCAGGTTCTGGCTTTCTCTACCTGCCGTCGCTCCAACCGAATGTCAACTCTTTCGCCGCGGGCTTCGCGTCCGCCGTCTTTTGCTACTTGGTATGGATAACAGCTATACCGGCGCTAGGACAATGGCTGTCGATAATCGCTGCCAGTGGTAGTGCAGGCGTGTTGCTGCTTGTGGCTGGCGTCGGCGCCGTCGCATGGGCTTTTGGCAAATCTCAAGGCGAGAGCAAAAGTCAAGGTACTCAGGGCCCACCGCCTTCTGGCGACGAAGACCATGGTACCTCGGGAGCAGATGGAGGAAGCAAGCACAGTCGAACCCACAGTGGCCCTTACAACACTTCGCATTCCTCGGGTTCAGCCAATGCGCATTCCGCGCCACCTCCTCGCACCCCACAACAGGACTACACTACTCCTCCACCAAGACAAGAATACAGAGCACCTCCCCCACCACAGCCTGAATATTCTGCTCCACCTCCACAACCCGACTATCATACTCCTCGCCCACCCCCGCCAGAGTACGCCGCTCCACCACCCCGTCCAGCATACACCGCGCCTCCACCTCCACCACCACCCCCACAACAAGAAGCCCCAAAGCCTGCCCCTCCTCCTCAGTCAAAACCATCTCCTGCGCAACCAAAAGCAGCTCCCCCACAACCAAAGGCTACTACTACACCACAGCCCAAGCCTGCACCAGCAGCAGCATCCTCACCCGAACCTTCGGCAAGGTCTGCATCGGAAGCTGCGGCCAGCTGGGAGAAGGCCCGTGAAGAGACTCGCAAGAGGGAGGAGGCCAGAAAGAAGGCAGAGGAGCTTAAGAAACTTCGCGAAGAGGCGCTACGAAAGAAAGAGGAAGCCGAGCGACAGGCAAGAGCAGCCGCCGAAAAGGTCAGATGGGAGCAAGCCAGGGCTCGTGAGAAGGAAGCTCGTGAACGGGAAGCAAGAGAGCGCGACGCAAAGGACAAGGAGACCAAGGACAAGGATGCTCGGGAGCGGGAGAAGCGCGAGCGCGAAGCCCGAGAGCGTGTTGCAAAGGACAAGAAGGAAAAGGCCGCTGCAGCCGCAGAAGCCGCAAAGTCGCCGTCCAAACCCACCACGCCTGCTGCCAAAAAGTACGAACGGCCCAGTGCGCATAGCTACGCCAGTACCGAGACCACAAGCGCCTATGATGCTCGTACTGTCGTCTCATCCTCGACCGCTCCATCTTACACCGAGACTCTGTCTTCGTACGCCCCCTCGACTTCCACGGCTAGAACCAGTCCACCTCCGGAATATCGTGGACCATACAACACCTCCGACCCAGACAAGATAGTCACCAAGGCTGTCTACGTGTACACCAACGTAAACCCTAAGCTGCCTATCAGTCAGCTCGTCAGTGGCAAAGCCAATGTCACCGATGGCCTTGTCTTGAGGCTCCAAACTGAAGGTCTTTTTATCGATGACGATGTACGTCGTGTCCCTCAACGCGAGTGGGACATCAAAGCCTGGAGTCTCAAGTCACTCGAGAAGAGCACCATTAATCCTTATTGCATGGTTCGTGCCACCATCAGAGATACTGACAACAAACGCTACGTCTTCGTTATCCCGTCTGACCAAGAATGGAAGGTCGACGTTGGATTGTCTCGCCTGCGCAAAGGCCCCTTGGTCCGTAGCATGGGCATAGGTAGCATCAAGGCGCCCGAGATGAAGGGTTTGCTCAGCGACCTTGGATGGGTTTGATCATGGTCGCGCTGAGAGAGGACGCAATCTCGCCTGTTTGTTACGAAGGTTTGTGACCAGTTCTGGTCCCGGGTGGCTTCGCTCTGTGTGTTACACTGCATCATGCATCAGCGATCGGAGTTTTTTTTATCGTCTTTGGGGAGCTTACGATTCTTGTCTCTACCCTTTTACTTGTTCTAGTCGATTATTGTCGTTACGATGGAACGATTTGCGGATACCACCTTGTGTTTTTTCTAAGACGCTCTCATACGGAGTGTTACATCGAATGTTAATAGCAACCAATTCAACTAATTCTTGTGGCATTGCCTTCTTGTGATATTTGTGGTGTGTTCAAGTGATTTGTTCTCGTTGGTAGTTGCGTCCCGATAGATTTATTTTCAGTAGCATTCCTCGGCCGAACACACTGGATGGTTCAGTCATGCTACCTCTGGTGACTGTTATGTGTGACCTTCCACCTGGAAGTGACCCTCTTCCTGCGCAGTAACACAAACTGCTTCCGTCGAGAAGATCACACCGCTCCTTGTTGCACATTTTTAGTGAGCCTATCGGAGACTTGAATATACGTGCGAAATCTTCCGATGTCATACCCGTCCGAAAGCAGCAATCTAGGTACTGCTTGCGTACTTGCCAGTCAGGTCTTGATTTCTTCAATACCTAGAACTGTCTCAACATATAAAGAGGTCTCGAGGTCATGGAGTCGAGAGATTCCACTACCCTATTCACATCCTGACTTTGGAAGAAGACTTGGCCACATTCAAATCCCATATTCAAGCCTACTCAAACACGTCTTTGATCCGCCAAACAGCAAAACGAGATGGCTTCCTCAATCGCCATGTTGGCAGCAATGCTTTTCGCATCCACAGCATTCGCACACCCTCAACCAATCGTCGAACACGACCTCATCCCTGGCAATCTAGGAGTAACCTGGTATCAAGCACCTCTTGCTTTCAGCGAATCAATCTCGACCGATGCGACCTGTGGCTGGGCTGTTTCCACGGGTCAGCTCAACACCACCAAGTGCTACGTTCTGCGCACAGATGCTCTTGGACTGCAGCAGAATGAGAAGCACGAGTGTGCGTTGAAGGTGTGGGATGGTGTGTCTGATTGCTCGGGCGAAGGGACTTGGACCATGCATGCTATTCCCAGTGGCAAGAGTACAAGTTGTGTCGAGACTGGTATCTTGGACGGTGGCATGTTTCAGCACAAGAGCTGCATGTTGACATGCTCTTGAGGTTCACCGTCTATGGTATTGAAGATGTTGACGGTCGAAGAGTTTCGGAGAGGTAGTCGGAGAAAGCGGTTGCGGTTCGATGTTCATGTCTTTCTGGTCGTCGTTTAAGCGTAGATGTTTTCCCACGTATGTGCACATGGTCATCATGTCTTACTCGAATTATGACTTCTCCATATGCTGAATCTGTACCATCGGTCTTTGTCTAGAAGGTGTAATTCATTGGCAATTCTCCAGGGGGGTCAACGTTCAGAGTGCTGGTGAATGACTTTACAGTTTTCACGGGCATAAAGGTCGCCAGCGCTTTCCAATCGCGTAGATGACTTGCGGTACGACTTTCTTGTGATGCCCATACGTCTCGGTGCAGAGTCGCCAAAGATACCGGATAGTTATCGTTTGACTGAGCCTACACTCCAAGGTGGCTCCAGGTTCTGATGCTGTGAGTCCAAGCTGGTTGCAACAACAGTGACTTGCGTTGGACAGCCCTGAGAGGCAGGGTTGCTGGGATTAGGATCTTCTCCTGTGGTAGCCTGAGAGTTAAATAGAGAAGGTGTAGCGTATGACTAGCGGCTCTGCTCAGTAGATACCGAAGGAGAAGTGGTAGGATAAAATAGCCGCCTTTGCTTAGAAGACTTGCAGGTAGGAAAACGCATTTAAGAGAGGCTTGTACCATCCAAGGGTACCAAGATTTAACCAGACCTTGCAGAGCATAAGTGACTCGCGGAGGAGATGTTGGTCGCGAAGGAGCTTGATACCACCGAAATTGTTTGGAGGGCAGCGTGAGCAGATTTGAAGCTGGATCTTTGCGGGCATCTTGTCAAGGTAGTGAAAGAAGACTTGGGCCAGGTTGATGTTGCTAGTCATTATGATAATGGAACCATCGAAGACAAGATTGGTGTTGTTGATGATGCAGACGACGAAGCAGTCGTGGTCGTCAGCCGCAACTGCTTGTCCTTGCCATCTTCACGCGCAACTCGAGTGGTGACATGTCATCGCTTTCGCATGTTGTAAGTGGTTATGTGTAGCTCTGGGTACCAAGCCGGAAGCACCTCACGTGTCTACTCTGTCTTACGTCGGTTCAGCTTCCGTCTGGATGGCGTTCCCAAGGTCTCGGCTTCTTTGGGCTAGAAATGCTCGACCCTAAGTCCCGAGCATGGTAACTTTCATGTACCAATCGGACCGCGTCAGGTCACGATCAAGCCATGGAGGGCTGCCCACGGTGGTCGCATGTTCCAATTAGAAGAAGGACCGATAGCATTGCTAATAGACCCGAATTTGCGAACGGCGTTCATTGGTCCGCGCTCTCCCCATACCGAGTTCGTAGTGGAGGTTTGCGGGGGCTAGGATCATCTCCACAATCGATCTTCTGTGTGACTGTTGACGAACTGCCCCGAAGTGCTGTTGTCAAGGGGGCAGGAAAGTGCTTTTTCAGAGGATGCAGATATCTCCTTGAACAAGGCCCCAAGGATGCTCGCTGCACGGATAGACGGCATCCGTTGGGAATCTCAATGTAATCCATAGTGCCTGTGGGAGAACCGGGGATGATGAGGCGGAGGAGAATTGAGCGGAAACAGGCCCAGATTAACGGTAGTACGTTCTTAGCCGAGAGCGCTGCACCAACTTTTGCCAAAACGTCACTGGCGCGACTGGGGTTCACACATCGTTCCCAGCCTGAGGCTTTGAAGTCGTTGAGAAGAGTGCGTCTCACATTCCTCGTAGTCGCGTACTTTCACTCGTAGAAAGCGTCGCTTCGATCTCTTCGAATAGCTTTCACAAAGCAATTGTTCACTCTTCTTGAACCACAAGGTCCCCTTTGTCGGCCAACAAAGCACAAAACGTCATTGCGGTCGGTTCACATTTCAACCCCACAACAGGTGCCCGCTGCCGCCGATCGTTAGGTGGACACGAGCTAAAGCGAGTCCGACAGCTCCAGCTCCTTCGACCTTCTTTAGCCTGCCTTCTCCCACTTCCCTCGTTCTTTCGTCATTGCATTGTCGTTCGACTTTTCATCCCTTACCTTTCACACAATGGCTACAACAAAGCGCGACGTGAGGAACCATGTCCTCTTCGAGGTCGCTACTGAAGTCGCCAATCGAGGTTTGTCTCGGCTCACAATCCTTTGTTCGTACCAAGTCGATCGCGCGCTAATGTCTTGCCAGTCGGAGGTATCTACTCGGTCCTCAAGTCAAAGGCTCAAGTTACCACTGCCGAGTATGGCTCAGCCTACACGCTGCTTGGCCCCCTCAACCGCAATTCGGTAAGTCTCCAATTGTGCCGTTGTTCGACCAAGATCCGGTGGACTGACTCGGTTCCTAGGCCGCCGTCGAGGTAGAAGAACTCGAGCCCAAAGATCCCGCAATGGTAGCAACCATCAAGTCCATGAACGAGCGTGGCATCAAGACACTCTACGGCAGATGGCTCATCGATGGCGCACCCAGAGTGCTGCTTTTCGACACTGGCACCGGTTACTACAAGCTCGATGAATGGAAGGGCGATCTGTGGGCAACTGCCGGTATTCCTTCGCCTGCAGACGACCACGAGACCAACGAGGCCATCGTATTTGGTTACCTTGTCGCCTGGTTCCTTGGAGAGGTGTGTAGTTGTTCCGGCGCGCTGTCATTCCCTTTTTTTTTTTGGCTCCTGCTAACATTTCAATCAGTACGTCTACCACGAGAAGGAGCGCGCAGTTGTTGCCCAGTTCCACGAGTGGCTTGCAGGTGTTGCTCTTCCTCTGTGCAAGAAGCGCAGAATTGACGTGACCACCATCTTCACTACCCACGCAACCCTTCTTGGACGTTACCTCTGTGCTGGCTCAGTTGATTTCTACAACAATTTGCAGTACTTCGACTGCGACGCCGAGGCTGGAAAGAGAGGAATCTACCACCGCTACTGCATTGAGCGCGGTGCAGCCCACGCTGCCGATGTCTTTACGACCGTTTCGCACATCACCGCATACGAGAGTGAGCACTTGCTCAAGCGCAAGCCTGACGGTGTTTTGCCCAACGGTCTGAACGTCAAGAAGTTCTCGGCAACCCACGAGTTCCAGAACCTGCATCAAGTCAACAAGGAGCGAATCAACGACTTCGTTCGTGGACACTTCTACGGCCACAACGATTTCGATCCCGACAAGACCCTCTACTTCTTCACTGCCGGTCGTTATGAATACCGCAATAAGGGTGTCGACATGTTTATTGAGTCATTGGCTCGTCTCAACCACCGTCTGAAGGCGGCTGGTTCCGACATGACTGTCGTGGCATTCATCATCATGCCTGCTCAAACCACCTCGCTCGCTGTCGAAGCCCTCAAGGGTCAAGCCGTTCTCAAATCGCTCCACGACACTGTGAGCTCGATCGAGAAGAACATTGGCAAGAAGCTCTTTGAGCGTTCTCTCGCATGGCACGAGGGTCAAAACCCCCCGGACGAGACTGGTCTCTTGACTCAAGAAGACAAGGTCCTGCTTCGTCGTCGTTTGTTCGCCATGAAGCGTTCGAACTTGCCTCCCATTGTCACTCACAACATGGTTAATGACCAGGAAGACCCCATTCTCAACCAGATTCGTCGCTGCCAGCTTTTCAATCACCCCACCGACCGTGTCAAGGTCGTCTTCCACCCCGAATTTCTGAGCTCAGGTAACCCTGTTCTTCCCATGGATTACGACGACTTCGTCCGCGGTACCCACTTAGGTGTCTTCTCATCCTACTACGAGCCTTGGGGATACACTCCCGCCGAGTGTACCGTCATGGGTGTTCCCTCCATCACCACCAACCTTTCTGGTTTCGGATGCTACATGGAGGAACTGATCGAGAACGCTCAGGACTACGGCATCTACATTGTCGACAGACGCATGAAGGGTGTTGACGACAGTGTGAACCAACTTACAGAGTTCATGTTCAATTTCATCGGCAAGAGCCGCAGACAACGCATCAACCAGCGCAATCGCACAGAGCGATTGAGCGACCTCCTGGACTGGAAGCGCATGGGTATGGAATACGTCAAGGCCAGACAGTTGGCTTTGAGAAGAGCATACCCCACTTCATTCGAGGGCGATGAGGAGCCCGGCTTCTTCGACGGCACCGAAGTCAAGATTTCGCGCCCTCTCTCAGCACCCGGCTCACCCAGAGACCGTTCGGGCATGATGACACCCGGTGACTTCGCATCTCTGCAAGAGGGCAGAGAAGGCCTGAGCACAGAGGACTACATTGCTTGGAAGCTCCCGTAAGTTGCTCAAATGGTCTGATTATGTACGTTCATGCTAACATATTGAACAGTGAGGAGGAAGACGTCGACGAGTACCCCTTCCCGCTCACCCTCCGAAGCAAGACGTCTTCGACCAACGGCACGGGCACCACAACACCCACCAACGGCACAATCGGCACCGCAAGCAACATGTCAAGCAACACTAGCGGTGCTGCCTTTTGAGAACCGAATCTGAGGCTAGGAAAGAGGAAGAGAAAGAGAAAGAGAAAGAAATGATGAAACGATCATAATGCAGCAGAGAAGACCAGCGGTGTTCCATTGGCACAGAATGCTTGGGGTCGTTGCACCTTTTTTTTGTACATTACCATGTAATTTGCAGTTTGCACCCATGGGTGAATTTATCCTTTGGCAAAAGATTCGGATGTGATTGAATAATGCTGTTCTTGAAGTGACATTTGTTGATACGAGTACGAGGAGATCAAAGGGAGAGAAGACGGCAAGATGGGGGAAACGGGGGCGGAGCACGTAAGAGGCTAGCGTTAAGCCAAGGCGTTGGAGGCTGTGGGTTTGAAGATCGATGCGCCGGCTGGCTGGCTGCAACTGGCTTTCGCTGTGCGTAGATTGTCTCCTCCTTGACGACTGCACTTCGCTATTGTTATCATGTCGCCTTGCAACTAGACGTAGCCTTCCTCTGACCCGTACAGCCTGCTACGCTCCATACCCGCGCTCACCGATCGACCCTGACGAGCCTGTGCCAGCCACTCAACGCTTCGTCCTTCTCCCCACGTCTCGACCGACTTCGACTTTGATGATGGCGATCGAGCCTCAATCCCGAATTTGAGAAGCTTCGCCGGCGATATTTCTCTTCCACCATCCGCTACAAGTTCCACACCAGACGTGCGCCGTCTTCCTACTTGGCCCTTTGAGGCGTCCCAACACTCCTTAACCCCTCCCCTGGCCGCCACACTGCTCGACAGCAACACTTTCCCAACATGGAACGACTGAAGGGAACATGGGCATGGGTCAAAGACCGTTTGCCAAATCCAATGAAACGCGGCAAACCACACTTCAACTTCATTACTACCCACTGTAAGAAGGTCCAAATTCAACACTGGCAATTGAAAAAATAAGAGCTGAGATACTGCAATTACAGACACATACATGCTTGGCTTGACCATACTGGGCTCAATCATGATATATCCTGCCGGCGTAACACCCTATATCGATGCTCTCTTCTTTGCTGCAGGCGCAGCGACCCAGAGTGGCCTCAATACGTCAGTCCATTTTTGCTTGCTACGTATGCTGTCGCTAATGTGATGCAGTATTGATGTCAACAAAATGCACACCTACCAACAGGTAATGAATTCGGCTTCCTTTCTAAGGTCTTGTTACTAATTGCCCAGGTTGTGCTTTACTTCATTGCTTGCATCGCAAACCCCATCTTCATCAACACCTGTGTTGTTTTCATTCGTCTGTACTGGTTTGAACAACGTTTCGACCATATTGTCAAGGAAGCTCGCAGCAACCGCCGCACTCGAACAAGATCACGAACTGTCAGCGAATCCAGACCAGATGCGGACCCAGGACGTGTTGAAATGGGAGTCAATGGCCGCAAAATTACCGTGTTACATCACACCACAAAGCCAAATGGTATGAGTGCTAGAAGCGCCAATGCTAAAGTGAACGGCATGAACGAGAAGGAGCGAATCGAGCATCTTTCTGGGAGCGTCGCCGACCCGTTCGGGAGCACTTCAGAGAGTGGTGAATCAAGCGAGAAAAGAGAGACCGAGCCTACCGAGGACGCAAGAGACATCTCTGATACCGACGAGAATGTTGCTCCGGATGTGATACTGACTCAAGAAGAAAGCGAAGAAGATGAAGAGGAAGACCAGAGAGAGAAGGAACCGGAAGAGAAGCCTGCTGATCAGACATGGCTTGGACGTAACCCCTCTCTGAAGCGAGAGATCACCTTTGCGGACCAAGTCAAGCCATCTGCGCATCGAAGACAAGCCTCGAATCTCCAATCTGTACCGGAAAGACCTAAGCCGGTGCGCTTGGAAACGGAGCATCATATTGCATTTCTGGAGAGACAGAGAAACATCAAGGATCAAGGCACCCTACGAATTCCCAATCCTAGGGAATTTGACCGTGGCGACAAGCCTCATGAAGTTGAATCTGACGAAGAAGGTGATGCTTTGAACCGCCAAATGACAAGGAACACGCTGCCATCTTCGCCCCGTATGCGCGCGCGAACGTTTTCGGATGCCCCATCAGCCGAAATAAACGGAGACGATCATCCAGTCAGAAGAGGCATCATCATTGATGAGCCTGAGCGCCCTCAACGCGACCGTCAGCAATCTCAATCTTCAGATACTGGCCGCTCGCCACGCTTCAACATTTTTGGGACCCTTCGCAACTTCAGAAGTAGACAACACGGAGAAAGCACTACATTTGGTCGGTCTTTGAGCGGATTCACCAACAGGACCTTTAGTTTCACCAAAAGTCAAGACAGAGACATGGCAGATCCAATGCCATATCTGAGTTGGCAACCGACTATTGGACGTAACTCTCAGTTCGTGGACCTTAGCGAGGCACAGCGCGAAGAGTTGGGAGGTATCGAATACAGAGCACTCAAGACCCTGGCTTTGGTTCTCGTGTGTTATTTCATTGGCTTTCATCTTCTCGGTGTTATCGTTTTTGTTCCTTGGATTCTGGAAAGCCGCAAATACGGCGAGGTTGTCACTTCAATCGGTCAGAACAGAACGTGGTGGTAAGTGCTTGATCAATTCTTTTTGGTTGGATGAATGCTAATCACATCTTCAGGGGTATATTCACACCTGCCTCCATGTTCAACGATCTTGGCTTCACCCTGACTCCGGACAGCATGATCTCGTTTCAATCAGCTGTCATGCCTCTACTGTTTGGCTCTTTTCTGATCATCATTGGCAACACTGGATTCCCGTGCATGCTTAGATTCGTCATTTGGCTGTCTTCGAAACTAGTTCCCCGTGGCAGTGGAATCTGGGAGGAGCTGCGCTTCTTGTTAGACCATCCTCGCCGCTGTTTCACCCTTCTGTTTCCCTCCAAGGCCAATTGGTGGCTTTTCGCCGTCCTTGTGGCCCTTAATGGTGTCGATCTGATCTTTTTTATTATTCTGGATCTCAACGACGAAACCGTCACTTCACTATCCCCAGGATTCAGAGTTCTCAATGGCTGGTTCCAGGCTGCTTCTACGCGAACGGCTGGATTCGCTTCCGTCAACCTTGCAGACCTGCATCCAGCCATTCAAGTCTCATACCTGATTATGATGTATATTTCCGTCTTTCCAGTTGCCATCTCGGTTCGCCGAACCAATGTATACGAAGAAAAATCTCTTGGTATATTTGCCGGTGAAGAAGAAGACGATGAAGAGAATCGCAGCTATGTCGGTCAGCATTTGCGCAGACAGTTGAGTTTCGATTTGTGGTATATTTTCTTAGGATTCTTCATCATCACCATCGTTGAAGGCCATCGTCTGGAAGACACCAACGCCTACGCCTTCACCATGTTCTCTGTCCTTTTCGAGATCGTGTCGGCTTATGGTACCGTTGGTCTTTCTCTTGGTTATCCAACCATCAATGCCTCTTTCAGTGCTGAGTTTGCGACGTTGAGTAAACTTATCATCATAGCAATGATGATTCGTGGAAGGCATCGTGGTCTACCATATGCCTTGGACCGCGCCATCTTGTTGCCCTCAGAAAATCTTAACAAGAATGAAGAAGAGGGAGCGACAGTGGCTCGCGAAGACTCTGATGAGGCTCGTCCTTATTCACGATCTTCCTCCAACAGAGACAGCAATGTGCCTCCTGAGGCCAGCGGAGCCTCTATGGACTTCAGCCCTACAGGACTTAGACACATGCGCCGTGGCAGTCAGGTCAGCACCAGGTCCGCTGGAACCAGAACTCAACCTCCCACGAGACGCATGTCCAAGATCATCATGAGTGGTTTGAGTGCTGGTCCTACCATGGGAAGAAAGTACGATTGAGAGGTGTAAATTTTGTACAGTGTTTAGATAAGTCAATTAGCCTGGCGTTGGGACTGGTGGTTATGTGGTTATTTCGATTCGTTTCAATCAAGGATAGACAGCCAACTTGAGCAATTCAACACCCTTTCTCGACTCTTTGCTCCCTTAACCGTTCAATGTGAGGTCGCGACCGCTCCTTGCTCGATGTCAAAGCTTTTGACAAGGCGGCTCCACGTGGTTCTGGCCCTGCGGCGGTCGAGAAAAACGACGTCATATTCAGCAAACAGCCAGCTGCTAAACCAATAGTGGTAATTAGTCGTTGCTATTTCTCTGAGGGATAGTGTCCGTTTTTACGCAGGAACCACAAACCAAAAATGCGGTTCTGAGCGGCGACAAGTCCTACTCGTTCACATCATCCCTGTCTCCAATATACCTACTCTTACCCTAGGTGGTCTATCAAAGTCAAGCCTCAGACGCGTCCGAGCCCCCGAGTCAGGATGTGCGCTACAATATCTTCTACCGAGACCGTCGTACACAAACGTGAGGCGGCACAGAGGATCACTCGATTGATACCAGATGCCAATAAACCTGATGCGACACCCAAGCGACTACTCATCTGGAAAGGCTCCGTCGAGGAACTCCTTGGCTATCGCACTGAAGAGATACCGACAGCGGAAAGCTGGTGGCTGGCACGAATCCATCCGGATGATATCTTTGATGTGGTCGACAGCCTGTCCAAGATCCTGGCTCCGGCTCCCGAAAGACCATATGCTTCAGAGGCTAGAATATGGGCTCACAACTACCGCTTCAAACATGCTAATGGTCAATTCCTGTTGGTCTCGGAGAGATCAATCGTAGACAGAGGTGAAGCCGGCAATGTGCTTAGCATGACAAGCACAATATTCGATGCAGAGAAGCGAAGGATAGAACGGAAAGCTCACAGAGAATTCTTGGACTCAAGGGATCAATTCAAACTCATTGCCAACAACACACCTTCGGGTATCTGGATGATGGACCCTCAGGGATACACGACATATATGAATAACGCCGCGGAAACCATCACAGGATTCAAGTTCGAAGAGATTGCAGGCTGGACTTTTCACGCGGCAGTGCACAGCTGCAGACCTGATGGAAGCCCTTATCCAGTATCAGAATGTCCTATCTTCCGACACCAGCAAAATGGAACCGAAGCCAAGAATGAAAGCGAAGTCTTGTACGTATCGATACTTGTTCGTCTTGGGGTGATACTACGGCGCAGTCTGTGGTGCTGCCTTCATCGTTCATCATGGGAAAAACGCTAATACCCACCTTCTCAGTGTCCATAAACAAGGACATCATTATGATATTGAATACAGCGTCTCGCCAATTGGCGACTATGCGAGTGGTGGTGCAGTGATCGAGTTCAGAGATGTAACTTCGCAGAAGAAGTTGGAAAGAGAGCGATTAGCTGCCATCGTACAGAATGAACAACAGTCTGGTAAGTGTAATACTGAAGACAGGACAACACAGTAATACTAACTCGACGAAGTTCTTATCAAGGCATCCGAGGATCACAAAGCCAACATGGCTTCGTTCGTCTCATTCGTGTGCCACGAACTCAGAAACCCTCTCCAAGGCATTACCTCCAGCACAGTATGACTTCGGAGCCCTCGGTAAAACGTCCTTGACTAACTCGTTGACACAGGAATTCTTATCCGAAACATTGGAGAAGCTGGACGCCTTGACCAACAGTATCGACTCTAATATCCGAAGCACTAATTGCATACCGGATGGTGCTATAAATGGTACTTCGTCAGAAATCCACACACAACGCAGAAGTAGCTCAAGACCGGCAGACGGCTCGATAGCCGAAGAAATTCGTGGTTTGGTGAACTACGCTCGTGAGCTTGTTGTAAGTCAAGACATATGTTGTGCGGCGCTTGGAATCTACTGACCGTCTCAACAAGTCCAACGTTGCTACATGTGCGAGTCACCAGGCTTTGATCACGAATAACGTATTGGATCTGAGCAGACTTGACGCCGGCAAAGTCGAGCCTTCATACGACATTGTAGATCTACGGGCCTTGTCCAAAGAAGCTGTCGGAATGATGGCTTCACGGGCACGTGTGAAATCTATCAACTTACGACTTGCTGAAGATGACGCCTCGCCTCTGTACCTGAAGGCCGATTCGACCCTCATGTCTCAGATTTTGCTAAATCTCATCGGCAACGCTGTCAAAGTTTGTAACTTCCTACATAACCCGGAGACCTGAGCTAACGACTCTGCCAGTTCACGCCAGACAATGGCAATATTATAGTCGACATCCAGTCTGAACCTGCCGATGAGAGTGGGCGAGTCCTCCTGCGCGGTTCAATAAAAGATGATGGTATAGGCATGTCCGAAGCCGAGCAACAGAGACTCTTCAAGCGCTTCTCACAAGCCAACAAGCGAGTCGCACAGACCTACAAGGGGTCAGGCTTGGGTCTCAGTATCAGCAAAGAGTTGGTGAAGGTGCTCGGTGGTGATATGACCGTCAAGAGTGCTCCAGGCGTTGGAAGTACTTTCGGCTTCTTCACCATGCATGATTGCCCAACCAAGAAAGAAATGGCTGCGCTCCTGAAGTCAGGCGCAGGTATTACTACGGTCGCCACAGATCTTGAGAAGTTCGAGATCAGCAATTCGGCAGCGATAGTGCCGCCTCCCAAGTTCAGGAAGGTTTGCGTTGCAGAGGACAATCCGTACGTACCGGAAGATACTATGTGAAGCGGGAAGAAACCGAACTAACATCATACAGGATTAATCTCCGTCATCTAGCCAAGAACTTGGAGACTCTCGGTTACCAGTATATCTTGTGCAACAACGGCAAAGAAGCGCTGGACAGCTTCACACAACCGGATTCAGATATCGACGCTGTGATAATCGTGAGCATATACCACTGACACATACCAAACAGACATATGCTGACTCTCACCCAGGACATGAGCATGCCAATCATGGATGGCCTAGAAGCAACACGCCTGATGCGTGAACATGAGATTTCTCCATCAAACACCGATCCCCATCGTACACGCACACCGATCATCGCTCTTTCGGGCAACGCGATGAAAGAACAGGTCCAAGAAGCCATGGCAGCAGGCACGAGTGACTACATGATCAAGCCTTGTAAAAGAGCACAGTTGAAAACCATGCTTGATCATTGGGAACGTATTATGCATGATGGCTCTGCACATACACCGCTGGCTGTCAAGTGATGAAGGCAGAGCGGAAAGATTTGAGCATCACAATCATGCATTAGTTTGCAGCGACTGTCAAACGCCGAAGAGACTAACCGGGCGACCTCCGACCGGGATACCAAGCTGACGAGCATGTCGAAAATCTGGTCGGCACAGAGATTAGCGTAAAGACTGGCAAGGTCAATTGGACTACAGGCTTAACGGCCACTACCAGCCTACTCGAAAGCATTCAACGCGTCCCATATACAGGTTTTCAAAAAGGACGAAGGTTCTTGGGGGATACCTTCGATGGCCAGGTTCAAGACGCGTATACAGATAACTGGGAGTTAGAGGACAGCAGACTCCAAGTATCTACATAGATGGGTAGAGAGAGACAAAGATACAGTAGCTCCATGGAAACCCCATGCAAATTACATTTTATCCTCGAGCCGCCAACATGCATGAACATCATAAAGCGTACTACTACTTTCACAAGAGGCAGGCCTGTTCGTCGAACAATTGCTCATCGACATCGTGCGAAGATATTGTGGATCGATGACTTTTTTGTGCGTACATGATCGATGATCTACCAAGCAACCCGTTTCCCTTGATTGAGTATTCGTGACTCCCTCATTGCGCTATGTGAATGCTATACCAGTGCTTCCACGCCAACCGTAAAATGCTGCAATGAACGCCACTGCGGAACTCCTTGGAACAAAAAGCAAATGCAAAAAACCCTAAAACAAATTGCCAACACCAGGTCAAACCAATATTCGAACTTCAGGAAAGGGGTATCTTTGTCTTTTAACGTGATGGATGGGCTTTCGAGTCCACTCTGGTGAGATGCTTAGTCAGATAAGTTCTTAAGCAGAGGTCATGGGCTCCAAGAAAATGCTGTTGCCCAGAGCAAGCAAGTCACGCTTGCTTGTAGTGTTTGAGAATTGCAAGTTGCCGACGTCGCACCAGTTGTTGACATCCTGCATTCTTTGTTAGATTTCTGAGAGGCAAAAATATGGGCCGATTCAACTTACAATACAACTCAGATACTTGCACCAGGTGCAGCCAGTGCGCCAGACGTAGAAGTTTTTGAGCAAAACGATGAATCCGATGAGAACACCAAGGAGAGCAAGAGCGCGTACGATCCACCATACCCACCACATAGCACGACGGCCCTTGAAGAAGCCTGCAGGTTGCTTAATAAAGACACGTAACCCTTGGCTTGCTGCATCTTGAGTAGCAGCGGGGGCACCGACGCTGCTGTAAGGAGGTTCATCCTCACCGGTGCGGCGGCGAAGAGCATTGGGCGAACGCAGAAGGCAAATTCCGAGAACGAGACCCATGAGGAAGCCACCGATGTGAGAGAAGTTGTCCAGACCAGGTAAGAGACCAAGGACAAAGGAGATGATGACATCGACAAGGATGAACATGAGGTCCTTTATGGGGCTCTGACGCTCACGCCAGGTGTACAAGAGCTCGAGCAGAGTCAAAGCCATGATACCAAAGAGACTGCCCGAACAGCCAGTAGATGCAATACCAGTAGCGGCAAAGTTGCCACCCAGAACGAAACCAAATATACCAGCGCTGAAGTAGACGAGAGTAAAGCGAACACTTCCGATAGAACGTTCCATATCACGACCAAGTGTCATCTGAAGCAGCATGTTGAAGCCAATGTGGATGATACCAGCATGCAAGAAGATAGGAATGATGAAGCGGTACCACTGATTAGGGTAGGGGTGATCGGTGATGCTACCCCCGGCATGAGGCTCAGGAACACCGCCAAAGCCGCACAGTTGGGAGAGGGTACATTTGGCATCGTCGCCAGTGTTGGAGGTGGCCCATGGACATGGCCATGAGATGTTGCCGGCGGCTCGGTCTTGGACGTTGTGCATGTTGTGCATGCAAGGCTGGTAACGGGCACCCATGTTGATGAGAACATATGGCGAGGGACCGATCATGGGATTGAATTGCGGGTGGATTTCGATGGGCGACTTGGTCAAGACGGCTGTTCGAGTTAGCGTGTTGTCAAGCGGTAAGAAGAGATAGAATGCAAGTACCATTCTTTGCAATCTCAACAATAAAGACAATGATTTGTACCAGGGTCAGGAAATAGCAGACCCAAGTAACACGGCCAGTGAAGTAACGGCGCCATCCTTTGGGAGCGGGAGTGTTTCGTGGCCTTGAGCGGGTCCTGGGCTTTGCATCTCTTACGAAAGGGTCGTTGTACTCTGGAGTGATGACGGGAGCGGTACTGGACTGCGACGAGTGTTTTGCGTGGTAGTTGTGCATAGGCACGGCGTTGTCATCTTGAAAGGGATCGCGACCATCGCTGGGAGTGGGTTGATGGCTGAGATTGTTGTACGAGGACGAGTATGATGGGTATTGGTTGTCGTCAAAAGGAGAAGCGTGTGTCGTGTAGCTGTTGTAGCCGGGGTGGTTGTTGTTGGTCGTGCTTGTGTTGTAGTAGTCGCGGGAGGCCATTTGGGCGATTTCGTGAGAGAAGGAACGAGTGACGGTCGGACAAAAGACAGTTACACCACCAGGGCGATGTCTTGGTCTTGAAGAAGATCACAAAGATTTAGCAAGGAGAGGCTGGCGTCAGCTGTGTCAGAGCGCTTGAGGCGCAGTTGGGAGTCTGAGTATACCTCGGACTCTGTTGCTTGCGCTGAGCCTCTGAGACTGGACTTGATAACGAGCGTGCTGTACTTCTGCAATAGACGTAAGCTGTCAGTGTCTCCAACAATTCTCCGCCAGAGAGAAGCCTACGCTCTATAAGATAAAGTCTGACGCTCTATATGATACTCTCTTGAACGCGCAACATGGGTCCGGAAGGCTGACAACCTTCCCGCCCTGCCAAGCCTCACACCTGCTTCCACGCAATTGAGACTGACGGAGGTCGAGGGAAAAAGTTGTTTCCCTTCGTCTTTGCATATCAACTTGGAAGCATACTTAGCCGCCGCACTGTTACCGACACTCTGGGAGGGATTGACGGGTGGGTAATAGCCTTGATGAAGGACCGCAACTTCGCAAGCGCATTTGATCGGAAGCGGCTGCTCTGTTCGAGTGCAGCCCTCCTGCCTGCATATAGACTTCCACTCTGCTGGGTCGCTTCGCCGGCCTATATACTATTCCTCTTCTCCGCTCCAGTTCGCTCCTTCTTCCAGTCAAGTCCTGTCGTCGTCCCTGCTCCTGTTCCTGTTCCTGTTCCTCCTCGCCTTGCTCCTTTCCCTGCTTCCCTCACTCACTCCTTCCGCCGACCCGAGACACGACCAAAAGGGCCATGAGCAGCGCCATCTCTCGACACTGCTCCTGCTGATTTTCTGCCCGCCATCATGTCCCACTCTCCGATCAACATGGCCGCCTCCTTCCCGGCCCACCCGTCTGCCCACCAGTCTGCTCGCTCTCGTCCGTCACCTCCGCCGCTCGACCGTCGCGCTCTCTCGAATGACTCGCGCCGCAACGATGGTCCTGCCCCTCCAACTCCACACTACGACCAACCCACGGCCGCTCAGCAAAGCGAGGCTTTCCAACAGGCCTTGAATACCATCGAGGTCCAGGGCTCTTCAGACGACGACAGCTATTCTGACTCGGGCTACGAAGAGAGTATTAATTCGGCCTTTCTCTCCACATCCACCTCTATGACCTCTTCTGTGCGCCATTACGATTTCGAGAACGGCCGTCGTTACCACGCCTATCGTCAAGGCCACTACCTACTTCCCAACGATGATGCTGAACAAGAGCGCGAGGACATAAAGCATGCCACTGTCTTGATTGTTTGCGGCGGCAAGCTGCACTTTGCGCCAGTCCCCCAGAACGCTTCAGATACGCGCATCCTCGACATAGGCACCGGAACTGGCATTTGGTGTGTCGAAATGGGCGACCACTATCCCTCTGCGCAGATCACCGGCGTCGATCTAAGTCCTATACAACCAGATTGGGTCCCTCCGAATGTAAACTTCATCGTCGACGATATTGCGAGTGAGTGGTTATATCCAGAGAACCACTTTGACATGATCCATGCCCGCCATATGGGCGTTGCCATCAAGGATTGGGATCACGTCCTTGCCTCTGCATACACCCATCTGAAGCCAGGCGCATGGCTTGAGTTCTGCGAGTTTGATTACTGGCCCAGTTGCGACGATGGCACCATGACTGAGGATAATCTTCACTTCAAATGGCATGTCCTTGTCACCGAAGGCATGATCAAAGCCGGTGTCGATCTACATGCTGCTTTAACACTGAAGGATAGAATAACCAAGGCAGGCTTCAAGAATGTGACCGAGAGGATAATGAAGGTTCCTCTAGGCTCTTGGGCAAAGAATCCTCTTCTCAAAAAGGTCGGCAGCTATATGCATGCCGTCCTTTATGACGGGCTTCAAGGTATGGCATCAGAAATCTCGATCAGCATTGTACACACAGCTAACTTCTCACAGGCATCTGTATGGGTCCTCTCACGCGAGGTCTGGGCTGGTCAAGAGATCAGGTCGAGCTCTATCTACCTGGTGTACGAAAAGACTTGAACAACATGAGCGTGCATACTTATTACAGTCTGCATGTAATCACTGCCCAGAAGCCATACAATTGATGGAAGCGGCTGCTAGATGCATCGCCGCCCATCTCCCTCCCTTTCCTGTTTTCCTTTGCTTTGATACAACGACTCCAAGACGATCTGTTCGAAGTACTCTTGATGAGATAGCATTATACCCAATACATTTTCTGCTTTGTCCTATATAACGTGCCGTTCGTTTTCCGCCCTGTTCGTACGTATGCGGGGATGCTCGTTCGTTTGCTGCAAGAGTGATTGGTTGAATGCAACGACCGATCCTATTAATCTATCTCGTCCAAACCGCTGCATCACGCACGCGACGAGCCCTCGGAAGTCGGAAACTCATCGGATGTCGTATATGCCTGCACGCACAAAGTGTCTCGGTAGTCACCTTGGGCTCACTCATTCATATACAAGACTCGCACAGTTTGACTCGAATGACTTGCACTCGTAACTTGATGCCAAAACGTACCTCTAGTTGCAAGTCTGCGGATGCTTCTACCTTTTCCTTCTCAACATCTTGGGCAACAATTCGACCGAGCGTCGCTCCTCATGACCTGAGCAAACAAAAAAACAACCGAGCGCTGCCCTTGCGCCGGACAAGTTTTTTTTGTCTCTTTCATTGGGTCCTCTGGTTTCATTCGAACCATACCGCCGGTAACATTCAAGTCCTTGTCAGAAATCAGCCCCGCTCGCTTCCGCGATAAATCCACCAAACTCCGGATGAGCTCTGAGAGAGAAAAAAGGAGCATGAAGCTGTTGTTTGGAGAAAAGGAGGATATGGAGATATAATTGCCGACGGGCAGGAAGCGAGGTTTATGGTATGCAAGGGATGATGAGGAAGTATGAGCACCTACAAGCTGAGGTTTAAACTGCGATGTCGCTAGGAAGCTACCCGGCATCTAACGGAAGGATTCTCTTTTGCACCCATCCACACTTCACGGACGGGCTAACATTTGTCCCCATTGCTAGTTCCATTTGTTCACCACTGTGTTGGTAACGACCCTGTGTTTATATGTTCGCTTGAGGGTACGCTGACCGAGCGTATCAAGGACGAGGCAGGGTTGCCGACTGACCAGCCCAATCGATTGGACAGCATTTCCTTGCTATCTTGGAATTCAGGCAAGACTCTTCTGAGGTATTCCAGGGAAAGCTGGAAAGGACAGATCGTATACTGAAAGCTGTACCGCGTACTGAAGCTGAAAGGTCTGAATCTCCAACGGAGGGAGATCCAAGAGACGTCCCTCGATGCGAGACAGCTAGACTGGCAAGCTTCAAAAAGTGTGACTTCCTCTTTCGCCCATCTCCTCTCGCTCAAGTCCGCCGTCGTTACCGACCAAGCATCACCTCCTCTCGTCCCAGTACCAACGAATCTGCCTGTCTGCCTTTCTGCACCTTGCTCTCGATTGTGTCAGCTGTACAGCTACCAAGGACAGTATCCCAAGCAGATAACACCGGTCATGTCCTTCTCGTACCACCTTGTCGAAACGTCAAAACGGCTGGTAAAAGGGTGGTACGCGGTCTGCTTCTGCTGTTTCGATTGGTTCGGCAACTTGAATGTGCACATGCGAATGTGCATACATTTCCCGACTGTCAGGGCCAGAATTGGTAGTAATGGATGCGAGTAATATACCCTGAGAGGCATTCGGCAATAACGGGAATTGTGATCACTGTGACAGGTCCAATTGCGTGCCCAGGGCTCTGTCTCAGACGCAGGACCGTTTTGCATCTGTTACCTACCTGCTTGATCGCCTCAAGCATTTATCGCATGATGACTTGTTAAGATAATTGGCTCGGAGCAGAGCTCGTCTGTTCAGAAGTCAAGAAATCATTGTAGGTCAAGTAACACTAGGTATAGTTCAATTTGGGAGGCTACGGACTTCTCTGATTTGCTGTGCTTGTGCAGTCAGCCCTGGATGTTTCTCTAATGGTACACTATAGGCCGCCATTTGGCCTTACTGTCTTTGAGCTTGTGAAGTCAGCTCTCTTCCTGATGTGCATGTCGAAGCCATTAGATGACTCTCTAGTATTTCCAGACAGGAGCAGCTGGTGGGTAGATTCTGTAGTTGTAGTCCTTGACGCCAACTCCTGAGCCGACCCACTGCTTGTCTTGAACCTCGGCCTCCTGTGCAGGACGAATGGGCTCTCCAGATGCGAGCTTGTGGTCCCAGATGGGCTCTTCCAACGCCTTTTCGGCCTTGATGAGTCCTCCGGTGATCTCAAAGAGCATCACACTGTAGCCTGGGCGGCGAGCGACATCACACTTTGCTCCAGCAGAACTTGCCTCGAAGTGAGCAACAAGAAGACTGAGTCTGAAGAAGTCCTTGCAGCACACTGGGCAGAGGTTGCGCTGCGCGGCGTGGGATTCGCGCATGTGATCTCCAATCTTTTGAGGTGTGTCGAAACGTCTCTTGCAGCTCTCGAACGGGCATTGGTAGGGGTGGACGTGCTGTTCTTCGTCTTCGACTGGGCGATAGAAGAACTCAGGTTTGAAGTCGGTGTGGTGGGGATCCCAAAAATGAGTGTCAAAGATGTTGCTACCCTGGTCTTCTTCCTTGCTACGCTGGTGGGCAGCGTTGACACCGGTCCAATTGGTGATGGCCTTAACCTTTGGTTTGTTATGTTCGAACAGCTTGTGGACTTCCTCCTTGGTGGACCATGGCTTGGTTGGAGTTACGGGGCCGTCTTCGTCGTCGCTGTTCATGGTGGCAGCATTGCTGGAGAGGCTGATGGTATCGTCGTTATCGCTCTCCTCGTGGCCGAAAGGGGGTGCTGCGCTGCCCACTGGGCTGATAGAAAAGCGTTTCATTGACTGCTTCAGCTGACCATAGTCGGGGCCCGGCAGGCTTGGCCATTCGACTCCAGATGAGTCCTGGACGCTCGAAGTGGTTTCTGGGTTGAGGGGTGACTGACCGTTGTACTGAGTGATATCGCTTTGGCTGAGCAAGTCGACAGTGACACCGCCGCTCATTTCATCGCTGTCTGTGGCTGGAGGCTCTAAGGGCGTGTAGGGCATAGTGATCATGTTCTCCTTGAAGCCTTCGGGATCATCCAAGATCAACTTGACCATGTGCTTGTGCTCGCGCTCCTGTCTGAGGGTCATGGGCTTGATGTACACACAAAAACCTCCCTCAATGTGACTGATGAGCTGACTAGCACGTCCGAAGAGAGAGCCGCACTCCTCATGGACGGTGTTTCCTTCAAAGTCGCGAACGAGGAGACTGCCTTTGCAGGCGATGTGGTGTTCTGCCTGATGCATCTGTCACACTATCAGAATTCCGCTTCAATAAGTTTCCATGTAGGACGTACCTTTTTGCGGTGCATATCTCTGCCACTCAAGCTTTCAAAGTCCACGCCACAGAATTCGCAGACAATGTGGTTGAGCTTCTTTGGTTTCTCGTTTCTGCGATCTCCAACGAGCCATGGCAGCATGCTCTCGACCTTATGTGCAACCAGTTCATCCCAAGTTTTGCCATGGAAGTCGCATTTCTTGAAGCCACGTTGGATTCTCTCAAAGCCGGGGTTCTTGCCGCAGTAGAAGGGATGGTTCTCCGGGTTCTTCAGGTGAGCTACCATCTCGGCGTCCGTGTCGAAAGAGTGAAAGCAGTCATCGTAGCTGCACTTTATGCCCTTGCGTGGGGTGAGTTGTGCTGCCATGACGCTGAGTGGGGGTGACTGCAAGCTGGTCATGCCGTTGCTGTTGAGTAGTGGGAGGATAGATTGTTGGTGGTGGGTAGTGGGACGATAGATCTTTGTTTGGAGGTCGGAGGTTGAGAGTTGGATGTTGAAGGTTGGAAAAGAGAAAGTGGATTTGAAGAAGCAATGTTGAGGGAGGTGGGTTGAGTTAAATAGATAACAAGAAGTTGCCGAAGTGCTAGTGAAACTGTGCAAAGGTTCGTGAGGAAGCGACGGCTGAGATTGAGCCACTCACCTTCGAGCTCCAAAGATAGGTAGGTGCAATAGTGGGAGCCGAAGGACGATTAGGCAGGTACGAGTGACGCCAAAGAAGTGCGAGACTGCCTGATTCTACTAGATGACTCACCAAGAGGCGAAAGGTCAGTGTGAACGTTATGATTGTAAATACGAAGTATTTAAGGTGACGTGGATGAATACCCGGGGTATCGTGTTTGACATCAATCGAGGATCCGCCAACACAATGTTCGTCCAGCCCCAAAGATAGTGAGAAGGCTATGATGTGAATGGGCCCGTCCACAATGTTTCCCTCTGTTCCTCGCCTTGTGACAATGTGACGTGATCGGGTATGTCAAAAGAACCAAAGCGCCTTTGTCCAAAGATCCAGAAAAGTCAAGATGTCTGCCCTCTAGGCGCCAAAGCAACCAAGGCAGCCTCCACGCTTTTCATTCTTCTCGCCCAAGCCTCTCTTGTCAGGAAGCTTGACAGAATTGCGCTTGACTTCGTTGACCTCGACCACTTCTGCCGCCTTCTTTTCCTGCATCAACTTCAGACGGATAATCTCTTGTCTCTCGCGGACACTCAAAGGACGATCGTCTCTGAGGTTGTAGGTACTGCGGCTAAGCAGATTACCACTGGGGCTTCTGATTGTCTTGTCCTCGAGTTGTTTTGGGTCCAAGAGCTCCGAGTAGCGGCGTTTCAAGGGTCTTGCTGGTTTGGGGTGAGTAATGCCGGACTCGGGATCATCGCCAGCGAAGGACGTGACTACAATCTCGTTTGCTTCGTGGCGGTCTTGCTGTGGGTCGAAGGTGTTGAGGTCATGGACACCGGGGCTGCGAGGGAAGTTTGCCTGGGCTGGGCTGCGGACTTCGATGTTCAGGGGAGTGGTCGAGTTGGTGGAATTGCGAGCTGCGGTCTTTGAAGTAGAGCAGCCCATTTTGACTGCTGGACAATCAATAAAATCACGTTGGCGCAGTGTGCTGTGCAATATACCTTGTTGCCGTTGTTGATATGCTTGAGAGAGTAATAGATCTTCTAGACGAAAACAGAGCGGTTGCACTCCGAAAGGTCTGCGAGAAATGCTGTGGACGATTTAATTGCGGACGTGTTGGCGCGTTGGACTGCGTTGTTGATTTTGACCATCACGCACGTCGAATTGACAAGCTACTCTCAGTTTCGACGACCCGACCTTTGGGGCCCCTCGACGGTCAGTGCTTTCACGGTCCACAGTCTCCAAGTGAAGGGTTCGACACAAAGATGGAGATGATCGTTCAATTCGTATATAGGGGTACAAAACAATGTTTAGAATCTAGAGAAGGGAAGCCTTGAGAAGTTTTGTTAGCGAAATTCTTACATAGAGGGATTGTTGTAACTCACCACTTGCCCCTGAGAGTGATAACAGCCCAGTCACCCTTCTCATCAGTCTCCTTCTCAATCTTGGTGCTGAAGCTGATAGCACTCATGATGCCGTCACCAAACTTCTCGTTGAGAACAGCTTTGTAGGCATAGCCGTAGTTTTGGATGATCTCGAAAAGTCTGTAGACCAGAGGCTCCTTGGGGGGCATCTCCATTTGACGACCGCGGTCTGGGTAACCAGAAAGTTGTGACTCGAGAAGCGACTCATCAAGCTCGAGGACCTGGGCCAGGTTCTTGATATCCTCGGGGGAGGCCTTGGCCTGTCCGTAGAAGAGAGCTGCTACGGCGACCTCCTCGCGTCCGAGGGCCTTTGCGATGGTCTCGAAGGAAAGGTTCTTGATCTTCTTGGCCTCGAACAGAGTAGGCGAAGAGGCTGGAAGACGGGGCACAATTGAGGTCTGGGTGTAGGTGTCAATGGGACTGTACACAGATTGCAAAGAGCTCATCATACATCAAGAGTAGCAATGGGGTGGCCGGAGGAGGTTCCTGTGGCTGACATATTGGATGGAGCTGTAGCTGTCGTACGAAGCGATTGCTGGGCTAGGATTACGGAGGGACGGAGGAAGGCTGAAGCGCGAGGGGCTGTACGGGATGCAAGTCTGGCTGAGAGCGGGAGCATGATGAGTTAAGTACTTCGGTTGCGGTAGATAGACGTTGTTTCCCGAGGTTCTTTCTGAACGGGAAGCTCAGCCTTTTGAAGCTCAACGGACATGTCTCGGCCTGGATCTTGCTGCGTCACTGTGACTTGCACCTTGATTTCAAACAAAGATTCAATCGTTGTTGTCATCGATGCGGGGCAGATTGATAAGTAACGAAGCCCACCTGGGCATGCTTCTGTTTCTCCGGCGAATTCGCAATTATGCTTTATGATTCAGTCTTGGGAGATAAGGGTCTTGTAAAAATGGTCGATCTCTCGAGGTATTTGCAATCTTTCTATCCAATCCAGAGTTCTGAGTGTTGTCTATCATCAGAAGCCGCATTCTCAAGAAACCATGGGCATTGATACCAGCCTTATCTGATCTCGGAGCAAGCCCCCACCACGGGCGCCGTGTGGAGCTGGCATCTGTGCTCAAAGGAAATGCGACAAACTGAGTTCAACTGACAGAACTTAATTCGATTATTAAAATCATGGCTGGGAGTTGCTGTGCAACGAACTCATGCTTCTGAAATAGCTTGAGCTCTGCGCGGGTGCTTATGCTCTTGTGTGTAGTACCGGTCTTGGTGTCCGATGAAGTTACTCCGTCCTCCGATACCTGTAGGAGCTTTCCCCATACGAAGTGAAAGCTCCGTGGGGTCCGTTGCCCACGTGCCCGACTCGATACTTAGCGGTGCTTGGGTTGGCTCTCAAATTGGTAAGGTTGAAGTCGGGTAGTGATGGTGACTTGAGAAAAGTTGGATCTGTATTCTTTTCTTGAAAAAAAGTCCTGCGCTCGAAAGATCCCAAAGATGCAGGCAATCTAATGGACACAAAGGCGGTCAGAGAGTGACGACGTAATCTTGGCGTGTTCACTCCAGGAGTTGAGTACCTATATGCGCATCAGACTTGACCTCCTGCAAACCAAATTACCAACTATCAACCATGTCATTCCTCTTCGACAAGGTGCACCAAGCAGTGCATCAGATTGGCAGTGATCTCAAAGAACAGTTCTCGGACCATGGACAAACCCAAGCCGCGGGCGAAGGAGAGCAACAAGCCCAGAGTAGCCATGTTCAAGACCACGACATGCACCGTTTCCAAAGCTTTGCACCCCAGCGAATTGGCAACGAAGTCAAGTGGTACGTCGATGGAGCTGGATACATGCATGCTGTAAGCATGGCACTGGAAAGAGCTCGCGAATCCATCTGGATCATGGATTGGTGGCTCTCACCAGAGCTATACCTCAGACGCCCTCCTGCTCAAAATGAGCAGTATCGCGTTGATAGGATGCTCCAAGCTGCAGCTGAAAGAGGTGTCAAAGTAGGCAATCATACCCAAGCTCCTGGATCACAAGCTGATTTTTTCAGGTCAACATACTCATCTACAAAGAAGTAACCCAAGCTTTAACGCGTAAGTATCTTAACCCTGATCTCCCAGATTATATTCATTCGCTCCTTCCTCGCTCGGTCGACCGTGTCTCATCTACTTTAACTCGTTTCGGGCTGGATTTTACTTTCAAATCTTTGGAATATCTCGAAGAGACATATCCACTAATCAATCCCCCTATCTCAGTCTCATCAGCACACACAAAACATACACTGGAGAAGCTTCATCCCAATATCGCCGTGTTCAGGCATCCTGATCATCTACCGGATAGACAGGTCCTGACTTCTTCATTTCTCTCGTCCATTCAAAACATGAAGATGACAGCTGCCAACTTGACCAAGCTACCTGGAGATGCTCTCAAAGCTGTCTATGGTATGAACGGGGATACTGTTCTGTACGTTTCGAAAAATCCAGATACCACGAGTCAATAACCACCTGGTCTTGAGGTCCTGCCACCTCGTGATAGTGTATCATTCTACTCGCAACAAGATGCTAACCCTGTCCTAGGTACTGGGTACGTGTGTTGGGGGTGCAGATACCATGTGCCAACAGCCATCTATAGTGTCTCAACGAAGAAATTTGCTAATCCAAAGTCTTTCAGGCCCACCACGAAAAACTATGCCTTGTCGACGACCACATAGCCTTCATGGGAGGTCTGGATCTGTGTTATGGCAGGTGGGATTCGTGGCAGCACTCTATTGCGGATGCTCATCCTGGAGACCTGAACAAGACAGTTTTCCCTGGACAAGATTTCAATAACGCCCGTATCTTGGACTTCAGTGTAAGTGATATGGTCACTTTTGGCTAATCTCGGTATTCTGTCTTCAGCTGGGACGTTTTTGGTCTTTTTTGGTCATTTCTCGGCTCCCGAGCTTCCGTGCTTCGCTCCCATCGTCACATCCCAAGGCAGAAGGCTATTCAATATGAGCGTGCCTCCAATGAGAGCACTACACTTTGATGCAGGATCGAGATGTTTGTGCACACGCAATCTACTTGATCCACCTTCTGCTCGTGGTGATCACGATACAAGCCCAAAGCAGACGTCCCGAGGACGCTTATGACACACCAATACTTATCACACCATGTTTATGATGCTGACTGCCATCAGGATGTTGCTCATTGGGACCAAAACAAGCTGGATCGCCGTTACAATTCACGTATGGGCTGGTCTGATATGTCCATCTCCCTTATGGGCCCTGTCGTTGAGGACCTTCGGAGACACTTTGCCGAGCGATGGAACTTCATTTACCAAGAGAAGTATAGCTCGAAGAATAGTGCAGATCGTTACAGCCCTCTACACGTTTCAGAGTCTAGAAATGGAATCGTTCATCACGACTATCCATCCAGCCCCGATGCTCCTCTTCCGGAACATATGCGCGAACGCATGATGGAACGCTGGGAAGAGAGTCGTGAGAGGATGGATGGTTTCAGGGAGCAAGTCAGACACCACTTCCCTAACAGCAGGCATCCACCTCCCCCGCCACCTGGCATGCCTTGTCAGATCATGAGATCCTGCACGAAGTGGTCTCATGGCACTGACAGTACTGAGCATTCGATCCAGAACGCCTACATTGAAGTAATTCGAAACAGCCATCACTTCATCTACATCGAAAACCAGTTCTTCATTACGGCCACCGGCGATTCACAGCGTCCAATCAAGAACCAGATTGGTTCTGCCATCGTTGAGCGCATCGTCCGCGCTGCACGTGAAGGAGAGCCCTATCATGTCATCGTCATAATGCCTGCCATCCCAGCTTTCGCAGGTGACCTCAAGAGCGACGAAGCACTGGGCACGAGAGAGATTCTGGAGCTTCAATACGACAGCATCAACAGAGGTGGCAACAGCATCATGGAGAGCATTGCCAGAGAAGGAATTGACCCCATGCAATACATCCGCTTCTACAACCTCCGAAACTACGATCGCATCAACTCGGGTGGCGCTATGCGTGACGCAGAAGAGCAGAGTGGTGTGAGCTACGACGATGCTAGGCAGGATTACGACCAGCGTTACGGTAGTCAGAACAACGAGTACGCTCAGGGAGGCGCCTACAACAACGAGGACCAGCAATACGGAGGTGGTGGACAGAACAACCGCTTTGAACGTTACCAAGAAGCCACTCAAAACATTGGGAGCCATTCGGGTCTTTCTAGCGGCCAGTGGGACTCCGTTGCATCCTGCTACATGCTCAATGGTGAGGACATAAGAAACGTACCATGGGAGGACGGCACTACCGACGAAATGGACGCTTTCGTCTCAGAGTTGCTTTATGTCCACAGCAAGCTCTTGATCGCCGATGACCGTGTTGTTATCTGCGGTTCAGCCAACCTGAACGATCGTAGTCAGCTTGGTGACCACGACAGCGAAATCGCCATTTGCATCGAAGACCCTCGCGAGATTGATTCGTACATGGCTGGCCGTCCCTGGAGAGCGACCGAATTCGCCGCCAGTTTGAGACGATTGATCTTCCGTAAGCATCTCGGCTTGCTGCCAGCCCAGGACGTCACCAGACCTGATCAAAACTTTGAGCCTATCGGAGTACCCAACGCATACGACTGGGGTAGCCGTGAAGACGAGGCTGTCATCGACCCTTTGAGCTCTGACTTCTCTTCTCTTTGGAACAACACCGCTCGCAACAACACTCAAGCCTTTGAGCGTGTCTTCCACCCTGTGCCATCCGACTCTGTCCGTAATTGGAAGGATTATGACGAGTACTTTTCCCGATTCTTCCCCAGCGGTAAGGACGCCAAGGAAGAAAAGGGCAAGGAACCGAATAAACCAAGTCAGTGGAAGTTGGGTCACGTCGTCGCAGAGGAGTTCCCTGGTGGCGTGCAAGAGGTCAAGGAAGTGTTGAGTCAGATTCGTGGTACGTTGGTTGAGATGCCTCTGCTCTTCTTGAAGGAGGAAGACATTGCCAAGGAGGGTCTTACACTCAATGCGATGACCGAGGAGATCTACACCTAGGCAAAAGGCTTGTGTAGTACTTAGTCAGGCAGACCAGAATGATGAGATGACTTTCTATGATGAACGCTGATGAACGCTGTTGTAATTGTTGAAATCTTACATGCACTCAATATACTTCAATGTATCTGCAGAGTAAATACACTAGAAGAGAGCTTCGTCTTCTCTGAAAAGCCTCCGGCAGGGAATTGAATTTCAATCACAACGCTCATTGGGGGGTGAATATCTACATTGTGCATTAAACTCGTCTACTTCTTCGATACTTGCTGGATCAATCTCTCGACCTCGGTCGCTGCTTGACCGGTCGCCTTATCACGGAGCGATTCGAGTAATCTCAGGTTGCGAGCCTTTGCCGCTTCTTCGGCTGCCTTTGCAATCAAACCACATTTCGTCCACAGCTCGACACGTTCTTCTACTGTCAAGTTGGTGCACTTGGGTATGTACAAAGATGCAAGCTTCGGGTTGCCGGCAGACAGTATTTCGTTGATGAATGGCTGCAAAATTGATTAGCAGATGCTTTTTTGGACAACCTAGAGAACAACTCACCTCCCAGCCGATAGGGCTCTTGCGCAATTTTGACATATCCTCGAGCTCGCGCCAGTCACGGCGAGAGACGAGTGCGCGCAGACGTATCCACCAATACACCTTGTCTGAAACCTTGAACTCAGATTGCACCTTCTGACTTCTTTTGACATTGCCGAGTCTGATGAGCTTGTATATCGTCTCATTGATGCTGAGACCGCTAAAGTCTTCATCAAGATCTCTCTTGAATGCATCTTGGAATTTGAGCAGCTTTTGCTCTTCCTCGATGGCTCGTACTTGTAGTGATTGGTCTTTTGACTCTTGAAGAATCTTTGAAGCCATTTTGAGTTTGTCGTTTCGGGCATTGGCGTCTGTGATGTTGAGTGAATCTGACAGTAATAGGTTGGAGCTGTCGAGACGTCGATCATCTTGGTAGAACAAGTCTTTGAGAAGTTCTTGATCTTGGTCCCAAGCCGAGGCTTCAACAAGGGCAGTTGCGACCGGTCGTCCATTGATCGTGCGGAAAAATGTGGCGAGCGGCAGCTTTTTCTTTAGGTGCAGCAGTACGTGATATACCAAGTCAGTGTCTCCACTTTCGATGGCTTTATCCAAAGCAAGTGAGTCCTCCTCTACGTTCAGCAAAAGTGGTACTTGCTTGCCAGCTCGCGGCTCATGTTCAAGGAGCTCCGTTGCGAGTTTGCCGCGACCTTCTTCATACGCCGTTTGGGCGATCTCTTCAAACGAAATGCCGCGCTTGCCTTGCAATCTCTCGACAATTTCGGCGCAGATGTCTTCCTCGTCACCTGTAGAGCTACGCACTTTTTGGCGTGCCCAGTGTACATAGATCTTGTCAAGAGGAAGGTCGAGGTGCTCGGAGATTTTGATAGCTAGGAGGTATTCCTTGCGGTTTATCAATCTCTGCACCAAATTTGCAGGTGTCAGACGAGTGTATTGGTCGAAGCTGAGAGGTAGGCCAATCTCAAAGAAGCGGACAGCATTGAGAACTCGTAACGTCTCACACATGTCAACGAACTCGTCGCTGTTATAAAGGTCGAGTACTGATTTGCCAAATGAGGCAGCCTTCAAGAGTTGTTTCTGCCAATGCACACTGAACTCGTGACCAGCAGCACTGATGCATGTGTCAACAGCCTCATCGAGGTTCGGTCTGATGAGCTGAATGTTCTCGTCGGCCTTGGGAGATTTTCGGTCGAGTTGTTCTGCTGCATCAAGCAAAACTGAGGCTGGTGATGTGGAGCCCAGTCTGAAAGTCTCCTCGGATACCTCTGGCACCTTCTGGATGAACTCGCATACATCGTTGGTGAAGATACGGAGACCGTCAATATCTGGAGATAGATGAACCCAAGAGTCGTAGTAGTGCTTTGAAGCAGCGCCGTTCGGACCAACTAGATGTACCTCGTCCTCCCAAGCCAGAACTACAGCATTGTTGCCACACCACTGCAGATCCTTTGGAGGAGTCTTGACGCGCGAGTCGTACTCAGTCAAACGGTTCTCAAAGTCACTGCTGATGACCCAGACTTTTCCGTCCTGTGTGTACAGCGCGATGAACTTGGCGTTCGGCGCGACGGAGATGTGCTTGAAGGGACCGTTTTGAAGCTTGCGATCCTGAGCTTCGGAGGCATCAATGATGACGATAGTGTCGTCAATGGCCAAGATGGCTTCGACAGAGCGTGACAAGGTAAAGGCTGGAGGGATAACGGCCCAGGACAAGATTTCACCTTCCGGAGGCGTGGCTAGGAGAGTCGGACGCGGTTCATCGTAGCGTGAGACCGAGACGAGTTGGTTGTTTCCGAGGAGAGCGACGAAGCCTGAGGACCAGAAGCGACACGAGACAACCCCGTGCTGGTCGGCGCCATGGCCTAGACTGAAGGGTATGAAGTCGCCGCTGAGGTCGTGGTATATCCTGACAGTGCCATCGTTGGTGACGACAATCAATCTTTCATCCTCAGACCAGCCGCAGCCGTGGATAGAGCCCTTGTCCCAGTTGATGCGGTGGATCAGCTTGCCCGAGCAAGTGTAGATGTCGATGGACGGTCGTGCTGCATTGGAGCTGCGGTAGGCGTACAGTTTGTTCTCATCGCGGTATATGGCTATCTATCTAACACTGTCAGTCGGCGTGATTCGTCGCAGCTGTCTCGTTCACGTACAGCACCGCTCAATGGAGCGCCGACTAGCACATGGTTCTCAAGTTCCAGCTCCGGATCAAAGACGGATGTGTATAGCTGCGTCTTTCGGTAGAAGCGATCGCCTACTCTTTCCCAGTCCGCCGTAGCCTTCGACATTTCATCAAAAGATCATTGTTTGAGTCGGGGCTCGCTGTCGCATCCACGTAGAGTCGATGCTTTGACGTAGCTGCTGAGGTCTGTGCACGGCCCTGGCTAATTACTTCCCAAACGAGCCTCACTAACTTGACAATCATCATCGCTCTTTCCCATGTCTATACTATCGACAATCACATCAACCACGAGGAAAGGAGATCCCGTCTGAAGGCAGGAGTGCTTGTTGGCAACTTCTATCATCCGACATGGATACTACAGCTGCCAAAGTCCAGGCTCTCGGCGATCTGGAGTTGGCTGTTTTGCTTTGCCTAGTAGCTCAGCAACATTGTATAATATCTACCCAGAACCTTTTGCTCGACAACCTTGCTCAAGAATTGAAACTAGTCCGTCTTCTCTTTGGCCTTACGCCTCTTGCTCCAAACACTAACCAATGTCAAGATTGCTGCCAACATCTTCGGTCTCACCTGTGCCCTGGTCGACTGCTCCGCCGCGACTACTCTCGATGACTTCAAGCAGTCTGTCCTTGTCGATGTTCAGGATCCGTTGGATGATCATGCTGCTTCTTCGACCCACCTATCGCTACCCTCCTTCAAACACACCGGTTCCAGGCAAACCTTTTTCCGTAATCAGTCTGGCACCAGTAATGAACTTGACGAACGCAAGATTGCCGACATCATTATCGCAAAGGATCTGAATATGGCCAACAGCAACGTTCAAACACAGGCTCTTGAGGTAAGACTGAATTTTTCTAGTTCTCATGGACTTCTCTGATCATCTACTAGCTCATCCGTACCAAGAGATTATTCAGCCATACTGCCATGCACGGTACATCGAAGAACTTCCTTTTCGTGGCTCTGCAGGCATCCGAGTCCAAGTCAAGACTTGGTTTCCATCTCGTAAGCCTCACTCCACACTTAGAAATGGACATACACTGATTGACGTCTCAAGAACGACATGTTTGCCATCTCACATTACCACTCAGAAGAAGACGGCTTCCCCAACCTGGAGGAACAACATTTCCAGGAGCCGCCGCCATCTGATGATGCCGCATCGATATCATCAGTCGTCAAGCATCCACTTCCTGAGCAGGACGCGCTCCGCAACTTTCCTGTAATCTCGCCCGACGAAGTTCAAACCTTGCGTGCTGCTGTCAAAGATGTTCGAGTCAGCGCCGAAGTGGCCTCATATCTCCACAACATTGTTATCTTCATGCGATTGAACCGTTTCGTTGCAGGAGGTATCTCTGCCTATGCAACTCGGCACTTTCGAGCCATTGTATATGCTCTCGCCCCCTTGCATGATCTCACTTACGCTCCTCCTTCATTGGTTGCTCTAGCGGCAAGAAAGGTATATGCACATCGCTTGGTACTGGCTACTTCTAATACAGAAAGGAGTATGCAATGGGGAAGTGACTACCGTGCAGTCGAACAAGTTCTTAAAGGTGTCACTGTGGAAGATGCTATTGAGTCTGTTCTATCCAGTGTGGAAGCGCCACTTTGAGCAGGCTTCGTCTTCATACGACACAGGCTTACACTGGAATGACCTAACAACTCTATGTCCATCAGAGGCTCTACTTGTCTTGACGCCCAAACATCGGCGCATTTGCCTGCCACTCTCGCAGAAGCACACCGACCTCGATCTTCAAATCCTCAACGACATCGTCCATCTTGATATCCGCCTTGTCCCACCCGAACGGATTCTCAAGATGTCTAGCTATTGTATCAATACCCTCAAGGCAGAAGATAATCTAGTACAATTAGCATGTTTCTTGTGCTGAATTGATACAGTTACCACGAACCAAAGAAACAAGGACGACAGTCCACCACTGCATGCTCTCGACGAAAGCGAATGGCAGCACACCTCCGTACAGAGCCAAGACTTGTCTGGTGTGAATGAGATATTCGACCGGGATTGGCGTCAACCGGATGGTCTCCATAGTGCCATAAGCTGCGACCATCGAGTTGAGCTGCACCGAGAGTTGGGAAGCCTGAGGACTGTGGAACCATCCTCTATCATGAGAGCGTTTAATAAAGGCTTCGATGGACATGGTGAGCTGAACAGGAAGACCGAGACCTTCAAACTCATGCGTCTGCGACATCTTCGGTCCGAGTAGTTCTCTCAACTCAGGCTTCAAAGATCCAGATCCGCTGTCTTCCAGGTCCGGTGCTCCAACACTGTGCTCCCACTCCCATTGGAGCGTGTTTTTGACCGCATACACAACTGCCAGTAAAGCATGAACAGCCTCTTCAACCTCCGCCCTCTCAGCAGGTGTAGGCTCAGGCTTGTTCGCAGCATAAGAACACGTCAAAAAAGTCCTGGTCAAATTCCTGATATTTGTACAAATCGTCGTCAAGTTCTCCTGTCCGGACCAGAATCGTGCATAAGAGCTTTGATTGCGAAAGACGAGCAATAAACCCACGACAATCGACAACGATGACGTAATGCTGCCGGGAAGGTGTGGTGTGTATGGTGTAAAGTCGTCAATGTACACAATCAAAGCTGCAAAGAGTGCATGGAGGATCACTGGGAGTAGAACATCGCTGTGGACGGAGCCTTTGGCGAATCGGAGGACTAGTGGCATTCGACGGGGCTTTCTCCTTGCTCTGTTCATCATTGGCTTTGTCGGGCGGCGGACGGGACGAGGTCGCATTGTGTTGGTGGTTACTGATTCTCGTCTGGGTCTTGAGAAGTGGGATCGAGTGTCTTGATATAATGCTTGTTGATTTGAGTTTCTTATCTGTTGTGTCAATTGGAAAGGAGAAAACATGAAACAGGCCGGCGGGTGGCTTCGAAGATGCGGTGTGGCTGTTTGCCAGGGTGGCCCGCTTGACAAGAGCTTGCGGTCTAAATATCAACATTGTTGCCGACCACCATGTGTTTTGGGGGTAATACCTCTGTCAGTGGTGTCTAATAGCTCTACTACGTGCGCTGTGATGTTTTTTAGGTTCCTCTCTGTCCACGTCGGGTCAGAATATAATATCGGCCTCGAATTCCAAAGCTTTTCTGGAGCGTCACACCAACACGCATGGACTGGTGGAGGGAATGTGAACCAGCCACAGACAGGAAGTTTGAAGGACATCAGGGACAGTGATTGAGCTACAAATGAACATGAATTGTATTATGCATATTCTCATCAACTAGGTAGTTACCACGCTTGCGAGTTTCCAGTGTCCGACGAGGTCTGAGCAAGCTCGATGATCTTCAACACATCGGCAGCATCATCTCCACTGACTGGAACATCTCCCTCACCCTTCAAAGCCTTGGCAAGAGTGCGGTAGTACTCGACGTAAGTTGGTGGAGGCTCGATGGAAGCAACGGTTTCGCGGTTGAACTTTCCGTCTGCGGAAGCGACAGTCAGAGTACCGTGAGAAGACGAAGGCTCAACACCAAACTCAGGGCTATCAAGCTTGACACCACCAAGAAGTTGAGGTTCCTGAACATCCAAATGGCACTTTCTGAACGAGCCCTTGGTTCCGCGAACCCAGAATCTCAATTGCTCTTGCTCTGGACTGATGGCAGAGCTCTTGACTGTAACCAGCATCTCATCTTCGGGAGATCCGTAACGAAGCAATACTGTGCATGCATCTGGGGCACAGTCGCCAGTCTTGAGGCCCTTTCGTTGCACTTGGACGAAGCCTGTGACGGTTTTGGGAGCTCCAAACAGGTGGTAAACTTGGTCCAGCAAATGACTTCCCAGGTCGTAAAGTGCACCGCTGGCCGGACTGGCCAGGGTCTTCCATGTTGTGCGAGTAGGAGGGTCAGGACGGAAGCGATCGAAATGTGTCTCGAACTCGGCAATGTCACCCAGCTTTCCCGAAGCCAAGATTTGCTTCAAAGTGACAAAGTCCTGGTCCCATCGTCTGTTTTGGTAGACTGCCAACAAGCGCTTCTTCTCCTTGGCCAATTTTACTAGTTCTCTGGCTTCCTTTGATGTCGGGACGAAAGGCTTTTCCACGACAACGTGCTTGCCGCTCTCGAGAGCCTTCTGGGTGAATTCGTAGTGTGTTTCCGGGATGCTGGTGACAATGACCAAATCTACTGTTTCGTCGGCGAAAAGATCATCCGCACTGCGGAAAAGCTTGATTGAAGGGTGGTCGGCCGAAGCATCGTCACCAGATTTGGGGCTACGTTGTACAATGGCATAGAGATTGAAGTCCGGAAGAGCCTGAATGAAAGGAATGTGGAAGACCTTTGCACTCAAGCCGTAGCCAATGACACCAACGTTGATCTTCTTGTCTGCAGACATTGTGAAATTGAGATGGTTAGAGACTGGAGGAAGGTGTTGTGAATCAAGTGATGTATGTCTTAACAAGCAGGCGGATGGATGCTTTATAGCGAATTATGGAAACAAGTGTCCTTTTTCAGGCGAGAAGCTCAACAAGGGTGATAGTAAGGCTATAATATCACACTCGGTGAGTCACGTATGAGTGGTGAGAACGAGGAAGACTTGTTGTGTGGACTGTATTATCAATCAGTGTCGGCTTCTGGGAGCGGGTGAAGCTGAGGGGGCAGGATAGCCGACGACCTGTCGGCCGAAACGCCCAAAGCAGACGGAGCCGCCGAAGCAGTCAGGGCTCGAAATGCCAGCCATCTCACACATGAGAATACGCAGTACTCACACCGGAAGCAATACTGCCTATTCCGTCAACCACCATCCGAACTGCATCGAATCAACGCTGCGCAGCTCTAGGCAAACCACCGAACATAGCCGTGTCGACGCAGGCGCCTGCTCACGGCAGGAAAGCAGCTGTCGCAATCGCACGGATGCCTCTTTCCGAGACGGAGCTGAGGCTCGTTGAAGCCATGTTCGAGAATAAGCGCGACGTCAAGGCCGTTCTCCAAGTCCTACCACATGCCGTCGTATCCACCCTGTACAGGCAAAAGAAGAACTATGACACCTTCGGCTCAATACACAAGCCAGAGACGACCAAGAAGAGGAGACTTAGAAAACCAGTCGTAGCTGATGCGGATCCCGATCCTGAAGCCTCAACGACCCCCAGTAGTTCCGATAGCCCTCCCTCCAGACTGTCCGACACAGATCGCACTGTAGAGATGTTGTTCTCCCAAGGCTGCAGCGTGCGTGTCGTACAGTCGTGGTTCCCCAACAGACCCAAGAGCAGCCTCTACCGAATGCAACACAACCTCGACGTCTATGGATCCGTCCGAAAGCCAGAAACCATGTGGAAAAAGAAGGGAAGACCTTGTTCTGTTACACCCGAAATGAAAGAATGGCTAGTCCAGCTAGTCAAGGAGGGAAAGGAGATGTGGCAGAGAGACCTTGCCTACGAGCTGTTCACAAAGTTCGGCGTCTTTGTGTCGCCATCTACAATCTCACGACTTCTCAAGGAGCAGCACATCTCAAAAAGGTTAGGCCCAGTAGCAAGTACAGAAGTTGATGAAATGGGCGAAGAACATGAAGCAGAAGAAGAAGACACACACGAGGTAGAAGAGGAGGAAGAGGCTTTTGATATACCAATCACGCAAGATCCCAACCTGGATCCTTTTTTCCAATTGGCCTTCTGATTACTACGAAGAATACGGCCGACACGACCTTGCGCTCAGGTCCAGGTGATTACAGGCTTTACTGTTTCGCCTGTGTGCATCTCCTGGATGCCTCTTTCAAAGTCCTCCGCCGGCATAAGCTTGACGAACCTGTCAAAGGGGAACTTGCCTTCCCGATACCACTGAATCATCTTTGGGATGAACTCGGAAGATGTGCTGTTTCCTTCAATGGCTCCCATGTAAGCCTTACCGCTGTTCATGAAAAGGAACGCTGGCAGCTCAACCTGGAACTCTGGAGGCGTTGAGCCCACCTGAATGATCTTTCCACCCTTCCTTGTCATCTCAATCCCAGCCATGACAAGCACCGGCGCACCCGTCGTATCGATTGTGATTGAAGGACCAGCGCCCTCGCAAATGTTCTGTACTGCTTGGACCACAGTCAAGCCAGTGGGGAGCTTCGATGTATCAAGCACATGCGTAGCACCGAGTGACTTTGCCGTCTCCATACGGCTGCCCACGCGATCAATTCCGATGATCGTCCTGCAACCTGAGAGTTTTGCTGCCATGATAGCGCTCAAACCGACACCGCCCAGACCAAGAATTGCAATGGCATCCTTTTCTGTTGCTTTGGCTACATTGATGACCGTACCAGCACCTGTCTGGAAACCGCAGCCAAGTGGCGCAAACGCTTGCAGTTCCTCCTTGCTCTCCACGAGGTCGGTAACGTTGACAACGCTGTTCTGCTTGGCCACACTGTAGCGAGAGAAGCTGGACTGGCCAAAGAATTTGCCAGCGATCACTGTCGGGTCCTCGGGGTTGGTGGATTCGAAAGCGGGTTTGTTGCCAAAGTTCAATGGCATGCTCTCGTAGCAGAGTGACGGGAGACCGTTCTTGCAAGATTCGCATTCACCACACCAGTCGAATGACAGCAATACAGCATCGCCGGGTTTAGCAACCTTGACTTTCGATCCAACTGCTTTGACGTATCCAGAACCTGTAGAACTTAGTATCCGTAGTAATCATACCTGCTGGATTACCCTTACCTTCATGACCAAGGACACGTGGGTAGTAGAATAGATCCGGGTTGCCTGTGCCTGTACCACACATGACATCTGTATGGCAAACACCACTGGCCACGAGCTCAACTAGCAACTCATCATCCTTGATCTCCCTCGTCGTGACATCCTCAATCTTCCAGCCCTTGTTGGCCAAAGTATCGCGAGCAACTATAGCCTTGCCCGTCCACGTTTTTTGTTCTCCAGACATGTTGTTGTGCTTCTCCTTGTCGTCCAATTCTTTCCAGACTTTGAGTAGAGATGGAGGAATGTTGTTGGAAGCTCTAGACGTCATGAGTTTGATTTTCTTAGCATGAGATGTTGCTCTTGATCTTTGACCCACCTTCACCTTGCCTGGATAGGTTGTCGCAAGTGGTGTGTGATGCGGGGCGCTTGGGACCGGTATTTGCTTGCGGCTCGTCATGACGATCTGAACTGGTGGACCCCTCATAGATTTGAGTTTTGAACCGGTTCCTTGCTGGCTCCACTTTTGGGTATATGGTTTATGAGAGAGACAACAATATGCCGACGTGTTCTGCATGTTTCTTTGCCTACAATTTACTAGAACCTAGACCCGGAAAAGACAGTTGAACACTGTCTTTGCATCTTTGTGGAAATCATCGCGGAGGAAGATCATGATATGCTCTGCGGAGAAGCGTGGGGTGCATCTGTCACCATCCGTTCTCTCGGGTCTCACACATATTCCACAGTGCATTCAATTACGTGCAAAGGACGATTTCGAAGCGTTTCTCGATATTTCATTTTATCCTCAAAAGTTTCCTGCACATCTGGCTGACACGACTGCAGCGTCTAAGATACACCCCAAACAACGTGTATCGACTTGCCTCAGATATTTGAACTATGCCTGGACCTGATTGAGACGTGTAACACCTGCTGTAACTCTCTCCAAAGTGACATCGAGCAGGTCAAGCTCAGCCATGTGAGCATCGTTCTTGCCTGTGTCCTCCCAAACGCTGGCCAATTCGCCATTAGCCTTGCCTTCCTTGAAGCGAGCTGATGCGACACGTAGGGGCTGCAAGAACGATCCTGCCACATCGTTGTTAGAATGCAAGTCGCCAATAGCCAGTGGTTCATATAGGTGCTGTGCTGATAAGAGCAGGTAGTAGAAGTTGAGCGATGCCAGGTAAAAGTGCAAACTTTGTTGGAATGTGAGCCAAAACTCGGTGATGCTGGTCGATGTGAGATCATGGGTTAAATCGGGGAAGAGGTATGGCGCCAGGCTGTCCAATGCTACTGGGGTTGCAAAGACGGAGTCGTTGTCCTTTCCATCCTGTACTGATCCATGTTGCTCAGGTTTGTGAGAGTGGATCGGTGTCGGAGGGTTGGCTTCGATGGTCTCGCCCTTGACCCAGCTGATGGCGGCAACTTTGAGGTTGTCAAAGGGGCAATGCTCAAGTGTATCCTTGATGAAGGCGAGTCTTTCAGCATCGGAAGGGTTAGATCGCAGGATGGTGGACGCCAGGTAGAACGCGTGGTAGCGTATGCTTGGAGATGGTGAGTTGGAGGAGATCAAAGACAGATACTGCAAATATTGGCTGAATTCTTCGCTGTCTGCTGGCTCGCCGACATGATCATCTTCGACAGCAAGTATGGCAAGAGCCAAGACAGCGTCGAGCACAGCTTCAGGCTCCGTGCCAATGGTTGTGCCCATGTCAGAAGAGCTTGCGATGTAGTTGTGGAGGACTTTCTGATGTTCAGGGAAGATGCTGAACATGTCCTTGGGCTTTGGTGTAGAGTAAAGAACAGTAGCAACATTTGCAGCAGCGAACATGAAGAGAGAGCCCACCTTTGATAAGGGGATGTCATTGGCAGTCTTGGGGAACTCGTCCTCGTTGTCGGGAACAAGAGAATGGCCAGGATCAGCTTTCTCCATGGCTGGCAGAAGATCCCGTCTCTCCATGCCCAGATCGCGGGCCAAGGCGACCAAACCACCAACAGCAGTCAAACGAGCTGCAAGCTCTTCGTCCAGAATGAATCTATCAGTCATCGAAGGTTTGCCAGGAACGGTGCGCTCGGGATGCAACTTCTCTTGGAGGCGACTGCACCATGCCAGACCAGGTGCATCGCGATCGGAGTCCAAGCTGAGCATGTAGTCTTCGAAGACATGAGTGATGAACGACTGGAAAAGGCGCTTCTGAATAGCGGCCTCGCTTGCCGACGGAGACCTTTCGGCGGTATCAGACTCTGGATCGGGCGCCGATGATTTGAAGTTTGCGCTCAGAATCTGGGTACTGCTCTTGCGAGGAGGTAGGTTTGGACGCTTGGTTCCAGAAACGTTCTTTACGAATTGGACGATGGCCGAGATCAACTCTTCTTTGTGGCTGACCGAGTTGGAGAAGGATACCAGGATGGCTTGAAGCGTGGTTGACAAGAAGCGGCTGGGGTATTGCGTCTTGATACGAGTGTGCAAGGTCGACAGCATAGATAGAAGACTGGTGAACTGCAGTACAGAGAGGGGTAGAGGCGCAGGTGTTTCTACAGCTTGAGTCGTCTTACCACTGCTGCTTCCAACAGGTTCAGTCTTGGCAGGGTGGTAGGCTGGATTGGTCTCCTCGCCAGCAATAGGTTCATCATCCTCAGTGTCGGGTTCAAGACCCTGGAAATCAATCAAGCGCAGTGATTCTGTCACTTTCAGAATGACCTCGCGTGGATTCCCAAGGCGCGCAATATCCTGCAGACATTCGTCCGAGTTCGGTAGAAGAGGCACGAGCAAGTGAACAAGATCCCATCCGATGTTAGTGGTCAACTTGGTATCTTGCAGTACTTGGTGGAGCGTAGGCAGTGACTCCGGGTTGAGATTGTATTCGATGATGGTGAGGTAAGTGATGTAATCGGTTGCAGGAGGCAACGCCTCGATCAAAGGATTCTTTTCAGCCATGATATGATGTTGTTGTGAGGTTGGTAGCAAAGACGTGGTCTAGAGAGGGCTGTCAAGCTGAGCAGACACCGAGGTGGGGTGGGGTTGTCGACGTTTCGAACGGGTGTTGTTCGTCATTTCGGGCAATGATCTGCCCGTGCACCATGAACACCACCGTCTCCTTACTGAAGTTTATCACGAATGCAGTTGCGAATGCACAATCCTTTTCTGGAGCAGCCTTGTACCCAGTGAGAGCAGTTCAAGTCATCCCTATCCATGCACAGTTCAGCGAAGCACAAAGGCATTGTGCATTTCGATATACATACATCACGCTGTGCTGTTGTGTGAGAGCAGTGGAAGAGGAAACTACCAAGAAGATGGCTACTCATGCAACATGTTTGAAGTTCGACTGAAACGCCAAAGGCTATGTTCGAAACACCGACTGCCTTAATATACTATTCCAGCTTCGTACAAGTCATGGTGGGGCTCGTTGCTGGCCTTGCCGACACCGATTCACATGTGTGCTAATTCACAACTGACAATTTCAAGAGGTGGCAGAGGAGAGGTCTTCTCAGCTACGTGGTACTCTCACCGCTGGGGTGAGGTTCACGTCCTGGTATAGCCTACTCAATACCTACGAATCTAGCTAGGAAAGAGAGGGGCCTGTCTTCGTCGGTCTTGAGCTTGCATGCATCGCATGTTGAGTACAAATACACTTATGCAAGGAGACAAGTATATGCATTTCGTCTATTCAAAGATTATCAACACCATGAAAGCTTTGATTGTCTTATGCAAAGTAACAGCTCGTCAAACGCCCTGGCTGGGGTGCCCGAATCTTCAAGAAGTACACACCGCTTAGCACGCTCAGGTTGCCTATGGTGATATCGAAAAGTGTAGTCATAGTGGATTGAGTCGGATCGAAAAGAAACAGAGGTGACGGCGCCATGAGAACATTTAGGACACATTGAGCCTCTCGACGCGTCTTCGTGTTTCTGCCGAGCAAACAGGGGCACATCCCGTGCGACTCGGAGCGAATGGTCGTGTCAAGGGGCTCGGATAGATGGTAGATTGATAAGCTAAGCAGGTCGATGATCCGATCAAAAGCTATGATTGGCTCTGTCGTCCGAGAAACGAGTGGAGGATGCTCGGAATGAATCGATGGAGAGCGGGATCGGGGAAGACGCGTGCAAGACACGGGTCAAAAAGTGTTGTTGTTAAGTGAAATTAGAAGGCTGGACTCGGCTGGGTAAGGAGAGGCCCTTCAAGCTCTCAGAATTCGTCTTTGAGGGTTGCACCATTAGAACGGCACGAAAAGGTGACTGAAACCTGCAGACAAATGATGGAAGGGAACTTGAGACGAAGTTGTGATATGTTCGATCAATACATAATATGGATTGGGAGAGAATCGATACCTGTCATTGAAACATGTTCGTGGTTCGGTCGTTGTGTATGATGGCATTTTCTTGAGAAAGTCGCGCTAGTGGTTAGCGTGACTTCCTCACGCGCTGAAGCTGCTTCTCTTCTTAAAGATCGCGTCTCGTTCATCTTCTGCACTTTACTTCCCATATCAACCATAGCATCTCCTCCTCAACGCAGTATCAATTGGTCTGCTTATTTGTTCAGTTGCTTCACTACACATACATCACAATGTCCGCGCCACTGATCACCCCCTCAAAGAAGGTGAGAATTCTTTGTCCTGGAAACACGTCCAAAGCCAATCCAGCTAACGCGTATCTGCAGGCCGCCGAGGCTCTCGAGAACTTCAACATGGAGTCGCCCATGAAGCAGCCCAACTTCACCGCCGCGTCAGAAGAGAAGGAGAACATCATTTCGGATGAGGTCGCTGTACCAATCAAGGGCATCCCCATGCTCGACGACCTGCCCGAGCCCGAGGAAGCAAAGCCCAGTGCTGCTCCCGGTATCAAGGGCGACGAGGCCAACGAGCCCATCCTTCAAGAGAACCCCAACAGATTCGTGCTCTTCCCTATCAAGTACCACGAGGTCAGTCACACCAATTGACGCGTACGCGACGCGTCTTTTTCAATCTATCATGCATACTAACTCTTCATAGATTTGGAACATGTACAAGAAGGCCGAAGCCTCTTTCTGGACCGCCGAGGAGATTGATCTCTCCAAGGATCTTCACGACTGGAACAGACGTCTCAACGACGACGAGCGCTTCTTCATCTCTCACGTCCTCGCCTTCTTCGCTGCCTCTGACGGTATCGTCAACGAGAACCTTGTCGAGCGTTTCAGCTCTGAGGTTCAGATCCCCGAGGCCAGATGTTTCTACGGTTTCCAAATCATGATGGAGAACATCCACTCCGAGACTTACTCATTGCTCATCGACACATACATTAGCGAGCCCAAGCAACGTACCTACCTCTTCAACGCCATCGACAACATTCCTTGCATCAAGAGAAAGGCCGACTGGGCCCTCAAGTGGATCTGCGACAAGGATTCGACATTTGGCTGCCGCTTGATTGCTTTCGCCGCCGTCGAGGGTATCTTCTTCTCTGGCTCCTTCGCTTCCATCTTCTGGCTCAAGAAGCGTGGTCTCATGCCCGGTCTTACCTTCTCCAACGAGCTCATCTCTCGTGATGAGGGTATGCACACCGACTTCGCCTGCCTCCTCCACTCTCACCTCAAGAACAAGCCCTCTGCTGCTCTCGTCCGCGAGATAATCACCGAGGCTGTCGCTATCGAGCAAGAGTTCTTGTCAGATGCTCTTCCCTGTGCTCTTCTCGGCATGAACGCCAAGCTCATGTGTCAATACATCGAGTTTGTCGCTGACCGCCTGCTCCTCGCTCTCGGCGAGCCCAAGATCTACCAAGCCACCAACCCCTTCGACTTCATGGAGAACATCTCGTTGGCTGGCAAGACCAACTTCTTCGAGAAGAGAGTTGGTGACTACCAGAAGGCAGGTGTCATGAACAGCACAACAAAGAAGGAGGAGAGCAAGACCACAGAGGGTCTTGCCGCCACCGTCAGCGGCGACTTCGCCTTCGACGAGGACTTCTAGTCTTCTCGACCAACATCAAATTCATTTATGGGAAGGAGTATCATGGTTGTTGCAGCGGCTGCATAATGTGGCGTTCTGGGTAATGGGCATATCCAGGGAACCGGTTTTGGGTAAAGGCTTTGTTCGACTCAATTTTTACAGAAGGATGACCTGTCGGGTCGCGTGTTAGTTATGTAGTATAGTATATGAAATCGAATCCACGATAACACATCAAGACGTCCACATGCCAATCTACTCCAATCTATCCAAATCTACTGCGGCTTGCTACGCCCTGGCCGTGAGTGGTTGTATCGTATGGCAATACGCGATTTCCACGCACTGGCCAAGAATAGCATGACGTAGGGCACGAATTTGGATGGACGGACGATGAGCGTTGTCAACCAAGGTGCGCGGTTGGATGCTGGCTATCGACGGCGATAGGCAGCCAAAGTTTCACATGACAACAATGACCTCGCAAATACGAGTAATAGCACAGCATAAGCTATCAGCATTCGCTATTGATACTTATCACTATCGCAAAACATGACGGACACGATTCCTGCCATCCGTGTAACGGATCCGCAGAGCCGAGATACCGTACCAGACACGACAGGACCAAACAGGAGCGAAGGATTTGACTATGCTGCGGGCAGCAGAAGCGCATCGCCGAAAGAGGGTAGGCATCAGGGGGAACTGGTCACAGAAGAAAGCCCAAGGCTGACAGGAGGCGCTTCAGGCAGCAGACCATCGACATCTGGAGGACTCCCGAACCCTGGAAAACTGCTCCGTTCGTTGTCGGGGACCTTGTCGAACCAAGAAGAGCCCGTCGCAAACGACCGCGACCCCTTGTCGCAAGTATGATTAAGCCATGTCCGGTGTGGAATGCCGACTTACGCGTACCAGCATCTCTTCCGCCGCGTACGACCAACGTCATCTGGCGCGAGTGCTCCCTCTGAAGATCGATCCGACGACAATGCCATTTCTAGGTCAAATACCACCATAAGCTCTGCTGGCAAAGAGAAGAAGTAGGTTGCTGGACAGCACATGCTGCTCTTGGACACAATTGAATTGACGCCGGGATAATAGGAAAGGCGCCTCATTCCTCGGACGATTGCTTGGAAACAAGAAGAAAGAGACCGACGACAATGTCATTGACGACGCTGCTTCCGAGTACAGCAATCTGCGCCCCGAAGGTATGGAGGCCAACGTCTTCTCCCAACCCGTAGACAACATCGAGTTCAATCCGCGACATCCTCCACCTCCCGAATACATAAGAGTCAGGGCGCGAAACAAGAAGGACAAGGACTTTGACCACTTGTTCTTGGCCCAAGAACTCTTGTCTTCAAATGCCCATCATGGAGAGACCCCGGTTTGGGCTATGCAATTCAGCAGAGACGGAAGATACCTGGCGGCTGCAGGACAAGACAAGATCATTCGCGTCTGGGAGGTCATAAGGACGCAGGAGGATCGCAAGTCGCATGCTGAAGAGTCCGACATCAACCAACGTCCACGCTTGAGCGCTCCAGTATTCCGACAAGAGCCCATCAGGGAGTACGAAGGCCACACATCGACCATTCTTGATTTGAGCTGGAGCAAGAATAACTTTCTTTTATCCTCGTCAATGGACAAGAATGTGCGCCTCTGGCATGTCAGCAGGGATGGGTGTCTTTGTACTTTCAAACATAGCGATTTTGTCACGTCAATCGCTTTTCATCCCAAGGACGATCGCTTCTTTCTGGCTGGTTCACTCGACTCTAAGCTGAGATTATGGAGCATTCCTGACAAGACAGTCGCTTACTGGAGTCAGTTACCGGACATGATTACCGCTGTCGCATTCACACCAGATGGCAAGTACGCAATGGCTGGCTGCTTTACTGGTCTCTGCATGTTCTACGAAACCGAAGGACTCAAGTATCAGACCCAGATCCACGCTCGTTCTAGGAACGGCAAGAACGCCAAGGGTAGCAAGATTACCGGCATCCAATCATTCCATTCTGGCGGAGAAACAAAGGTCCTCATCAGCAGCAACGACTCCCGAATACGGCTGTACAACTTTCGCGACAAGAGTTTGGAGATCAAATTCAAGGGTAACGTCAATGATTCTAGTCAAATCAGGGCAGCCATCAGCGATGATGCCAAGTACATCTTTTGTGGCAGCGAAGATCACAAAGTTTATATCTGGCCCACAGATCCCGGCGAAGGTGACAAAAAGCAGAAGAGGCCAATGGAGACCTTTGATGCTAGCAATACAGTCGTTACCTGCGTCGCGTTTGCGCCTCCAAAGAGTAAGCAATTGCTAGGAAGATCAGAAGATCCCATCTACGATTTATGCAATCCTCCTCCCGTCATGTTGATGAGTTCGGCCGAGCGTGTAGGATCGCGTCCTCCATCTCGAGCGCCGACAGAGGACGGAATCGACACGGAGCTTCAACCTCAAAAACGACCAGATGAATCGCCCGCATACCTCGCTCGCTCCACACACGTCACTGGAAATATCATCGTGACCGCCGATTTGGCAGGCAAGATCAAGGTGTTCAGACAGGATTGTGCTTGGAACAAGCGCAAGAATGAGAATTGGGAGACTTCCTCCGTCTTCTCGAAGCGCAAGCTCGGTCGCACAGCATCGATAGCCACCAAAGGCAGCAGCCGTAGTTTGCGCAGCTCTCATGGTCGCCTCGAAGGCCCAGCGGATAGAATCCTCTCATGGCGTCAGGGCATCTCAAGCACTCCAAACATTGCCAATGGCTCCATTCGCAGTCAGTCACCTCGAAAGTCCACGGCCAGCGCCCAACCACGTCCAGACTCCAAAGCATCAATGGCACCTCCTCCTCTACCCAAGAACGACGATCGTGGTGGTGGCGAAGAGGACAATGATCCACTCATGCTCCAAGGCGATCAATCAATGCTATATTGGAAACTCGCACTCAACTCGGCACGCAACCATCAAAATCAACCCCCACCATCGCCTCAATCACAACAACCCCCTCAATCTGGCAGACCATCATCAACTCGAACAGGTAGCTACAACCTCGGTCTACCGCACCCGCACCCGCTCCAACGCAACCATACTGCTGTTAGTAAACTCAGTATTGAGCAAGAGAGTGCTGCCGAGGACAGTGATTCGGATGCCGCTAGTTTCAAAGACGCACTGCAAGGACATGAAGAGCAAGTAACATGCAGAGAGTGTGGTAGTGCGAACTTCCACGTCAAGGCTGCAAAGACTGGTGACACGAGGTTGTGCTGCTCATCTTGCGGTGCAGCTGCTTGATTTTCGTTTATTGTTTCTCATGCGTTCTTCATAGCAGGAGTACAGGGACAAGCATGATACCAGTTTAGTGCTATAGCGGCGGCGATTGATGAAAACAACACCCATCAAATCTCTTCCAATTTTCCCCAATCATGTGCTCTCACTGGACGGTTACACTGTCGTCCAAAACATCTTCAAAGTGCAAAAGTGACTTGTAGACAAGGATTTTGAATACAACGCTCAGAACTAAAATGAAAAGACCAGAACGCAGCTAGTAGGTATCAAAAGAAAAGGGACAAAGTGCAACAAAAAACCAAACGTGTGTCCGCATAGCAGAGTAGTGCATCAAACAAACTCTGGCAGCAGGGATCACAGCTTAAACGCCCAGCAAGGTTCTCCATTAATCATGCATGCTCGTTTTCATCCACCCCCCACCATAAATGCGTATAGTCCCCTTTCTACCAAGGCGGCTACCTCTTTTTATATGTTTATGCTGTTGTTGCTTTGCTAGGTAGCGGCCACTTCTCTTACACTCTTCTTTCGAGCCAGCCAATTGCCAAGCAGTCCGTCGAGTTCGTCCTGCAAACCTGCTAGTCTGCGGCTCTCGCTGGAGAAGAGATTCGCCATGAGTGGATGATCGCGTGTCACGGGCACAACCGAGCTCTTGTCGTGAATGATGACGAGCATGTCGCGTACATCGTTCTCGGCCCCGTCGAGCCAGGCCCGCAGGCTCGCGTCGGACCATGTGTTGAGAGTGCCCGCAGTCGATGCAGGACTACGTGTTGATGCGGGCGAGGGCGATAATCGTACCGAAGATCCATTCGACGGAGTGGCCGAATTCGCTCTTTGCGGCGGTGAAGGCGCACGTCGGACTGGCGGGTTCATTGGCAGTGGCTGTTGGGGCGTCGAGGCTCCACTGACCACGGCCGATTGACGTTTGGATGCCAGAGGTGTTTGGTCATCGTCTACAGGTTCTTGTACATGGCCGTTCGGGGCATGTGTTCCGTCTTCGCGTGGTCCTTCCGAAGATGCCTTGGGTGTGTCAATCATGCTCGGTGAACTGGTACGCTCTGAGCTCTCCTCGTCTCCTCTTTCATTTGCTTCATTATCGTCGGGTGAGGAAGAATCGTCGCCGAGGTTAACAGGAATGTGCACCATCTCAGTGCCGTGCATGAATGCGTTGTTCGGGCTATCTTCAAGATCGCGTGGCGGGTTCTCCTTGAGGTCTTCCTCCTCACTAACCTCGTCAAAGTCGTCGAGTTCCACACGCGACTTGGCCTTCTTGACCTTCTTCGGCTTGACATGATCTTGTGAGTCTGAATGTCTCATCTTGTTCGTGATTGATGACAGTGTGTGGGATCCAAGTAAAGTCTCGTTGGCTGCTTTGGCCTGTTGCTGATGCAACTCAACATCACGGTGTGTAGGTGTGTCGACAGTCGAGCCTTCGAGTTCAGCAACGAAATTTGCCTGCGGTGGTTCTTCTCTTTGACGCTGTTGAACAGGCATAACAGTAGATTGTTGTTGTTGTTGCTGCTGCGGACGTGGAGCAGTATTGAGAGGGGCCGGGGCAGGAGCAGGTGCCGGCGCCGGGGCGGGAGCGGGTGTGGTGATTAGGGGAGCAATAGGAGCGACTGCAGAACCCTGAGGCTTCTGCAGCTTGCCCCTAGACTTTGGTTCTGAGGCCGAGAATTGGGTAGAGCGCTCGACGGGCGATGCCTTGTTTGAATCGGAAGACGTGGATTGCCTGGCGAGCTCACCAGACAGTTTCTCAATGTCACTGTCTTCGTCAACAGAATTCTTGTTCCTCTTGTCCTTTTTCTTGCTCTTGAATAGACCGCTAAGCATTCCAGGCTTCTTTTCCTTCTTTTTCTTGTCATCTTTAGACTTGTCTGGCGGTGAGGCTGTCTTTTCGAGGCCTTCCATACTGGACCCAATAGTCTCTACCGAACGGCCTCCGTTGCTGTTATCTCGAAGCAAGTTGGGTGTGAGAGAGATCTTGAGTGGTTCCGCTCCATCATCCTTGAGGAACGAGTCGGCGTTTCGTGGGGTTCCTTTTCGCGATGATTTGAGTGGTGCTGCTTCTATAACCAATTTAGTATGCTGAGAACGAACAGAAGTAACGTGTAGAAGATACCTGTCTTGTCAACCAGCGTAGGGCTGCTCAGCGGCTCTTCGGCAGGGGCTTTGATCTCCTTGCCAGGACTGGCCAGGTCGGGCGTTTCGACTCGTGCGACCTCGACGACTGTTGTGGTAATGTCTGCTCCTGATGCTGACTTGTCATGATCCTTGACATCTTCGTCTTGACCCTGCTGGCTGCCATTGCCGTACAGAGGTTCGGGCATCAAACCGTCTTCCTCGTCGGACGAATAGTCGTAATCAGAGGCCTCAACGAAGGTCGGTGCAGTGAATTGTACTGTTTTCGCCTTTCGTCGTTTCATGGCCTTTTTCAAGGGGTTCTTCGAATCACCTGCAGTATCACCAAGCATTGCAGCGGAAAGCTATTGCCAGTCAGCCAAAGCAGCAGCTGTATAGCGTGTTGGCTCAACCTACATCTACATTTCTGTGCTTGTTCAAACGCGCCAGGCGTTCTGTCGGAGTCTCGATGTGTTCGGCGGGGAGGTAGCCTGCATGAAGGTCAGCCCAAACCATTGTTACATCAAGCGTTAAACATACCAATGCTGTTGTCTTTGACGATCCTGACAAGCCACCAATAGCTATTGCTGTCGTCTAGCAAGACCATGGTATCGCCCTTTCCGGCATTGGCTTGTCCTTCAACAGTGGCCACGAAGGTGTGCAGGGCGTAGACGAAGTCGAAATCAATGTCCTCTGTTTCGCGTAAGCATTCGCCGCCCCAACCGGAATCAACAAAGCGGTCATCAGAGTATAAGGAAATGTCCAGGTCATCATCACTGTTGTAATTGTCCTGTAGGTCCCGGTCTTTCGAAGGTGAACTGGCAGAGGCATCACTGACGGTGCTCCACGAAGATGGGGACGCGGGCTTTGAGTCGGGGACATCCATATCTGGTAGAGACAAGTCGTCCATGTCTAACCCATCTTCGTCGACCTCCTCGGGTATGGCGGTGAGATCCTCGTTGGATCTGCCATCAGAGAAATTGTAGTCTTCCAGTGCTTTGGGTGCAGCAATATACTCAACTTGTGGCTCAGATGGTAGGTGATGCCAACCATCGGTGTTGTCGTCGTGGTAGAAACCGTCCAACTGAGGATGGTGTTCGTGGTTGTTGGTATACTCACTGTGATACTCACCAGTATGATGATGACGTCTGGAAAGAGGGGAGGCTGACAAGGGAAGGTGCTTGGGGGAAAGCAAGAAGGGAGAAGACGACTGCGGAGATGAAGCAGGCGAAGCTGCCGAGTCCGAGTCGACCATGGTGGATAAAGGCAGGTGTACAGGAGCAAGCACAAAGGGTGACGAGTCGGGGGAGTCGATTGCCTCACAGTTGAGTGTTTGGCGAGGAGGAGTTAAGGATGAAGAACGGTGTGGCCATGTGTTGGTAAGAGCAGCAGGATACGCACCATCGTCGATAGAGGGGGAACTAGAAATGCGATCGTCAAGCATGTCGTCGTCGATTTCAGAGTCGTCGGTTGAGTCGCCATTTTCGTGGTTGTGTGCTTGTAGTTGGTCGTCGGTCAATTCATTGACTTGAATGTCTTGGTGAGCGCGACTCCAGGCATCTTGCAAGTGTTCCTCCTCGGAATGTCTTTCTTCACGGACATGTCGAATCTCGGCGGCCTGATGTTTACCGACGTCGGAGGGCAGCAAGGAGGTTGAGTGGTGGTCTTGGGTCGTGGGAGCGTCTTGGTTTTGGAGATCAATCGTGTCTGACAAGGAAAAGGTCAGTCAATGGTCAGGAATGGTGGTTGCAAGAAAAGCGCTCACCAGCTCTCACGAGTCCGGGGCGCGTCATGGTTGTTGATCGAGAGGGAAGCGTCGAGTGGCAGCAGCAGCGACGACGGCGGTGGAAGAGGAAGACGGCGACTACGGGTACATTGCGCGTGTCGCAGACACAGTCGAGAGCGATTGCGAGAGGGAATGGCCGGTCGCGAGAAAGAACAGTCGTACTGGCTGGTCGAAGGACCAAGGACCAAACTTGGGTATCGAGTCCGTGCTGAAAGTCGTTGCGTGCACTCGATTAGGCGGGCGGGAAGGCAGTAGTAGGCAGTAGGCAAAGTGTCAACGGCTCAGACCATGTCCACTGTCGTCGACCAGATGTCTCCGTGTCAGCGTGGGCGAGCTTTGTCGTGCTATCGATTCGCGACAAGTTGTTGATTGATGCCTCTCGGCCTTGTCGCAACTCGACCAACTTTCCGACAGGGGATCTACGCACAGACTGCACCGGCCCCGACTACAAGTTTAGTCTCACATTTGCCGACAACTAACATTTGTTTGAAACAACCCTGATACCGCAACATCGACACCGAAGCCGACTCTCGAGAAGTGCCACATTGCTTTGGACAAATACCGTGCCTTGTACGTCTATGCTGGACATCTATCATATGTACAAACTCTCCTCCAACACGACCAAGACAATCCGGGACCTGTTGATCCTAACGGCTACCGCCCTGAATCAAGCACAAGCACAAGCGCCAGCCAGCCACCCCAAGCCCCAGTTAAAATCCAGTACCCGTCCTAACGCCCCGCAATCCTATCAGTCAATTCAATCCGTCTGCCCTTCGTTGCTATCGTAGAAGACGTAAAAGGCAACTCTGCCTTGTGCCAATGTGCCACGTTTCGAGAACATGAGCACTAGCTTGTTGTTGCAGTGCCTGCTCTTTGTATCCCTGCAGTCGTCTCCTTTCTCTTTACCAGCAAACTTTTGACTGCTCCCAACCACCGAGCCAGTCCATCATCGTCTGGTGCACACATTCGGTAGTTGCGTTCTTCCGTAATGAGCTGCAGGCAGAACTGTTTGCTCTTGCTGATAGGATTGATCTCGACTGCATCGATGATGTTGTGGAACGCCATGACCAGCACTGCTGCATACTCTTCCTCGTTCTTGTACAAGGCCAGCGACTTTGGCCTCAACACCATCCAAAGCTTTTTCCATTGCCGTACTCCGGATTTGGATTTGAGCATGTAAATCCATCCTTGACAAACCACTCGTTCTTCGTCTTGTTTTATCGTCTGTATGCCAGATGTTTGACTGACATTGCGTGGTGCAAGTGGAGTACGAGTATTGGCGCCATAGACGGCATTCACACCGGTAGATGGAGGCAGCGGGTGCGTTTGGTTTTCAGCTAGAGTGAGCGAAAGTGAGGACATGCGAGCTGACTGGCCTTGCGAGTCTGAAAAGTCAGAGTAAGAAGCATTTTCCGGGCCCGAATAGTCTAGTGTATGCGAAGGTCTGCGCTTGCTATGCATCGTGTGCTTGGGCCGACGTATCGGAGGATTGTATATGGGAGTTTCTGCTTCCGAGGAACTGTAGCCCTGGGGAACGTCCTGGTCGATGGTCTGATCCGTATGCCTCTCAAAGCCACGGTAAGTACTTTTTGCTCCACCTGGACTGGCCAGGACCATTTCTTCTTCGTTCTGATCAATGCGTGCCTCACGTCTGATGAGCTGAACCCACTCTTGAGCGTCCTGATCCGAGGCGGCTTCTAGATGGTAGTTCCTCGCAGGGGAGAAGAGAGCAAAGACATGCTTGGCCTTGCCCTTGGGGTCCTTTTGACGGGCAACAGCAGTGAGATCCGAGAGGGTGATTTGATGGCGAAGTTTGGTCTCGGCCTTGTCACGGTAGATGGACAGGAGATTGGGCCTCAGGACAATGTGGATGGGTTTCCACGACTTTGTCTTGCGAGTACGCTTGGAGACTTGGCCGGACTTGATGATGCGGTCGAATTCGAAACTGCCATTTTGGTTGACGGGCGAGAAAGTGTCGAGGGTGAGCTGACCTCCACGGAGCTTTTGAACCGAGTTGGGCAAGGACTGGTCGTTCGGAGGCGTGATTCGAATGTTGGTCTGGTTGGAGACTGGGCGAGGGGCAGGGTGGTGATGCGGCGCGTGCGACATGACGGCGGCCATGGCGACTGAGGCGATGAGCAAGACGGGCTGCTGGGTTACATATATTATGTGCTGATCGCTCGTTAGGCAAGAGCAACCACGGAAAGGATAAATGCAGCGGTCAAGAAGGCTGGGGGCAGGCGCGACAATAATAATAATAATAAAGGTCAGGAAGTTGCTGCCGGGAATGGGGCTCCTGCTCCGATCGTGACGTCGGGCAATCAAAGCTGCAATACGGAGCAAATGCAAGCTGGTGGTGAGATTTTTCGAGAGAGAAGTCTTGGAAGTCTCTCTATCTCCTCAGCCCTTGTCCTTTTTGCTGTTATTGTTGACTCAAAGCACAATACAACAAACACGCCAGCATTGCTCATCTCGCCTGTCGCCTACTCCCGTCGTCGAAGCTCAACTTGAAACCCGCCCAATCGAGGATCGTCATTAGCTATTGCGCCAAAAATACCAAAAAGTTCAAGACTCAATCAACCTCTGCCCGTCGCACTTCCGTCTCGCCATGCCCGTCGTCCCGCCTGAGAAGCTCATCAAGCTTCAACATGCCGCAGATGGCATTCGAAACATTTGCATCCTCGCCCACGTCGACCACGGCAAGACATCGCTGTCGGATGCCCTCATCGCCACGAATGGCATCATTTCGCCAAAGCTGGCGGGCAGGATACGCTACCTCGACTCGAGGCCCGATGAACAACTCAGAGGAATCACCATGGAGTCTTCGGCAATCTCTCTATACTTTTCCCTCCTAAAACGCTCTGCGCCAGACGCCGCTCCCGAGCAAAGAGAATACCTCATCAACCTCATAGACTCTCCCGGACACATTGACTTCAGCAGTGAGGTCTCTACCGCTTCAAGACTGTGTGACGGCGCTGTTGTGCTGGTGGATGCTATCGAAGGTGTCTGTAGTCAGACTGTCACTGTTTTGCGACAATGTTGGAATGAAAAACTAAAGCCTTTGCTTGTCATCAACAAGATGGATCGCTTGATCACAGAATGGAAGATGGGCCCTCAGGAAGCCTACACACATTTGAACAAGACCATCGAGCAAGTAAATGCTGTCATGGGTAGCTTCTTCCAAGGCGAGCGAATGGAAGACGACTTGCGCTGGCGCGAAAGAGTCGAAGAGCGTGTGAGCGCAAAGTCTACAAAAGATACTGTCGTCGATGATGATACCAATGTCTCAACGTCAGATGTGCCTGCCGAATACGAAGAGAAGAGTGATGAGCACATCTACTTTGCTCCCGAGAACAATAATGTCATTTTCAGTAGTGCCATCGACGGCTGGGCCTTTACGCCTCGCCAGTTTGCTGCCATCTACGATAAGAAGCTGGGTATGAAGAGAGAGATCTTGGAAAAAACTCTATGGGGTGACTTTTACCTTGACCCCAAGACCAAAAGGGTGCTTGGAAGCAAGCATCTCAAGGGCAGGAACCTGAAACCCATGTTTGTTCAACTAGTCCTTGAGCCGATTTGGGCTGTCTATGAAGCGACTACAGGCGGTGATCATGGAAAGGGGTATGTTGACTCGCCTAACTATATATGGCAAGAAGCAAATAGCTGACCTTCAACAGTGACCCAGCGCTCCTTGAGAAGATTACCAAGTCTCTCAACCTTACCATCCCGCCGCACATCACAAGATCGCGCGATCCTCGTGCTCTTTTGACCACCGTCTTTGCAAGCTGGCTGCCTTTGTCTACCGCTATGCTTGTATCAGTTATTGAACATCTGCCATCCCCTGTCAATGCCCAAGCAGCACGTATCCCGCCACTCTTGGAGGCTTCCCCTGGCCATGAACATATTGATCCGAAGGTAGCTACAGCCATGACGGAGTCCAGAAAGTCAACCGAAGAGCCTGTTGTTGCCTACGTCAGCAAGATGGTGTCGGTACCCGAAAGCGAGCTTCCTATCAACAAGCGACGAGGTGGCGCACTTACTGCTGAAGAAGCCCGTGAATTGGGTCGCAAAAAGAGAGCCGAAATCGCAAAGGCACAAGCGCTTGCAAATGGAGAAAATGCAGACGTTGATGCCGCTGCTGACGCCCTTAGTACAGTGGCCATCGGAGAGGATGACACGGTCGACTCGGCACTCAACGAAGAAGAAGTAGCAGAGCAAGAAGATAAAGAACATCTGATTGGATTTGCGCGTCTGTATTCGGGAACGTTGACGGTTGGTCAGGAGATTTATGTTCTCCCACCCAAATTCACTCCAGCCAATCCGAGAGCCGCCCCCGAACCCAAGAAGGTCACAATTACTGCCCTGTACCTTCTCATGGGACGCAGTCTGGAAGCTCTCAATTCCGTCCCTGCAGGTTCCGTCGTAGGTATTGCAGGCCTTGAAGGTGCTATTCTCAAGTCCGGAACTCTTTGTTCTCAACTCGATGGTGCCCCCAATCTTTCTTCGTCATCAGCCATCAGCACCAATGCGCCCATCGTGCGTGTTGCAGTCGAACCGGCATGGCCCGCAGATCTGGACAAGATGGTCAAGGGCTTGCGTCTGCTTGAACAGGCTGATCCAGCAGTATTGTACGAGCAATTGGAAAGTGGTGAGCACGTCATTCTTACTGCTGGCGAACTGCATCTGGAGCGCTGTCTCAAGGATCTCCGTGAACGTTTCGCCAAGTGCGATGTCCAAGCTGGAGAAGTTATTGTACCATACAGAGAAGGTATCACCAATTATGTCGCCTCGTCGACCACAGAAAACAAGGAGGAGATGAACCCGCCAAAATACCCTGATCTGGGTAGAGGTAGAGTCGACGTTGTTACCACTAGCAAACAGATCACTGTTCGCTTGAGCGTTCGACCTCTTCCCGACTCTGTCACGAACTTCCTCGTCAAGAATACCGCTGCAGTCAAGAGACTGTATTCTGAGAGGAAGGCCGAGCAACAAGACGCTCCTGTCGCCGATGGCGAGGCTGTGGAACAAGAAGCAGAGCATGAAGCTGGTAACGACGTTGGTACTGTCGAGTCAGGCCGAGCATTGTCCATGGATGAGTTCAAGGCACAGCTGAACACAGCATTTGGTGAGACCAAGGCAGAGAAGGAGCTTTGGCAAGATGCTACCGAAAAGATCACAGCATTTGGGCCTCGCAGAACAGGACCGAATGTTCTCATTGATGCTACCCCAGGTGGTATCTGCGGCAAATTGTAAGTGAAGCGAACACCTTCTTTGGAGGGCAATAAAACTGACACCTTCCAGCCTACGTGATATGAAGCATGACGGAGATGACACTACCGAGGACAATGCTCGTCCGGATCAACTTCGAGCTCAAGACTTCGTCGACAAGATCACATATGCATTCCAGCTTGCTACCAACCAAGGCCCCCTGTGTAACGAACCTATGCAGGGAGTGGCAGTCTTTGTCGAAGACATCACAATCAACAAGACCGACGACGAGCAACAAAACATGGGCCGACTTACTGGTGAAGTCATAAAGTCGACGCGTGACAGTATTCGACAAGGTTTCCTGGACTGGAGCCCACGTTTGATGCTCGCCATGTACAGTTGCGAGATTCAAGCTTCTGCAGAAGTTCTAGGACGTGTCTATGCAGTCATTACAAGACGTCGTGGACGCATCATCTCCGAATCACTTCTCGAGCCCTCGCCCAACTTCACCATCTTGGCTTTGTTGCCTGTGGCCGAAAGTTTTGGTTTCTCGGATGAGATCCGTAAGCGTACATCAGGCGCTGCCAGCCCTCAGCTTGTCTTCGAAGGCTTTGAGATGCTAGATGAGGATCCTTTCTGGGTGCCAAGAACTGAAGAAGAGATTGAAGACCTTGGTGAGAAGGGTGATCGTGAAAACGTCGCCAAGCGCTATGTCGATGCTGTTAGAGAGCGCAAGGGTCTTTTCGTTCAAAGAAAGGTTGTCGAGCATGGAGAGAAGCAAAAGACCTTGAAGCGTTAAGACTATGAGCTCAATGCTAGGCCATGACACCTTCTAAACGCTTCTGGTAGGACATTATCTCACCCTACAATGAATGCTAAACAGGAGTGACTCAACTCTCGCAAAGACAGATCCGACTCCTCCCAAAACATTCAGCGCAAACTTGCTCGACGTGCCGTCATAGTCTTCATCAGTACAAAGTGACTCACACGAATTCGCAACACTATCACTGTTCTATGGAAAGAGTTTTCGAATCTCCAGCTTGCCCTCCTTGAGCTTCAGACTGGATTCTTGTGACCCAATTCAGGACATAGCAACCACAATCAATTGATAGCTTCAGATTTCACATAATAGTCACTCAAGAGATACCAGCTTCTCGCCGGGCAGACTGCTTGCATCATGGCTCGAATAACCGCACCGTCCACTGAAGGCGATCAAGCCACCACCGTTCTCGATCTGGATGAAGATGTTGTTGGGTGTATCGCGGCTTACCTCGACCACAAGGACATTGAGCAGCTGCGACTAACGTGCAAACTATTCTGCCTGAACCTGCAACGGGTGTTTGGATCTCGATTCCGCCACCGACATTTCATCTTCACACCGTATAGTATGGAAGCATTCGTTTCCATGTCGGCCCACCCAATTCTGGGACCCTGGATAGAAAGTGTCGCTTTTGGCACCTATCGAATTGCGGGAGATCCGGATATCGTTGTGCCTGGAGTCACTGATCACAGTCCTAGGCAATTGAGCTTTACGAAGCAATGGGAGATGTTGGATCTGCAGAAATTGCGATTTAATGAGCAAACCCAGTTCATCGCATCCCGTCGACACAGAGAGCTGTTGACTCAGGCTCTGAAAAATCTGATGAAGCATCGGCGATCCATAAAACTTGGCACATTCGATGATATAGTATCCTGTACAGGCGACAGACTCTCCTTTCAAGCCTTCTCAGGTCTGGGTTCGAAGAGATTCTACGAAAACACGTTTCTTGCGTGCCGTTCCCGCGACAGCTATGAGACCTTGGGCACATTGATCAAGGCATCCAGGCAGGCCAGCTATCCCATGGAGCACTTAAATGTGGCACTTCATTGTGGTTGTAGAACCCAACAATATGGCTGCAAACACGACTGGGGCAAGGTGTCAGCCTGGCTCAATGACTTCCTAACACAAAGCATTGCGGACGGTACCAGTCTTGTTATGACCGTGGCCAACAGAAACTCCAAGGAACTATACATCAACCGAGACCAACGCTTGATCGCTTTTCGTGGCGAATGTTTGCAGCCCAGAAGCATACGTCACTGTACAGACGGGTTCACCAATGCATCTTTCGGACGACTTGGAATAGCAATGTATGCAGATGAATATCAAAACATTGAAATTTCCGATTGCGGCGTGCAATGGTCGCCATTCATTCGATTTCTCACCCAGCATGCGTCCACAATCCTCACGCTCCGACTGCAGAGGATGCTCTTTTGGAATAGGACCTGGTCAATACCCTTTCTGGAAACCGCTCTTGAGCTACCTCATCTCGAGAATCTGATCATGGAAGAAGTCTTTTACTACAACAACATTGACAAAGAGCTGAAATTCATAGTCGTCGGGAAGAAAGAATGGCGAGGGTCCAAAGATATTCGTTCTGGCCTGCACGACTTGATCGAGCAACAAACACCTAGTATCCCCTTAGATAGGAATGGTGGTTGGATCGATGAAAAAGTACTTCGTGGCGCCTCTAGTCTGCACTCTTGCAGATAGCGTAATCGGAGGAGCATAGAGAACGAACCAGAACCGAGCTCTCAGCGGACAGTCACCCGAGCTTTGACAACATCTTGCCTTTTGACAGCTAGTTCGACACATCCTCTAGGACCGAGGGCTTCTGCTCAGGTGCGCTATGTCCACTTGCGAGAAGAGTTCTCGCGTTTGCCCAATCGAGAAGGAAGGAGCAGAAAATACTTACTGCATTTAGCTAGACTTGGTGCTCCTGCCCTTTTCGGCAGGTGTTTGGTTGGTGGGTTGAGTTGGTGTATTATTCGGATCGTGAGCTCGGGAGGCTGTTACAACTACTTCTCTATGTCAAGGCGTGTAAGGGGTTCCAGCTGTCACTTGATGACCGAGGAAGAAATCACAAAGACCCAACAAAATTGCCTCCACCCTTTATATACCCACATGTCGTTCTCTCCCTCAGCATTGCCATCGCCTTGACGACAGGCGGTGGTGGCCCAGTGGTAGTGAGTGCGCGTCCAACTCGTGTTTGGAGACCCCCACACTGAAGGTCATCGGTTCGATTCCCATCGAGACAATGTTAGAGTCATGACACTCCAATTAGTTAGAAACGAAACTGGTGCGCTAGTTTCTTTCCACCTCCGAAAGGGGGCGTTTGTTTTGCTTGTCAACGAACGTAGTACTGTATGTCATAGTCATGCTTACCTTGTTTTTGCTGATTCAAAGAAGTTTGATACGTGTTTGTTTGCTTATTTGCGCAGTTGAGGAAGTGTAGACAAGCTGTTTGGAGAAAAGAAACACATATTGATTCATTATGACTATATCTAAGCCTTCCACTGACGTTTATTGCCTATCCACCTCACTACATACACCAAGCCGAGTAACACAGGCACCTCAATCAGAGGACCCACCGTCGCCGCCAACGCTTGATCACTGTTGGCACCATATGTCGCTGTCGCAACAGCAATCGCCAGCTCGAAGTTGTTGCTTGCAGCCGTAAAACTCTGTGTCGTCGCCAACTTGTAGCCGAACCCAAGCTTATGTGTGATCCACAATGTTAGACTGAAGATGGCGAAGAAGTAGACGATCAACGGTGCTGCCACTCGTACGACTGACACGATCTGGTGGACAACACGATGTCCTTGAGATGCGAACAAGACGATGATGGTGTAGAGAAGCCCGATCAACGACCATGGCGCAACCCATATGAGGAAGGTCTGATCGTACCAGGCCGGTGAAATCTTCCGGATGGCGAATCGTGTGATGATGGCTGCGGCCAATGGGATGCCCAAAAATGCGGCGACACTTGTGGCTACTGTCGAATAAGAGGGCGAGATGGTTGAGTGCGAGTGACTGATTACGTTGATGAAGAAGATGGCGAGCGGCGCGAATAAGACCATCTGCAGGATCGAGTTGATCGCGACTAGAATTGCACAATACTGTTTCCATGTTAGCAAGTGTGTCATCCGTTCAAGATATCTGTCAACATACCTGAGAGTCTCCTCCTGCAAGACCGGTCCAGATCAACACCATAGCGATACAACGAGCAATACCCACCAGAATTAGACCTTCGCGAAGGCCACTCTCATCCGGAAGGAAAGCCCATGATAATGCCAGCATCAAGAATGGAGCAATGAGCCAGTTTACCAGAATGCTGAAACCGACTTGAATCCAGAGCTCTTTGGTCTTGAATGCGAGATGCAGTGTTTCGTACTGGACCTTGCATAAGATCGGATACATCATTACCAACAAGCCAATGGCTGTAAGGCAAGTCAGTATAAGTAATGTTGATTAGGTGATAGAGAGACATACCAATTGGTGCCGATACACCAACAAACTGGCCCTTCTCAAGAGCTGGACCCGTACTAGGAACAAAGTTTCCTAACAGAATTCCTAGAACAAAATCAGTCTTGTTGTTCTTGAGACTTTTCCTCTGCTCGGCTTTACCTATTGCCATGGCGAGCAGAATCCACACAGCCAAAAAACGATCTAGCCATCCCAATCCTTTAAATGCAGATACTTTGTCTGGGACAATATTCTTCTCAATTTCATGTTTTTCGACATCATTGGGAACCACAGAAGGCGGTGCCGTAGACAATTCATCTTCTTCTTGAGACGTTGTTGTGGTCGGCTGTGAGTCGTGTGTCGGCCATTTTGGCATCTTGACCGATTGTCAATATATTGAACCGAGGAAGGCGAATTTTTGTCAGTCCGAGTTGACACAGCGAAACCAGAGATGTCAAAGAACGTATTCAAGAAGTTCAAGGTCGTTATTCGAATTCACACAAAAGCGATGTCCCTTTCAGACGAGAAGACGATATGCTTATTTTATCAAAGATCTGGCCAAGAGGATTGCCTCGCCTCATCCAATCAGATGAGCTGAATGACACTTCCCCACGAAAAATCCGTCGACGAACAGAGCCAATCGACGCCTAGCGATGACAACAACAACGGACTCAGAAATCCCACCACACGATTATCTCTTGATCATCCGGATCACAGGTTGCCGGATGCCAATAACAGTTGCTAGAAGACTTGCAGTTGTACTGCTTGAGCTACCCACGTGTTTGCCTTGCTCAACGGACTTCGCCTCATTGCGTCCAATCATTGACTTTGAACGACTTTCTACCAAGCGTTATTGCCAGTGACATGCTGCTTGGGTCGCACGGAATTGCTTTGAAATGACATTCTCTGGCCTGGATGTTACGGCCAAAGATTGAGGCACAGTACCCATGCTTGATATAGTGATAGTAGTGATGAGATACACTCCAACTCGTATTCATGGCAAAAGTGCAGCACGCTGTCACTTGCTCGACAAGATCTGTCTCGCCTCGCTCTTACAGTTAAGGCAGTACTCTGCAAACCCATCCCCTAACCCATCGCTTTCGTCTTGTTTCGGAGCTTTGCCATTTTTGATGCGTTCCTGCAGCATGGTCTCGACCTTTTTGCACTTTCTTTCTTCCTCCAATACCCAATCTTCCCATTCGGCATGGACCACCTCCTCTTCGACACGGTTAATGACACGAAGCGCCACCAGCAGATCATGTCGGTATCTGGCGAGAGAATGTCGTGTACGCTGTAGCCTTGCTTCTGAACGCCTACCTGAGCCTTTGGCAATGGTCGTGGCTTCGAGCTCAGACGAAACAAGCATATCGCGGAATGTACCATGGCACGTGTTCCAAGCTACGTCAGTATCGTTTGAGACTGTAGAGTTTATCCCAACGGTACTCATGACAGTAGGAGACACGAGCTCTTCAATGTCGCTTAGATAGACTGCTCTCGTGACAGTAGGATCCGGCCTCACACCAATTCTGGCCATGAACTTCCCAGCATTACGTTCATCGTACCATGCAAGCCCATCTCGGTAGCCATACCAGGTATTGTAAGCTGCACTAAGTGCAAGAAGCAGGACCAGAATTTTGTGTGCCGAAACAACACCTGCCACCGACTTTGCAATCGCAATGAAGATGTCAATCAACATGGTGAATAGGCGGAATGCTTGTGCAAGCAGTTCGTCGGTGTAGAGGTTGAAGAGGGTACGAATCTTGACCTTTCTTCTTGTGCGACTGATGGAGGTTGAAGGCAGATCGACTGCGGAGACCTGACTGGTTTGTGTGCTTTGGCCGACAGAACCAAATATTTGTGCAGCTTTATTGGTGCTGTGCGCACCCAACTTTGAGACTTGATCTGTAATCACGGCGGCTAGATCAACAGCGTCAGCTTGATAGTCCCGCAGAGCTTGCTTTTGTACAAGACGTTGCGACATGGAAAGCCTGTCATTCAGTCCAGCATCACCGTTCCAAGCCACCTTGTTGAAGATAGCAAGCTTGCACTTTGACTTTGCAGAGTGTGTGATAACGAATTTGCTAAGCAAGAGGAAGTTCTTGGACATGGGTAGATGCCAGGGCGATTGCGTCTGAGTCACAACATAGCAGAGGTGATCGTTGGACACATCGAGTGTCTGTCTATCAATCTCTTGGTTGGCACCGATGGTACAAATCAATTGCCTCGACAATTGTCCATCTGTAGGCTGCGTCCAAGGTGTTTGGAGAATATCTATAAATGTTAGCAAGGCTTTGTATCAGCTCAAATGTACTTACTGTCGATCGGGCGGTTCTTGTACAGCATCTGGAAAACTGCGCTTCTATCTCCAAACATGACGTGGAACAATGCCTTTGCGCTGATGCTAAAGTCCTGAGCAAGGACAGCGTCGCCCATATCCTTTGGTTTGTATAACACAGGCTGAGAAGGCAACTTGAACTTGGTGACTTCTCTGCCAGTTCGTGCCACCGACTCTCCATAGAGTGTACCATCGATGCGCAAGTTTGCTCTGAGATCCCTTGAACGGCGCCTAGTGACTCTGAGATCATTGTCGGTCGGAGAATTCAAGTCGTCATCCCAGTCTTGCAAGTTGGACTGTTCTTTGGAATCTTCAGTGGCAATTCGTGAGAATGATGCAAAGACCTCTTCTAGCGAGACACGACTTCCAGAGTTTGCAGACTGCACAAGATAATCAAGCCTACGTTGTAGAGGCCTCAAAGCATCCAAGAAGGTTTTGACAGTAACACGTCTGAAATCGGTCTTACTTTCCTTGAGGTGCAAGAACAGATAGTCGCATTCACTTTCTCTTCCCGGAGCAGCAGTGACCTCTGTGATTGAAGACAGGCTAATTTCAGCAACAAGAACCATTCCGAAGTGATTGCTGTAGAAGTAAATCTTTTCCGTGGTCACATAGATGCGACCTGGGAATTCTTGCTGCTCGTTTGGATTCCACATGGCGGTAAAGACGAGAATGACCTTCTCAGAGCGGGGAACGGACGAGAAGAGAACATGGAACTCGGCATCATGTTCTTTAAGCACAAGCACATCATCTGTCTTGAGTGACACTGGATAGTCTGTATGTGATCCGTCAAGCGGGACAAGCGGCAGTCTAGACTGCGAAGGCGAGTCGAGAGCATCGCCTGCACTGATTGTTTTGCGATGTGAAATGCGACCTGGAGTTACATTTGGTCCAATCTCTGCAATCTTCAGATCTTTTGGTGGCTCCATGCCTTCCATAATTGCCATATCGTCGTGGTATTGGCCAACAGACTTGGCGGCAGGTCTCGACATGAATCCAGGCTTCGGTTCGTCACGACCGAGTCGATTGATGTTGACCCAATTCGACGAGCCCCAGAGATTTGCCATGAGACTGCTAGGCATGGCTGAAGTATCGGACTTGCCGCTCGAGGCACGCTGGCCACTTACTGCGACGGCTCGTCTACTGAGGTTGGTTGGTGCAGGAGGATTAGCAAGGGTGACGGGAGCGAAGCTGCTGGTGGCGGGCATGGTGAATGATCGATGGTGCTCTCCTGGTTTTGGTGAATTAGGTGTAGCACCCGGTCCAATAGGAAGAATACTGTGGCTGGCAGAAAGCAGACTTGCAATACCGCCAGCTGGGGCAGGTTGATTCCCTGACAATGCTGTGGCTCTTCTATGCAAATCGAGCTTTTGGATGATTCTATTTGCAGTGTCACGGCCTCCTTCCGGGTCCACCATTGTCGATCTTCTCGATGGGTTGACATCGAAGCTGCTTCTGCTGGCCAGTGCGAGCTCTGGTGGAGATAATGACGCGCCGAACTCATCCGTGGAGTGAGCCAGACTATCAGTCAACTTTGCAGCAAAGGAAGGGTCGACAGGTGGGCTTATGGCAAAGGCAGGGTCAGAACCAGGAGTCTGAATAGAGGAATTGCCCCTGGGCTCCTCGAGGGCTTTGCGCTTCGCACTCTCAAACGCGTTGATCCATTCCAACAGTTCGCCTTGAGTCTCTGCTTGGAGAATGATACTCGTATCCTTGGTTTTGATCTCAAAACAGAACCTGCGCTCTTCTTGAACGGCAGGACGAACACTGCAGAGCAAGACACCGATCTTTTCGCTCTCCTCCACACCGCCCGAGACACTACCTTGGACGAGCCAACCAAAGATGCCATTTTTTACGACAAACCAGCGTCGCGACCAGGACGGTCTGGCAGGTTTGGGAGGAACAGTCTTTAGGACTAGCCAACCTTGCTTCTCAGGTTTGGTGAAGGTAGGTTTGACGGGTGACGCAGGGGCACCAGAACCGAGATATGGTACGGTGGACGCAGCATAATCGTCCATCTCACGAGAAGGGCGAGCTTTCATCTCAGCCGAGTCCTCGAGTTGACGACGGGCCAACATGAGTTCACGCTTGAATGCTGATTCGGATTCGTGCATGACCTTGGACCAGCCACGAATACGTTCCAATTCCGAGCCCCATTTCTGGAAGTTGGCTGAAGTTGCATCACGGTAGCCACGGAAATCCTTCCAACGATCAGAAAAGACCTTGATGAGAAGCTGATCTAGCGAATTGCGAAGATTCGGGGCCATGATACAGTAATCCATGGAAGCTCTGAGGTAGGCCTTTCGGTCCTCATGCAGCTTAAAGGCATCCTCGCGCAAAGAGGAAGCCTCCTTTGTCTTGGCCTGGGCAAGATATCTGGTCATCTCGGCGTCAAAGATTGCCTGGGTTCTTTCCAGGGCCTTGCGAGCTTGGTTGAACTGCCGAAGAGGACTGTCGGTGCCATCGATGAAGCGCAAGAGAGGGTCAATCATGGTCTGACGTGAGCGGGCGACATTGTTGAAGACCCAATGCAAGTATTGGTTGGTGTTTTGGCTATAGCGTGTGATGGCTAGCAGGGTATAGTCGTGATCAAGGACAGCCTGACTGAGGTTCTCCGGCGGCGGTGGAGGGAAGCGATCAAAGTTGTCGAACTCTTTCTGGATCTGGGCGAAGCGGTCGGCAAACTTCTGAGACTGCTTGACATAGTCGCGGAGCCATTTTTCGATGCCTTCGACCTGGTTGGCGTAGTGGACAGCAATAGCACGGAAGGTGGGTGAGTCGAGGGCAGCTTCTTTCAGCTGGACAGGCACGAGGTCTAGTGGGCGGCCGACAGGTTGTAGGCTGGGTTGCAGGCCGTTGTCAAGGTCATCGGGAGCGGCCATGGCGGACGGCTTAGTCGAAGATGGACTGGGACATGAGCGGACTGATGGAGAACAGGGGCAGGTGGGAGCAGAGGTGTGGAGTTTGAGCGAGCGTATTTGGATACGGCTATGGCTACGCTACGGTACAGAGTTAGATTACGAGGAAGGTGCAAGTGTTTTGACGACAGCGTCACTCCTGCCTCACTCAGCCTCATGCGACCTAACAAGTTGCCGCCGCTCTCAAGGCGCCTTGCACTTGCGGGCCGAGTCGGGAGTGCTCGGGCCTCAAGTTTGTTCTTGCCGCACGCGTATATTCTAGTCCGCTGTGACTGCGAATTTATCTACTCTAGACCCTGGCAAATTCTATGTCGCCGTCGTCTGCACATCGTGCTTTTCTCTGATCCAAGGACTGTCGCAAACATGCCTCGCAAAATGAAGAACAAGGCCGTTGTGCCTTCAGAAGAGCCTCCAACCAAGCGCACCAAGCTTTTCGACGAAGACGCCGCTTCAGACGACGATGCTGTTAATCTCACCATCAACGAGGAATTTGCCAAACGCTTCGAACACAACAAGAAGCGTGAAGAGAAGCAACGACGTATGTTTGTCACTGCCTAACATGTGCTCTTCAACTTTCTAATACATCATAGTCGAGGAAAAGTATGCAAACGAAGACTCGGACGAAGAATCATCCACCGACGAGGATGAAGATGACGCCGCCGAACTAGCCACTGCCGACCTGGACAACGAAATCTTTGCTACCCTCAACGCAATCAAGAAGAAGGATCCTCGTGTCTACGACCCCAAGGTCACCTTTTACACTCCTTTCGAAGCCGACCAAGCCAATGATGATGGTACCAAGAAGGAAAAGCCTCTGTACCTGGCAGACTACCATCGCCAAAACCTCCTCAATGGCAACGCAGAGGTCGACGAGGAGGAAGACGCTCCCCCACAAACATACGCTCAAGAGCAACAAGCCCTCAAGGACGACCTGATCAACCAGATGCATGCTACTGCTGAGGAAGAAGCCGACGACGAAGATGACTTCCTTGTCAAGAAGCCAGGTCAGACCCGTGCTGCCAACGATGCCCCTCGCCCGCAAATCACCGAGCGCGACATTCAAGTCGCCGACAAGGACCCCGAGACTTTCTTGTCGAACTTTATGCAATCGCGTGCATGGGTCCCTGATGAGAAGTCTCGCTTCGATGCCTTCGATTCCGACGACTCCGAGGACGAGAGACGTGCCGAGATGTTCGAAGATGCCTACAATATGCGTTTCGAGGACCCTACCAAGGCCAATGAGAAGCTCATGACCTTCTCTCGTGATGTCGCCAAGCTGAGTGCTCGTAGAGAGGAGAAGAGTGGTAGAAAGAAGCAACGTGAGAAGGAACGCGAAAAGAAGGAGGCTATCAAGCGTGAACGCACAGAGGAGAAGGCTAGACTCAGAAAGCTCAAGATTGACGAGGTTGAAGAGAAGGTCAAGAAGATCAAGGAGGCTGCTGGTCTCAAGAACCAGGCTCTCGATCTTGGCGAGTGGAAGCAAGTGCTAGACGAAGACTGGGACGACGATCACTGGGAACAAGAGATGAAACGTCGCTTCGGTGACAATTATTACTCCGAGAAGGACGCCATTGTCGAGGATGATGCCGACGAGGAAGAGGAAGAAGATGCAGACAAGACAAAGAAGCCGCATAAACCAAAGTGGGACGACGACATTGACATCAATGATCTCGTGCCCGAGTTTGACGAAGAGGCAGAGGCGGCAAAGCTCAGAGGTGAATTGGCCGGGTCTGATGAGGAGGAAGATGATGCAGAAGACAACGCAGACGAAGACGACGACAACATCATCGCTCCCGATGGCGTTCAACGCAAGACCAAAAAGGACCGACTCAAGGAGGCCGCCGACAAGAGACGTGTTGCTCGTAAAGAGCGCATGGCTATTGAGGAGCTTGTTGACGCAGATTTGACCGGTGATCTCCCCGTCTCTACGAAGACATCTGGATTCCGTTATCGCGAGACCTCGCCAACATCATTCGGTTTGACTGCGCGCGATATCCTCTTTGCCGACGACACTGCACTGAACGAGTATGCCGGTCTGAAGAAGCTGGCTACCTGGCGTGACGAGGACAAGAAAAAGAAGGATAAGAAGAAGCTGGGCAAGAAGGCTCGTCTACGACAATGGCGCAAAGAAACCTTTGGCACCGAAGAAGGCTTTACTGGCGGCTTCAAGGAGTTTTTGGGTGAGGAGGCACCAGCACAGAGTAGTGCAGGAGCTGAAGGTGGAAGCAGAAAGAGAAGAGGAAAGAAGCGCAAGGCTGAAGCATGATTCATCAACTAATACCCATCAACATATAGCATGTCAAAAAGATCAAACCACTTTATCCTTCATCGTTTGCGGACTTGGTCTTGTCTCTTTGAAACTGGGAATCTCTTCTAGCATTTGCCAATGCTTTTTCAGAGCAGGGTACGTGTCCCTCCAACCATGATCTGGCCATCTACATGCCAGATATCCACAGACAGACCCTACAGCGATATCAGCCAAGCCAAGCTTGTCCCCAACAAGATAGTCGCTCTGTCTCTGTTCTGCCCATTCTCCCAATGCCTTTAGTCCACCTTCCACTTTTCTCATTTGTCTATCAATCCATGGTTGTGACTGCTTTTCGGGGTCTCTCATCTTTTCAAAAAAGGCAATCACAAGCGCGTCGCAAATGCCATCTGCCACGACTTGTATCTTCTTTGCAAACAATCTTGCGTCGATGTCGTCAGGGCCAGGAAGAAGGGGAGGATCTGGGTACTTTGCTTCGATCCATTCGAGTATGTAGCTGGACTCGTATACTGCCGACTTTCCGTCTTCAAGGATCAAGACGGGAAGCTTCTCGAGTGGGTTGTACTGTTTTGTTTGGGTTGTGCTGTCCCATGGAACCTCGGTTTGAAGAGTGAATGGCAGCTTTTTTTCGGCCAGTGCAATGCGGACCTTGCGAGCATAAGGAGAAGGTGTAGCACTGATGAGAGTAAACATGGCGAGAAGTGTTTCGAACAGATATAGACTGACAGATGCTGTTTTGAGACGATGCACAGTAGCTATGAAGTATATAAATTCAATGGATGCTCAAGAGAGCCGAGGCGTCATCAATTGCGGGGCTCTCGATACCGGCGGACCGGCTTTCTTTGTGGGAAAGTCGAACATGTGCATCCAAACGAATCGCACTCCCAAACAAACCATCATGATCGGCCTCACAGAGTTGATCCGCGAGATAGCGGCCACCGAAGAAGACACACCAGAAGACATCTTTGCCTCTGCCCCCGGATTCTTGTTCACCGACGACTTGCGCAATCAACATGGCGATCCAGGCTCTATCATCGTGTACAAATCCCAGCGGTTCGGTGACATTGAACTCACGACTGCCGACCCGAATGGTGAAGAAGAGAGGACGCTGTTCAGCCACTATCTCTGGAACGCCGGCATCTTGATGGCTGAAAGAGTCAGTGGGCAACGGCTGCTGAATGAACAAGAAGAGAAGCAATGGGCTGTCGAGGGACACAATGTGCTTGAGCTTGGAGCAGGTGCGGGCTGAAAGATATCAGCATCAAGAGCAAGGACTGATGAATCATATGGCAGGCGTGGGCCTCGTTGGAATTGCCAGCACCCTGGCTGGTGCCACCCATGTATGCATCTCGGACTACCCAGCCCAGGTCGTACTCGACAACATCAAACGAAACGTCAAGCACAACGTACCAGAGACAATTGTCGCAAAGGCAAGGGTACAAGGTCATCCGTGGGGTGTCCTAGATGATGACTTTGCTAGAGCAAATGCTCGCAAGTTCAGTCGAGTGATGGCTGCAGACTGTTTCTGGATGCCATGGCAGCACGAGAACCTGGCATCATCCATGCTTCACTTCCTGTCTGACGACCCGGAAGCTCGAGTGCTTGCGATGGGAGGATTCCATACCGGCCGAGCAAAGCTGGCAGCATTCTTCGATGTGGCTTCAGAAAAGGGACTCGAGGTACAAGAGATCTATGAGGAAGACGATCAAGGCAATAGACGAGAATGGGTCAAGGAGAAGGACGGCGGAAGGGAAAATGTGACTGAGCGAAAGAAATGGCTCACCATTGCCATCTTGCGGCGAGGAGAGGAGCAAAGGCTTTGAGACGCTATTAGACACTGCCGGCTCATGGCAGTAATTCAGCATAGAGTAGAGTCGTTGAGGTTTCTCGAGTTAAACATAACAATCATCACGAATTCGAAAGAGGATGAATGAAAGATAGATTGACAAGCAGAACGATGACCCTGGCCGGCAGATGGCATCGGGCAGGCATGCAGCCGAGCAAGGCGTGAACCAAGTAGCCAAGTTGGTGAGCCAGGATCTTGTGGTCACTGGTTGTGCATGGCTGGTATCAAATATAGCAAGAGCAAGCTGGTGATGATCCTCTGAAGATGGATACGACAGGTGGCTGGAGTGTTTTGACGCTTGGACAATTGACAGGCGGTTCTGCTCCCCGAGCAACGGGCGGATGGAGAGTGGAGAAGGACGCTGAACGACAACGAGGATACCACAACCCGATGCATCTCTCAATGCAGGAAGCATGCTGCACGCGTTTGTTGTGTGACCAGCGCACCATAGTTCAAGATCAACAGTGAGAAAAACACGTAGTCGACATGTATGCGTAGATGGCATACAAAAGCTAGTAGGTAGTGCCCGTCTTTTCCCAGCCTGCTCTTTTCTGGCGGCACCACCCCATCACACAATCTGCAGCATCCGACCAACCACCTCTCGCGTGCGAAAGCCACTACTGTTTCGTTATTAACTATTCCGTCTTCCTGTCTGTCCTGCACTTCCCATACGCCAAAAGTCGTTTGTTTTTATCTCGCGACCATCCCCTCGCCCTCGACTTTTCCCGCCCACCATGTTTTTCAAGCGCCTGTCGAGATCTCGTAGCAATTCACAGAGCTACATTGACAACAACTACTCGCCGCACGACAGCAAGACTGCTTACGACGACGAATACGACAACCGTCCCGACTCTGCGCGTGCTCCCCCAACCAAGTCGGCATCTCTCAAGGAAGGCATGTTTGCCCAGCAGCAGCAGCAACCCCAGCCCATGGACAGCTTCAACACGCCTCCCATGTCGCGATCGGGTCCTCAGCCAATGGCCAATGGTTTTGGCGGTCCTGGTCCTGGAAAGCCCGGGACTGGTGCTCCCTCCATCCAACCCGAGCCCATGCCTGATCTCCTGACGCGCGCCTTTAACGAAGCTGTGCGACCATACACCAATCGCGTCGAGGAGCTCGAGAACGAAGTCGCCGATCTCAAGGCTTGGGTCGAGCAGCTTGAGGCTCAGAGAAGAGAGGTCCACGCATGGATTGACAAGCGCGGCTTGAGACCTGGTATGTCAAGGCTTTCATGCCAACTGAGTAGCACAAGCTGACCGATTTCTAGACGTGCCCCCGAGCATTGCCCAGCAGATGGATGCTTCCAACCCACACAACCCCACCGCTGCTGCTTCAACTCTCAATGCACAGCTCGACCGCAAGATCACCATCGTCAACTTTGACCTTCACCGTCTGCAAGACGATCTCAACGACTCATTGCCTACTCCCTCCTTCAGCGCCTGTATGCTCAAATTCTTGCCCGACATCAGCCGTCTTGCTGCCCTTCCTTCGGGTCCCAAATTTGCCTTCGACCTGCTGCTCAAGCTGGGCGGCAACCTCAACTCCCACGGTGGTCTCGAGAGTGGTGATGAAGAAGACCTGCGCGAACGTAGATCCTTCTATGCTCGCCTCGACGAAGCCATGGTCGATATCGTGCGCGGTCGCTTTAGAGAGGAAGGCGAAGGTTGGGGTGTCGCCAGAGAAATCAAGCGCATCGAGAAAACTGGTGCCTACCTCCGCAACTGGGGTGTTGAGCCTTACTTCCCTCATACACTGGACGTTATGAGAGATGGCTCTGGTGCTGCCGGCGCTGGCGTCTACCATGGCGGTGGCACTCCTCCTGCTTACCAATAAGCATATCATCTGCTATGAGAGCAATGGCGTTACTGGATCTGTTTCTTTTCTTCTTTCCTGCTAATACCCCTTTCTGTTCAATTACGTTTTTTCTCATGCTCAATCGAGGAAAAAGCATGACGATGATGATACGACTTGTTGTTTTCCTTTTCACTTTGCTCGCTTAATTCTACTGTACTACTCTCCCCTTGCACAGCACATGGCATCGGCTTTTCTTTGTGCATGACAGCAAGACTCGATAGCTCTATATAGTGGACAAAAGACAAACCAAATACTGATGCTTGGACCCTCGCGTGAGCGAGTCACATTGTTGTTTGTACATATGTTCTATAATGTCCCATACATCCCTGTCAAGAAGATGTCTGTTAATCTATTCTGCCTTGACACCATTGGCCTTGACGTTACTCGCAGGCTTGCGCTCGGCCTCGTCATCAAATTCGATGCCACGAACAAAGGCTTCACTGACCATCTCAAGACCAGCGACAAAGACACATAGCGCACTAGCAATGACAAAGACACTGATACTCTCGCCAATCTCGAGCCAACTTCCCTCGTCACGCACGCTCCAGAAGAATCGCAATGTCAACCAATCGCCAATCGCCATGACCAATGCAAACAGTGCACCAGACTTTAGTCTCAGGCGACGAGTCAACAATCCCAAGTTCGCCGACACGAGAGCGAAAGGTGCAAAAATCTTCATGATGAGCAGAGCACCCTGCGAGAAGGGGTCAAATACAGGGATGAGACGAGACACGGCGTCCAGACTGAATGAAGATATCGAAGCGATGTTTCCAGTGCTGAAGAAGGCGGATTGTAGCAGATAGAGGAAGAAGAGGGCAATGCGTGCATCGGCCAAGGTCAGCGAACGATATTCATGCTTCTCAAGAGCGGAGACACGATCCGATGATGCTGCCAAGGCTGGTGCCAGGGGATTAAGATCTGAGATTGGGCTGGTAGGTGGGGGTAGAGAGCCTCTAGTGGTAAATGCGCGGTAGATGCGATGTTCAAGTCTAACCCAGGTGATTAGGGTGCAACTGAAGGCAAAGTAAAAGAGACCTTCGTAGCTGATAGTGAGGATGATAAACATGGGTGCGAATGCAAGGAAGATGACTACCAATCGGTGAAGGTAGTGGTTGTTGGGCGAGAAGGAGTGTGCGAAAGGCAGAATCAAAGACGAGACTAGCACTATCCAGCCAGTCACCTGTGCACCAAGTGGTAAGCCGGTCTTGGCCTGCAATGAAGCAACGCTGGAACGTGTGACAACCATGGCCAGAGCGATGAGGCCGATTTGCACGCCAGTAAGAATCCTAGAAACGCGATCTGTCTTGGGTGCAGCGAGTCCATCTTGACTTGAAGTATCCGGTACGATGGCGCTCTTTTCAAAGGCGATGTATAGAATACCAATGAGAAGCATAAGGAAGCCACCCGTAAGAATCAATCTACTATCTTCGACCTTGATGGCGGGCAAGACTGTGAAAATACTCATGGAAGCGCATGCTAATGCCCAAGTTGTGGAAATGATCCAGTTTTGGCGTACAAATTCGAGTCCATAGGAAAGAGGCCAGACAATGGCCAAAAGGTAACAAAGGGTGTACATCTCTCTGTGGTAGTAACTTTGAACCATGATCTCGAGGATTCCGACAAATACGAGCAGATTGAAGCCGAGACCCAGTACATCTTTTCCAGAAAGTTGTTGAGAAAGCAGTGCCTTGCCTTGAGAAAGTGCCTGGCGACGAGCAAACACCTCTTCCCAAAACATCACAGGGAAGAATGCATATGCGTAGTAAGTCCATGGAGAGGATTGAACTAGCAAGAATGCAAGTAGTGCAACAAATATTGATGAAAAGACGGTCGTGCTCGTGGGGGAACGAGTGGCATCAATCTTACCATCAAATACGTGTTGATCAAGAGCGAATGTAAAGGCAAAGGCCATCCATCCCAGATATCCCAGAGTCACCAAGGCTCGCAAAAAGAGCCAGTCATAGGTTTGAAGGTATCTCAGGCCTTGCAAGCCCAACTTCATGAGTTCATCAGAATCTTGAATTGCCTTTTCATGGTTTCCTTGGCTTATAGTATTCTTGATGTTGTCAATACGATGGTCCGGAGAGTGATCTTCGTCAGAAAAGCCTGGGAAGGGCTTGTAGCGTAGAACTGTATTCTGCTTTTGATGTTCCTTGATGCGGTACATTTCCAAAATCTCTTGAGCGTTCACCAGCATAGCTTGAGCTTTAGTTTGCTGATCAGCTGACAAGAAATCCAGAGGCAATTCGCCCACCGAGTTGACAGCAAAAGGAAGGCCAGCAAGGTAAGCCATGAGGGTAGCAATGTCGGCCTGAGCAACGTCATGACGTTGAACATGATCGAGGTGCCAGTCCGAAGAGAAGGCATCCTCGTGGCCAGGAGCAATGCCAGAGGATACTGTGACAGGCTTGGCCACTCCAGAGCCCCAAGCAATTAGTGGGGTCCTGGTGTTGTCTGGATGTCCATCGCCATGACTTCCCCAATCGCTCATTCCGTGGTCCGCAGTGAAGACATAGGCAGTCTTGTCGTCGGCATAAAACTTGTCAATCAGAGCGGTAATCTTCTCAACACCTTGATCAACAATCTTGATGTTGTGCAGGTACTCGCGGGAGTAGGGACGGTAGGAATGACCAGTAGTGTCTAGACCCAAAAGATGCAAGAAGAAGACATTCTTGTCCTGTCTCAAGCGCGCATCCAGTTCAGCGTCTTTGCTGGCGCTTGCAAACAATTCCTCGACTCTTTCGAAAACCCATGTGTCCAGATGAGTTGCGTCTTTACTAAAGTCCTCCTCTTCGGCACCATACATGAAAGCGTCAACACGACCAGGAACAGCACCCTCTTGGAACATGGGCAGGATATCAGGACTGCCCCAGCTCCATGTGTGGCGACTGCGATTGAAGACGCTATCGAAGTGGACGGGGTTGAGCTTCCAACCTGTAGTGACTGCCGAAACGTCTTCGTACAAGCCAGCGATCAAGGCGACATGACCAGGTCGGGATTCGGTCGGTACGCGTGTATGCGAGACTCCAAAGGTGCCATGTTCGAGTACGCGCGATCGAAGAAAAGGAGCAAGAGGGCGCGGTTCTTGCCAGTCGGCCTCCTGTTCGCGCCCAGGGGAAGGGTCGGGGAAATATTGAAAGGCCTTGTCTGCGCGCAATCCGTCACCTAGTATCATTGATTAGCTGTCCGCCATACCCTTCAGGTTGACCAAGCAACAATACCGACAAACAGTACCAGTCGTTTCGCAGGAGCTTCTTCTTTATGCGCTACGCTGTACTCGCGCATGCCACTGACAATAGGACTGACAAAGTATATGTCGAAGATGGAATATGCATATATCAGGTGAAAGGCCACGGCCACTGCGAGGAAACCTAACCTCCCCATGCGAGCCATTGTTGAATTCCTGGGATCCCCTGAGTTGCTGGTCGAGTGTGATCGTGCTGTTTTTCGAAGCGCGTGGCTGCTCTCTCTGGGGTAACCTTGTCGTCACTGCCTCCGACTTGCCGACATTAGCTTCGGGTGCACCACTACGAGTACTGTTGCTGTTTTTTTGCTTTGCACACAACTCTTGCTTGACGTCTTAACAAATGGAGTGAATCACGGTTTCGCTGAATGCTCCCACGAACTAATGCCACTCGTGTTGGTTGATGGTTCCGGCTCCTGCCATTTTCCTACCCTGATGAAGCATCTTGGCTAGCCAAGACTCCAGACCATGTCAAACACCTTGATGTCGGTCCAGCACGACTCAATACCTGCCGTCTACTATCTCATTGTGGCCATGTTCAAGACCAGGGGTTTTTCACGAGTTGCTTGTTACATCCACAATATGAAAACATGGTTTCCCACGTTATTCTTCTAAGCGAACAATTCTGGCCGCTTCAGATTGAAGGCTTGGAGGGGAAGCTCATACTACCAACTGATGGGGTCAACCCAGTCCAAGAACACAGTCCAGTACAAGGTGCGCTACACGAGCGGTGAGCCAACAATTCGAGAGCTTGCAAGATCCTTTCTGGAAAGTAAATGGTGCTGTACATGTCTGACAATGCTAACAATCAATTGCGACCAGGGTCACACTGCAGACGTCTCCTTTCTAAAGTCGACTTGCCCTGGGTAGTTGATTAACCCATTGTTTTTGGGTGCGTAACTAGCTGGTTATAGAGAAACACTTCGATGCAGACACGTGTTGTTTCCGGAGTCACTCGATGACAGAGGCTGAATGGTCCATCGCCAGAGGACATTTCACAGCTGTAGTCTTAGACAGAAACACTTCAAGATCAAGAAGCCCAAAGGCATACAACTGTGTTGACTCCTGCCGAAAACCCTTCAATGGCTGTAGTTATGCACGCTTTGAATTGGTTCCATCGAAATGATTCCTCGTTGCCATGTTGACGACTGTAGCACCAGATTTTCTGTAACACAATCCCAGAAGATCGTTTCCTCTGAGAAACCTTGTCTTGAGTCTTTGACTGACTTACTCGGACGCACATAAAGAGGCGTTATGGCTGACCTTGTGGTGGAGGCTGAAGGATGAAGCCTCAAAGTTTGTCAATTCCGAAGAAAAATCCAAACCTTTTTGCAATCTTTAATCGCATCTTGGCTGATGATTCAAAAGTGGTTTGGTCGGCTGTGGAAGCGGGCTGTTTCATGCCAAATTAGTGCCCGCAGAACTGCAGGGCAGGGTCGAAAAGCAACACAAGACCACCCGCACAAACAAACAACTGAGGTCATGCAAAGTTCCGTCTGGGAGTACGCGTACAAGACGTTGTAGATACTGTGCTTCTCCTGGATGATGCTGATGTCCACCTAGGGAATGGATGGAATGACACTTTGGGTACAGGGGGGCTTGGTATTATCAAGTCAGTCGAACAGATTGAAGAAATTGAGCTGGAATTGACCTTTAATTTCATTGTGTGCAGGAGACCCCAGGGCAAGCGTTAGCCACTATGGAAGAGCTGGAGGAACTGGACTGGTTCCTGTCTCGGCTTGATCGTGTGGCTTGATAGTCTTGGAGAAAGTGGATACTTAGCAGCGCACTAATGTGTGTATCAAACGGGATTACATGGCGGGAGATCTTCTTATGCTTGCAAGTTGCGCATGCGTCTCATCTGTGAGAGGACCCACTTTCAGCATGGTGACAGAAAGGTCGTCAAGATTTGAGATGTGATGTCTTTCGAGAGCTGATTAGGCGCGCGGCTGTATGGAAGGTCATGATAGAGGCGATATCAAGAGGAAAAGAGACGCGACAAGCGGTTCATCTGTTGAACTATTTTGAGCGCGACGAAACACACCATGATTGGTCGTGGCTTCCGTTAGTTTCTGCGGAGGTGATGCACGCGTCTCAAGGTGCTTTGCTGCTTCGGGAAAAATATCGACAGTCGGAGAGTTTGAGCTCGGCCTGGCAGCCGTAACCGAAAGGGCAATCTCTTTGATCCCCTTCTTTCCTCACGCCTCTCACAGGTCTCGACGTCGTCGCTTTCTGACCGCCGCCGCACCATCTTTCCCATCTCTCCCAACGGTCCCATACTGCGAGCTTCTTTTCGCAGCGCGATTACCCGTTGACCTTTAGACTTGCGCCCCCCTTTCTCCCAGCGGTACTCGACAACGGCTTCCGCAGCCCCCTCCCAGGACTCTGTTTCTTCTCTACCACTCCTACCTACTTTCTCTCTTTTGCGATTCTTCGAAGAGTCGACCCACCTTCGCTTAATCGACCTTCGTTGGCCCTTTGATTAAACTCGTCTAATATCGTGGTTGATCTCTCTCAAGTCGTCACCTCGTTTGATCATCCTTTCGTTCATCCATTCATTCTCACACCGTTTTCTCATACCTTCATTCACTCTTTCTTGCTGGTATCGACTTGGGTGTCGTATCTGCCTCTCGTCGAATTTTGTGCATAGGAAGTGCACAATCTCCACCACTTCAGAACATCGCATTGTGCCTTGTTAGCTGGGATTACTCGACCTTGCCTTCTTTGTGCCAGCACGTCAATTCTTTGTTGACGAGTGCGCCGTCGTGACCGTTGACACATCGTTGTTTCCCGCCACGCCGCTCGTAACTGCTCTTTGTCTGCCAACGCCGACCCCTTACGCTCATTTCATCACGATTGGCTTGTGGATAAACGATGTTCTAGTGTTTCAGACACCCTCGTCTTCACTCCTTTATCCTCTTGTTGTCAAACACCACGACCGTTTTCCGGTCTTGCCCATATTTTGTAAGTCCTGCCTCGCTCTTGCGACAATTCATCCCTTGCATAGCAGCCCGGCGCTGACAAGACGCCATCAGAATAACCTCCCTTTTGACATTCGTCAAGTCCACTCGTTTATACACGCGCATTTACGTCGTCCGCAGATCACTGCGCGTCGCCAATCCGGAATATAAATCGACAGCTAATCTAGGCCCAATATGAGGACTTCTTCTGCTGTCTGGGCTGCCGCCCTGGCAGTCATGTCTGTCCAGGGTCCCATACTAACCACCGCCGAGGCTGCACCCGCACCTCAGCAAGGCACCGGTCCTGGTCAACAGATGCGATACTACTTTCCTCGCCCTCTAAAAAGACAGAATGCTCTGCAAAACACCACCAGTTCCTCCACCGTCAGCTCCGAAGCCGAGGCCCCCACCACCTCGGATCCCTCTTGGTTCCAAGCAATATCTTCTCTTTTCTCGGAATCTCAGGACCCTTCTTCGACTTCATCGTCCGATTTCCAGGATCCTTTCTCGACTTCACCAACCTCTACTGCGCTGGACGCAGCAGCGGCTGCGACCAGTGAGTCGACTACCTCCTCCGAGGACCCTTCTACTATCTCGAGCGCCGACGACGCCTTTGTAGCGTCCACTGGATCATCCCCTTCGTCCACGATCTTCCCCACCATATCTTCCGAATCTAGCACATCTCAAGAGACTCCTTCGGCACAACAGGCAGCGGCTTCTTCGATTGAGAGTGTCGCAGCTTCATCAGCAGCCGACGCTCAGTCCTCAGCAGCCGACGCCCAGTCATCCGAGGAGCCATCATCTGCGCAACCTTCGAGCGCTGCCCCTTCTGTCGCATCTACCGGAAATGTCGCAAGCGAGACTGTTACACCAACCATCGCATCTTCCTCGATCGCTCCCTCATCTGCCGCACCTTCCACCGAAGCCCCTTCCTCTGTCGCATCTACCGGTGGCGTACCTTCCGAAGTCGTGCAGCCTACGGTTGCTTCCTCTTCAGCAACTCAGCCAACATCATCCTCCGTGGCTTCCACAGGAGGTGTGCCTGCTGAGGTCGTTGAACCCACCTTCTCATCGACACAAGCACCGGCTCCGGAGACTTCAGTTGCCTCGACTGGTGAGACTCCCTCGGAAATCGTGCAGCCAACCGCACCTTCCTCGGTCGCGTCAACTGGTGGTGTTCCTTCGGAAGTTGTGCAACCCACCGCTTCGTCTTCAATCGGTTCTACTGCACAGATTACTTCCGAGAGCGTTGAACCTACGGCGCCCTCGACCGTCGCTTCCACTGGCCAGGTTACTACAGAGAGCGTTCAACCTACCGCTCCTGCATCCGCTGCTTCGACTGGTGAGATGCCAAGTGAGATCGTTCAGCCGACTTCTAGAGACTCGTCGACCGATTTCGTTCAATTGACTTCTAGAAGTGCATCGCCATCATCATCTGTCGGTTCTACTGGAGTTGATGTTGTCGAGTCAGTTACACCTACCGCAAAGGGCACTGTGGCTTCTCTTGACTCGACGGGTGGTGTCGTGGTCGAATCCGTGACACCTACTCGTTCGGCTGACTCTACTGATGTTGGTACTACTGGTGTAGCCGTCTCTGAGACTGTTCAGCCAACTGCAGCTGCAGCTGCATCTTCCTCTCGTGCTGGACCCTCTGTCGGAACCATTCAGCGTCCCGGATCCACTGGTGGTGCAGTCTTCGAATCCGTCACTCCTACTGCCTCGGCCTCTTCTGCCGAATCGACTGAAAGCGATGTTGCTTCCCAAGTCGGATCCACTGGAAGTGCCGTGACAGAATCCGTCGCTCCTACTGCTGCAGCCTCCACCGGAGCTGTCGTTCAGTCTTCAGACGAAGTTCAGCCTACTGTTGCTACCAGCCCTTCGATCGCCTCCACTGGTGCCGCTGTCCAATCTTCTGACGAAGTCCAGCCGACTTCTTCGGCCGTTGTTTCTGCCACCTCCGACGACAACCAGTCTAGCGGTTCGGTCGCCTCAACCGGAGTCGCCGTTTCGTCTGCCGATGAAGTGCAGCCTACTGCAACCACAGCTGATCAGGCCGCAACTACCGTCGCATCGACAGGTGGCATTCCCGACATTGTCATTTTGCCCACTCCCTCGACCACCAGCGGCTCTCAAGCTTCGAGCTCAAACACTGATGGCGGCATCATTGTTGGCCTCTCGACTTTCCTAAACGGAGGCTCTTCCACGACTTCCACAGACACCCCTGCTTCAGCCACTGGAGATGAATCGAGCATCCAAGCTACTAGCACCGCGACTGATCTACCCGAACAGACTGATGGCAACAATGCTACCGCGATTGCATCTTCTTCAACTGATGCCTTGCCTCTTTTTGCCACGACTACTGGTGAATCTACCGAGCCTTCTGTCACGGGCACTGCCTCCACAGAGAGCTCTACTACTCCCATCATCCCATTGCCCATCGGTATTACCACCTCGGATGGTGGTGTTTCGGCTACAAACGCTCTTCCCAGTGCCACTGCCACTGGTATTCCCGACGTTCTGTCTAGCATCGTGTCATCTGCACAAGCCGCTCTTGAGACCGAAATTTCTTCTGTCGCTTCTGCTGGAACCACCGATGCCACTCAGACTTCATCCGATGGACCCACTGCAACTGGGATTGTAAGCGGTGCCTTGTCCAGCATCGCCTCGTCTCTCGATTCAGAGCTTTCTAGCGTTGTCGCCACTGCTACTGACAGTGCCATCTCTGCTTCATTGGCTTCCGACTTTTCGAGCCTCTTGTCGAGCGCTTCGGCTTCGCTCGCATCCGAGACCACTTCTGCAACTATTACAGATGCTTCTGCAACACCGACTAGCGCAGCTGACAACACTACTGGCGCCATTCCTGGATCAATCACTGACTCGAGCTCTCTTCCGTCTGCTACAGGCACCGACAGCACAGTCACCGGGTCCAACACTTCGACCTTGTCGACTACCGCTTCGGTCACCGATAGCGCAAACGCCTCTGTCACCGACAGTGCCGCGATTACGTCGGCTACTTCCGACAATGTTACTTCAGACTCGACCGCGAGCACCATCGCTACCGATCTGACAAGCGACAGCTCGGCAACCACTTCAGCCACCCTGTCCGAGGCTACCAGCAATGTTTCGGCTACCGCCACCGACAGTGAAGTGTCGAGCACTGCCGTCAGCAGTGATGCTGCAATCACTGCCACCCCAGGTACCATCATTGCCCCTGCCAATACCACTGTAGCAGCAACTGCTAGCAACACTGATTTCACTTCTGCCACTGCGATCGACAGCTCGGCTGTATCCACTGGAACTGACAGTGTTGCGCCTACCTCGACCGATAGCGCTGCTGTCTCATCTACTGACAGTGCCGTTCCAAGCAGTGGAACCGCAATTTCTGGCACCGCTGCCGCAACAGGAGTTTCTCCTTCGGTCACCTCCTTCACGGCCTCCACCTCTGGTACACTCGTGATTCCTGTCCCCGTTACAACTCCTCCATCGTCTCTTCTTTCGTCAATCTCTTCTGCTCAGTCCTCCATTGCCTCCTCGGTTTCTGCGTCAATTTCTTCTGTAGAGTCTTCCATTGCCGCATCTGCTTCTCAAGCATCTTCGGTTGCTTCATTCGCCCCCAACAATGGCACTATGACCACTGGTGTGATTGGTGTATCAACCTCAATCCCCTTGTCGAGTGCAACTACCCTTGATGTTTCGTCTGGTACCGTCTCGGCTTCAGCCACAGACTCTGCATCTTCAGCAGTTTCGAGCGGCGCCTCGACCACCAACATCACTTCAGAGGCTACTGCCGTGTCAGCCACTGCTGAGAGCAGTGCTTCCGCCAGCTTCACGAGCGCTAGCTCGACCGAAGATACTACCGTACCCTTCGGTTTTGCAACCAGCACCGAGGCTTCGTCTCCACCACTGACCTCCGTTGTCTCGACTCCTCCTGCTTCGCCAGCGCCTACTGTAGCATCAACCTCTGTACAAGAGTCTACTAGCATCGCTCCCACCAGCATTGTACCCATTGGCACCAACACTTACACTTCAATGCCTGTAGACACTAGCATTCTGTACCAGCCCTCTGAGACAGCAACCACTTCCACTGCTTCCAAGGCATCTGGTATTCCCACTTCGATGCCCCGCGTCATTCAGCCTCCTGGTGGCATGCCTTCGGCTCCCGAAAACACAACTTTGATCCAGGTTGGTTTCACCTATGGATTGAACTACCCATTCGTTGTTTCCACTGGCGGATCTGCAAACCAAATCTTCCAATACCTTCCTGCCGGTCTGGCCTATGGTCTCAACGTCGATGCAGACCAGGTCAAAATGTACGCACTGCAGCCCTACGACACCACCGACTCATTGCACTACATCACCACCTTGGCTCTTGCATATGTTCCATCAGAGGCAGTCAATCAATTACAACTTGATCTACACACTTCGGTTGCCACCATGTACAACAATCCCGACGCAGCTACCAAGACGTTGATGGGCATGATCAACCCTGCAATCCCCATGATTCCTGGTGCAAACGGCAAAAGTAACAGCCAAGGCAATTCAAAGAACAACCCATCTGGTTCCGGCACCACTTCTGACAGCAACGGTGCTCCTCTTGGTGGTGACTCGGGTACTTCATCACCTGTCAATGGCACTTCTGTTGGTATTGGTGTTGGTGCCGTTGCTGGTGCTGCTGTATACGCCGCCGCCATGGTCTACGTTGCTCGTCGTTACAAGAAGAAGCGTGCTTCGCATGCTCGTAGCAACAGTGTGCCGTACACTGACGAGAGAGGCGAGATGAGCCAGCGCAACAGTGCAGCCAACTACTTCATGTCTGGTGGCCGTGGCCGCGTAACCCCTACCAGTGGTAGAGGAAGTCGCCAGAGTGGAAGCAGTGGCAATGGCCCTAGCGTTCGAGAACAGGGGATCAGCGCTCCTGTCCTTGCAGGCAACTCTCTTGGCTGGAACTAGATGATGATGCTTACAAACCTTTGACGAATTAAAGGATAACCACGTGCGATTACATTCCCTCTTGATAAAGATTTTTCTTCTCTTCTTTTCTTCTCTCTTAGTCTTCGTCTCTCCCAATAAAGCGTGTTTGTTTTTGAGTTTTCCTGTCATCACTGTTCAAAAAAAAGATTCGAAGATCATTTCACTTCTTGTAGATTAGTTTTCATGCCGAACTCTGGTCACCTCTTTGTTAGTCAGAATAAATGCAACCTTTTTGATACAAGAAATGTGTGTTGTGATTATAAATGTGAATGTACAAGAATTAAAAGGATCAAATGTAATGAAAGGAACTAAGTCCTAGCAGAACCAGTCCGCTTGTCCAGAAGATGATCGATCCTTGGGATCAAATCAGCAATCCTGAAGGGCTTTGCAATCGAGTCGTCCATGCCAGCCATGATGGCATCATTCGTCTGTTCAGGTCTAGCATTGGCAGAGATGGCAATGATGGGTAACCTGTTGTAGCTGTTATCCTCGATGGTGCTGCTGCAGGTGCTTTTTACAGAGTTGAAGCTGCTTCCTCTGGAAAGTCTTGGTCTAGACACGCTGCTGCTGTTGCTCGTGGTGCTGTTTCGTCTTTCCCACTCTCTGATTCGTTTTGCCGCTGTGAGTCCACACATGATTGGCATCTCTATGTCCAACAAGACGCAGTCGACCTGGATCATCTGTGTTGGACTCGTGAGAAAGTCTAGGGCTTCTTGACCATTGTTGGCTACATGGACTTCGTAGCCATGCTTGATCAGTTGCTTTTTGAGTACTCGTTGATTGAGGATATTGTCTAGTCGCGATTAGTCTTTGCAGTGAATTGGCATGTGGATCAGCGTGACATACCTTCAACAACAAGCAACTTGATCTTTTCGCTGGAGCCTGTCACATCGCTCATGACGACATGAATCGCTGAATCGGCTTTCGATGTGTGACATGAGTTCAACGAGGGACAAGAACCGGCTTCTTCAATTTCTAGGACGAGCGGTGCATTGATGAAGAATGCAAACGTACTTCCCTTGCCGAGCTCAGAGGAGACACCAATCTCTCCCTGTTGTAATTCAACGAGCTGGCGTGATATGAATAGGCCCAGACCCGAGCCGCCGTACTCAGAATATGTCTTGCGTGATCCTTGAGCAAATCTCGTGAATATGCGCGCCTTCTCATCCGGTGCCATGCCCCGTCCAGCATCAGAAACTGTGAACCAGAGATAGAACTCATTCTGGCCCTCAGAAGATGATTCGTAAATTGATTCTTGATTGTGGAAGGAAAAGTCGACTGGCAGGTCAAGCGGTCGCTTCTCAGACGCACCCATGACAACTCTGATGCGGCCGGGACCTGGCTCATTCTTGCTGAACTTGATGGCATTGCCAACCAAGTTGATCAGGACCTGCAAAATCCGGCCGGAATCCAAGTTGACTTTGTCGACTTTGAGTTGGTCGATTGAGGGATGAGTCGCGATTTCCAGCGTGATGCCCAACCGCCCAGCTTCGATCCCAAACATCTTGCGGACATCCTGTAGCAGAGTAACTGCATGAACAGGCGAAGGATTGATTTGAAGCAGCTGAGAGTCGAGCTTTGATAAGGAGAGAATGTCGGAGATCAGGCGCCTCTGATGATCGGAACAAGTCGCAATTGTCTCTACAGATTCGTTGCTGCTTGTGATGTGGTTAAGAAGAGTTTTGATTTCATCTTCCAAGGTTAAAGGGTCCTTCATCTTGCAAGCCAGGTTCTTGATCAATTTTCGCATCTCAATGAGGCTATCGTTGATCGAATCCGCGCAGTGGATGACACTACAGAATTGTCAGCGTAGTCTTCATAGCAAGGTAAGCATATCTTACGCCGATAGAGGATTTCTCAATTCGTGTGACACAGTGTCATAAAAGCTTTCCTGGTTCTTTCGTGCTTCGAGTGCTTCCTCCATACGTACTCGCTGCATTCTCGCTTGAAATTTGAAATGAGACACGTCGATTGTGAATCCAAGGACTCTTATGACTTTGCCAGTATCGTCGCACTCCGGCAGGGCAGTGACCATTACTTCAGCGGGTCCTCGGGGTTGACCGTCACTGTCATACCAAAGTCTCTTGAGTCGCAAAGAGTAGGTGACCTGCTCACCGCGCCGCATGGCCTAGATCGATGTTAGAATGTGGTGGTAGATCATGCATCAGCTTACTCACCTGCCATCCTTCTTCTGCAATGTCCAAATCTTCCTCATGAAGGACAGTGTTCCAGTCAATCTGATCAAGCGGAACGCGAGCGTGTTGTGAGAGCTGCCACCATGTTTCGTTCACGTATTGGACTCCCTTGGTAGTGTCTGCAATCATGCACCCGACAGGGGCAATGTCCATGCAACGCTTGAATCTTTCCTCGCTGGCTCTGGCTTGTTCTAGAGCTTCCGCTCGATCGAGCGCGATCTTCTCGCTTCTCTTTTGAGTCGAGATATCGGTGACTGCACCAATGACTGATGTGACAACGCCGTTGCGATCCTTGACTGGCTGGCAGGCCGCCAGTGCCCATTGACCTTCCTCAGTATCGTTGCGATAACGCAGCTCAAACTTTTGCCATTGGCCTCCAATCATGGATTTCCATGAGTTGGAAACAAGATTAACGTCATCTGGATGAATTAGATCAAGGAATTTGTGCTTTTTGTCAGGTGGAGAGTCTCGAGGGTAGCCGCTTAGTCGGTAATAACACTCGTTCGCTCGGATCAATTCTCCAGTGCTTTTGTATTCAAAGAATCCTATGCTGCTTGGAGTCAGTATCGATGTCGGCATACCGAGTCAGGGAAAATGGAGATGCACTCACTCGACCTGGTCAATGACGCTGAGCACCTTTTCGGCCAAGGTAGTCGCCAACTCTGCCTCTTGTTGGCGAAGAGCCAGCTCCTTTGCGAGCAAATCCTTTTCTAGCTGGTTGCGTCTGGCGTCTTCTTTTCTTTTGTATGCTGCTTCTGTTGTTGCCACCAAATTGTTGACAACATCAGCAAACTCGCGTTGCAAGTGCTTGATATGTTGTTGGTGAGGCTCATCAAGAAGTGCTCTGGTGGGTAACCCGATGACCAGCAAGGCTTCCACATCCTGGTAACGCGTCAAACTACTCGGTAGAACAGCAGCCTCTGTGCAAAGGTCGCGAGTACCACGTTGCAATGATCCTTTGGACCATTCATCGGGTAGGTTGTTGATCGTGACTTGAGATTTGAACGAGACGGCTTGCCTCAGAGGCTGCAAAGACGGATTCGTCGTGTCGAGATCAAAGTAAGGTGCGAAAGTACTGTCGTCAAAGTCGCCCACAGAGCCCTCAAGATAATATCGTGGCCTTCCAGCTCGTTCCTGATGACCTCGTGATTCGGGCAACCTTCTTGTGGAGTAGATGGCGGCAATGGGGAAATCTTCTGGATTCTCAACAAGACTTTTCAGAACAATGGGCCATAGCGAGGGCAGGTCGCTTGCTGAACTCCAGATCTCTGAAAGCTCACGAACGGTTGATCGTCGTCGCTCTCGCAAGTCGCAGTCTGTCGTCTCCTCAAAGCATAGATGGAAGCCTTGAAGAGACGGTGGTAATGCCGAGACATCGAGTTGGAGATGCACATTTTCCAGTCGTCCGTTGTTCATCATTGGTATGACAAAGGATGGGCAAGAATAGGTAGGCACCAAGGCTGCATTTCGTCGATGTGAAGCCATCTTTGCTCCGTACCCTTGCCATTCTTTGATAGTGTCCAAAGGTTGGCCCATGATGCCTGGGTGAAGGCTTCGCACCATCTTTCCGTAAGCCGCGTTGTATAGCAGCACATTCTCTTTTCCAATCAACAAGCATTGCGGTTGAGGTGCCACCATGACCAGGTATATAATTGTGGATAGCTCTCGAGGCCAAGACGACATGGGACCGATGGAATATTGTTGCCAATTCATGGCTCGGATGAGTTGAATATGTGCATTGGCTGAAGCGTCACCCTTCTCAAGCAGTTGTAATACCGATTCGACGTTGTTGTCCTCCATTTTGTTTGAGTCTTCCGTCTTGCGTGTGAGGATTTCGTTAGTCGTCTGTTGCTTGTAGTGTGTTGATCTACTGAACGAATCTCAGCTGCTAGTGAACGACCCTTGTGAACCCGGGCTTGTGGGTGGTCCTTTCCAATGGCGTCGTTGGTTAGTTTGATCTGCAGAACAAAGAAATAGAGGGTCAAAATCGAGGACCAGAGTGAAGGGAAGGAACAATGAATGGTTTTGTTTGATCTGTCGGTTCTAGACGTCGGTTTCAGCGGGTGACTATATTCTTAAACGGTTAAGTAACGAATCTACAACGAAGATTGAAATCGAGCGGTTGTCAAAGGCAAAGTTGGTTTAGTTAAGACAGTTTTGAGGCTCTAGAGCCCGGGTGGATTCCACTCTGGGTCATGCGGCGTACAAAGAATTGACCTTGTCCGAGCCATGTGTGCCTACCCGTGCCTAGTAAGCAGGGCGGTCGACGAGTTCCATCACAATGCACGAATCGGTTTCGGTCTAAAAGCATGACGATTGGAAGCATCGGATTGTGAGGTCTCGAGAGATAGGTAAAGCCGATATAGGTTGCGATGGCTGATTTAATAATGATGTTATTTCGTTGAGCGGGCTTCAGAAGTAGCTGAAGTGGGAAGGGCCAGACGGCTGTACTGGGATTGCCAGCACTGCCTAGTTGCACAACTCGTACGCTGTCAGCACGGGTCGTGATAGATTTGCGCATTACGACAGGTGGGCTTGGAGTCGTTCTCGTCGAAGCAGAGAGCAAGACGGCCTGCCTGCAAGTGCAACAACCCTCGAGCTTGCGACGTCATGTTTTGCCAAGACAACGCGCCTGCCACTTTTTGAGACGCGTCTTCTTTCGGAGCAACTCTGTTCTGTACAACCTCTTTGCAACGCACCTTTCCATCACATCATGGCATACAGACGCTACGATTCGACCGTGGTCGCTACGGCACCCCTCGTTGATGCAGACACGTTTCGCGCACCCTCGGAGCGCACCTCGATGGCAGCATCATCCGCCTCACCTCTCGACATTGCGCACGAGAAGTATGCTTCGCGCGGCCTTCCTACCTGGTTCGCGTACCCCATGTCCATCATCATGAGCCCGGCTCTCAGTGCCGGTCTGTACAGCTTCGTACCAGACATGATGGGTGCCCCGCTGGCTGCCGTGAGCCGCAGCTTGAACGAGCCATGGCAGATTGGTGCCCTGCTTGCTTGGAGACTGCTCGAGATCACCGTCGGCTGCTTCTTCGGCCTCGATCGTGAGTAGACGCGTCGCACTACGCATCCTTTGCATTTGCTGATACCATTGACACAGACTTCGACTTTGTTCAGCTCACAGCCATGGCTAACATGCCCTACTACACGCTGCTCTACCTCTTCTTCGGTGTCAGTTTCGAACCTCTCGCGTTGGCTCTCGTCATTGACATGTTCTCGCTCTGGTTCCCCTTCTGGCTCCTGCGCCCCACCAACTACCATAACAACTTGCGCTCCGTCACCACTCCTGGAACCACAAAGGATTTGGCTGTCGACAAGACTATTCAGTTCTACATGTCCCTCTTTGCTGCTTCCATCTACGGCACCGTCGTCTATCTCAGCCTCTGGTCCTGGCTGCCTGTCTTCTTGATCAACAATTTTGAAGAGATCCTCACTCTAGAGTTCGCTCATAATGCCGTCTTCCCTGTCGTTTTCGCTGCATGCTTGCCCATCGGTTGGGCTGCCAAGGATTTCCTCTTTAGCACTTCCATCGTCTATGCCCGCGCAACTCCTGCAGAGCTCGTTCAGTTCGACCCCAAGACCGCCACCCTGGGCGAGACCTTCATGTACAATGCCGGTGTTAAGCAGTTTTCTAGCAGAGAAGGCATTCTTGGCAAGCGTACCTTCTTGCTTGTCGCCTTCACCGCTGCTCACTCTTTCATCAAGGTCTTCGGTACTGTCGAGGGTGCCACTATCGAAGGAGCTGCTGGTTGGGCTGCCCTGTGGAGCGTCGCTGCTGCTGCAACTGGCCTAGGCTTCCTCTACGTTGGAGACGCTTGATTTATATTACCCCTTCTGATGCATCCTCTGAGATGCATTCACATCATTTCTCCTCCTGATTTGAGGAACATTGACGATGCCTTGAGTGGTCTGCTTATGCTTTGGTTTCCATCAGAATCCTGAACCTTTCCCCAAGTACAATAGCCGACTTGGCCAAATCCAAGCGCCCGGCACCAGACAAGATCAGTTGTCGGGTATGTTATCTCGAAAGTTTACAGACATCAAGCGACTCCCTTTGCTAGTTGACATAGTATCGAATAAATCAAATGGCTACAGAACTACAACCCAAAAGCCTCGACGTGTAACCAAATATCCCGCTTGCCAACCCATTTACTGCTCTTGATCCTAACCTCGTCAGCCATTGACCTTGGACCACAGACAAGAACCGCCACTTTTGTATCTTCCCGTGTGTGGCTGAATGCTCTGTCTACCATCTCGCCCAAATCAGGACGGCCATGGTTAATCTGCCATCCTTGTGCTGAACTATCCATGCCTCCGCTTGGTAGCAGTCGTTCCATCTCGATGCCCTCGTCCATCTCATTTGTCTTTTGCTCATCTTCGTCCATCCTGCCACTTCTAGTGGCGTAGACGGTCATGCGCTCTTGCATGCCCTTCTTTTCTTGTTCGTCTTCTGGAACTGCCCAGTTCGTCTCTGCTTCGTCTCTTACTGCCCAGACGAATGCGACATTTTGTCTCCTGCGGCTTCCAGGACTCGGCGAAAGATCTTTGAGGAGCGTTCTGTAGAGCGGTACGATGAAAGTTGCACCCACTCCGCCGGCTATGAAAAGAACACGATTGTAACCGAGTAAGGTGTTTGAATGTGTTGACAAGCCGTATGGTCCCTCTAGGATCAGCGGCATGGAAGTGGACTTGCCAGTCGCTCCTTCTGTTGCTGCTTTTGCCAGAGCAGCGGTATTTCCATCCAGTACTCTGGCTACCAGCTTGAGGTTACCATCTTCAGATGGTAGAGATGCAATGGTGAATGGACTTCTTGATTTGAGCGAACGCGTGTATACCGGTCCGTTTGCCAATGAAGCATAGACGTGTTGACCCGGTAGCCAATGCATGATGGACTTTGTCTTCGACTTTGCAGAGATGGGGATGTTGATTTCCAAAAGGTTGGAAGTACCAGATACCATGGTCAAGGACCCCTCCACTTTGTGTTCGTTGAGTATACGCAGTACCAGATGCACTGCATATACTACCAGCGTCTCCAAAATGTAGATGCGAATATGGTGGACATGGAAATAGAGCACGGGAAGCAATATGCTGGCCAGAGTGACGTGTGTGGTGTAGAACACTCGATAACTCAACTTGCGAACCCACGAGAGTGCAGTTGTTCCTACAGCTGTGAAAGCGATGGTTCCGACTAGTCCGAGAATAACATCCCAGTCCTTGATGCGTTTTGCTAGGACGTGTGCTTGGATAAAGAAGTTCAGATAGAACCCTGCGTGCAGATAGAATAGAAGCGTCGAGATGCGACCCAGGACTTGGTGTGCTGCATTGAGAGTTGGCCAGGAGCATCCGGTGAGGTGGTGGACAGGACTGAACGGCGACTTGAAGGCAAGAAGATATTGTAGTGGCAGTTGCGATGCACCTACGATACCAAATCGTTTCGTCAGGTGGAGGTAATCTGTTCCGACTTAGCGACTGCCGTTCTGATCTAGTTGAAGAAAACATACCGCCTTGAGTTTGAACACAGCTCAAGAATAACAACCAAGCTGTCCACACTACTCCAGCGACAATTTCTCCCTTTTTGACTCGCGATCCCCAGATATCGATGGTATCGCCCATCCACCAGAATACCTTCCTCCACGTCTCCTTCGACCTCGCCACGGATCCAGTAAGACCATCCGATCGCTGTTTCTTCAATTGAGGTGAGCTTGGTATATCGTCTCCGCCATTTCTCCTCGCCCATCTACGTTGAAGCCATCCAATGAAGAAGTATATCTGGAGGATAGCAAGAGGTATGAGAGCCGAAACCTGAGCCAACGAGCCATACAGATCCAATAGACGCCTTCTTTCAAGTTTCTGGTCTTGACTCAGATCGAGGAAGTGCCACATGTTGCTCTTCGTGTCCGTATCGAACCGGCGTTTTGGCTTGAGAGAGATTGCTGAAGAAACCAGTATTCAAGGATGTTAATGTTCGTGAATGGGTCTATAAGATTCAAGACGACAGAAATCCATCAACTAGAAGAACAAGGTCATCATGTTCGTGATATTGGTCAGCTGTATTGTTGAAAAGGTGGCTGGTTGGCTGGCTCGGGCTCTCGGTTTTAGGAGCTGATGCGGAGCCGAGCATGTTCCTTCTTGGGTGACCCTGTCAAAATTCTCGTCGTCCTTTCTAATCACATCAACAGGAAACAAGAACATGTGTTTGATTGTATATAATGGTAGCTTGGGGGATGATTACTAGTATGTCTTAACACACCTGTTAATTGCCTGTAGCGCTTCCAGAATGACGCACGACATATCTTGCTTCAAGCTTTGGCTCGGGGCGCAACAACCACACGATATGCCGTGGACCTTGGGTAGGCAATCTACTCTACCCACTTTTGTCACGGAGACAGCTTTGTCAGTTCAAGACATGTACCTTTTCTGATATTTGAACCAACCAGATATTCAGAGCCGCTTACTCAACTTGTGTGTTCCCAAAGCCATTCCAGCAGCCAACCCGCATACACAGGATTCATGTCACTCAATCACCAGAGATCACGATAAAACTGGAGAGAAGCAGAGTGTTGTTGCAAGAAAAATAGTAATACAGTCTTGGAAAGACAGATGTGAGTCCGTCCCAAGCATGAGCGGCGATGTAAAAAAAAGATCCCTTAAACAAAAGCTTTTCTTTTGTACAAGCCCAACGCCATAATAGGGTATGTATGAGAGAACACCCATGCTGAAAGCAAAGAAACAAAAATACGAATGGCTTAATGCCAGATTCTTAATCAAAAAAAGTCACTTCCCACCTTTGACCTTTTCTAGATATGTACAGCATGTACACCTATTTAGGATCTTCCTTGTCTTCTCTTGGGGTTGTTTTGCTTCTTCTTAGGAGTAGTCTTGCTACCGTCGCCGTTGATGTACTTGAGAAGCTCATCGACGCTTCTGTTGTCGTTGGTACCATCGGCAGTTCTGGGAGCAGAGACCTCCTCAATGCTCTGACCGATGGAAGGCTGGGGTCTAGCACCTCTACCGACAATGGGAGCCTTGGGTCTCAACATGATCTTCTTATCCTGGAGAACCTTGGCGTGCTTGGCGAGCGAAACAGCACTCTGAGTAAGCTGCTCGAGCCATGTCTCTGCCTCCTTGGTGTTGCGATCTTCGGGACCGAGCTCATTCTTGAAGATGTTGAAGGCCTCGCGCATGCGGTTGACAGCACTCTTGTAGTCGCGGTCCAGTGCGAATGCCTGAGCGAGCTGGAAGAGCAATGTGGCGGTGCTAACCGAGTTCTTGCCAGAGACCTCTTCAGACATGGCCAAAGATGACTCAAACCAGAGACGAGACTCGTGGTATTGCTTCATGCTCTGCAACATGACGGCAGCGTTGTTGATGGTGGTGATGGAGTCGGGGTGCTTGGTACCGTAGACGACCTTCCAGAGGTCGAGAGCGTGACGAATGTATGCAAGGGCGTTCTTGGTGTTGCCACTTGCGTGTTCGAACAAGCTGAGGTTGAGGTAGCTGAGAACGGTCTCGGAGTGGTCGACACCAAGAGTACGCTCAGAGATGATGGCTGCCTTGCGGGCGAGCTCAACAGCAGCAGTCTTCTCATCGAGACCGTAGTAGATGGTCGACAGGGCGTAGTATACGCGTGCTACTTCGGGGTGAAGGATACCATAGATTTGCTCGTGCAGAGACAGAGATTCGAGGAGCAGTTCCTGACCGAGCTCCTTCTGTTCCTGCGAGAGGGAAATACGGCCGGCCTCGAGAGCTTCCTCGGCCAAGACACTACGAGGTGCAGCATCCTTGATGATGGGAACAACGTTGAGGACGTCATCGGGGTGGAAAGTTTGAGAGGGAGCAGAAGGAGCAGCAACAGGAGCAGGTGAGCGCTCAGCGTTGGCCCTGTTCTTCTTCTTCTTGCCACCAGAAGTACCGTTAGTAGCAGGGGCAGGAGTCTGAACAGGAGCAGGTGCAGGTGCATCATCCTTGGTGAAGCCATACTGCTTAGCCTGGAGCTGGAGACCCTGCTTGAGACAGACTTCACGAAGCAATTGCACTTGCTTGCCAGGTTGTACCCAAGCATCGCCAAGGTCGAATCTGTAACGCTTCTTGATTTCAGCGACAATGTCAGACTTGATTGACTCGGGAGTAGCAGCTTCGTAAGAGAAGTCCTCCTCAGGGTAGAAGGACTTGAGAGATGCATCAGTCTCTGCGGTGGGCTTTGCGTTGAGCTCAGCACCCAACAAACAGTTGAGCAAGTGAGCAATGCAAGCCTGAACAAACGGTGGTGATTGGTATCTGAGATACTTGCTGGAGCTGTGCTTGAATGCTCTGGCGATCATTTCCTGGATTGCAAGCTGCTTGAGTGCCTGCAAACGGGGCTGCTCGGGCTTGTCGGAAAGGCGGGCAACCTCTCCAAGGTATCTCATGTTAATACCACGCTTGTGAAGGAGGTTGGTCAATGATTGGCCGTCCATAGGGAAGCCAACATCACCGTCCTGAAGGTCGGAGATCATCTTGGGAATGATGTCTTCTGACAAATATGTGCAAGCTGCACGGACCTCGACCTCATCCTTGGACCATTGCTCCTTCTCTTCCTCGGTCTGAGGACGCTGGCCACAGAAGACGTCGGGGTTGAGGCTGAACTGGAATCCAGAAACATCGACACGCTCTTGTTCGGGCTCCTTCTTTTCGGCACTCTCAGCCTCACCTTCAGGGGCGGCCTCCTTCTTGGCCTCACGACGCTTCTGAACCTCGGCCTGAACGTACTCGCGGAGCTTGAGTCTCCAGTATGATTCGACCAATTCGGGACGGAGGACAGCCATTCTGTGAGGGTAGTTGTCTTCTTCGGCGCCATTGTCCTTGCGATACTTTTCGAGCCAAGCAACATCCAATGGAGTGATGCGGTACAAGTCGAGAATGTACTTTCTGCCGTCAGTTCCAAGCAGACCCTTGGTCTCAACACTGGCTTCAAGATCGTGTCTCTTGTTTTCCTTGTCCCAGACGGGGTGGCTCTTTACGCGCAGAGCCTTGGAGAGCTCGGCGAAAGGCTTCTTGAAGTCGTCATTCTCTGCAATGACATCTCTGCCCTCGACACCACCATAGTCAATTTGGTGCTCGCCGGGTTCTCTTTGCTTGAAGATGCCAGGTACGATGCTCTGACCAACAAGACGTTTGCCAAGGTAGTCGACAACAACAGTACCGGGAGTGAAAATGCCAGAAATGTCGAGCTGGTTAGTAGCCTTGACACCCATGATATCCTTGCCAGTAGCAACACGAGCAGCCTCATCACCACCATCGGCAGCGAAAGTACCAACGCCGTCGGCACCGAACGAGTAGAAGACATTGTTGTAGACAAAGATTTGGGCGTCACGAGGCTCGGTAGGGTTGAGAGGAGCAACTTCACCACGGGCAACAAGGACGGCACCTCTAACGGCAGCCTCGTTATACTCGGCAAAGAGCTTCGCAGTGAGTCGTTCCCTAAAGACGCGATCTTGGACATTCTCCTTGGGAAGCTCACGAGTTGACTGGAACTCCTCGTTCCAGTCGCGAAGAGTCTCTGCATTCTCGGGACCAGCAAGGAGGTAGCTCTCTTGGGTACGGGCAGCATCGGCGACGTGGCTGTTGAGAGAAGCCGAGTTGGGCGAAACGAGCCAAGGGCTGGCAGGGACGGCGTTGGCGAGCTGGAAGGCGGCCAGGGGATCACGCTGGCCATTGTACTCTTGCAGGCTACGGAAAGCATCGTTGAAGGAGGGCGAAATTTGGCCAAGAAGAGTGAGGAGCGAGTGAGCAGAGTGGGGCTTGGGAGCGGTGCGAGGGAAGGGGTCGAACTTGTTGTTGGTCGACTTGTTGACGAAGAAGCCGGAAACGTGCGAGGTGATGTGGAACTGCTCGCCCTCGAGGGTGGTTACCAAGAGGTACATGAGGTGACCCTTTTGGCGAAGGTGGTAGGGAGCAGGGTTCCATGCTGAAAGAGCCAATGACTTGACAGTCTTGGGAGCGTTCTCGGGGGAGGGCGAAAGGAGTGTCTTTACGGAACCACGGGCATCGAGGTCATAGTCGACCATGGCATGTTCGCTAGCGGGAGACTCGGGCTGGTCGGCAGGTGTAGGCTTGATGATGTGATCGTGGAGCGAGAGGCCAGCGTCAATGCCGTGCAGCAAGTCGGTGCGGTCACCAGATGCGCCAATCAGTTCACGGATGCGAACAAAGTGCATGCGGGCTTGTGTCTCGGTGTAGGGATCCTCGACCAGGTGGGCCTCCGGGTCTTGCTGAATGTCGGGCACCTCGGACAGCTCGATGAAGTCATTGATGCGCTTTCTCTTGTGCTCGAGGTGGAAACAGGTGTATTGGAAGGTGAAGGGGAGGTCGATGATGGATTGGCGAATGTCCTGCACCTGCTCGAGGTGGCTAACCATGATTTGACATTGTCCCTGATGCACAAGTCAGACTTTGTGTCGCACGAATCATCTTCTTCTTGTCATTACCGGAGCGTGAGGTAGACGGATGGTGAGCTGGAAGACATTCTCCACTGCTTGTTCCTGCTCTTGCTCAACCTCTTGGCCATCCTGGGCCTCGTGTTGCTCTACTCCATTGCTCTGCACGTCTGCGCCGTTGCTCTGCACATCTAATCATTGTCATCAGCTTGATGTTCAATCCTCGTCGTCATGGTTCCTACCTTGAGCTTTCGTCTCGTTCTCTGCAGCCATGCTTCAGCCGAACTTTTGTGACAAGGACCGGGAAAGAAAAAAGAACAATGAGCAGACTTGCGCAATGTTCAAAAGGTATAGTACAACAGAAAAATGAGTATAATACAAGAAGGTATATGCTACAGCAGCTGTGATTCAGAAGTCCAATCGCCAAATCTTTGTCCAGCCAAAGGCGAGGCCGCACATTTCTTCGGCAACTTCCTCGGTTGAAGTCGGAGCTTCCGGACCTCTCTCGCATCCAAATGTATACAGAGCGCCGGGCTACTTCTTATCCAGTGTGCCTAGCTCTGCAAGCGCATCCACGAAATATGCGGACATCGAGGGCCATCTATCGAGCAAGTTGCAGCATCCAGATTCCCTCAGGTATCCTCTACACCAGAGTTCAATCGTGCTTTCCCTTAGCTGGTTTAACGATATCCAATGCGACTATGATGTGAGAAGTCGGCACGCGGCGGATAAGATTCTCCGTACGTTTGATAGCATCTTCTTCACGCACGTCCCACGTATATATGACACCTACTTATGCACCACCAACGTCTCGTTGACCTTTCATCTTAACAGAAGGCCTTGCGCAAGGCGTAGACGATGCTGTGCCTCAAAACCTAGCAACTGGGCCAATTATCATGCAGCGAAAAACTTGTCCGATGAAGCTCAAATGTCGCTGCTAGGCAAGCAAGGTAGTTAGAATCAAGGGACTGCCAAGCTGAAAACCGTTGTCTTTACTCCAGGTGTTTCGCGTGTCTACCAATTTAAAACACAACCTCCGAAGTGCCGCTGGTCCCCATTGTGTTCACGCGTTGACAACCATGTCGTCGCTACGACCATTGGTGCTGAAAAGGCTCACCGCGACTCCTCTCCATTTACGCGTCCGTCCTCGGAGTCTTCCCCAGACATATTTGATTTTTCGGGCACGAGCCTTCACATCTATACCAGGTATTCCAACACCCGAGGAAGATGAAGACGGTGGTAAAGGATCCAGGAAACCCGAAGATGAAGAGAGCAGGTGGAAACCCATCTTCTGGAAATCCCTAGAGTCGACCTTTACTACACTTGCATCGGTCACAGTGCTTGGGTAAGGTTGCTTTGTACCGACGTATGACTTGTCTAACATACTGGCAAAAGGCTCATCGGCTACTCTTATACTCGTTACTACAAGGCCTTGATCTTGAGAAAGATGGAACATGCCTTTGCTCCTGGTTTGACTTACGTGTAACCATACTATTCGTCACAATACTGATGTATGTTTAGGCGATCCTGTTCTAGAGCTTGCTGCAATGTCCAAGAGTGAGGATGGACATCGAGAGCATTGGATACTCCGAGAGGAACAGACAAAGCTCGATGCCATCATTCGCGGCGACCTCAGAGGACAATACTACCTACTAGTGGGTGAAAAGGGAACGGGAAAGAGCTCCATGCTCATTGATGCCATGGCCAAAATTGACGGCGAAGGAGTTGCCATGTTTGACGCTCACTCTGATCTCGAAATCTTTCGCGTGCGCCTAGGAAAAGCTTTGGACTTTGAATATCACGAAGACAATATCGGATCACTCTTCTCTATTCGAGGTCCACGCGATGCTTCTGCTTTGCTCGACATTGAAAGAGCCTTCAATAAGCTGGAAAAGGTGGCCTTACGCCGAAGAGCAACTGTTGGACGGCCCTTGATCATGATCATCAACAACATGCATTTATTGCGAGATGATGAAGACGGTCGTGATCTTCTCGAGTTGCTGCAACAGAGAGCTGGTTAGTCCTTCCAGCAGTCTACGTTCGACCTGGTTACTGATACATCCTAAGAGCAATGGGCTGCCAGCAACTTGGCCACCATCATTTTCAACAGTGACGATTACTGGGTCTATGAAAGACTGAAGCAATTGGCGACACGCATGGTGGTAATGCCCGTGCCTGACTTACCCCGAGAAAAGGCCATGATGGCTCTACGAAACTACCGTGCCAGATACCATAGCGACAAACCTCTCGACTCAGAGATTCTGGAGCAAGTGTACCAAAAAGTGGGTGGTCGCTTGGCCTTCCTCAACCGCGTCGCAAAATCTCCCGACATGCTCTCAACATGCGAAGACATTTGTCGCGCAGAGAAGACCTGGCTTCTTTCTCAAACTTGGATTCTCGGCGAAGAGATGGATGATGATGTTATGGATCAACAAAAATATGCCGTGAGTCAAGGATACACTCTATAGGGCTATCACTAATGAACGACTCAGTCGGCTGCAATGGTTTTGGCAAAGGCCTTGGTAGACAAGGAGAAGGAAGACAATCTAGAATATGATGCTGAAAAGGGTCACATGCTGCCAGAGATACCTCTGCACAAGGCAAGACAGATCATGACACGAGCCGACTTCATCCAAAGCTATGATGCCATCAACATATTCACCATCGACAGCAAGGCTATGGTACGAGCTGATTCTGTTCCCATGATGAATGCTTTCCGTGAGATATGCGCCATCGAGTAAGTAATGTTTACTGGAGTAATTCGGTGCGATTACTGACAATCTCACAGGGGCTTCGACGAATACTTAGAGGCAACTTTGGATCGCATTTCTGCTATTGAGAGCTTGGGACGTACTCGCGAGCTTACAATCAAGGATCTTTGGGTAAGCTATGATTGGACGTCATTCTCAAGCCAGATTACTGATGCATTTTCAAACAGGATGGAGGAAAGTATCGCGTTACCACTCGTAATGCAAAGGGTGCCATTGAGAAATTAATCAATTTCGAGGTTGAGGAAAAGGAAGAAGACAAGGATGATAAAGATGATTGAAGACGCCAAGACGAGATGGTCGCGGAGCGGAAGTCCGGCTGTTTGTTTGTTGATGTCAGCCGGCCCTTGGGCATCGTCGTGAACGAACGAAGTTTTGTATCAACATCGAATAAATTATCGACGCAACACAACATGTATTAAGAAGCAGTAATACCAAAGCATAATTCAAGGGGTATCCCAGAGCATACTTATCTCGCTAGAATGGATCGCAAGAGAAAGCGACAAAGCGGTGTCGAATACTGGACTGCGTCAAAATGTCAACGACTTCTGAGGCCGATTGCATCGAGAATCGCACCATTACGAAGGAACCAATACACTTTTAACTCGGAATCACTCCAGACGGACTCGAGAGAAAACGTATTGCCGATCGCCAAATTGCAAATGGTTCCAGGGACAGAACCCGCAGGCAGCGGCATTAATGCCACAATCCTGGATCCCACATGGCTACCCTCTGACCAAAGCAGAAGATGCCAGCTCAAGAAGTACTCTGTTCGTCACCGCAATTCTCAAGCACCTATCGGTCAAATCGAAAGCCCCCGTGCATGCTTAGTCTCCTTGCCGACTCCATTCAAGGCACGCGCATTGAGAAGAGGAACACCAATCAAACAAGGCGTGCACTTGGAGACATCGAGCAGCCCATGTGCTCTGAAAACCTTGCATTTTACCAGGAAGGTGCGCCAACGGAAAGACCCCTTCACTCGCGCACCAATTGCGAAGCAGAGTATCGAGCTACAGGGCAGGCAAAATTATGAGAGAACTTTCGAACTGCATCAGGGCGTTACGGACGGGTTTTCATTACTGCTACAGAGAACAGTTCCTCTGGACGTTGAACAACTACCAAGCAGAGGCGCCTCATCACTCCTGAGCATGTGTCTACGCAAGGTGCCAGACTATATTCAAGCAGAAGAAGACTGGCGTAGAAGCATCAATGAGGATGATGACACTGATGTCTCTGCAGAGGTATACGAGGAGTTGGAGGAACTTGGCTCGGTTCAAGGACATGGCTGGCCAGGCCTCCGTGAAGTGGTAGTTGCGCATGGGCTCAAACTCATCCACGAGATAATCAAGGACAAGCTTGTCGCAACAGAAACCAGAGCGGAGCTTGCGAAAATACCCTCCAGACATGGCTTGCACAGGGAATCGCAAGATCTCCTTCTTGCATACGCCCATTCTTTGCCGCTAAAACGCCCTCTTGGTGTAGACTCTCGTCTTTTCGACGGATGTTTATCAAGCCTGACTGCTATGCAACCTGCCAGTGCCAGAAACGAAGTCTTTGTTCGCACTCTCGATGCACTATTCTCCTCTGGCCGTCTGAAGCTGTCCTGGCTGGCGACTCGCGATATGGTCACTCTGTCTAGTGGCATGGTTAGAGCGCTGGCATCTCAATCTGAACATCATGAACACGCCTTAAGCTTCCTTCAAGGACGTATTTCTCAAATCTCTACTGCGGAGTTAGTGGAACACGGCGTTCCACGACAAGGACCCGAAGGAAACCTGGATGTCGGGATCAAGCTTGAAACATCTCTCACCAATACTACGGTCAGCATCATTACAGTGCTTACAGCCATGGTTTTGATAGAGCGCAACTCCCGGAGCTTTGATGAAGGCCCGGGTCGCCCTACTGCTATCGAATCTCTTCTCGTGTGCCTCTCGATCAACGTGCTTGCCAATTTAGCAGTCCTCGAGCAGAGAGATGGCGACATTCATAGCAAAAACGATACAAAGATTCCACAAAACACGGTCTGTTTTGCCCTGCTCGCAAGTAGCCTGATCCTCAGCCTCCACCAGGATGCCACCAAGAGTGATCACATGTCTCTTCGGAGACGAGATATTGTGCAAGCGATGATTCTGGTGCACGGAAGAACCACTTCAGGTCGTGCGGAGACAGTGGTAGAGCGCGCCGCATCATTTCTGGTTGACTTATCTCGCTGCTGTGGGCAGAGCTTGCATTCGGATAGTCAAACCTATCTGGAGGGCCTTGTCAGTTCAATCTTCCAGGAATCTCGGCATGGTTCAGACCCCGTAAAAGCCTTTTTGAAGCAATGGGCAATGGAAAGTTCACTTCACCTTGCAAAGACTTCGGCCACACAGAGAAGCCGGGCCTTCTTGGAGAATATTGAGGCTGCAATGACACAGCACAGTCCCCTGGGCATAAAGAAAACAGGTGTTGGATCTCAGCAAATCCGCGACGTTGTCGCTGAGCCGGGACTGCGGTGGGAGGAAGGTCTTTGTGAGTGGATTGTCGCATCTCCAGTATACGCGAAGAAGCCCAGGAACATTACGGCTTTGTCAAACAAGACGCGGTCGAAGTCCCCTTCTGATGAGGAGAGTGAGTTGGACGACAGCGGCTATCTTAGCGATAACAAGGCAACACCGGCGCCCCGTCAGAAGTTCATCAACATGTCTCACATGCTGGCATCGCCCGATGTTCTGGGCATGGAACCAAGAATGCTGTCCGGCGCTACAACCAGTCTCCAAGATACTGCTCGAAACATGCAAACACCTCAGAGACCAGCCATTCCAAAGCAGAAGACCGGAAAGTCCAATGCAGCCGAGGCTGTCTCCAAGATACCGGATAATGTCAATCATCCAACTCCTCCGCATGAGAGCTTGATTGACGTGACGGACAACCCGGCGAAGAGAAGGAAGAGCCAGAAGGCAAAGCAAGCAAGCTTTAGAGCATCGTCGATGGTTCAGAAATCACCTCAAGACCCAGCACCTCCCTCAACGCGAGAACAGATCGAAAAGGCACATGGTGACTTGTCTGGAAATGATATTGATGAGCTCGCCATGAGTTGCTCAAAACCTCGTCAGACTGCAGCTTTTGCCAGAAAAATTGTGCCATGCAAATCTTCCGCCAGAGTTTCACTCCCAATCAGACGCACCAGCAGTCAAATCGATATCAGTGATGACGAGTTGGGCTTTTGATGGAAAGCCTTCGGTACCCCGGTACCTCTTTTTGACAGATTAGCGATTGTTATTTTTGATACCCCATTGTTGTATATACACTGATAGGATTGAGAGTGAACTCTCTGTTAGCATCATGGTTCTGATCCAGCTCTGCCATTATACTTGTCCAGACAAGAATGTCGCAAAAAGCTGTGACTGTGAGTGACGGTGTTATTTCCAGTACGGCTCGCTATCGCCGAAAGGATTTGGAGGCGCCTTCCTTATCGGGCGATACCATTGGACAGAGACACGAGCGGGGAATGGTGCAATCAAATGGCTGTCACGAGCGCGCAATCTGACATGTTTAATAATACCGACGGTCCCAGAATCAAGAGCGCCTCATCTCTTGAGCTTCGCTGAAAAAGTCGCACATTCTGCAAGATGGTGTCGCCTATCCACGATGACGACACAGATTATTCCGACCTCGACGAGGAAGCACCAGCCCCACATTCGTCGCAACGCCCTTCTGGACCAAAAAATAGAGAACGATTGAGCGAAAGGACACCACTGTTGAGCACTTCACCACCGCCTCCAGCCTATGCCGACGTCACGCGATTGTACGGTGCTCCCCCATATGTCCCACGGGATGCATCGAGTAGTACGCCGCCTTACGCAGCCCGCCATGATAATGCGACCGAAGCGGCCGACCTCCGACTTGAACAACCACAAAGCATGGGTGACCCAAGACGAGATCCTGAAGATGGAAAGAAAGTGATAAAGAAACGTCGAGCGTTTACAAATCGGAAGACGCTGGCATGCCTTGTACTCATACTCGCCGTCTCTCTTTTCGGTTTGATGGCCATGACAACAGTCAAGCACGACAAGAGTGATGATAAAGTCAGCAGTCGTTCGTCCTAAAATGCAATCGTCGACTGACACAAAACACAGAAAAAAGGCGATGACGAATCTTCACCTCCCAGAGGCGGCTCATCACACGATGGTGCATTTCCCCACTATGAGAGATGTAGCTACAGCTCTCTTAGCGACGAGACCGCACTCTCATTTAAAGCAAAGGAGCGTTTCAGCTTCGTTGAAGTCACTGAAGGCACAAATAACCCGTCTAGTGATATTAATGGCCAGGTGCACATACTAAGTGGAAAAGAAGATCAGAAAGATCCCGTCATAGTAGAGTTTAAAGTCGCCAAATCACCAGGCGCTTCAACATCGCACTTCAAAGTCGATTACACATCAGAAAGTTTGCGCTTGAACTCGCCTGCTTCTGATGGAGGCCATGCTAATGGCTGCATGGAAATCGACCTGAGCATCTATGTCAAACCTGGAGCTAAATTTGAGCACCTCGAAGTTGCGACCGAGCATCTTGACATTGAGATTGAACCTGGTCTTTTCCCACCCTCTCAGGATACAGAAAATCCTGGCCGAGATGATGCATTCTATATCAGCAACACAACCGACTTCATCGCGGTTTCGGGAGACGTGTCTGCTGCTTATTGGGAGAGCGGCAGAGAAACTCGAATAGACCTCACCTCAGGTAGCGTCAGTGGTCGATTTGCCCTGAGGGATATTCTATCAATCAAGACAAAATCTGGCAGCATCGACGTCAACGTTGAGCCAAAGCCCGAAAGTGAAACAGACCCTAGACCCGCATCATTTTCAGCGGAGACAGTATCTGGAAGCATCAAAGCAATTTTCCCGGTATCTGGCACAGTCGAGGATATCCCTTCAAGACTATACTCTACCAAGATCGATAGCAAAAGCGGATCCATTCATGGAGACTACATACACGGTCTCAATACCGACATTTATACAGCAAGCGGTTCGATCGACACCAACATCCTCCCATATTCAGCCAATAGTACCGGGAGCTGGCTTCGAACCGAAACTGTCAACGGAGGCATAAGAGTTAATGTTTTGCCGCCCTATGAGAACCCTAAAGACATACTCAAACGTCTGAGAAGTGTCCACAAGACCAAATCTGGGAGTTTGAAGATCAAGTATCCCCAACAATGGGAAGGCAAGATTGAGGCGGTGACCATGAGTGGGCACGTTGACTTAGATGGTAAAGATGTCAAAGTGCTGAAAGCATGGAAGGGTCCCGTAGGGGTTCATCTCATTGCTCAAAAGGGCCGAGGTAGCAGTGGAATGGACCTAGGGACGGTTTCGGGCAGCATCAAGGCCACCATTGGTGATGTTTGAATGGGACTGTCTGTCTTTGAGGTGGCCGTATGCTTGTATTCCTTTCCTTCTGATGTCGGAGTTGGGAGCAGCCTTGGGAGCGATCTGTCTTCTGTTATTTCCTTTTTGAGACCACTGCCGTGTGGCTCATCGTTGGCCACATACGCTCGACGACACTCCCTCAAATACCTTCCGAGTGTTGGTTTCACTTAGAAGTTATTCAATGGTTGATCCATTTCCCATGATATTGACAGGCTTTCGAGACACGAAGGGTCCTTCCAAAATCCAAGAATGATCCCCTGTTTGCTTCCCGCCGATCGTTCTCACCGATCAAAATCTCCCAATTTTGCTCTCAAATTATCCTTCAATGGATTCTTCGACGAGCCTCACCTCTAATCCTGTCACAGATGGCCTCCGTCAACATTTCACGGGTCTCTTTATCCATACCACCAGATTCAAGCGCGAGATTGATGGGCTTGATCTCTTCATAGAGCTTCTTGCCATCATCCGACTCCGTTGGCTCATCTTGGGTTTCCTCCAACTCGATCTCCGAGTTCTGTATCTTGTGAACAATCAGGGACAGTGAGAGAGAGCAAATATAGCCAAGATGTCGAGGCAGAAGCTTCTTTTGCTTCCAGATATGCGTGAGGGCAAAGACGGAACATTGGAAGTATGGACCTGTCATGATAGTTTTGGTTGCTTGTGGAAGCATAGAGCATTGTAGGTTATGGCACTGGCAGATAGCATTCACAGTACAAGTGGTGGGAACGCTTCAAGTATTCATGCGAGTCAAGGACCAACCAAGCCTTCGAAAGCCAGAGGCAGCGTGCATCAAGAGAACACTAGACTTTCCAAAGTCCTCTCGAAGCCCATCTCACTTCTCAACATGACCCACATACTTCTCCCGTCTTCTTCCCCTCAAGCATTCAAACACCCAAACAAACACACTCAAGAATGCCAATGCCGTAGCCACCCATGTCAAAGCCATGAATTTGTTTCCCCTCTGCGCTTGTACTCCGATATCTTTACCGTGTTTGTTGATGACCGAACTAGCCTTGACAGCCACAGCAGTCGTGATAGCCGATGCTAACGCGATGGCAAGGAAAGCCAAGAACCACAACGATATATCCACAAAAGCAGACAGGCGACCGTCGAAGAAGAAAGAAACCAGTGATGCAAAGGTAGCAAGGAGGAGTAGACCAGCGGCTATGCAATACAGCAAGAATGCAGCTTTTTGTGCCACGCGCAGAGCGTGGACGCCATCGTTGACAGCTTCAGGCCAGTGTAGATCTTCTAGGGTGATGTTCAAGCCAGTCTTGCTCAACTCCTGCTCCAGCGCTGTGGTAGGATTGAATCGGAAGAAAGAAGTGCGGTTGCTGCAGTACGTGATGTTTTGCTCGATGTCTGATTTGGAGAATGTGGCGTTGGGTAGATCGGTTGGGGTGTAGTAGCCACTGCAATAGTCGAGGAGATGTGCAGAGTAGAAGTCGTGAAGACCTAGGTCTTGGGCGAAGGAGTTGATTTTGTCATTCAAGCTGCTTTCGATGCTGTTGGTTACATTGTCCCAGATAGATTCGAAGATGTTGGAGTCGGAGTCTGTCGAGGAAGTTGTGTTGAAGACGTTTGTGCCAATGCGAGATGTGTTGAGAGTGACGATTGCGTATTCCTGGGAGTCCTTTAGAGACGAGCACGATTATCGGAACATATGACAAAACTCACTTGCATAAAATCCTTCTTACTTCCAGCGAATATACAGAGCATTGTCAACACAAAGGCCGCGAGGCCAAAGATGACCGGTATCAATGCTGTCGGACGCATCTCATGAAATGCGTATAGTCGGTGCCGAGATCAGTATGTGGTACAGCGTTACACTGAGTTGTCGGTATCGAAGGGAAGAATGCAGACAGCACCAAATATAAAGAAAGGGGATTGAGCGACGAAACAAGAAACAAGTTCACATGTTTGTGAGACGACAGCAAACAACCTACTGTGATTCTTCTGGCATAGTTACAAGGAATTCAAACATGACGTCTGGTCCATTCCAATGAAGTGCTGGCAATGTCGCGCCAGAAAGCAGGGCTGCGACAATGCCAAGATATGCAGCCGCTGAGGTCTTTGAAACGCCATGTCAATATAAAATACCTGCTTTGTCTTCACATGATTGGCGCTTGTTTGGTAAATTGCTGTTTTATCGTGAGAATCTTGTTGGAACTGTGAACATCAAAGGAATTGCCCTTTTTGCTTGAAGTGTTAACGCTCATAATATATATCCGTATACGTAAGTCATGTCTTTGTTATAGCGTGAAACAAAAGCGTCCGTGGAGATAAATCACATAGCCTTGCTAGGTCTTCTGTGTGCATTTTGATCAGAGGCGGAAGAGCCACTGTCTTTTCTCGTCGACCGCGACTCAGAAGTTGGTCGCGGGTCGAGCTTGTCCAGAAACGGATTGTAAGGGGCAGCAACAACACTGTCACGCTGGGATGAATCAACATCTCCCGGTCGTGCTTGTTGGTCGCGATGAAGTTTGTCCAAGGATTCTCCAACGATGTTGTACTTTGCCCATTCGATAGGAGGACATCTGACAACATCTTGCGGCAAGGGAACAGCAGGGAAGCTAGACGGTTGGCGAACGGTCTTTTGTTCTCGTGAGTGCAGCATAGAGCCGTACGAGACTGGATAGTCCTTGGGCGAATCCTCGAATTCCGACATCGCGGAATCCTGACCGTTCGGGCTGGAAGCGCCGAGTACAGCATCATCTTCATCGTCCATGTCCTGGTCTGGAGAGTCGCTGGTAGCCCATGGCGGGGGGGTAGCTTTTGATTGAGAGGTGGCAATCACATGTTGGCGGTATGCTTCTGGGTGATCAACAGCCTGGCGCTTGATGTCCTCGAGAGTGCGCAAATCCCGTTGAGCTTGGAGGCGCTGGAACTGGAGAGAAGAGATGGCAGCGCGGAGAGCTATCGCGTCACTCGACTCATGACTGGAGAAGGGCAACGACGGCGGCTGCTCTATGAAGCGCGCCGGATGAGCAGGTACTGATTGCGCGGGTATCGGTTGGGTGTGAATGGCGAGCTTGGCTGGTTGGGCAGGGGGCGTGAGTGGGCTTGCTGGTGGCGGCTGTGGTGATGGTGAGCGCACAGCTGCTGATGATGATGATGGATCCGATGATGACAGAGGAGGAGGAGATGCCGATGTCTTTGGCGATGGCCCGGTTGGAGGCGCAATACTGAGGGCCATAATATCGACGGTCGATTGTGCTCGAGTCTGTGCTGATTTTATGCCGCTTTTGTTCCCAGCCAGGGCAAGACTTTCCCCACAGATCGCGACTTCCTGTGCTGGCAGCTGAACCGCTCAAGGGTCTTTGGACTGCAACTTCGATTCGTGGTCACGATAGGAAAGAAACAGATACGTGATCACCTCGAAATGGAAGAACCAAGATCTTTGACCGTCACGGAAGCCCCAAGCTGCTTCGTTCAGGTTTTACATCAAATCACAGACCATCAAAACGTAGGCTTCAGCCTGGCCAGCTGCCTTGTGAAACTCGAGCAATGACTCTTCCTGATCTCTGGTTGAGACCATACTGCCTCTACGACGAACCTATCAAAATGACCTGCTATGTTTGTTCAAGGATGAACGCGGAATAGTATTTCGCAGCAGAGTCCGTCTATCGATGGACCTGATGAGTAGGTATTGTATGTATCCTGTCATGAGACTTCGAAGGCTTCATTCAAGATAACACATCTTGATATGATGTACTCTCCGTGACAGGACATTCATCTCTCAAACGGCCAGGCAGAAAAGACAATCCTCCTGCTTGTGACACATGCTCGTGAAGATGGTCGTGCCGAGGATATGTAAGACAAGCCGATATGCTAAGCCGCGTGCTGTTCACGGAAACCGGCTCGAGATCAAGGCAGATTGACATGCCGTGTAACCATGCATTCTCGCGGCACGCCATCATGACCTTGATCATGTTGCATTTGGGCGTTCAATACTCCGTATCCAAGAAGGAGTTGGCGGGGTCTGGAGGATCATGAAAAGAGCCGGGATGAAGCCGATCATGTGACGAACTCCCGCCAAAACCGAAGTGGAGATTTCACAGCCAGTCATCTTCCTCCATTTCCTGCACAGGCCTCTCTCTCAGGGAACTTGTACCATCAACCAATCGCCTTGCCTCACGCCTTTAGCCGCCGTGATTCGACGGTATCTGGAGCTTGCTTCGAAGTTGAGTCGCGTCGAAGCCTCGGCGAAACAGCTTGATAGGTTGTCGTGAAAGCATACACCTTCTCTGCGCGTGCGTACCTGCAGTGCTACGATAAAGGTCGGTCTGCGCTGATCGTCCACGTTCAAAGCCGTCGACGAAATGTCCGCAACGCGCATGCTAACAGGACCATGTAGAAGCAAGCCAAAGCGCATCATCGGCAGCAGCCATACAGCTCAAGTGGACGCGTTTGCGCCAGCGCAAGAGGTCACACTCGTCTCATCGCAATCTCGTTAACCGACATAAGCAATTCAGGTAAGGCAGATGAATTGAAGGGCAGCAAGTGCAGGTGCAGTCGGAGTCGGGCTTGCATGGGCTTGCCAACGCATCGCCTTGCGACACGGCGCGCACCGCAGGCCGCAGTCCACAGCCACGCCGCCCTCTCCGCCCGCACTTGAAAGACGTCCCATGTTCCTTCCCTGCTAACGCCCCGGCCGTGATTAGATCCGCTCCACCCTCGCGTTCTGTTTGGTCGACCGCAGCTGCTTCTTCGTCTTGTTTCTGCCAATCCCATCCCCGATTAGCCATCGCGTCGCAAAAGACGCGTCGAGACGAAGCTTCAACCTCAGCTCCATCGACTCTTGATCGCCCCGGATTCTGGAAGCTCGACTCTTGAATGCGACCGGAACATCATCATCCATTTACAGACCTCACCGCCCAAGCTTTGTATAACATACACATTGTGCGACAAACCAAGAGACAGCTACCACTTAGTCAAGTCTCGCTCGAATCATCAATCCTCCGCCATTCGACCAACAAGTTCGCATCTACTCACCAACCCTGACCGAATCATTGCGCATCGTCAACCATATCCACAAACTTTACAATCCAGCAAACTCATCGTCGCCATGGACTACACAACCTACCAGCAACCGCATGCGCATCCTCACAATGCGTATGCGCCGACCCACAACGGCCAACCAGGACCACCAGTCACCTCTCCCACCCAGCAAAATCAAGTCTCGCCTATAATGTCACAGCAGAGCCATGCCTACGGCCAACAACCAGGTTCAAATGTCGGCCATCAAGTCATGCCCATGTACCAACAACAAGCCTACCCAGTACCAAGCATGCAACACTACATGGGCTCAAATCAAATGTCTCCCACCCAAGCCGCCGCCATGGCCACCGCTGCCGCTTCAGGAAATTACAACTACATGTCAGAGGCTATGCAACCTCTAGCACAAGACCCGAGACAATCACCACGCATGGGCCAATCAGTCAAGAGTGAGCAAAGACAAACACCAAGATCACCATCACAAAGCCACATGGGTGTCAACACTAGTATGGCTGGCCAGATGGTCATGCCCACAGCTCAATCCATCCCGCAACAAATGGTCGCACGTCGCATGAGTCAGGCGGTTCAACCTCCTCAGCCTGTCATGCAGCAGCAAAGACGTGCTTCAGTAGCACCACCAATGGTTCAGCAACCGGTCCAGCAGCATTCATCACCTGAAGCTCCGGCTGGTGGTGCTGAAGGAGATCCTCTATATGTCAATGCAAAGCAGTTTCACCGAATTCTTAAGAGACGACTGGCGAGACAGAAACTTGAGGAACAGCTACGGCTGACTAGTAAGGGCAGGAAGCCGTACTTGCATGAATCCCGCCACAATCATGCTATGCGTAGACCGCGAGGACCCGGAGGACGGTTCCTCACCGCTGAAGAAGTCGCCGCTCTTGATGCGGAAGCTGCAAAGAATGGTGGCGTTGAGATGCCGCAACCAACCAACGGAACTAAGCGCAAGTCTGGAGACAGGCAATCGTCGCCGTCGAAAAAGTCACGCACACAGTCAAACGCTAGAAGCATGACGTCTGAAGAAGATGGTATCGACGAGGGTTAATACCACGTTGACACGCAGCACGAGTTACGATAAGCCGGCGTCCGGTTACTTGGTTTGACGACTAATTCGATTCTTCGGCGAGAGAAGGGCCACTTTTACATTACGACTGAACGACGGGTGTTCATTTTGCACAGCACTTGCACAGGGGGGTGTTTCTGCTTCGTTCTTATACCATATTCTTTCCTTGTCTTTTTCACTCCTTCAATAACTGAATATACCCCTGGCTGACATGCCATTTTGTTCTTTGAATCTGTATTGAGTGTCTTGTGACTGCTGAGAGCTGGAACGTCATATCAACACACTCTGCTGACAGAGGTTTTGCTTGAATATTCCATGCTATCAGACTTAATCTCAGGTTGAGGTTTGATGGGTGGCCCTTGAAGACAAACTTACAATTCTTCCCTGGACTTCGAGTCAATGAGCATAACAGAGAACATGTGGAGCTTTTTGGCAAAGCGTGATTCAACACGATGATTTTGGCAATGATTGTAAGCACCATGGTATCCTGACTGCCCCATACCATTGACTCGATTCAACTCATGGTTATGGCCCAAACATGGAATATATACTTAGATCAAGACAGTCCCCACCCAGATGTTTCCTTCTTTAGTCACTTTATGACTGTCTTTCTCTTGTAAAAGTATGTCAATCAAACTTTTATGAGGATGCAAGGATAGACCAAGGTCAAACAAAAGGACCATGATGGAAAGCGCAACCGAACAAAGACCGAAAACGGAAAGCGGAAATTCTTGGCATCAGACCTCCGTCGCAACGAATCTTTGTCCGCGATCGAAGCAATAGAATCTAGCCTAGGCCTTTCAATTACACCACACACCAACAATGATTTGCAACCGATGCCTACGGACGGCAGTCCAGCGCCCAGTCGCTCTTCCCATCCGCCGGGCCATCACAACCTCAACACCATTCAGAGCCACCGCCTCTCCTAATGCAGCTCAAAGCGCACCGCGACAGGGCAACCCTAACTCGTCCTCGCACACACCTTCCGCCGCAACATCAACCGGCGCCGCACAACCTTTCTCCACACCCTTGACACCTTCACCTTCAGCTGCGGAGTTGCAAGCACCGAGTGCCGAGAAGCAAGCACCCACAGTAAAGAGCTCAGTCACTGCCGGCACGCCACTGAAAGGATTGAACTTTTTGAAGGGAAAGAACGATCCTGTAGCGCTCGAGGACTCTGAATATCCGAGTTGGCTGTGGGGGATTCTGAAGAAGAAGGGTGGAGAAGGTGCTGGTGCCGCTGATGCGGGTGCTGTTGAGGGAGATTTGTTCTGTATGTTTCCACCCCACCGATCTCGTCGCTCAGAGATGCTTTGAATAACCATGCTAACAATCAGTGTACAGCCAAATCGAAGAAACAACGTCGTGTCGCCGCAAAGGCTCTCCGCAAACAACAACTCATGAACCCCGAAGCCCTGGCACCAAAGATTCCTCTGCACGAGCAAACGATCGATCTACCTTCTGGAGATGGCAGTTTGCAAGGTGCAATTGCAGCCATGGAAGCCAGAGATGCCCTCACAAAGTCCATGCGCAAGAACAGACGTGCCAAGATCAAGGAGGCCAACTTCTTGAAGGCAATGGGCTAGATTTGAAGAGTGGGACCGAAACATGTACAAAAGACAGGGTGGGCATGCATGGGGTGTGTATTATACTAAAATGGATTGTTCTTGATACCCCTTTCATCTTCTCTCGGACTAGAACGCGCTCGTTGTGAAAAGTCTCGCGAGTCTTGGTTGGCTCCCTGGGACAAGAAAAGAAGAATTGGGTGCAGTAATCTGAGTAAGGCAGGTCTCCACATCAGCCACACTACGCTAGGGATTCTGGTCCTCCGAGTACTTCCATTGGTCCAGTTTCCGTCATTGGGATGAGAGGTTGGAATTTTTCACTGACTGTATAGATTGATTGAGCAGTTCACTCACTTTTTGAGTCAATCTGGTTTTGTTGACCTACAAGCATTCGCTTTCTTAGATCATGTGGGTGATGATTTCTTTGTTTCAATACCGGGTATCTCTAAGCGGCTACTTCTTTCGAGATCCAAGGTATGGGGTTTCTTTGTAACCACCTTCGAATATCGTTGTTCCTTTGTGCTTTATGGCAAACCGCATATCGCCATCGTGCATACCGGAAATGGTGTACATTGACAATAAGACAAGAAGGTACTTGAAGCAGATCTGTGACAAATCTTCCCGTTTTCTCTCTTACACAATCGCCCGCTTTTTATCGATACTGCTGTACAGCACCTTCTCTATACTGACCTAAAACAAGTTACTGGTGCATCTTACTCTCTCTCTCTCACATTTGCTTCTTCTTTCCACAGAGCATCGGATCGAGCACCAAAAGGGGTCATCAAGTGTACACAACAATCGCTTCGATCGCACAATATCCATAGCCCTTCCAAACCTTCGACGACAACAGGAGCCGAAACACCGTTCTCAGAGGTCTCGAGTACATCAAGCCAAGATATGGATAGCTTAGCAAAAGAAACAATGGGCCTCCCCATCTTCATCTGTCCCACGAACAACCAAATAATATCATCCGGCCCTCCTACCCAACAGCAACACAAACCCAAGTCGTCCCTACACCCTTCTTCTCCTGAAACCTCGACAGCAAACTCTACAGCCTACGACAGTAACAACAATATACCAGCATCCCCAACATCTTCACAAATTTCACCCACGACTGCCTCTTTCTTCGCCACGGCTTCCGCAACCCGCTCTCCACCCTCCCCTCCCTTCTCCCCTCTATCCACAAAACGGCCCCGTCTCGAGCGAACCACGACCTCAGAAACTGGAACCGAGATCAGGGAGGCCAGACGAAACACCTACACCCCTCCCACATTTTCCCCACGCCGTGAAAGTCTGTTGAGCACGAAGAGGTTATCGCAAGTTTTTGATTATGCGAGTGGGGTTGTGGAGGGGGCTTTGAAGACGGTGGGGGAGAGTGTTTTCGGAGAGGAGAGGGGTGTGAGGGAAGAGGTTTGGAGGGATGATTTGGAGAATGGGGATATGAATAGAAAGGAAGAGGAACAGGGGGGAAGTAGGTATAGGAGGTTTGGGGAGGAAGGGGGGTTCGATGGGTGGTTGGATTAGAAAGATTGAAATGGGAGATTGTGAGGTGGATAGAGGGATGATGAAGGCATCGGAGATGTGATTGTTACGAGTTTCCAATTGATCAGTTCAACCTTCCTCTCAGATCTCTCCTAAGGCCACTAATAAACAAAGAAGTCAGGTCTAATGCAACGGAGGCTCTTCAATCAATTTTCAAATTCTTCAAGCTCAATGTTCCGTACAAATCGTAGTGTGTTGTGAATGAGAAGAGCATGTGATGCGGAGCTGCGAAGGCTAACAAGGGCGTCAGTTTCTTCAACACGACTCTTAAGTTCAGAGGTCTGAAAAGTCTAGAACGACGAGGAAAGACTGGAGAGGAGATCACAGGATGAGGCGTCAATTTTCGTCCATCTTATCAATCTTCTATCAATGCAAAGTTGTAGCCATAATCTTCGTTATACTTCTCTCCGGATCCACCAGAGCAATGCTTCTTCTTTCCACTCAATCGGTCTTCCAACTCTTTTCAGGTCAAGGATATCACTCATCAAGTCTTGTACATATCTTCCAAGTACCCAACCATCTTCCTCTTCAACTCCATCAATTCCTTGGCCGTAACACGTGGTGACCATTTTGGCCTTTCTCCCTGAGCATCCACAATCTGTTCATCTTTCTTCTCATTCTGATCTCCATTACCATCATGGTCTGGCAGGATCAACGCTGCGTGAGTGCCGAAGAAAGGCACGCCTAGGTGTTTCAAGACTTGTGACATGGATTCGTTCATGGCCAATTGTGCTTTGTATAGTTTTTGATCGAATGCGGCAAGTTCGGCGGCTTTTTCTTCTGCTGTTTGTGGTGTGTTGATGCCTGTGCCTCCGACAGATTTGCTGTGAGTTTTTAGTCAGGGTAAGCGAGGAATAAATCGGGAATGAGGAAATTGACGGCGTTTGAGGAGGGGGGTGCTTGATAGAGAGAATAGGATGCTTACAGGATGTTTTGAAGCTCGTTCGCACTAGCAGATCTCTTTGCTTGCATCTGCTTGACTGTTTGTCTGTTCTGATACCTATCATGTGGTTAGTTCCAAAACTTAAATCACGCTTATGAGAATCTCACCATGCCATCTCGTTACTTCTTTGATCTTTAATCAACTACATTCTCGATCGTCAGATCTGTTTCGGAAAGAAGTCAATTGGATTAAACTCACCCCTCGAATTTTGTCTGCGAACATGGGATTCTGCGCAGCGATCTTGGTGACACATCTAAGGCCGGCAGACCATTCGGTAATCGTTGCTGGGTCGATAATTGTCTGCTGCTCTTGTTGAGGTGTAGATATCCTTGGTGGCTGGGGTGTTGATCTTCCTTGTGGTTTTACAGGTTGGAAGACAGCAGCTTGGGGATTATAAGAACTTGAAGAATGGTCGACTTGTTTGGGGTGTTTTTCATAAGAAGGCTGGAATGATGATTGGGCGTCTTGCTGCTGGCGTCTTTGTAGTCTAGGATCCGTAATGGTTGGAGTTGTGGCTGCTGGAGGTGGTGCTTGTTGTTGCTCTTGTTGCTGAGGAGCGAATTGTGCGAGAGTGGCCAGGATCGAGGCGAGATCGGGGGGGACTGTCGGATCTGCCATATTGTCTATCTTGCTTTCCCAATGATGATACTGTTCGCAACTTCAGTGGAATAACTATTCCTTGGAGTTAAAAGCGGGAAAGAGCGATGCTGACCAAAAAGGTTAGCGTCAGGGCTGACTTGTTGACGCGGAAGACACGAGCCGAAGGACGCGCCAAGAAGCCATGATCATGGAAGAAGTTGCGATTTCTCGACATCATTGAAGTTTTGAACCGTTGCTGCCATCGACTTTCCAACAATTGCTTCCACGTCTCTTGACATATTCGACAATTACACACTGAGACCTTTGTACTGGATAACGATCATTGTCGAATCAAGCAAATCATAAAACCCTCACAAATCAATCATGGCGCGATCAGCATCGGATGCCACCCGCTTCACAGCAACCACTCCATATGCCAGCGCCAAACCTCAGGGACAGTTCACTCCCAGTCCCGTACAGATGGGTCATGCTGCACCTTCCGGAGAAACACCTCAACAGAAGATTGCAAGATTAAGAGCTGCGGCTTCTAGAGCACGAACCGGCAAGGAATCGACATTTGACTCCGTTGTTAGAGTTGGAAGAAGATGGGCAGATAGAGCACACAGATTGACTGCCTATTCACTGATAGGCTTGACCGGTATGCGCTACACCGACATCCTGTATTGAACGCGTCCAAGTAGAGGAGAGGCGAGAATTGGGGACGAAAGAGGTTACGAGGACATGAACAGCATAACTGACGTTGTTTCAACAGTCATCTCTGGAGTCACCGCATCCTTCGCTATCGGAGACATGCTCATGCACAACCGCCGCAAGCGCAATGAATGGCTCGCCGATCAACAAGCCAAGCACCAAGTCAAGATCAACGAAGCCCGTGTAGCCTTCAACCAAGGCCTCGCCGACGAAGACCAAATCCTCCTCCTCAACCAAGAGCGTACCAAGGTCGAGGCCGCCGAATTGCAAAAGAACAGACCCGGCATGATCAGCCGTATCTTCTCATCAGCACCAAAGGAAGAACAACAGGGAGGAAACTTGGGTGCCGCTGCAAGAGCCGCTGCATCGAATGTACAAGATACTGCATCCGCTGCTGCATCAGAAGTACAGCATACCGCAACTGCCGCGAAAGAGAAGGTCAAGGATTTGGGCATCGTCAAGGCTGTCGAGGACAAGGTCGAGGAACACAAGTGGCAGAAGCCTCAAACGGTCGGAGCAGAGGCAGTGATTGGAGGACCGCTGGACAAAGAGGCAGCTGCTTCAGTGCTCGCAGTACAGGAAAAGTCAAAGAGCTGGACAAACTGGTTGTTGAGGAGGTGATGGGGACTTGTATGTGTATATCATGAATTGGGGAGTGTCGCATTATCGCTTGTAAGAATACAAAAACTTGTACAGTCCGGGGGTATCACGCCAAAGCTCTTTTCATGTCCATCAATTGCCATTCTGTGCGACGGGATTGTAGCTGTGTCGATTGCGGAATTTCTACTCCAAGTCAGCATTGAGCATGGCGGTTGTTCGAGGATATGCATACCTCGAGATATGTCTCAGCGTATGGTCTGACAGTAGCCCAGATCAACAATCCACAAGTAACAAAGATGAAGGTAAAGACAATCAACTGATCCTTGGTCGAGTCTCTTTGGAAGCAAGTAGTAAAGACATCGGCGTCTTTGGCATCTTTGCATATCGGCAGATTATATGAGAGACAAAACTGCCTGTTGCAGTCGTTGCATGTTGCCTTCTTTGCTGTTGACTCTCCAGGAATGTTTGTCAATGGGATAATGGTGCTGTTGCTAAAGCATGTGCATTTGCAGAAAGATGTCGCGGCTAGGGAGGGAGGATTAGTGAAGTCTGAGTGATTGGATGGGATAGTCCTACAAGCACATAGAGCTGGAGCTATCAGGGCCAGCCAGAGGAAGAGGAGTTGCAGTCGTTGCTTCATGTCGATCTATCGTCTGTGTTCCTTCCAAAACAATCGACCTCATCGCGAATCAATCATAGACCACGGACCGGGTCACCTCGCCCATGTCCGCCAAGCAAGATGATGCGGGGGTCGACGAATCGGAGCATCTTTTCATAGCCTCGCAAATCCAACGCGCGCCAAACAATTTTCCTGCCTATCACTTGCTGACCGCTGCTTCACCCTACAAGCAATGGCAGAACTCCCCGACCGCATACGCCTACACATCTCCCCCTTCAACGCGACTCTCTACGAAAACATCATTCCCAAATCCATCCAACCGAACGCGACAAACGTATCCTACCACTCGGTGCAAACTTTTCCCGAACGCGGCTTTGGATTCGTAGAACTGCCTAGAGAGGACGCGGATAAGTTGCGCAAGAAGCTGAACGGATTCACATTGCGAGGGCAGAAAATGGCTATCTCGGAAGCGAAGCCGGAGAAGAGGAGGAGACGCGACAAGGATGAGGATGCCGCAGAGGAAGTAGAGGAGAAACCGCGCAAAAAGGCAAAGAAGGAGAAGTCCAGCAAGAAGAAGGATAAAGAGATTACCGGTTTCGAACTGCCTGATGAGAGACAAGTAAAGCGCGGGTGGACCGAAGAGCCTGGCAAATACCACAAAGAAAAGAAGGAAAAGTCATCCAAGTCTAGCGACAAGGCCGATAAGAAGGACAAGACGCCGAAGAGAGAAAAGTCCAAATACTCGTCCAAGCAGGAAGTGCTGTTCAAGCAAAAGTTGCCCGAAGGCGTCATGATGGCGCAAAAGGCCGAGGGCAAGGAAAAGAAGAGCAAGAAGACGAAACAACCAAAGAACATCACCATCATCCACGAGTTTGAGAAGAATAAGCCTGTACCTTCATTTCTGAAGTCGGAAGTCTCGGGCAAGGGAACTGCGACGGCTGATTTCGTTCCTGGCAAGGGATGGGTTGATGCTGAGGGAAATGTTGTTGAAGAGGTCCACGTCAAGCCGAAGAGAGAGGAAAGGATCGCAAAGATGAAGGACACGCCTGTGGAGATCAAGATCAAGCCCACTGCACCCAAGGAACCTGCTATGCACAAGGATATCACTGCTGGCGCAAAGGCTTTGGGAGATGATGACTCGAGCGATGAGAGCTCGGTTGTCTCTTCTGAGAGTGACATGAGTGATGACAGTGACGATGATGACGAGGACGATGAGGAGAAGGAGGCCGAAAGAGAGGAAATTCAGGAAGAGATTAAAGAGGGCGCCGAGGAAATCGCTGCCCACGCCCCAGAAGAGCAACAAGAAAGCACACCCGCCTCTGAGCCCGAAGAAGCATCGTCATCCGACTCGGAAGATGAATCTCCCACTTCACCAGCAAAAGACACACCGACCCAATCCTCAGCACCCGACACCATGGACATCGACACACCCAAACCTTCCACCCCACCCCGCGAAGTCCACCCTCTTGAAGCCCTCTTCAAAAAGAAGCCAGCCACAGAAACCACACCTCGCCCTGCTCCCATCAACACTTCCTTCTCCTTCGGCATCTCCGACGACATTGACGAAGACGTAGACATGAACTTCGACGCCGAGGCCGATCCAACCTACCCCAGCACCCCTTATACACGCACCCGCGATATCCGCTCTGCAGCACCAACACCCGACACCGCAGCCATCGGCAGAAAATTCTCCTTCTCATTTGCCAAACACTTTGATGAGGAAGACATCGAAGAAGAGGCGTATGACGAGGAAGAGGGATGGCAGAATGCGAATCAAGAGCCGCTTGGTGTGAGGGAGGTTGAAGGTAAAGAGGGAGAAGAGGAGACGGAGTTTGCAAAATGGTTCTGGGAGAACAGGGGTGATAGCAATAGGGCTTGGAAGAAGAGGAGGAGGGATGTCATGAAGCAAAAGAGGCAGAGGGAGAACAGAAGGGTCAGCAGACGTGTTGTATAAACACGATGGATGCATGAAGCTACGTCTTGATGAAGAGGCAGGGAGAGATGAGACCGCCGTGGCAACATCTCAGTGCTGTTCAGTATGTTCCTTTCTGTACAGGTTTCTGGTCTTTGCATCGCTATCATTATCAGCTTATCTCACATCTTCTTCAGCTTTCATTTGCTGTCCCAGTCATACATATAGTCAGCATGCGGTCGATGCAACTCTCGGCGCTGATTGATCAATGATGTTTGAGACATAAGAAGAATGGCATCGACGGATCGAACAGCTCGAGCCTATCACACCTTTGTTCATTCCGCTTACCTGATGTAGCGTTCGGTCGAAACCTTTCCTTTGCTGCTAGCTTAGATTCAGAAGTAAGGTTCGAGTTCTTTCGATATCCTCGAGTGTTGCGTATTGGATGTTTCCCGGCTCCAACACATCTGATCCCGATCACAATCTCATTGTTTCTTGTCTCAGATACTTTCACTCAACTCTCAACTCCGCCCTGTGCATCTTGAGTGCGCAGTTCTGTCAGAAGGCGATATAATCCACCTGCCCTTCCCTCTCTTTCCCATACCATCACACCACTTTCCCAAAGAACAGGAACGTCAACATCCACCAAAATCACCAGAACACTATTTCAACCCGTACCCCTTGCACTTTTTTCTCTCCACTCCTTTTTCCTCAACTCACCTCTCTACCTATCCCCATCTATATCCCTCATCCCTTCACAATGACCAAAAAGAAGTTCTTCGCGGCAAACACATGCTATACCCCCGACTACAACCCAAATCTAGGTCAAGGCAGCAACAAAACACCCAAGAAGCCTAAGAATCTAGCAGCAATCGTAGCTGAGATGCACAAGGAGAAGAGACAGCAAAAGAAGCAAGCAGAGGCTGAGAAGAAGAAGTGGGGATAAGGGGAAAGGCGGACATAAAGTGTGAGTCGAGTGAAGAGCTAGAGATGTGCGGGATGGGGAGGCGAGTACAAGATGGGTAGAGGGGAAACGGAGACGGAAACAGGAGATATTTGGTGCTGATGTTAATTGGGAAGGAGAGAAAATTATTGAGCTCAGCAGGAAACAGAGAGAGGAAATTGATCTTCAGCTATACATCTGTGAGCTTGGGTAAGGTCTACTATTTCGTTCTCTGGACATCTTACTCTATCCCCTTCTCTTCATCTCAAAATCACATCTTGATGTCCTTACTTGGTCTATTCGGATCGAGAAGGGACTCTGCATACTCCTACTGGGCTCATCTCTTCAACCAGGGGCAAGATTCATCTAGACCACTCATTTGGAAGGAAAGAGCTCTCGGCTCATGGGCGACTCTTCCGGCAGATATCTACTCGACTTTCCCACGGCAGTCACATTCCACTCGCTCTTACCAACACTATTGCTTGTCTCCATCGAAGCTTCAGCACTTCCCAATATCATCTGATCACCTTCACAACTTCAATCACGACTAAAATATCCATCAGACATTCATAACTAGCCACAACGATTTCTCGCCGATATACCTGTGACCTCTCAGAATGCCAGACCCATTTCATCAACCCGATCCGTCTCCTTCGATTGAAGTGGGTTGTTCTTGCGTGTCATCTATCACAGCACTACTGACTGGCTTCCTAGATGGCCGACAGTCTTCCAGATCATGACTCGATACTTTCACGTGAAACTACTCCTGGACGTCCCAGCTACCCGTACCCACTCACGCCTGAACCTGATGTTAAAATTGATGACGACGAATACTTTTCTTGCGATGGCGATCCTGATGGCGACAATGACGGCCCTGGTGGCGACAAAGACCCTCCTGGTCGTGAAGAAACCCCTCCTGACAGCATGTACTTTTCTGACAGCGACTACGTATCTTCTGCGAGCGACGATGATGTAAGTCAGTACACTGCCTACTTCGAACACAACTGACTCTGGCATAGCCGAGATGTGGTCTTCAAAGATACAGTCTGGTCTAGGTTGCCAACGACACAAGTGCACAAGAACAACATCATGCTGAACGTTCCGTCGCGTCTTATCTCTCGGAAGACATGTCCTTCCCCTACGCCATACCAAAGCTGAATGTTAAGCGAAAACTCATCGTCGACCCCAGTACTCTGAAAACGATTGAACAGCTGTTCTACCACATCGAAGATCAACTCGGATGTCACTTCACAGGACTCAGTCTTCACAGCGTGGAAGCTCGTTACAAACGTTCCGACTCATGGGGCCATTTTCACTACCTCGAAAGCATGGAGCACTGGCGCTCGATCTTACCCTGATTTGACAATAAGCGTTACACGCACTTCGAGATTAATGTCAGTCTTTGCGCTTAGGGCAATGGAGGAGGCACCTCGAATAGCATGACTTGATGGGAGAATTTTTATGTCTGTCTTTATCTTACTCAAGTGGTTTTAACCAGTCATCCATTTCTGATATCTGATTTGTCCTATCGTGCCTGTAGCTGACTGCCGTAAGACACGATAATCTCCAAACCAGAGTCGTGGCCAGTGAGAGCCATCAGATAGCTCCGCTCTGTGAACAGATCTAGGCAAAGAAACGTATCGTGCATTTCTGCAAGACCAAAATCTCTAGAGATGGATCGCTGGAGAGGGGGAAAAGACCGCAATCTTGATACATCGATACATCTCTTATCATTCTACCTGATCCATTCTGCACGGTTTCACACTGTAATATCGAACTCTTCGTGTTCGTGGGCTTTAATGGACAGTGCACTGTTGATTTTGCATATTGAGATTATACTACAAGTCTTTGAGTTTGTAGCTTGATTGAGATGTAAGTGCAGAGTGAGGTATCGCCGGCTTTAGAAACACCTTACAGATTTGGAAATCTTTTGATTAGAAACCGAGGTGGCACTGATTTCTGGCTACGGAGGAACTGACGTTTGGGATGAGGTATAATGCTCAAATAGACTTCTTCTGACCGTGAAGAAAGAAACTCACTTTTGCGATATGCAGATCTTCCAGTCGAAGTTCTGTAGAACGGAATATTCACAACCGAGGCGATAGCTCGCATAAGAAGCAAGAACATGTCTATTGTCTGAGAGGGTGGCGGAGATACTGGCGGTCCTGATAATCGAGTCATTGACGCTGACGATGTGTTTCTGCTTTCCATCGGAGTGACTGTTGCCAACTTTGTTCGACTTTGCGAGTGAAGTAGTGTTGAAGTTGTCAAGTAGTATCAGGAGAAGTGGTTCTCGAGTTTAAGGGATGGTGATCTCGAAAGTTGACAGTCTGGTCGCAGTGTATAAGCAGATTCCGGGCTTGGTCATCCGAGAGGAAGTTCGTTCCTTCCCTCTCGAGAGTTCACAAGATCTCATAATCTTCTTCATCGTTGCCTCTTTCCTTGTCGACAGCAGACACAGTTTGTGTGACGCTCTCGTCGGCTTCAATCTCCTTGACATCCCAAACCTCAACCAACTCCTCAATCCAATCGTCAACCTCCGCAAAGTCTGCCAGCCGCTTGGCTTCTTCCTGGGCTACCTTCAGCTCTTCAAGGCTCTCACGCGATTCTGTCAGCATCTGCTCCAGATTTCCCTTCTTATGGCTAGAAGGGAAGCGGTGCAGAATGCTGCAAAGGAACTCAGCATCCAGACGATATCCTTCAGCGACGTTCCAGTCATCAGTCGTAGCGGACAGGAAGATGAGAACTCTTAGACGAATGTGTGCCGGTGTCTGTTTGTTTTTGAACAACTTCTGTGCTTCTTCAATTGCGGGTTGCATGTCTTTTTGGGTTGTTTCTTTGTTGACGAGTTTGTGATCTTTGAGTATTTGCGTTACGGTGATGTAGGCTTCTTCGAAATCTTCGATGCTGGTTGGTTGATTGATTTCCATTTTGAGTGTTATGTGCAAGAGGTTGGAACACATGATTGTGAATGATGAGTCTGTTAACGGAAGCAAACGTTGCGGTCTTTTTTTGGAGTCACAACACGCTCGTCAATCGCTCGTGCATTGGATCGTCTTTGTTGCAAGTTTGGAATTGTAGTTTGAGAAAGACGTGTGGGTTCTGTATTGCTTGCGATCGTTCAATACACCGTTACTCTGAGTGAAGGACTGGAAGGCGATTCGATGGTTTCGATATTTACGAGGCAGTTCCGGTTTGCACTAATCTTTCTTCAGCTCTTAGGATTGCCAAAAGAGACACTCACATGTACGAATACCCAGCATGTTGACTTTGTGTATATGCTGTTATTTTATCTTTTGCTTGACAATAATAGTCATGATGGATTTGAGTAGGAAGGCGCTCATGAGGATCTCAGTGTCTCGTTCCGTACACTCGCTGGCGTTAACTCATGTATCACCAAAGGGGAAGGAACTATGACTAATCTGCGAGTGCTTCGTTGTAAGAGCCTTCCATTCGGGTCCAGAAACGCTGCCTAATTTCTCGCGGACAAGTATCTTTCACACTGCTGGATTCAAACAGACTAGGAGTCAAAGGAGTATAGGAGACAGTGAGGTTATATTACACTACTCTAAAAGCTATATTCAAGTAATTTTACATGGGGAAATGTATGAAGGAGAGTCATAAGTTGGTTCGGGACGTTTCATACTCCCAAATTCCGGATTTTTTGAAATTTTGGTCCGACCCAAATGTTTTGTGTGAACTTGCACACCGCACCAATTGTTTGGATTAGTTAGCAATGACCCACAAGCCGATCGGGCAGGGGTTGTAGTCTTGGAAGAATTCGATGGTCTTATCGCCAGTGGCAGTAAGCTCATACGAGATGGTTTGGCCGACAGCACAGTCACCAGTGGTGATGCTATAAGCGTTACCGGTGGAGACACCCTTTTCACCAAAGTTCTTGGTGACGCCAGGCTGGGTGTTGAAGGTGGTCTTCTCATCAGCAGCCTCCTTAAGCTGCTTGAACTCAACACCACCGTTGCCAGACTCGGAGACGAAAGAGGTCTCGAGCTGGGACTGGGTGGGGAAAGTGAAGACGAGCTCGCACTGCTTGCCCTTGTAGCTCTGAGGAATATCGAAATCGAAAATAGTGCTGTTGCCATTGCCGATGTAGGCGTTGTACTGAGTACCGTAGGCGGTGTCAGGGTTGTTGCTATCAACGGGGATGATCAGGCGAGGCTTCAAGTACGAGTCCATGTTGGGGAGGTCGCGAGGGCAGTTTCCGGTGCCGGAAGGAGTAGCGGAAGGCTGCTGGACGGAAGAAACCTTGGTCTCAGTGACGGGACCCTGAGAGACAGTGGTACGCTGCTCAACGGTGGTGGGTTTAGCGACCGAGGTAGTAACCTGCTCAGTAACGAATTCGGTTACAGGAGGCTGCTGAACAGACTTGGTCTCGGTGACAGGGCGCTGCTGAACAGTCGTGGGCTGCTCAATTGTCGTCGGTTGCTCAACGGTGGTCTTCTGAATGACCTGCTCAGTCACAGGAGGAAGAGTCACAGTGACGTTGTTCTGCTGGGTGACTGTCTTTACGACGGTCGATGGCTGGCATTGCTCAGTAGAGACTGAGACGGAGAGGGAAGGTGCTTGGGTAGCAGTAGAAACAGATACTGCAGTAGTAGCGGGAGGGGCAGAAGATGCTGGGGCCGATGAAGGGGCAGCGCAAGTTCCGTCAGCACTGCTCAAGCTGACCTTGACACACTTGGGCATGTTCTCGACAGGCTTTGTGTAGATGTTGTAGTTGCCATTGTCGTCAGAGGGGCAGGCATAGAATTGGTCATCGCCATTGAACTCGACTTGACCGGAAGAGGTGATGGAGAAGCCTTCGGTGGGAGATGCGCCCTGGTCACACTGGAACTGGTCGGTAGGGCCAGTGATAACACATCCTCTGCCCTTCTTGTCGGTGATCTGTCCGTTGTTGATGCAGTAAGAGGCACCAGACTGGCCAGGACCAAAGCGGTTCTGACCATCGCTGATCTGACCGAGGGAACCGCCCTCAACACCATCACCAGAGACGTTGATGCCGAAGCAGCATGATGACTGTCTGGTGTGAAGGACGCGAGCAGATGCGACAGAGGCAAGGGCCAAATATTGAAGAGTATACTTCATTTCGGACTTTCGACAACGAAATGGTACTGTGAGCGAAGGTAAAAAGAAAGCGAAAGAAAAGTGTGAATTAAGAAAGCCCTTCTGTTGTCTCAAGAATGGACAAGTGGTTGTGAATGATAGAGCAGATTTTGGAGGTCGAGCATCACCTCTTTATACACATCTCTGGTGGGACGCAAACATGATCAACTTGGTGTATCGACGATCACCACCAGCCATTCATGATTCTCCAGCAGATGTCATAGTTGACTCTGGTGTACCAGGACGGGAATTGAAAGCTGGAGGATGAGCTGAACGTCATACACTCGGCTGCACCTCAGTGGTGGATCGAGTGCTAGGAAGTGGAGGAGGCTGACAAGGGCATCTACTTAGGTAAAGCTACAGCCACAATTCATGCTGTCCATGTGGGTTGCAGATTCCTGACTCAAAGGCATGTCCCAACATCAGTGGCAAGGGAGGGGAATGTGATTGAACATGTACAGACGAAAGTCACTCACAAGATCTGCTTCCTCGATTGGGTTCACCGGAGATAAGAAGACTGTTCCTGTATGAACACGTCCTTCAGCATACTCGCTCTTTCCAATCAATATCAAAGTCTTTCTGAATTGATCGAGGATTGGACAACATTCCCACGGATGCTATCTCGTAAGAAGCTCGGCAAAGGTTTTCGCTGTCCACGTTTCACGGGATTCGGCGACAAGGCCGAGCAGAGATGGTCAGGAACGACGCCGAAGATCGTGGTACATCGAGTTCAGCAAAGTGCTCTGGCGATACGTGCAGGTACGAGTGTGGGTATCATGACGGAAAGTCGAGTGAGGATGAACAAATGATGTTGAAAAGAAGCTTAAAGCCCTACCGCCGTCCCGCTTGCTTGGCTGGGGCATTGCTGTGGGGTGGTCAGGAACGAGTCGTAGATCAGATGGAAAATAGAAACCGGAAACCGGCTGGAAAGACGACCGAGAAAAAAGAAGTGGTTCGTGATGGTGGATGTGTTTGTTCCTGCATGAATTTTGCAGCGATGGATGAGGGAGCGGAGCCTCCAGTGCCAAGCATGAGCGAGATCAACATGGCAACTTCTCTGTTCAGTCTTCCCCTGACAGCAAGCACGACCTCCCGCTGTCGTCCATCACCATCACGGCAGGAGGGTTATGTCATAAGGTTGACGCGGCCCGCGGGATTCTTGCTTTCTCAAAATCGCAAGTGGAAGCGTGCCAGCGAGAAGGCTTGTTCGGTCGCACCGAGCGAATGGCATGAGTTGGAAGCTCTCGGAGCAACAACTCGTCGAGATCAACAAAGTGATGGCTCCTAGAATCGAGATTTGAAATCCGAGGCGACTACTCCGTGGACCGCTCCGACTGGAAGGCAGAAGATCTGGTACCCAGTCTTCTGCCTTCAACCAACAACTGCTGGCTCTCCATCCTCATCCGACCTACCTCTTGGCTCGTTGACCTCTTCGCCTCTTCCCATGATCCTTCGATGCATGCCTCAAGTTGGCACACTGTCATCCAACCGAACGAATGGGACTCCTTCGAAGCTCTGAGAGAATTCTGGAGCAGATGAGCTTGAAAGGAAGACTCCACTCTCTGTGACGCTTCGATGGCCATGAAGACTCAACGGCTTTGATCAAGAAGAGGCATCAGGCGACTCATGGCTTTCAGTTTTCAACAGCTCCAATTGTCAGGAAAGAGGAGGAGCATTATGGGTCAGAAATGGCTGCAGGATACACATTCCCTTCAGAGACGCAGATGATGGTCAAATTCCCAGGTTTGACCAGCAGCGTCTCACATGAAGGATATATGCTAGCATTCTTCTCTTCAATGTGCTATAAATGACGTGCATGTTATCTCTTAGAGCAGCAAGTCTGACTGGTAAGTCAATTATGCCGAGCATGGGTGAACGATCATTATGTGCAAGCGACCATAGATGTCGTATTGGAAGTCGTCCAAAGTTCGTGATCCTTCACCTCGGCTGCCCCGCCAAGGATCGGCGTCCGTCTCGCTCCAAGATGCACCGAGGGAATCATCTTTTCTTGGGCAACAAATGATACATCATGCTCTTGTGCACCACAGCAAAGAAGTACGGATCATGGCCATGGCGGCAAAGCAATATTCTCCGCGCGTGTTGGTGCTCGCTAAAGACCCCAATACTGTCTGCCGGCTTAACGCAAACGCGTTTCAGCAGGATGCCATTACGACTTTCAACAACTTCCAGTATGTCGCCTACTACACTGCCGCTTCGACAAGTCCAGACAGTGTCCGATATGTCACATTAGGGAGACGAAACTTGATCGAGACAGATCAAGATTGGGAGAAATTGGTCCTCAAAGACTACGATCAAACCACTGACGATGGCCACAATACAATCAGTATCGGTATCTGTACTGGCGACGGGACTATACATGTCTCTTTTGACCATCATTGCGATGATTTACGATACAGGATCTCTCCAGCAGGCGTCGCCCTAAATCCAAGCTCACACGATTGGACTTCTTCTCTGTTTGGTCCTGTCCGCAATCATCTGCCAGGACTAGAGCCAAGTGCCTTTACCAGCATATCATATCCTCGATTTGTCAGTGCTGGCGACGACCTCATGTTCGAAGCTCGGACTGGTAAAGCTGGTGCAGGATCAGATATGATGTTCTTGTACTCCTCCGAAAGACAGACTTACACATCACGCGGCACATATCTTGTTGGCATCAACAACAATCCCTACCCTAATGGGATATCCTTTGCGAACGGGAGAATGCATGTCAGCTGGACATATCGTGACTTCATCGCCTATGAGGGAGCGGACGATCTAGACAACAATGCTCACAAAGCACAAGCTGGTCCGAACGGTCCAGAAAACAACTTCGACTTGAACTATGCATACAGCGATGATTGCGGGCAATCTTGGTGCAATTCTGTCGGTCACACGATTGCCAGTCTTGAAGACACTCAAGCAGTCTCCGAACCTGGCATTTCGCCATCTGCCAAAAACATTGCTATACAGAAGATACCGAAGTACAGTGGCATCATGAACCAAGAATCTCAATGTATCGGGTCTGTGACTGGCGACTTCCACGTACTCAATAGAGACAACACTTCGGGAACTGAGCAATGGCGCCATTACCTTCGTGACGCTGTCACTGGCGAATGGACTTCCACAGCCATACCTGATGCCTTCCCCACAGAGACAGGGTCTCGAGGCTGCATTGCGAGTGATGCGACCGGCAATAGCATCTACATTTTGTTGCCTGGAAACCAAGATACGAGCTTGATGTTGTTGCGAAGGAGGAAACTCGAAGGTGCCGGCTATTCGGGCTTCGATGTGCTGTGGTCCGGCGAGAGATACGATGGCGAGCCAAACGTTGACCGTGCAAGGTTGAGCCAAGGTGATGGTATATTGAGCGTATTCACACGCACAGCAGGGACTGAGAGGGACGTCGTGGTGCTTGACTTCGAATTGTAGTTAGAACTTGCATGTCACATCGGGATCAATTTCTCAGCTTAGCTAGATACTTCACTAGCTGTCAACAGACATGATGCTTTTGGCCTCTATATGACTGTCCAAAGAAATCACGAAGAAGTCCAGGTTGAATTCCGAGCGTGGTTGTTGACAGGGTCACTCACGAAACAACAATTCTCGGTTCGGCTGAGCACCGAACAGCGACAACAGGGGGCAATTTTCATGTCATATATACTGATGGTACTTTACATCGAAGGAAACATAGGTGTAGATCTTCTGCGCGCAGCTGAAGCCTTCCAATCAAGTTTTCATTGACTCATGGTTAATATAAACTTCTGACAACCATCTCTCCAGAAAGGCACTTAACTTTGGCGCGTGTCTTCGTCCATGGTCTGCTATCGAGTCGACAGCGATCGAAATGCCAATCATCGAATGTCGGATCGACAAAAGAAGACGATGACCGTAGGTTGATCTCACTCTCAACATGATATCCTCTTCAAGATTGCTCGAAACGACATCTCGAAATGTCATTTGGTGTCGCTGACTAAGCATGTCAATTCTGTGCGCGTGTGTGACCGCATTTGTGCACCGAAAATCATGTCGCGACAGTGCCGGACCACATATCCCTCCAATGTGAGTGCCATCTCACGAAACCATGGTTACGAGGTTCTCCTCGATTCAATCCAAAGAACGACGTGAGTGATGCGCTGATCATGGAGCCACAAGCCCCCATTGACTCCATGCAAAGAGCATTTGGGATCATGCACTGACGGCGCCTCACGTCCTTCAGGCAAGTGTAATGCGAACAGCTGGCTGGCTTCATCGGATCCTTCAAAAATGGTCCAAACGTCGAGGAAATCCCACCCCATGACCAAGACACTGAAGCCCGAGCCATTTGAGATGTTGTAGGGCGTACCAAGCCACGTGCAAAAAGCACATACTCTGTACCTCTGTTGCTGATTCTACAGTGTTCTATACATGAAAAAATAGTTCAAATAGTCCTCTTTCGTCAAAGAAAAGACTATTCCACGTGGCAGCACTCTAAGACTCTTGCAAACGACGACGATCCGCCAGCAAACAAGAGAAGTCTTTCCAAATTTCAAAGCAACCCAATCCTTCGGATTCCAGCGGACAGTGCTTCCAATATCGCATACAGAAGCGAAGGCAGGAAGCTTTGTGATATCAAAGCATATTTTGTCGCCAAGTATCCGAAGAGAGGGGTAAAATGTTGCTTCTCTCCACTTCGTGAGGGGAAAAACTGGGCAGAAATGGAGTGGCCTTCATGAGGATGGGAGTTTGTTAGCGAAAACTGCCTTGGCATGGCTATCCCGCCCCGCAGCCTCTCACGATCACCCGTGCCTCGCATATGCAAAGCGTGAGGAAGCATCATCGCATGTCTTTCATACGAACGGGTCGACATCTTGGCTCCCTTTCATGAACTCAAAATCGCTCCGACCATCCTTGCTTTGGAAGACTTGGCCTACGCAGGTGTATGCCTCCAGAATCCCTCCACAGCTTTTTGCAACGCACCTTCCCGTTTCTGCCATGAAGATGACCCGTTACAACGGCAACGAAGCTTTGAAGCTATTCCAGACGACATACAACACAACCTCGGCGTACGCAAGGGTGTCTCCGAAAAAACCGCCGTGTATATGATCGATGTTCTCAATTGGATGTGCTCTGGTGGCTGTGCTACTTACGATATGTCAGTATAAAGCTGGATCTCCCTCGCGTGAGGTTGGCAGAGACAGATTCTACCTCCCGAAGATGTTGCTCAAGGCTTTCTACGGACTCGCACTGTTGCGCAGCGTCTCTGGCGCCGCTGTGCTTCGAAGACAGTCGGCTGGAAACATTGATGACTGTCCTGGATACTCGGCATCGGACATTGTCAACACAGATACAGGCCTCACTGCGAAATTGACCTTGGCTGGACCGGCATGCAACGCCTATGGCGCGGATGTACAGAACTTGCGCCTCGCTGTAAATTATGATTCAAGTTTGTCTCTCAGACACAGGCTCTGTCATATACATACTGACGAACTGCAGAGAAGCGATTGCACGTCAAGATTGAGGATGAAGGCCAGGTTGCCTACCAAGTTCCTACTAGTGTGTTCCCTACACCAGATGCCAATAACTCGGTCTCGGCTGGTGATGCGACTCTCGAGTTCTCGATGGAGCAGAACCCCTTCAGCTTCAAGATCACTCGCAAGTCAAACCAGGAAGTCCTTTTCGACACCTCCGATTCACCTATTGTTTTTGAGGAGCAATACCTCCGCCTGCGTACTTCGCTTCCTGACAATCCCAACATCTACGGTCTCGGCGAGCATTCTGATTCTCTTCGCCTCAACACTACTGACTACACCCGCACATTGTGGTCAAGAGATGCCTACGGTATTCCCTCAGGCACCAACCTCTACGGTAATCACCCGATCTACTTTGACCACAGAGTAGGCAAGGGCACCCATGGAGTCTTCTTGCTGTCAAGCTCAGGTATAGATATTAATATCAACAAGACCGAAACCGATGGCCAATATCTTGAGTACGACACTTTGGGAGGCGTCCTCGACCTGTACTTCCTGGATGGTCCTAGCCCTGTTGAGGTTGCTCAGGAATACAGCAGCGTTACTCAGAAAGCCGCTATGATGCCGTACTGGGGCTTTGGATTCCACCAGTGCCGCTACGGATACCGTGATTTCTACGCCATCGCTGAAGTCGTCTACAATTACAGCACCGCGGCCATTCCTCTGGAGACCATGTGTAAGTTTTTCAATATGAAGGCACCCATGAATTTATGTACTGACGAGCCCCAGGGACGGACATAGATTACGTACGTAAGCTAAGGATACAGATCCAAGGGGCCAGCTACATCTAAGCAGCACTGATGACATGGCGTCCTGGACGCTATTTCATCGATGTTGAACTTGATCTACAAGCTGGCTCTTTGAAATTGTACTACTCCTATGCTTCCACAGAATTATGCTAATTATATCTTAAGATGTACGAAAGATATATCATGACGACCGATCCCGATCGCTTCCCTCTTGCCCGAGTTCGCGAATATGTCAACTACCTCCACGAACACAACCAACATTACATCGTCATGGTCGATCCTGCCATGGCCTACCAGACTGAACGCGAGAACGGATTGCCTTATGAGTCGTTCCTCCGTGCTCGTGACCAGGGCATTCTCCTCCAGAAGAATGGCTCCATCTACCAGGGTGTTGTTTGGCCTGGTGTTACAGCGTTCCCTGACTGGTTCCACCCCGACACTGCCGAGTACTGGAACAGCGAGTTTGCCGAATTCTTCGATGCAGAGACTGGTGTCGACATCGACGCCTTGTGGATTGACATGAATGAGGCTGCTAACTTCAACTACTTTGGATCAAACCCCCAGGACGAGGCGGAAGCTCGTGGGTTCCCTCCAACCAGACCCGCCATCAGATCCGCTCCTCGCCCGATTCCTGGCTTCCCTGAGGCATTCCAACCTAATGCCAGCAGCCCATACCCTCCTGATGAGCTTGCATATGCACCTCCATGGCTCGCTCCCGCTTCCGACCCTGGTGCTGCTAAGCGCTCTGTTGGTGTGGAGAAGCCAGTCAAGCGTTCAGTCGGTTTGCAATACTCTCCACTGGACAAGCGCCAGTCGGCTCAGACTATCGGCTTCCCTAATCGTAACCTTCTCGGACCTCCCTACCAAATTGACAACGAGAACACTGTTGAAGCCTACGGTGGTGTCTCTAACAACACTCTTGACACGGATATTGTTCATTACGATGGACATGTTGAGCTTGATGTTCACAATCTGTACGGTACCATGATGAGCACATACTCCAGGAACGCGCTTGAAGCCCGTAGACCTGGAAGAAGACCATTAGTCATCACTCGTTCAACCTTTGCTGGTGCTGGAAAGGCAGTCGGCAAATGGCTTGGTGACAACTTGTCGACTTGGGAGCTCTACCGTCAATCTATCCAAGGTATGCTCGACTTCGCTGCCATCTACCAAGTTCCCATGGTTGGCAGCGATGTTTGCGGTTTCGGTGGAAACACTACCGAGACACTCTGTGCTCGCTGGGCTTCTCTCGGCGCCTTCAACCCTTTCTACAGAAACCACAATGGAGACAGCTCTATCCCTCAAGAGTTCTACCTTTGGGAGACCGTTGCAGAGTCTGCCCGAAAGTCGATTGAAATCCGCTACAAGCTACTTGACTACATCTACACCGCTATGCACAAGCAGAGCACGGACGGTACTCCTCTTATCAGCCCCATGTTCTTCCAATACCCTCACGACAAGGCAACTTCTGCTCTCGATCTTCAGTTCTTCTACGGCGATGCTCTCCTGGTCGCTCCTGTCACGGAAGAGAACTCGACTACCGTAGACGTTTACTTCCCCAACGACCGCTTCTACGATTTCAAGACCTTCAAGACTGTTGAGGGTGCTGGCGCGAACATCACCATCTCGGATGTTGACTTTACAGATATTCCTCTCTACATCCGTGGCGGATCTATCATTCCTATGCGTAACGCATCTGGTTATACAACCACTGATGTCCGCAAGCAGCCCTTCAACATCGTGATCGCACCTGGCCGTGATGGAAAGGCCAGCGGACCGTTGTATCTGGACGATGGTGACAGCATCAAGCAGAACGCTACATCCGTGATCGACCTCAGCTACGAGAACGGTGTCCTCAGTGTTTCTGGATCCTTTGATTACCAGGCTGAAGACAACCGTGTCGTTCAGGTCACTCTCCTGGGCCAAAAGGGTCACTCCGGAAACGCACCTAAGTGGAAGGAGGACGGTGACGACCAAAAGTGGAACAAGTGCGCAGACAATGACTGGAGCTTTGACGGTTCCACTCACCACGTCTTGGTCCAGTTCGACCAGAAACTCACTGGACCGTTTGTGGTCTCTGTATAGATAGCCTCATGAGGAGAAGGCTGCATTATGATGCGATACTATACATTTCTGATACGGGAGCCAAGGCTCACTAGATAGAACTACACAAATCAAGAATAAACAAAGGTTATGAACAATGTCTCATGAACATTTCCATCGCAATTTTCTTTGTCAAGCTGAAAGGCTGCTTGCTGAAGCAGAAGGAATATTGAGGCGGAGTATTCGCGTGTATGTATAGCAACAACTAGTTTGTACAGCAGTGGAAATGAACTCGCTTCGACTTTCAAAGACCGCGCTTGACTTTGGAAGGTCTGTGTTATAACCGTTGGATCTAACGAGTCAAGGGTGTAATTTGGCAGGAGGATGGCCATACTTTTTGACACCAGAGAACGGCGATTGTAAGTAGCAACTCGCAGCTTCGAGTCCCCCTACGTCTTAGCAGCTCAAGTGTTAGGAACTATAGAGCTCACATAAACGCAGACAATTTCGACTCTTGGGTTTGATGGTGATAGCGTGTTGTTTTCGCGATCAGATGAGTCGTGTCTCTACCAAGATATATGACCAACTTCTTTCGTCTTCGCCTAAACATACCCCACAAGCCACGAACCCTGTTCTTATTGCTATTGCACCTCTGCTACACCGATCTCCCGTCTTGACTCTATCAAAGCGGCCATGCGAAGGTCTGAGCAGATATTCCGCCATAAAGAATCCTCATGGGATCTGCACTAGTGGTCCGGAGCGTCCGTCTGTACTTCGTATATTGTTCAGCTCAGCTCTGGACTCTTGCCAATATTGGCCCTTCAGAGGCTTCGAGATCTCTACTCAACAACTGCGCACTGAGTCGGTATGCTCAGAATGTTCTTCGGAGTCTTGCGCCTCATGCAAATTGATGTAAGTGCCGCAGCCGCAGAAGCCTTCCAGACGCCTCTTTCCATACACGAGCCTGCTTTCGGTCAATGACCAGCCATGTTCAGCTTGCTTGCTGCAGCACCTCTTTCCAACTATGGCTTCGTCTCCTGTCATAGCAACTTGTGTAGCTTCGGAGGTTCCTGAATACACGAGTCTCTGTGGAGATGACCGAGCAGATACCAAGACATTGGTATAGCACAGTAAGTCAGAATCTGAGATATAAGAAGGGCAGTCGTGCCTTGTCTGTGAAGAATCATCCACAATCGGTCATCAGATCAATCCGGTCCTTCCTTCCTTCTTTATATCTCTCTTTCTTTGTCGTTCTCTTATCCAACCATCGTCACTCTTTCTTCCCACCATGCGTTATTCTTTAGCCGTTCCGGCTTTCGCAGCCTTGGCTGCTGCTCTTCCTGCTCCTCAGGAGATCGATCTTGATATGGTCATCGCACAGCCTGACATCTCCTACACCACCACTGCTTCAAGCGTCACCTACGACGTTACCTCTATCGCAGCCCAGGCCACTTCCGACATCTCTTCTATCTCTGTCGACATTAGCGCCATCGCTACTCAGACTCCCGTCGCTGTCAGAAGAAATGTCGGAAAGAGAGCTGCTTGTGCTGCTCAGCCTACCGGAGTTGCTTCTTACGCCGTCAACACCCCCGATGACACCGCATCTGCGTTCTCAGCCAACCCTTCTTTTGCTGCCGCTGCTTCCGCAGCCCCTATCCCTTCTGGTTACTCGAACACTTTCACCAACTTGAACGCCTCCAACAAGTACGTTTTTTGATGACAACTTAGATGGTTGAAGCTGACCACAGCACAGCGCCTACGGCTACATGGGATACACCGCTCTGTCTAGCTACGACACTGAGAAGTGTGCTTCCAAGTGCAGTACGTAGAAGCAGAAGAACAGCCAATGACCCATACTGACTCTCTCTAGATGCCATCAACGGCTGCATGTCCTTCAACACCTACTTTGAGAGAGACCCTTCTCTTGAGCCTGGATCTGGATGCACCGACCCTGCCAGTGTGACGATGATAAAATGCGTTTTTTGGGGTGGTCCTGTGTCGGCGTCAAACGCCAACAACTACGGACAGTACCGCAGCAAGTTCCAGTGAGTTTTGCAAAAAAATGCCTTTCATGAGGTGTATCACTAACGATTTCAAGGGTTGTTATTGCTGGCTCCAACGGCTACATGAACAACACTCTTGCTGTACCCGAAGGCTTCACCTCTGCTCAGTACCTCGGCAACGCTGCCATCAACGCTCCCCTTGACCACGAAGGTTACGACACTTTCATGGGTAGCCGCATCTTCACTGCTGGTCCCTTCAACGCTTCTCTCTGCGCCGCCCATTGTCAAGCTCAGAACACTTACAACATTGCCCACCCTCCCAACAACGGCTCTCCCGTAAAGATCTGCAACTTCTTCAACACTTACCTTCTCTATCTCAACAAGACCTCCAACAGCCAAGGCCAATACTGCTCTCTGTGAGTATATTGTTTTTTCTACCACGCATAACCTGAGCTGATTCTTGTAGTTACACTGAAGCTTGGGACTCAAGCTACGCTACCAACAAGGGCCAATACCGCGGGAACGACCACTACATGATTGAGTATTCCTACTCCTTCACCAATGCCTCAAGTGCCGGGTTCAATCCTAAGAAGGGAGACACCAACGGAGCTGTCCACCAAGCTTCTGTTGACATTCAATACGCCACTCTCCAGCCTTTCTGCTCCTCCGCCCTAGGATACAGCGCACTCCTTGCAACTGTTACTCCCACGACTGTTGTTACCCCCCTCGCCACCAGCACTGTTCTCCGCACAACCACTACTACTGCAAGCATCAACAAGCGCGCTCTGTCTACACCTGCTGTTCTGACCAAGTACCCTGCATCTATCGTCGCCAGCGCCTGTTCCATGTTGGTCAGCCAAGCTACTAGCACCTCTACCTCGACTGCTCCTGTCACCACCATCCAGGCTGCCACTCAGACCACTCTCGAAACTTCGGTGATCACCGTCACTGCTTCTCCTATTCCTAGCACTTGCGGTAACAAGGGTATCCAATATGCTTACTACGGCGGATCTCAGTACACTGAGGGCGACAACGTCAACGCTGTCTACCCCGAGCACTATGCAAACCGCAACCCCACCTGGGCCGCCGATACAACCAAGGTTGGTGGTATTGACATTAGCTCCAGCAACTCTCAAGCCATCTCGCTTTATGGTTCCAGCACACAAGTGTCTTCGCAATACTTCATCCTGAACCACCGCGGTTACGTAAGTGCAGCATTAACCAATCGAACATATAGAACACTAACAATAAGCCAGATCTTCGCTCAGGTTCCCGGTACATACACCTTCATCATCTCCAACCCTGACGACATCGTCTTCTTGTACCTCGGAGACAATGCCGTCAGCGGATGGACCAGAGGTAACGCCAATGCCGTTGCCTCTTGCTGCAGCAACTATCCCACTCGTGCTTCGACCTCATACACCCTCGAAGCAGGAGACTACCTTCCCTTCCGCATCTTCTTCGGTCAACAGGGCGGTCCCGTCAGATTTGCTTTCTCCATCACTGCTCCTGACGGCACTGTTATCCTTGACAACAACACCTCTGAGTCTGACTTTGTTGTTCAGTACTCTTGTGACGGTACTTCCGCCCCTGCCTTTGCTCCTTTCGGACAGGGTCAGTAAATCATGGATGTTCTAAAGAGGAAAACCAACAAATGACCCCAGAATGTTCGAAACACAACTTACAAGCTTCTATCAGCCATTATTTCTTAATTTTTAGTCTAATACAATAGCACGTAGTGCATGAATCATAAATCCATAACTCAACTCAGATGCATCTTTCTCTCTCGTCGTCGTGTGTGAACCATACGTTCTGTGACTTGCTCCTAGCCATCTGTCAGATGCACCAAGAGTGATCTTCCTCAACCATTGAAAGCCTTTTTGGCAGGCGATTAGTCTTGAACCCGTCGACTGAATACAGGAATTATATACTGATAACATGAGAGATCAAGCACGTACGGCCACAGTCAGCTGAAAACTGGGCATCCCGTCCGCTCTGCCATACATAAGCAGTTGAACGGCAGATTAGTACTACGGTGGGTGACCACGTGGGAATCCCTGCTGCTGTACGTTTTGCTCTTCTCTTTTGCATGTTCTTTTGTCTCATGGCTGTGAGCAGCAAGTTGGACAACCGCCTCCCCTTTTGCACCACAGAAGACGGTAGAGACTGGGGATCCAATATGGAAAGCTGAGATGAAGAAAGAGTCATACATATCGTTATTCAATTTGAGTCGTGCTACGTTGCTATGTCAAAAGAATGTGTGAGTGCAAGTCCAGCACAAGATCCTTCAGGTCATCCATCAAAGAGCCAATCTTGATCAGTAGCTCTTCGAGAACAAAATCACCAACCGCCGCTCTTGCTGTCACCTCCCTTGCCAGAATCCTTGTTGTCATTACCGGACCCCTTGCTACCTCCAGAACCCTTGTTGTCATTACCGGACCCCTTGCTACCTCCAGAACCCTTGTTGTCACTACCGGAGCCCTTCTTATCACCACCACTGCCCTTGTTGCTGTTTCCATGGTCAGATCCCGAGCCTCCCTTATCGGAGCCTTTGTTGTCGCTTCCCCAGCTGTCGCCGGATGAACCCTTGTTGTCTCCAGAATGGCCGAAGCCGCCCTTACCAGAACCTTTGTTGTCGCTGTCTTTGGAGCCATGGTCATTGCCCCAGCCCTGCTCGTTCTTAGAATCGCTGTAGCCACCATTCTTCGAATCACTGTAGCCGCCATTCTTCGAGTTGTCGTCATAGCCGCCTTGCGAGCCTCTTGCTTCGAGGCTTCGTCCAGACTTGCTGTTGTGGTTCCAGCCATTACCGTGATAATCACTGCCAGATCCCCAGCCATTGCCTCCGTGGCCAGATCCTCCCCACCAGCCACCGAAGTCGCCGTTGTTCTTCTTGTTGTTCAAGGAGTCCGCCCAGTACTGAGCATCCTTGTCGGACAGCTTACCTCCAAAGCCGCTTGCAAATTTGGAGAGATCCTTGGCAAGATCCCCCTTGTAGTCACCATCAGAAGAGTATCCACCGAAGTTCTGAAAGAAAGACTTGAAGTTGTCTGCCAGGTCGCCATCTATGGCTTGTCAGTGTGTGATTCCATCATCAAGAGGGAGACTTGGCCTACTGTAGCCATTGGAGTCACCTCTCTTCTCAGCAGGCATAGCAGCTGCAGAGCCGAGGATACTGGCCAGGGCGATGAACAGGAGGGAGTTCTTGGAAGAGACCATTTTGGTTTGTTGCTTCTTTGTCGGTGCGGGTTGGGTGAAGTATGATGAGATGATTTGGTGTTTTGGTGTTTTGATGTTCTGCTCTGATGCTGATGATGCTGATGATGATCATGGAGATGAAAGCGAGAAAGTCACCGCTATTTATCTTTTTCGTCCTCCAGATGGACACGCGGTTCAATCTCAGAAACTGCCAACGGTCAGTGCGCTCCTGCTGGGCATTCTGCGAGAACTCATGCCATTGAACGTCATGATGCTGCTTGAGATCTTCCTTTGGACGTACGAGATGCCTTGTAAGTTGTTCCGAGAATGTTGAATTCAGGCCCAAGCCAATCATTACTCTCCAAATGACACCTGATCTTGAAGACGAGATTGAATTCAGCAATTGCGAGCTCTGTGTTACACGACGCGAAGCACGTGGACCGAGTTCGAATCGACATCTGGGTCAGGAAAGAACGCAGGTCCTAGGATGTCCTGAGAGATCAACCAGCCAGTTTGTGTCGTACCAACACTCTTTTGAAATCAATGGGCACTTGCTGACGCCCCGCAAACAGGCTCATACAGATCTTAGACGCGCGTTTTGGTATCTGGAGTCCTGCCGTGCTATAGCTCAACAACGTAAGAGTTCAATGTGATGGCCCGAAGATGTAGGTCAGGTTTGGGCATACAAGCTCTCATGCTGAAACGCAGCCATGAAGTCCAGTGTAATACATATTAGCAAATCGAAACTGCGAGGCGTGGGAATCTTATACGCGAAGGATGCTAGAGCTGACTGTCAGTTGCGCCTCGTGCTGCCAAACGATCCGGTAGGTCAGAAAGTCCGAAATTCTCTTGTCCGTAGCGGCAGCATGGAATGTATAGGTTTTCGTTGCATATCAAGTTTGTTGAGGGACGTGATCGCGAGTTCTGATCAGTCGGGTCACAACCGTTTCACCTGCTGTCCTGTGATGGTATGTAACTTTGTGGTATACTTAGCGAGAACTCGACCTCCAACCTTTAATGCCAAGATAACCTGCAGCTCTCGCGAAGACATCTGTACAACGACTGGGCGTAAGCTTCTATTCTGAGTATTTCGGTAAGTCTTTTCAAAGTACATTCATCTGGGTCGAAACATCAGTCTAGTAGCCTTGGAAGACTACCTGGACTAGACAAACGGTTGATGTCTGTAGATGGCAAGACCCAAATCGAGCCAGTGTTGCTGATGCCTAGGCCGGCAATGTTCAAATCTATCATGCAGATATCTTCATGATCGATGGACAAGCGTGGGCGCATGCTTCAGGTCCGCCAGGAGAGCACAATGCCAAGTGAAGCAGTCATATTCTCATCAAAACTTCCGACCTCTGATGCTCGGGCAACATGACCGACAGGGAAGACGGAGGCGTATATGCGTGCTACTACAAGACACTCGCAGACCAGAGATGGTTGTTGAGAAGCGACGTCCGACCACAGAAGCCAGATTGACAGTATGTTGCTGCATCTGTACTCACAACATGAGCGGAGTTGAAGCAGGGGAGCCGAAGGTGAACCAGGAGTATGGAGCTCAAGCAGCAATCCGTCTTACACGACAACACCTGAAACTCAGGTGTGGTTGAGCAGGCAAGCAAAAACACACTTGCATTGAAGGCAGTCCGAAAACACGCAACTTTCTTTCAACCTTGGAGACGTGTTGTTCAGTAATGCCATCTCCGGCAAAATGGCGGCTAATTTGCAGGACGCGCCTCCCTCTTGTGCCTCCCTCTTGTGCGGGGTCTTTGTTCTTCCACGCGCGCGCCTCAGGCATCAAATAATCAATCATCGTCTCAGTCAGCTATTTTGCGATGTGGATCAACAATGTTGATACGTAGTGTGAAGGACGGTTATTTGATTCTACTGCCTCCGGTCATTGTCTCTGAATATCTCAATCGTAAAACATTGCGAGTCACTGAGTCCAATCAATTGTTGTATCACAATGAATCTTGATGTGCAATCAAGCAACCCGATATCGAAAGCACGCCATTTGACTCAAGACTGCGAAGCAACATCGGTGTCGTGAGACCTTGCCACTTGCGACAACTGACTACAGCGGTGTCGGATTAGCTTCGAACAAAGCCCATCGTCCCCGCCTGCAGATCCCCCAGGGACACCTGAGGGGTCTGTTTACTTGTTGTCGCGTTCAAGTCGGATCACCTGTTCTTGCTTTATCTAATCGATTCAGCTCTTTTGCCTTATCTGCTTTTCCTCTTTTCTCCTTACCATCGCACTGTGTTCATTACATGCTCACCACCCACGAAACACCTCGCAAGCATGGCCGCATCTCAGGCTTCAAACGCAACCGTTGGCGCTCAGAAGCGTCCCAACTTCCTTGTGATTGTTGCAGATGATCTTGGCTTCAGCGATCTCTCCTGCTTTGGCGGAGAAATCAGAACTCCAAACATTGACAAAATAGCAAGCAATGGAATTCGCTTCACCGACTTCCATGCTGCAGCTGCTTGCTCTCCATCACGCGCCATGATCATGACGGGAACGGACCACCACATCGCAGGCTTGGGTAATCTTATTGAATGGACCAATATATCCGGGCAAAATGCACCAGCAGAAGGCAACTCAAAGCGCTTCGATACCGCTCCCCAGCGAGGCATGCCTGGTTATGAAGGTTATCTCAATGAGAGAGTCGCTACACTGCCAGAGATTCTGCAAGACGCTGGCTATCTGACTCTCATATCCGGCAAATGGCACCTCGGACTCACTCCTGAGCGTAGTCCAAAGGCAAGAGGCTTTGAAAGAAGCTTTGCTCATCTGCCGGCGTGCTCAAACCATTACGCATACGAACCCCAGCTTGAGACACCTGACAAAATCCCCGATTTCATGACCATGTCTTTCATCGCTTTACATTCTGAAGATGGGGAATATGTGAAGAAGCTCCCTGATGGTTGGTACAGTAGCAACGGCTACGGAGACAAGATGCTGTCCTACTTGAAGGAACGCAACGAGAAGAAGGACGAAAGACCTTTCTTCGGATACCTTCCTTTCACAGCGCCTCACTGGCCTCTTCAAGCCCCTGATGAGTATATCGCACATTATAAAGGCGTGTACGATGAGGGACCAGAGGTTCTGAGACAGAAACGTCTGCAGAGAATGCAAGAAATCGGTCTCATTGCCCGTGGTGTTGAGCCGCATGCAGTCATCGCAGACGAGGTTAAAGCTTGGGACGCTCTAACATCTGAAGAGAAGGCCAAATCTGCCAAAGCAATGGAAGTCTTCGCTGCCATGGTCGAATGCATCGATGCCAATGTTGGCAAGGTTGTTGATTATCTTGAGCAGACTGGAGAACTTGACAACACCATGGTTTGCTTCATGTCTGATAACGGAGCCGAGGGTGCAGCTTACGAAGCATATCCAATCGTCCAAGGTCAAATGATGCAGCACCTGAAGAAGTACTACAACAACTCAATTGAGAATATCGGTCGTGGCGACAGCTTTGTCTGGTAAGCACAGGTCTTTGAATTATGTCATCAGGGATGTGGAGCTAATCCTAGACGAAAAAGGTATGGCCCTCATTGGGCACAAGCCGCAACAGCCCCGAGTAGATTGTATAAAGCCTTCACTACCGAAGGTGGTGTTCGTGTTCCGTTCGTCGCCCGCTTTCCGGCGAACGTCGAAACTCGTTCTGACGGTTTCATCGATGGTCCTGTAGAAGTCGCTAGCTCTGGTTCCCACGTCAGCGTCGAAAAGGGCAGTATCACGCATGACTTTGCTACAGTCATGGACCTTTGTCCCACTATCCTCGAAATGGCTGGTGTGGCACACCCAGCACCGAACTACAAGGGTCGTAATATCGTCCCCATGCGGGGTGAGAGCATGCTATCGTTCATTGAGGGACGATCCCACTCTACTCACTCCGAAGATCACGTCACCGGCTGGGAGACTTGTGGTCGTGCAGCTGTTCGCTGCGGTGATTGGAAGATTGTCTTCATTCCCAAGCCCAAAGGTCCCGAAAGATGGCAACTCTACAATCTTTCGAAGGATCCTGGCGAGATACACGACCTTGGTGAAGAAGATCCTGAACGTCTTGCTCGTATGATCAAGATGTGGGATCAATATGTTCTTGAAACTGGCGTGATTCCTCTAGCACCTGAGCTGGGCGCGTTCCTAGAGGCGACCGAAGCACAAATGCCTGAGAATGCCTGGATGGAGTATGAGTACTGGAAGGACGGCGCGAGGGATGAGCCTGAAAAGTTCTTCAAGCAACCTCCAAGGTTCCAGAGGACGGTCAAACCTATTTAAGCTGCAATACACTCGTCTGGTAAAGGATTTTATTACGGGCTGTAGAAGTATTGCACCTTCCATATCTACATTCAAGTGCCTTCACAGTTTGAATTCACATATTACCATGCCATCCAGAGTTGTCGTTCTCATCTTATCTAGGGAGTGGCTTATCACTCATCAGTACTTTCTCTATGAACCAATCTTCCTTGATAGGACTCGTTGGCAAGAAAGACAAGAGGCCGAACGAGGAAATGGTAGCCGTGTAGTCGACATGGAAAGAGCGGCCTTCTAATCGAGAAGAGGGAAGGTACGACGGTGGAACTTGTAGAATAAGGAAGAACGATCGACAAGACGAAAAAGGAAACATCTCGGGCAGAGGAAGTTGTAGTCCGATTCCAAAGAGAAGGAGCACTTAAGCAATACAAACAGGAAGGACAGCCGATTCATGGGAGGAAGGCGCAGTTCGGATCATCTACTCCTTCCTTTACCAACAGGTCAACTCAATTTGCTTGATGACAGACAGGTGCTGATGGCCCAGGGGTCCGGTATGTTAGAGTTACAAGAGCATCCTCAGAAATTGTTAGACTTTAGTTGATCTGAAGAGACCATGTGGCTAGTCTGTTTTGCACCAGTATCGCAACATCGCACAAGCATAGCCTGAAAACCCATCCAGTCGGCAAGCATTACGACCGGCTCTTCATGAGCCGAGTACTTTTTGCAGTATTCAAAAGATATGAAGGGCGCGGCTCAGGAATAGGTCAAAGGTTCGTGCTGAATTGTTGTCTCAAAATAACAATTGGCCAGTAGTAATTCGCATCCGGGTGTGGGCATCCATCTTCTCTTATTGTTGCTCTTCTCTTGTGACAACAGGTCACGGTCGGAGAGCTGAGAATCTTTGCGACTAGAGAAATGGACGATTTTTCCCAAGGATCGGGAGGATTATGAGTGCTGGAAACAATGCTGAGGCTGGCGAATAACGAAAGCCATGCAGGGGCAAACACAATCTGGAGCTCTCGACCACAATCAATAGTTCTGGTCTTTGAGGTGATCCTAAAACCTAGCAGTCAAGATCGAATAGTGAACAAGATTGTGACCGGACCTTTGCTCCGAGCAGCAAGGCGCGACTTTGCGGCTCCGCGAGGCGAGCCAGGTTCCTGGGTCGATCGATAGACGCCGTACAGGGCTGTAGGAATACATCAGTGTGTGCTAGCCCTAGCACATGGGCGTTAGTGGTGGGATGAATTGGGGGCCAAAAACCAAGACGAAGCTACTGTTTGGTTGCATCCTTTGTTGTGAAACTTGCATTCCATTGGGGTGGGTGTCGAATGCGGGCTTGGTAGGGTGCCAACAGATCGGGTGCCATGGATTTTTGCTCGTCTATCATGTGTATGTTTTGTCGTTTGAATTATTTCAGGCGTGATTGGCTGAGCACGGAAATGGAAGATATATTTGGAAGGCCATCTATGTCGTCGCGGCCGTGGAAAGTAGAAGCAAAGTGAAAGCACGGTATTCGCCGCAGGTTTGAGATTTGGGCAGAAGAATACTCCGTACTTATATAATTGATCGATCCATGAGAATGTCATTCAAGCTTTACGACAGCAACTCCGGTTGGTGTGTGTGGCGCAGCAGTCACTAATCGCGATTAGAAGACGCCAGGGACTGTTGTAAACAAGAGATTTCGTGGTCAGCTAGAAGGCACCAACGGGGTAGCTTAGATCTCCGGCGGGTAGATCGTAGTAGTCGTTTGACAGACGCGACGCAGGCAAGGGTTCAGAAGTTCTTAGTTGAATAGGCAAGACGGTGCCGTAGTCGCGGAGGCTAGAGGGAGTGCTAAAACAAAGTAGATTGGAGTTTGCTTTGCCTAGTGTCGAGCTCTTCAGCTCGTTCCTTGCCAGACACTTGCGCGCCGTACCGCTGCACGGTACATCCGTCGAATGTCGATTGCCAGCTGCTTATATTCATGCTTAATTCTTCTAGCCGCGCGAACCCATGTCTATCTTTTGACTTCTGACCGCGCAAGAGACGATTCCGAAGTCCGGGGCTCACTAAAAGCAGTACTTACTGCTGGTGAGCCGGCGCCAGTGAAAGCGATTAAGCAAGCATGTCTCTGTTGCCGCCAGAGTTGGTTGCCTGTCGGCGCGTTGGATTGCTTTTGACTAGACCAAACACTACATCGTCCGCTGCTGGCTTACGCATCGGCGTGCGTATCTAGCTAGTCGACCTTTATGAAACGGCTGGTTGACTACTTGTTGGTAGTGTCCCATGAACACGTGGAAGCCTAATGAATAAGGTCGCGATAGTTTGCTAACCACGGCGGGTTTCAAAACGGACGACGGCTTCCTCTGGTGCTGCTGACCATTTGTTAGGCCGCCCTCTTGTTCCACGACTATTTAAACCATGCTTGCACCTTGATGTTTTCAACTTGATATTGATTGTTTTTGTTCATTTCGCAATGTGAAAAAATCTGGACTCGTTACACTTCAACACCGCATCATTTCTGCCAAACCACAAGAACGTAAACCGAGACAAAGTCCATCCACCCAGATACCTCATGCGTCGCAGAGAAGTAAAAGCAGGAGCTGAATAGCTCACCGTCCATGCCAAAAATACAACTACACTCAAAGCTGCTCTCCGATCTTCGAAGACTCTCTGGTCGATGCGCAATGAATTACAAAAGACAGAAATCGAATTGAATACGCCGAAAATGATACCCGCCAGAACCAAAGAAATGGAGACTTCGATTAGGAAATGTGACTCAGGTGAAGGTATCTTGGAAAAAAACAGTGCTTCCGACCACCGAGCGAGATGAATTTTGCGATGATGAGCAAGGTGCGGTTCGTCAAGACCCTTGTACACTACAAGGCCAATTTGAAAGACGAGCAACAGGAGTCGTCCTGCCCCACACAGTTTTGATGATGCTGATCGAACTTGGCAGAAGAGGCAACGACACGGGTGCCTGGTCCGGGAGGCGGACTGAAAGGAGAGATGCATCAACAAGTCGTAAGGAAAGATGAGAAGATTACTGGTTGTGTCGGTATGCCTGATTCTGGGGTTGTTCAGGATCTAGTATCCCGTCAGTTTCAACATTATTAGTGTCGGACATGAGGTCTCTAACGTTGCTGGTAGATTTGGCCGCCCTGGGCATACGGGCTTTGAGGGTAGCCTCCATTGGTGGCGTACATCTGACCAGCTGGGTAGGACTGCGCTCCGTCGACTTGTTGCTGTGACGGGGTGTATTGCTGAGGAGTGGGTGGTGCGGCAGGGGCGTAGCCGATAGGTGGCAGTTGAGCACTGCTCATGGCCTGAGGAGGCATCATATGTTGTTGGGGGTACTGTGCCGGAGCAGGCTGGGTCGGGGTGCCGGCTTCTTGGGCGGCGCGACCGACCTCCTGGCGTTGGCGCTCCTCTTCCTGCTTGCGGGCGTTCTCCTCCTCCTTCTTTTTGGCCTTCCACTCCTTGCGGATTTCTTTGAATTCTGTACGTGGTGAGTTAGCGCGGTCCAACCACGTGCGGCTTGTGTTACGGGGTGCATGCGCTAAGGGGATTTAAGCATGGCTGGCGTGCTAGCTTCCGCGACAAGGAGGGTGGTTTAACCAACCCAGCGGTCGGGGTAAGCACTAAAAAAATAATGCGACACTGCGACGCAGAATGCGTGCGATTTAACAATGGTTTTTGCTGTGTTTGCATACCTTCGGGGGTGCGTTTTGCGCCATGCGATTGCATAGTAACATGGGCATTCAGGTGGTTCAGCGTGCCATATGCCTTTTCACAGCCATTCCATCCGCACTTATACATGCGCTCAATCTCCTCATATCGACGACGTGGACGCTTGTGCTGCTGTGCACCTGGGATGGGTACAAATGAATATACGGTAGACATTGGGTGGCCGCCCTGCAAATGGTCAGAATAACGCGTTCCGACGCGTCAATGGAGTCTTACAAAGCTATGACTTACATGCGGAGGTCTGGGGACGGCGGCTGCCATTCCTGGCGGTCCACCGGCGGCTGACACGGGCGCATAATGCATAGGTTGAGCGTGGTAGGCACCCCATTCGGGGCGCGGCGCGTACATGGGTGCGCCGGGCTGGCCGGGGTATTGGTGCATCTCATGCTGGGGAGGGTAGGGAGAGTATGCGTGCTGCTGGGGGTATTGCGGGTTGTGTGCAGCTATCGTGGGATCTATGGCAATGGCCGAGTCAGAACGCGTGTCGCGCAACGCGCTGGCAAGAGGCAAGGACCGACTTGATTGAGCCATTGCGGCGTGTGGGTGGCCACCTGGCTGCTGGTATCGCGGGGCGCCCTGCTCGGGGTACGGTCTTTGGGGTTGTTGCTGTTGGCCTTGGGGTTGCTGCTGGTACTCGGGGAAAGAAGCAGAGCGCGCAGACTGTCGGACGCGTGAGCAATCAGCACTGCGGGAGCTGGCGGTAGAGGACAGGGAGGGTCTTACGTCTGGGTGGTACTGGGCAGCTTGGTTCTGGTCTGGGGAGGACAGGGTCTCAGAAAGGTTGCCGGTATAGGACGAGGAAGCGTAGGGCGAATTCAAACCTGGCTGGGAGTACTCTTGCTTCAGCGGCGCCTGCTGTGAATAGTCTTGCTGGCGAGCGTCCATTGACTGCGGATGGCCGTTCATCTGTTGCGACGCGAGTAGCGCGCTTAGAGACGTGTCGGTAGCGGGCTGGGCTGGTGAAGTGGTGTAGGTCGGGGACATGCTACGCCAAAAGCAGAGTCGCGGTCGAGGGTTAAGCACTACTGCTAGTGAGGGGACTTGGAGGGTAGACGAAAACGCTGGCGGCGGCGCGTTGCGGACAGGCAGGTAGTTAGCGAGCAGCCCAAGAAAGGTTGTGTTTTCGCCCAAGGAAATATGATGTGCATAAGCCGACAAGCTCCACCAAAAAAACGATGATCTGGCGCGGCAGTGGAGCGGTGTAGTGCACAAAAGATTCCCGAAGACGGACTGGCCTGACGCTGGGCGATAAAAAACGGCGGGAGACGGCGCGCGTTTTTGACAGATCAGTACGGCAAGCCCGGACGGCGAGCGAGACTAGGGGGCGACAAGGGCTGCCCGTGTCGATGGATTTACGGTTACGATAGAGTGAGCCTAGTGTGCAAGTGTGGGCCAGCTGCCACAAATCATGCGTGAGACGGCGTCAAACTCTATTTGATGATGATCTCTGCGAAATCAAGACGGTGGCTCGTGTGTCGGGATGAGAGTGTCGCGGCACAAGGCCAAGAAAAGCAGCAACAAGAGAGGGGTGTGCTGCCGGAACCATTACACACCGACGACTCGACGACGGCGATGGAGGCGGAAAATGTGACAGGTTGCAAAGTGGACAGGCACGAATGGAACCTGACGACTTTCTTGATCTTGCGTCTTTGGGCTGGCTGTCCGGGCTGGACCTGCTTCTAAACGCGTTCCCTGTGAACTCCTTCCACCTCTCTGCTTACGGCTCACTTTACACACTGGACTCTTGTTCCTCACTCGGTATTGTGCATCGAATCACGCCCGGCTCCTCCCGCACGTAAGCGGAAGCACTCGAGTGTGCCCGAGAGACCTTTCTCGGTCTGCTCATCTTCCTTTGGGAACCATTGTGCGAGCATGGCACACGCAGACACGCGCAGCCTGCATGCACCCGCCCAGATTTAGAAGGAGACAATCGCTATTTCGTGCTCCCCCGCGATGCTCCGCTGTATCATGAATTCCCTCGCTTTACGGACGAGAGGCAATCAATCGAGATACCTGCCACTCTATCGCTCTCAACCTCTGCCATTTCACATCAATCTGTTGCTGCATCTCGACTCGCAACACTGCCCATCGCTTGTCGTCTTCCCTCTTCGCGACGTCACTCATGCATTGCATAGTGGGACTGTTACACTGGAATGATTAACGGCGCTCAAAAGCATTTGATGAATAACCATTCCGATAGCGCTAACCCACATGTGCAGTAAGACATGAGTCGCTCCGTGCGTGAAAAGGCTTGAGCTGCCGATGCTTTGACCGTCTCCTGCGTTTACGCGAATCCACTTCATATCAGTCTTTCTCCGGTGCTGGTCTAGAAGGACTCAAAGGCCTCTTGACTCTTGACTCGAGCCTCTACATTCGACTTATTCGATGCGCTCAATCATGAGTCGATGATCGTTCAGCGTGCTGATGGCCTTGTGTTCCTTATCGATCCTGTCAATTGGCTTGCAACTGTTCTACGCAGCTTCTGTCTGCCTTAACCAATGCCCAGATCGCCGGCCAGTTGCTCAGCTACTTTTCGCCATTCGGCCATAGCTCGCTGATATACCAACTTCGACCTTCATGTGTTTGAGGACAACGACGATCACCGTGCAAGCGAACCGGCCGGCAATAACTCTTGATAGCGCAATGCGGGGAAGAACTCGTCTCAGTCTCTGACTCTCTGCATCCATTGCCTTGTATCTTGGTCTGAAGGACGGGACATGTGCAGACGGCCTATCTTGTTATCCCGGACGCGTCCGTCTAACATAGATTGTTGAAAGTCATGATGCTCCCATACTGTCTCGAGTCAGGACTTACAGGGAGAAGATCTGTGGATGTCGACAAGGACACCAGCAATTTGGGGACCAGAGAAACGGTCGTTACCATATCTTCAAGTATTCTCCGCATCATAGATGAGGATATTCTGGCCAACCTGCGTATGCCACCTTTCTCTAGATATCACGTAAATGTGAGATTGCGCTCTCCCAATTGGGTAGCATACCACGAATCGAAGCGTGCTCGTGTATGTTCTTCGATCAAATCCACTTCGTTCGACATTGGCATTTCGCTTAGTAGAGACGTGTCACATCCGAATGTAACTTGCAACGGTATCATTCTCATAGAATCACGGCAATTGACTATTCTTGATGACTGCTATTGGCCAGGGGCGCTTGGACTCTGATATTCTCCTACTTTATTGCTGCGCCATTGGCTGGTCACAAGATGTGGCCCAGGCCGTGTTTTCGGCCACGAATTCCCGTGGCGGTGAGAAGAAGATTGAAAGCTGACGCTGACATGTTTCAATAATAATGGCGTTGGTCATTAGCAGGAACAATTTGTCCTTCTCGGCACGAGAGAACGGGAAAGGGGTCTGAGAGATGTAGTGAAGAAAAAAGCCATCAGACCCTTCTTCCACTGTAAAACAAGCTACACATGACCATCTGCAAGGCAGTCATCTTTACATGCATGTAGCACGTGTTTGCCTAATTTCTTCAACTGACGCTAATCCTTACAGCCGCATCGAAGAAATCTGGGATACAGCAGCAAGCGTGGTTTTCTGAGGGCCGGCGTGGGAGACCGGTGCAATCGATCTGCTCGGCCGGGACCTGACGACCGGACGCCAGGTGCCAGGGCTTTTTGTCGTTGGCTCTTTCCGCGTAGCCGTCCACCGAAATGATTGCCGCTCCAAGATTGCCTCTAGCGTGCCACGTCCTCAACACCTGCAACAACACTGACCCTTGCGTGAGCCGGTATGCTAACGCAAGATCTGAAATAATCGTTTGAAGTTGCTCATAAGATACAGTATTGAATGTCTCAGCCTCCTTCATGGCTTGAAGGACTATCAGTGCGATACTACGAGTACTACCCAGGCACAGCTGTGAGACGGTAATTTCGCAGACGAAGAGGTGCATTATGCAGGCTGCACGGTCTAACACTCCACCGATGATGAACCTTTTTCAGATCGTAGTCTGATTCTACATGTATCATCTGATGTTCCGCCGAGCCCCAAACGCTCGAACACCGGGCGGAGGACGACAGACCCTGAGTACGGATGTGGACCGGAGCCGTACGGCATTCGCAGGTTGCGATCAACTCTCGTCAGGAGAATTGGCATCTTCGCCTCCGCAGTCGAGTCATCAAGCACGAAAAAGGACATTACAACCCAGGAAACTCTATTTGATTGCCTTCATGCAAGGAATGCAGATGCAGAGAGCGTCATGAAATCTGCACGACCGCCTTATGGATATTATTCTACACAATAGCGTGGGCGTATCATGTATCGAGTACCGCAGTACAAGCGTTACTCGAGTACAGTACCACAGCCTCTAAGCGTCTTTCGGAATAGGCAGTGCGGGAGATGGCAGCGACGGCGCGCCTGTCAGTATGCACGAATATGCAAGGACCCACGATTCTGGAGGGCCAAGTTTCAGCATCTTTGGTTAAACCCGAGTGCTATTCTACAGGAACGAGAGCAAAGCTCAAGGCCTTCGATTGCGTCTTAGGGTCCGTCCCGACCTCAGAATCCAGATGATCATTCATCGCCATACTGCTTTCCAAGCAGGATTCGGATCCACAGTCTCTATTATATGCAGGTTTTCCTCGTCTAACGAAAGGTTGGTCAAAATCAGCGACGTCCCTGCAGCCGCTCACTACCAAGTATCTCAATGACCTCCCCAATCTCTGCCAGCATTGCTCTGTCGACGTACGTAAGAGCAAGAAGCACACACGCCACTGCCTCTCTGTTCAACCGTTCAAGTGGGTTGAGGACTCCGTGCGGTGTTGCCTGGATCCAATGTGTCTATTTGACCCTGCTTTGGATGTTTCAATCATGGTCTAGCTTGCTAAGTGGCAGCATGGCAACGGCATTGGTGAGGAGGACAAAGTGACCGTGCTATGGCTCGTTGTGCTTCCAGGCCCTTGTCGGATGGAACCTCGTGTCGCATCTTGACGGATTCTCCGCCAGCATCTTGACAGTGAGAACGCTGATGCGCAAGAGTCGAGGTGCCTTATTCCATCGCGGCACACAAGACCTTCTCCCCGATCGGTCTTCGTTGTGTCCGTATTGATCCTCACTGCCTACTTGCTCTCGCCGACGGCACTGCCCTATGCATCTATCGTCGCGCGGAACAGCGATCGATGACATCTCGCTCAACAGATCGAATGTAGTCAATATTCATTGGAATTGGAATAGCACTCTTTGCTATGGTACATCACGTTGCCGCACATGGTTGGCCGCGCTCGAGTAAGAAGACACGCCACCTCTGTTTCCTTTTTGATATGAACATTGCGGCTGCAAGGTTCATGTACACTCGGCCGAAATCCATAGGGCAAAAATATCTCGACAGGGTCACAATGAACGGACATGCATATACTTCATCAGGTTTTCTAAAACCTTGTGTCTGCATTCGATGGGTTCAACCCAGTGCTTATTGACTGACCCGCACGAAGAAAATGCAAGTACGGAGTACAACTCATATAAATTACATCTTGAACCGAGTCAAGCCCTCCTGCAAGTACCAACATCCCGTGTCGTGGTCTTTCGACCCTGACGCTGCTCGCTTACGTCTTCGAGGTGCATCTTCTGGGTCAACATCTCATGTACAGAGTCGCTTTCCGTCTTTAGCCTTCTACAACCGCTTGTCCTCATATTCCAGACTCAAAATCCCCTTGAACGATCATCTCGGACCGTCTTGGAGTGTATGTACGACGTGGCAGAATCTGGACCTTCTCTGCTAAATGCTGCATCTTACATTCTGGCCAGATATGTGTCGGGCCGACTTTAACATAACTGTCGCTGGCCCGTCTGCATCTATTCGTTACGTTTGATGTATCAAGGAGCAACAGCGCGCACAATGCCTTGGATATTCTCGAGCCGCTCTCACCAGGACTCAGGAGGTTGCTTCTAGGCACATCACTCTGCGGGCTCATCTATTACCCTTTCCGGTAGACAGCATGCTCGTCTCGATATCACATTTACATTGTTGAGTACCTCTCCCGTTATCAAGCGAAACACCTCGTCAAGTGGAACTGCCTAATTCGTGATTTCTCAATCCATCTGCACTTGGCATTACTCACAATCACCATAGCAAAAAGGAAGCGTGCCAAATACCGCGACAGAGGAACATGGTGTTTTGGGATCTGTCCGTTCGGGTCTCCATCAATGTCATGAATGAAGTGCTCTAGCCGCAATATGCGAAGCAATTAAATAAACTTTTATGCTCGTCTTGCGTGCCTTCCAATCAAGAATTCTTCTCTACAGTAACACACCACACCAGCCATCTCTTTAATGCAAACAAAATGGCTTCCTGCGTCCGCATCCGCATCCTCTTACACGCAGGATTGCCTCAGCCTCCCCCCTCTCACGTCGCAATCCTGTCCTGATCCTTCGCCTATCGATTCAGAGAGAGAGTCCCATGCTGCAGGAGTTGGCTCCATTAATATCACCGGAGTTGTTCTCCTGTACTTACCCTACTCGTCTTTTCGGCTCACTCGGGTCGGTCAGTGTATCCTCACTCTCTGCGATATTGTCGCTCTCTGCTATCCACTCGTCTGCCCTCACATGTTGGTTTCCCCATTCTTTAGATGTCTGTTTCTAATAATTCTTGCGCCACCGACTACATGCCCAATCCCACCTTCCCAATGTATACACATGATCCCGCTGGAGGAATACGAAGGGCAGAAGCATGTTCATGTTGCAAACCCTTGCGGCCGTAAAACAAAATATTGATACCAAGAGTTTGTTCTTGTCTTTGAACGTCATGGTCATCCAAAAACCGCGGCGCGTCTCGCGCAACGGAACAATTCGCGGAAAGAACTCCATGGTCCATCAAGCCACCAACCACCTTCAACCACATGCTTTCCTTTTTCTCTGCGCAGCCGCAGCCCGTGAACAATGATCCCGTGAAGCCTTGTTGCCTTTACGCACGTAAAAAGTCTCCTCCCTCACAACCGGTGTGCATGAACGGAGGAGATCAGGACAAAGCAAAGAAAAAACGCAATTCTTACCGATGGGCGAGTCGAATCGGAGAATTGATTTCCTGATCCTGCCAGGACCTGCCACCACCACACCCTGCTTTTGATAGTTCCCCCTCTGGAATCCCAAACTCTATTTTCTGCTGCTCATCGCCATCTCACGTTCATCGGTTGTTTGCTTTATGCGTTCCTTCCTTCTGTTTTGCTTTGGCTGTGTTCCTTCTGGTTTCGAGCCCTGTCACTTGTCGCTTGTTGCTGTTGGTGTTTCGCGCTCGTGCGTGCTTCCTTCCTTGTTGTGTTGTCTCCTCTTTTCTTCCTTCTGTCGCTGTTGTGATGTCTCCTCTTTTTTCCTTGCGTGCGTTCCCACCGAATCCCACACAAGAATCCCAATGATCACCACACACACACGTTCACATGTTGCAACCTCCTCCCCACACATTTTTATATCTCTCATGCAGGTTGGCAGTGTTTGTTCAAACTCTATCCTCCACCCTCTTGGGGCTTACGGCTTGTCAACAGCACTTATCCATCTACCCACTTAAGGTGCCCTCATGACCGGAGAAGGGCCAAGAGGGTTCTTTTCTTGCATGATGTACGGAGTATGTGCGTGCGTGTGTGTGTGCTTTTCTGATAAGAGTGAGGGCTGGATGGATTGCATAGGGCGTGCTGCGTGTTGGTCTCTGATAGGACAATTACGTGTGAATATGTTGGCCTATCGTGTTGTTTGCTGTTTGATGGTGATGTGTCGCTTTGATGGGGATGGTGATGTGAGGACAGGCCATCGAATCATGTGTTTGAGGATTTTGCTGACAAGGTGGACATGCCGTTCCATCTGGATGGCCGAATGATGTGAGCAGTCAATCATGCGATTATTGGAGACACGTCTAGATACGACAAGGCCTTCGAGCCAACCGTGTCAATGCCAGGGTGACACCCTTTACCAGCGATCCTAGCACCGACGACAACATTCCTGAGCAACAACTGACTTTGTACCACTTCAGACGCATCTGTCTTATTTTATGAGTATATAGCAGTGTATTGGAGTAGTTTAGTAGCCATGGCGGTCTTCGTTGCTGCGTTATCGTCGAAATTCACTTCCTACACAAGCTTCACCAAAAACACACACAGCATCCGTGATGATGGCCACAAGCACTCTTCGAGAGACTGAACAGTGGTTCCCAAAAACGAGAACAGGTTGCCATATCCAACTGAACAGACGATGAAAAGCACCAGGGAGTTGATTGTCTTACTCTCACTGGATGGTCTTGACATACATGGCCCAAAGGATCAACAGCACCAAGCATGGCTGAAGATGGTCAACATGCCTGAGCACGAACCAGCATACAAACACCGTCAAACACCAAACAAGATGAGGAAACAATGTACAGCAATTCGGTTGAGAAAGTGGCAATGTAATGTAATCCTGACTCGACCAGGTGATAGTTATCGCCGAGATATTGAGTCTGGCTGGCGAAAGGACCAAGCAGTTTGCATGACTGGAGATAGAAAAGAGGCTATCCCAACAGACTGATATCGCACTCAAAATACAACAATGCAGGTGCAGACTCATGCTTCTCGACAAACGTTTGCCGCAATGATATAAAACCGAAACAGCGCGACGGTGGACGCTGATTGAGAAATTGACCGCGAACATGGCGATGCGCGAAAACCTGAGGCCGAAGATCGAAATGACCATTCACTTGTGTATGAACACAATGGCATTAGGTGATGATTGATCAAGTTAGACTCTATTCTTTTCATTGATAAAAAGGCATTATGGGCAACAACGCAATCTAATCCCTATGCCTGAAAAACCCATCTCCGTCATGAATAACTCCATGCCCGCCATATTAGCATGCACTGTTAAAGAAAACTAAAACACAATTCTTCTTTTGGGTGGTCCCATACCAGGGAAACCAGGACTCATAAGAGTCGATACGCCGTAAACCAGAAAGGCATGAAAACAGAATGCAAAAGGGGTATCATCTACCAGCGAGAGTCACGACCAAGGGGAGCGTTGTTGGAGCTGGTGAAGCCGCCACCGTGACCACCACCATGACCGCCACGGCCGCGGCCACCGCCACCACGTCCACGACCACCACCCCAGCGACCGTGGCCACCACCGCCACCACCGTAGCGGACCATCTCGGCGAGACGGGGGTCGATGTTCTGCTTAGCTTCGGCCAAGACGTTAACGAGGTCGCGAGCCTGCTTAGAGTCTGGGAAGGAAATGTCAGTCGATGTCTCAAGGAGGATCGGAATGTGCATTGAACTCACTCTCAGTGGTGAAGAAGGTGATGGCAGTACCCATGGCACCAGCACGACCGGTACGGCCGATTCTGTGGATGTAGTCCTCAGAGTTGTTGGGGTAGTCGTAGTTGAGGACGTGGGTAATGTTACGAACATCTTTAAAAGTAAGGATTAGCATGTCTGTTGGGAGAACAGTTGTGTATCAAAAGCGAGCCTTTGTCGGTCGCGTAATCTGATGAAGAGGTGTGCAATAATGTATTGACAACACTCTGTGCGCTCCATAGGAGACGAAGCTTTGTAGAAAAGCAGAAAGCAATCATAGCAATCACATGTCACAGGCCGTAGAAGATATCAAGCAGGATATCTTCGAGGTCCTACCGTCGGATGCCTTGGAAGCGCGTAACAAAACTACAGTGCAGCGCTGCGCGGCGAAAATACCTGCATCTCGCTCTCTACTGGGCAAAAAGGCGCACGAGGCGCAAAGTAGAGGGCAAGAGGTACGATGCGAAGCCATAATGAAAAGACAAAGGCCTCGATCGAGCAAGTTTCTCCCAAGGATCCGGAGTGAGGAACCAGTAAACTGGACGGCCTATAAGGACATGGTTACATATGCAAAAGGCGCACGAGTGCTCGGCGTAGAGCACCACTTTCAGATCACGCAAGTGCGAACAATGGGGTAGGGGAGAATTGGCAGTGAAGTGGAGGAAAGGGGAAGGGAAGGTGCTGTGAGTGATAGGGAGGGGGATTTTCAATCATACCAATACCACGCGAAGCCACATCGGTGGCAACCATGATGGGGCTCTTGCCCTGCTTGAATTCGTTGAGGACCCAGTCACGCTCCTGTTGTTGCTTGTCACCGTGGATAGACAGTGCTGGCCAGCCATCTTGTCTGAGGAAGCGGGTGATCTCGTCGGCGACACGCTTGGTGCCAGTGAAGATCAGGCACTTGTTGTCCTTGTCCTCCATAATCTTCTCGAGGTGCTTGATCATCTTGTCGCGCTTCTCGAACTCGGAAACAACCTCGACGACCTGGGTAATGCGGTGGTTGGCGGAAAGGTCCATGGAACCGACGTTGACCTGGATGAAGTCGTGCTGGAAGTCCTGGGCGAGAGCGCGGACCTCCTTGGGCCAGGTAGCGGACCACATGCAAGTCTGACGGTCAGGGCGAATCTGGCTGATGATCTTGCGGATTTGGGGCTCGAAACCCATGTCGAGCATACGGTCGGCCTCGTCGAGAACGAGGTAGGTGACACGGCGGAGGTTGGTCTTGCCAGACTCGAGCATATCGATCAAACGGCCAGGGGTGGCAATACACACCTCGACACCGCGAGCGAGATCTCTGATCTGCTGACCCTTGGGGACACCACCGTAGACACAGGTGTTGCGAATGCGGGATGACTTGCCGAACTTGTTAACCTCAGCCTGGATCTGGACAGCGAGCTCACGGGTGGGAGCAAGAATGAGGACGATGGGACCATCACCGGGAGAGAGGAGAGGCTGGGCGTTGATGTGGACGATCGAAGGAAGACAGTAGGTGAGGGTCTTTCCGGAACCGGTCTCGGCAATACCGACGACATCGCGACCAGAGAGAGCCATGGGCCAGCCCTGAGACTGAATGGGGGTGGGGTTGGCAAAGCCCTGGGCCTTGACCTCGTTGATAACGTAGCCGGGGAAACCAGCCTCATCGAAGGTCTCGACGGGCTTGGGGACGTTCTTTCCCTGGATGGCGATTTGGTGAGTCTTGCGGAACTCGTCGACTTCGGCCTGAGTGCGCTCGGCAACCGTGGGTGCCTCCTTGTAGAAGGACTTCTCGAACTTGGGAAGAGAGGTCATGTCTGTAATGGTTTGTTAGCAAACTGAACGTGTCGCATGAGCAAACAAGAAAACATACCCCACTGCTGGTTCTTGAGGCCGGCACCGAGCTGGCCCATTCTGTCGCCGCCCTGGCCGCCGCCGTAGCTGCCACCACCAAAGCCGCCCTGACCGCCACCGCCGTAGCCGCCCTGACCACCGCCAGAGTAACCGCCTTGGCTGCCGCCGCCGTAGCCGCCGCTGGATCTGCCACTGAAGTGTTAGTCAGTCATTGTTCAAGAAGTGATGGAGTGGATGAGAGATGGAGAGCTTTGAGCAGAGACTTGTTAAGAATCATACCCGTCGAAAGAGCGACTGGTTGAATAGTCGCCGTAGGAGCTTTGTCCGTAGGATCTCGAGGTGTCGTACCCGCCAGAGTAGCCATTGCTACCACCGCCGTAACCACCACCGCCGCCGCCGCCGCCGCGCGAGCCGCCGTAACCACCACCACCGTAAGACATGATGTAGATTGGTGTGAGGGTGTTTGAGAGGATGAAGGGTCGGAGTGTTGTGATATGAACTTTGCGCTCGTGAAAGAGATGAATGCGACAAGTTCAAGTCGCAAAGGGAGGTGTTTTGATGGAAAGAGAGGGTGTGAAGGATGGAAGAGAAAAAAGTAGAAGGCGCGACACGGGCTTGATAAAAGTGATTGGCCTAGCGCGGCAGGGAGAACTTTGTTCGTGCCAAGACTGGAGTTTTTCGCCTTTTCGCTGACACTCTCACCCGGTCGTTGGTCGTTGGACCCTTCCCGTTCAAGCTTCTCAACATCGTGGCGAAAGCATGGGTCTTTTTTTTCAGAGGTGGTTTTCGTACAGTGGATAATATACATAATTATACATGATAGACATTGGACTGTCTCTCTACTCTATGCATCAAACGGCGAATCAGTTAGAGGCTGTGCGTTGAGGTCCTTCTTGTCCTTCACCCACGTGCCCTTTGCCTTCTTCTCCTTCTCAACTAGCTTCTGGCGAAGGTGTCTGAGTTGTCTGCTGTCTCTTCGCAATTCGACGAGCTTTTCTTTAGGAATGATGTTCTTTCCTTCCATCCTGTCCATCAGTCTTGTGATGAAAGCGTTCATCTTCGCCCGCTTCTGTACCAGGCTCTGTATCTTCTCTGCAGGAATCAATTGTTTGTTTGTCATTTGATCAATGGCACCAACAACCGTGCGCATCAAGGTCACGATATCTTGCTTGTCCCAAGACGACGACTTCTTGCCGTCGTGCTGTCCAAAGGAGATCAATGACTTGAGTTTTGTGATGGAGCCCTCCATTTGCTCAACTGTCTGCCTGATGACCTCTCCGTCTTGGGTAGACAAAGCCAGCTCCATGTATTGCAATAGCATCTTCGGATCCGGTTCCATATTATAGTGTTCGCTCAACCTCACAAGCGTGTTGGCGTATTCCATGACATTCGGGTTCTTCTTGTCACGGCTGCAAGAACTCATGGCAATACGGAAAGTCTTGCGGTGAGGAGTCCAACCAAGCCTTGGGATAATGTCCGTGATGATGTCGAGAGTACGACCAGAAGCACGCGTTTGTCGTAGGATACGCATGAACGTATGTATATTGTCCATGTCGGGTCGAAGGTTGTACGTAGATTTGTTGGTCAGCAGATCCCAGTACTCGTATGATTCTCGGAATGCATATGTGAGCTTGCAAGCCTCAAGAAGGAGTGACAACGAGTTGTTGCCGGGTGGGATGAGCTGAACTGATTCTTTGCCTCGCTTGTCAAGCAAGAGTGCGCGATCGAACTCACTTTCGGGCTCTTCACCATCTATGACATTCGTTTGCTCCCTTTTGACATCATCATGCACGCGAATCGGTAGATGCTGAGCCTTTCTCATCTTGCTGCCCAATTTAGGAGCAAGACGAGGGATTCCCATAGTCTGTTCGATAAGAGAGAGGACATCGTCCCAATCTCTCGGTTGTAAGCCAATGAGAAGTAGACGACCCATAGCACCGACCATCTCTTCATTGACCATGATGCTTCCAGCTCGCCATCTTCCAACAATATCTCCCCAGATTCGTCGACCTTGCTGAATTGATGTCGCTCTGAGGGCGGCAATTTCACTGTCGTCTTTTCTGTCACCACTTTCCAGCAAAGCATGCTCTCTGATTGCATTGAGAATAGTAGCATAGGTGTAAGCATCAGCGGCGCCAGCACCCTGTTCCGGAATCTTTGCGGCAATGCTCCATAGTGCGTCCATGTCGTGTGCTCGTGCACATACTCTCAATGCAGCATTCGTGTGTATGGTGGTGGGCTTTACTCGAGAATTCTCTGCGCCTAGAGAATGGTAGATGGCAAGGGCTTTTCCCAGCGTGTCGGCGGCGACAGGAGGCTCGGAGAGGCCGCGGAGAATGATAACGTAGGTATGCGAGTCGGGAAACTGAGCGCGCTTCTTCATCTATTCGATTGTCAGAGAATGAGCAAGGTCTGGGTACAAGACAAGTCCTACCTCGTTGTATAGCTTCAGGGCAGCGGAGACCTGTTTCTCGGACAGCAAGTGGCCGATGATGTGGTTCCAACTAACGACACACTCCATGTCTTTACTGGCTATGCGGGTAAGAGCAAGTGCTTTCTCGACATCGCCTTTCTTGAGGACACCGCGGACGTGATCGGCGAGCTTGAGAGGGTCCGGTAGGAACTGCAATTCTCTCCTGACCTTCTTCTCCAATGCCAGACTCATGTTTGGCATTTTGCTATCCTCTCGGTCTTCCTCGTGCGGGCGCACCTGATGATGTTGATTGCGCTTGATCCATGTCTGTGCCGGGTCGTATGTCTTTTGTGGTACTCCATTGTCGAGGGGTGTGCGACTGCCTCTCTTTGTGTTCGACGCAGGATAATGCGTGTCCTCGCCCGGCGTACGGTCGTTACGGGGTCTGCTGTCTCTTCCGGACTCGGTTGTGTATTCTCGGACGAGCTGGGATGATCGCGCGTGCGGCGCTATGCGACTTTGGAGATATGGACGCGGTCCTGTGCTCGCCTCGGCAGCGATTGCACGTATGCATCTCAACAAGCTATTCCGGCACTCCGACATCGAGCTTTTGGTGGTTGTGACAGTAACAATGAAGAGGCAAAATGTCGAGCATGCCATCTTTCTCGCAACTTTTGGTGCACAGACCACAACTTCAAGGGTCTCGATAATCCTATCGACTCACCACCGAGTATGAGCATCCAACCTATGATTCACCTGATTTATGTCATCGAACGAGCTACGCGTCAGACTGTTCATTGAGAGTGTCTAACCACTACTCTCGATGAGCTTACCCCTTTCTTGAAGGTAGTAGATATGGTACATTGGTCTTGAAGGGTCTGCGCGGAAAGTAGAACTTATGCAACGGTATGTCAAGATCATTATCAGATGTTACAGAAAGGTATATATGCATCGTAAGAAAACATTCGCTTGCCATGATAAAACAGCCGGGGCATCAAGTAGAAAAGAGCGGGCTCTCAGGTCATCATGCTTTGGTCCTCGAAGTTCGCATCGGCTGGAAGTGATTCGGGCGCCGTTGAGAGCTGGGAAATCTCGTCCAGAAGTGCGACTGTCTCTGTTGGAGACGCGACCCATCCTGTAGTGCAAGCAAGCCGGGCCTATTGTGGTCAGTATGTGTGTCTACGGCAGATGCTGGGACTCGACGAACCTTGAAGTCGTTGGCTCCGATTGATAAAAACTGGTCGCCAATATGAAGGGACTTGTTTCCCTCGATACCACCAAAGTATCTTTGGCAACTCAGGACTCCCCAAGACTTGTCACCAATATCAATGAAGACGTCACTTCCACCTGAAGAATGTCAGTTTGTGATCTCCATGTGATCATCTCTTTTCTTACCGTTGAAAGCACAGAATGGCAGCCTCTTACCAACAGGACTCATCTCCTGATTTGTGTTAGCATATGCTATGACAGGAAGGCTATTCGTATCACGTACCAAGGTCTTCTGACATACGAGAACGGTCTCCTCGAGCTGCTCTCGTGACAGCTTGAAACCGGCGACTGGAATGATACCGACTGCTCTCTCTTTACGGAGGATGTCGGCCTTGAGCCTCATCGCATCGACACAACTGCGAAGGGATTTTTCTGCGATATCAAGCAGTTCTGTAACATCCTCTTGAGTCCAAGACTGCATCTCGTCCAGTGACCATTGTTTGCGCGGAATGGGAACGAGTCTATCCCGGCTGTCGCTAGTGAACTGGAACAGGTAACTCGCCTCTCCTCCAAGAACGATAAGATTCTTCTTGATATCATCAGAGAGATCAGATGTTGCTATGGCATCGAGTAGACCGTGTAGTCTGCCATAGTACTTGGAAGCTTCAGTGTAGCCAGCCGCTGTCACGATTCCGATGCGGGTGCCATTTCTCATCAACTCCAGAATGCGAGGAATGGCAGGGTTGTCGTCTGTAAGAGATTGACCATCATCATAGAGCGTGACATCACCATCAAATGTGACAAGATCTAGGCGACTGTGCTTGATCAATGACATGACTTGAGCGGTATTTAGGATCAGACGGATATCGTTGAAACTGGGAGCCACGAATCTTCTTGAGCTTATGTACCGCCTTTGATCTTGCCACTCAAAAGCATCTTTCAGAAGTAGAGGAGTGAAGAAGAAACCAACAGTCGGAACCAGCAGTTTGAGTTTCGAGTGTAAATGAGTACCTTCTTTTTGTCGAGATATGTGGTCATTGATGAGACCTTCGACATCACTCATGATTTGTGCATAGCGTTCGTGGGCGTTACGTGCCATCTGGTCAGTTCCGTGGATTCCATCTTGTCCAAACAAGGCCGTGGGCTGAGACAAAAGCACGAATGGTACTGCCAAAAGGCCTTTGATCCATTCAATCTAGAAGGAGGTTCAGTTGGGTGACACGGGAAAGTTAGTAGTATGAGGAGCTTACCAATTGATCACGACGATGAGTCTTGAACAAAGTGTTAGTAAGAAACATAGGTAACGTCGATGTGCCCGCATACTAACCTTGAGAGCGTCTAGATATAGTCAGCATTGTGGGATGGCATGTGAAAGGTAAACATACATTCGACACGGTATCGGGTAGTCATTCTTGCAGTTACTGTTCTGTGAGCACTTTGTTGTTTGTGAGATTGTGAGATCAAGGTTGAGATTGCAAGTGAGAAGGAAAGGAAGCCAGCAAGGTATGACAGAGAAGAGAGTCGGAGATGGCCGACAACAGTGACAGGGTGTTGATACGCATGTGATGCTGTACCCCACAGCGCTAAACAGCGGACACAAGCGGGCGTGGCGTCGATCTCTCGCAAGCACGAGGCGCTCAGGAACCGCTGAGCCGCCGCGGCAAGCTTTTGATCATAACCATCATGGCCGACATCACCCTGCCCTCGTCGCTATTACAACCACGAGACGAGAACGAAGCAGACACACTCTTGTCTGTTCTAGGACGCATCCATGATGAGCGCGGCCACTTTCGACACATTACCGAGCAAGGACTACAGGCTGAAATCGCTGCCAACGAGAACGAGGAAGAGAGCTCCGACACAGACGAAGATGAAGATAGCGCAGAAGTAGACGGGGCAGAGGGCAAAGACCGCCGGGAGCAACTATGGACCGCTAGAGCTGAGATGAGACAACATGTCGAGTATGTCTTCCTTGATAAGCCTTGCAAGTCGACGGTTCACTGACCATTCCCAGCTCGGCACGGAATGAAGCACTCATCGCCCTAGACTTTGTCTCTCTTCTACTTTCGAAGGATGCTCCCAAGCAAGCCGAACTTACAATGTCGCCTCATCTGAAGCAATTCATCAAACCTGGAACCCTAGCCATGGACGTGTGGCACAATGTGCAACCCGACAAGGAGCAACAGAAGCTGGATGATACAATCGCTCGCAGTTGGAGGATGCAGTCGCTCCAAGCATCTGCCGACTCTCTGCTGGGCGCAGCCACTCGTCTGGAGAAGAACGTTAGAAGAGAGACTCATTACTGGGAACAGGTCTTGTCTGTTAGCGACAAGGGCTGGTCAATTTCGCGTCTGCCTCGGGAGAGACATAACTTGGGTGTACGCTTTGGCTTCTTGGAAGCTCTCGGAGAATTCAGAGACCGTGGACTCGCCGCCCTCAGATCAGACGAAGACGGCAATGTGTTACTCGATAAGGGCATGGGAAACAACAGCAAAGTCCTGCGAGTACGGATTCAAAAGGGCGACACCATCATTGGTGTCTCACAGATGCCGGATACATCTGCCGATTCCGAGTCTGCCCTTGAAGCTCGAATTCGCCATGCCAGAGACTCTCTGTACGAAGAGGAATTATTCCACGAAATCATTCGGGAATCACGAAGTCTCGCATCGTACGGAGTTGACATGCGCGAGTCTATCATCCGTCTTCCGACAAGACTGTCACCCACTGCTTCATTATCTGCATCAGAAACACACGAAGTGCTGATCGACCTATTGCCGTTGACCGATATCGAGACAAAACCACGAGAGAAGCAGTCAGAAGATGCCTGGGCTCAAGCTATTGCACTTGCTCTTCGCCTGTTCCTCTCATACACACATCGCGAGAGGCTGGTACGCCGATCCGAACTACCCCAGCCAATGTCGAGCGCCAAACGCGATACGCCAGTCGCAAGTATCATGCGACCCGTCTTGACCCTACTGCAGCACCGTACGGTGCTTGCTGACATTAGCACTTATCTACAACGTATCCATAAGACCCTCGATGCAGCGTCTGTTGAAGCCTCAATTGAAACAGCACCTTTCGACCCCGCCCTCTTGAGGTCCGCAGAAACAATTGATGCACTCATGCAGAGAGGCCTTACTCCAATCCATTCACGGTTGAAGGTTTCGCTCAAGGTACCGCATTTGTCCGAAGCACTTGAATTTGGTATCGAAGTCCGCACATCAATCTCACCACCCGCTTTCGGCAGTGCTATGTTGGTGACTTCACCCATTGGCCTCTCGAGAGTTGAAATACCAGATATTCAGGAACTCCAAGACTACTTGAATACGGCTATCGCAAACGCTCTCGGTCAAGGAATTTTAAACAAACTGACTGGCTGGACGCTCAACGACAGATGCGGCGTTCTTGGTAAAGCAAACAGCAATGACAAAATCGGAATCGAGGTGCACGCAGGAGAAGATTCAGCACATGATGGTTTAATCTTGCGGACGCCTAAAGATAGGTTTGAGTGGAAGGCTCAAGACGAGATGAAACAAAACGGCTTTTGGGAGACAGTCAAGCAAGAAGTCTGGAACGGAGCGTGAAGCCGGCGCCAGAAAATTAGCTGCAGCGATTTTCAGGGTCCAACGACTTTTTCTCATGCTTGAACGAAGTGAATGATGGGTAGTGAGATAGAACAGCGTAGAAGGGAAGAAATCACAAGTCTTCTGAGCTGATATGGAGTGCCTTCGGGCTGGTGTCACAAACAATGGTGAGATTCTTGGCCGTAAGACCGCAGTCGGACCGTGATGTTGACTGGCACAGGCCAACAGTGGGGTGTTGTTGAGTGACGTATCACGGTGGGCGGTATGACCGGAGTCTTGGAGCGCTCAAGATTTCACCTTTCGCTTTGGCTCGAGGCTCTTTTTTTACATTCACTCTCATCTCTCCACCACGTGTTGCGACAGGTTTATAAACACAGCTGGCCAAGCACTCTGTCTGGTACAGCTTCTCACGCCTTCGAAATAATATATCAACTTCTCCCTCCCGCATACAAACACACTACAATCGACCTTCAGCATGGCGCAGGTCAACCTCGCTCCTCCCGCAATGCCTGAGGGCAAGAAGCGCATTGCTGTCATGACTTCCGGAGGTGACTCCCAGGGAATGTCTGGTGCAGTACGTGCCGTCGTTCGTCAAACAATCGCCTCGGGCTGTGATGCATTCGCCGTTTACGAAGGTTACGAGGGTCTCGTCCAGGGCGGTGACATGATCAAGCAAATGAAATGGGAAGATGTCCGTGGATGGCTCTCAGAAGGTGGAACTCTCATCGGAACAGCACGATGCATGGCCTTCAAGGAGCGCCCGGGTAGACTGCAAGCAGCCAAGAACATGATCGACAAGGGCATCGACGCCCTGGTCGTCTGTGGTGGTGACGGCAGTTTGACTGGTGCAGACAGATTCAGAGGCGAATGGCCCAGCCTGGTCGAGGAGTTGGTCAAGAACGGCACATTCAAGGAAGACCAAGTCAAGCCTTTCAAGCACCTCAACATTGTCGGCCTGGTCGGTTCCATCGACAACGATTTGGCTGGTACTGATGCCACGATTGGATGCTACTCTTCGCTGCAACGTATCTGCCAGGCTGTCGACTACATCGATGCCACCGCTTTCTCTCACCAGCGTGCCTTCGTCATTGAGGTCATGGGCAGACACTGTGGTTGGCTCGCCCTGATGGCTGGTGTTTCCACCGGTGCCGACTTTGTATTCCTTCCCGAGAACCCTCCTTCAGAGCACTGGGAGACTGAGATGTGCGACGTTGTCCAGCGTCATCGCAAACTCGGAAAGAGAAAGACCATTGTCATTGTCGCTGAGGGAGCTCACGACCGTCAGCTCAACGCCATCTCGCCCAACCAGGTGAAGGATCTGCTTGCTGGCAAGCTCGGTCTCGATACCAGAGTCACCACTCTTGGTCACGTTCAGCGTGGTGGTACTGCCGTTGCTTACGACCGTATGTTGGCTACTCTTCAGGGTGTCGAGGCCGTCAAGGCTGTTCTCGACTCTACCCCTGAGACCCCTAGTCCCGTCATTTGCATCGTCGAGAACAAGATTGTCCGCAAGTCATTGATGGAGGCTGTCAAGCTGACCCAATCCGTTGCTGAGGCCATCGAGCGCAAGGACTTCAAGTCTGCCATGAAGCTCAGAGGTGCCGAGTTCGACGAGTACTGGACCGCCTACAGCACCACAGTCTCAACTGACAAGGAGGAGCTTCTTCTGCCCAAGGAAAAGGTAAGATTTTTGTCCGAAAAATTGTAACGAGAACGTCACTAACATATACATAGCGCCTGCGTGTCGGTATCATCCACGTCGGAGCTCCCGCTGGTGGCATGAACGCTGCCACCCGTGCCGCCACTGCCTACTGTCTTACCCGCGGCCACACCCCCATCGCACTCCACAACGGTTTCCCCGGTCTCGCCCGCCATTACAAGGATGAGGAGAGCTCTGTTCGCGTGATCAAGTGGCTCGACGCCGAGAACTGGGCCAGCAAGGGTGGTTCGGAGATCGGAACCAACCGTGCTACTCCGTCTGAGGACTTCGACGGTGTCTCTGATGCCCTGACTTACCACAAGATCGATGCTCTATTCGTTGTTGGTGGTTTCGAGGCCTTCACTGCCGTTTCCGAGCTCCGCAAGGCCAGACGCGACTTCGACGCCTTCAAGATCCCTATCGTCGTTCTTCCCGCTACTGTCTCCAACAACGTCCCCGGTACCGAATATTCCATCGGTAGCGACACCTGCTTGAACGCTTTGATCGACTACTGTGACGCCATCAAGCAGTCCGCCGCCGCCTCTCGTCGCCGTGTCTTCGTCGTCGAAACTCAAGGTGGTGCTTCCGGCTACATTGCCACCATCGCCGGTCTCTCCATCGGTGCCGTCGCCGTCTACACACCCGAAGAAGGCATCCACCTCAAGATGATCGCCTCAGACATCGAGCACTTGAAAGAGCAATTCGCCAAGGACAAGGGTCAGAATCGTAGTGGAAAGATCATCCTCCGTAACGAAAAGGCCTCCAAGACCTACACCACCGAGATCATCGCCAACATCATCCGCGAAGAGAGCGGCGGCAAGTTCGACTCCCGTTTCGCCGTCCCCGGACACGTGCAACAGGGTGGTATTCCCTCACCTATGGACCGTGTCCGTGCCGTCCGTTTCGGTGTCAAGAGTATGCAGCACATTGAGTCCTTCATCGGCAAGTCCAAGGACGAGATCGCCAACGACCCCCTGTCTTGCTCGGTTATAGGAATCACCGGCGCCAAGGTCCAATTCTCCGGCATGGAGAAGGTTGAGAAGGAGGAGACTGACTGGAAGGACCGTCGCCCTAAGAACGAGTTCTGGATGGATCTGGTGCAGATTGTGGATACTCTTTCTGGACGTCCTCGTCCCAAGAAGGAGGATGCCATTGCTGCCGGTCTTCCTGCTTAGGCTGCTTCCTCACCAAACAGGGAAGGTCCTGGTTTCTGCTTGTCTACTTAATCATGATTGCAATGATTTCTTTCTCGTTTTTTTCCTGCCTCGTGGCTAGAAGCCCAGGCATTCATCATTGTATTTGGGGGTCTCTTACAGCTTTAGAAAGTTACTTTGCATCAATTCAACTAAGATTTCTCGATCAACGGAGCTCGAGATGTATACACAAGGACAATATTCTATTACAGCCATTATTCATCAATTTTTCCATCTTCTGAGTCTAGGTCTTGCCAAACACAAAGACACCCTTGCCAGATCTGAAGCCTTGCAATGTGCCTTGGACAGCCTTGATCAACTCATCACCCTTGGTCTCCCACTCCCACTTGACTTCATCAAATGGTGTATCCTTGAACTTGCCCTCCCTGACAAGATCCAAAACATGTTCCACAGTCTTTTTCTTATCCGCCGGGTTCGCATCACTCCATCTGCTCACCCAAAAGCCGTCATAGGAAATGTTCTTGAAAATCTGGAGACCAGCAGGAACGGTGACCGGTTCGCGGGACATGGCGCCATAGGTAACGATATGCGAGTTTTCTGCCAGGATCTTGGCCATGGAGTTGACGAGTTTACCACCCACGCAGTTGAGAGCCAGGTGGATTTCTTCACGACCTCCGTTTGTGGCTTGTTTGACGACGTCGCGGAAGGATTTATCCATTGCTTCGGCGTCGGTGAGGACGATATCTGCACCGAGGTCTTTCAATTCTTGCTTCATTGCTTCTGTGGCCGAGGCATCTGAGCGGGGACGAATGATGTTGATACTGCGGTAGCCCCAGAGTTTTGCGAGTTGGATTGCTGCTCTACCCACACCGGAGTTTGCGCCGTTCTGAATAAACCAGTCTCCTTCTTTGAGGGCCACAAAGTCTCTGAGCATGCGGTAGGCTGTGCAGGGATTTACGCTGACGGTGCCGGCTTGAAGAGGTGTAAGGCCTGATTTGTCTTCAATCTTGAGGAGGTTCTCGGTGGTAGTCTGGGCGTGGGTGCGCCAGGTGCCGAAGCCGGGCGAGCGCATAATGACCCAATCGCCTTTTTGGAAGCCTTTGACGCTGCCACCGGCGGAGAGGATCTCGGCGACACCTTCATTGCCTCCTACGGCGGTGGGTTCGGGGGCTCCGAGGGTGGTGCTGAAGTTCGGTTTGCTGGGGTAGACGCCTTGGATCTGGTTGATGTCTGCTGGGTTGATGGGGGAGGCGAGGAAGCGGAGGGTTACGAGATCCTTGTGGGCTGGCGAGATGCTGTGGCCGTGTAGTCTAAGAACATCTTTGGGTTCGCCGTAGTTGGTGAAGGCTAGTGCTTTTGCTTGCTCATAGCCGTATGCGCTGAGGTGACGGCGGGAGATGGGTGTTGTTGTTAGGCGAGTAAGAGGTGCCCGTAGGCTTGTGCTGCGTGTGCTCAATCGGAACGACATGGTGTGTGATATGTCCGGACAGGAATTGAGTTGAGACAGAAATTGGGAGAGCTTTCGGAGTCGGAGGGACAGTGACGTCGCCGACCCGCCGACCCGCCGAAGACACCGACCACCCGTTCCTCCGCTTCAGCTCTGCCTCTTCGCTTCCTGCGCTTCATCAAGATGTTGACCATATGTGAGGTAACAGCGCTTCTCATCTTGGAACAGATGTAGTTTCCGTTGAGTCATGACATGGGTGGTGAGTCTTGAAAAGCTTCGCACATATATCGATGCGCCCCAATCGTCTGGTTGTTTCGAATAATCAGGACCTATTGGCGCCAACCACATGATTGCCTGGCGGTAACGGCATCAATCGAGGTGTGTTCGATCGCTGGCGAGGAGTCTCCATCACCAGGTCCCTGACACCCACTCTGGCTTCTCCCATCTGTCTGCCTCATCTGGTCAACGCTTCGTGCATTTCTTCCATACCTTCTTTAGAGCTTTGGAGATACTGGATTTGGCCTTCTTCCCGAACCGCTTGACCTTTTCTGCTTTGGTCTTTGTGTCTGGTACCTGAGGAGGAACCACGTCACAGTCGCATGTCGCTCCATCTCCTGCGCCCACGCAGAGCCCACCATTCACACAGTCACACTCCACGAACTTTGTCGCTCTCGCTTGCTGTGCTGCCCTTCTGAGGACAACGTTGACCACACTTGACTGCGGTGTGTCGAATGCAGTCCTGAATGGATTCTCTTGCAAAGCCGGTGATGCGGATACTGGCTCTGACTCCGAGTCGATGGTCGAGTCTGATCCGGTTGAGCTCTTACTCGTCGTGTACTGTATTGGGTTATGCTCCAAGCTCGAGGCGTCCAGCGGTGTTGATGATGAAGCCATCGTGAAAGAGATCAGATGGGGTCGCGATGTCAAACGTGGTTGATAAGGTGCTGGAGCTTCGTGATGTCTGCGACGTCAAAACTTTGAGAAAGACGATGATGTTCACGACGAATGGAACCAGCTTGTGGCTTGCGAAGATCTTGTTCTGATTTTATCCTCACCCACGCGACAGGGAGAATAGTCATTACTGAAGTTTTTGAGACAGTTTGAGGCACTTCGCACAGATTCTTAAGAGACAAGGTATTCGATCGAATACACGACGAAAAGCTCGAAGACGCTCGAGTCGTCGAGATATTGTAGGAGAATCCGAGGTAAGTTGACCGCTTCACACTTCTATATCTCTTGTTATTTACTGTCGATTTTCCCTTTGACGAATTTCACTTGGGTGAAAGTCGTACCTGGTGGTATATCGCTGCCTGAGAACCTACCGTGGTTGAGCATGTTCCACGAATTCCATTGGCTGGGGTTGAAGTCCTATACAACCACAAGCGTATTATTAGTCAGGTGCCAGGTCACAACCACTCATATGAAGGAGATGTCTCAAGGCAGAACTCATCGTGAGTTGATATTCTAGTATAAGAGAAATCTCATCGCCGTCCTGCACTTCGCTTCCTTTGTCCATCGCCAAGTTCTCATAGCTGCTGTCAGTCAAGAAAACTCATCCATACCATCAACCCACGACTAAAAGCGAAAAGCACATCAAACGCTACGCACACCTTACTCTTCTTCTCTCATCTACCTCAAAAAACATGGCAAACATCATGCACCCTCATACTCTGGCACTTGCCACCGTCGCAGGTCAAGGCCTCAAGACACCAACTACCACATCAAGCCGCAAGGCACGAAAGGTCTGCCGTCTCACCAAATGGCTCACCTCCGCACAAGCTAAACTGCGTACCACCATCAGCAGACCTGCCAAAAGCATACCTGAGAAGTCCTGCTATCCTATCAGCAGCAAACGCACACAACAACGTCGCATCCACAACGAAGTCTTTGGCTGGACCAGCGACGCCTTTGACGAGATGAGCATGATTTCGAACTCTTCCTCATCCAGCAGAACAACCTTGACCTCACCATCGCCGTCTAAATCATCTACAGACACAAGGCCAAGAGAGCAACTACTCAAAGAAGCCGACGACGCTATGATCTCGCGACTCGAAAGCGCATTCACGAATGGTACCAACCGCCACCCTAGAGGTCGCAAAGCATACCTCAAAATCGAAGGATATTGATATTGACCTGGAGTCTTTATGAATGCTTGACCCTTTGCTCGTACCAAAGGGAGAATGGCACAAAGATATTGTACTCTCTGAAGTTATCGTCCTGCTTGTGATCAGGAGATATAGAGACGGAACGAGTTTATGAACCAGAACTCCTTTTCATTTTGCTTTCCGCATCTGTCAGCTACAGTGCTTACATATCATCGCGATGTTTGAATTAAAATGTATACACTGTTGGAGCAACTATATTTTCCTTGGTCTGATGTGTGCCTGCGTAATGACATGTGATTTGGATTGTGCCTGCCTTAGACCTTTGCCATCGACTTTGCCCTCGCTCTCCATATTTACAACACCATCGTAAAGCAAGTTGCTTCGACTCTTAAGAAAAGTTTCAACGAGAGAGGTTATTTTACTTAGCAGCTCTCCTGAGAACCATGTCTTCCATCGAGGGAACTTTTTACATATTGACAGCTGACTAACTCATCTATACACATCTAAGAAAGAACTACGTCCCATGACTTTACGCCTCCTTCTCAACAGCCTCAGCCATCTCCCCAAGCGTGTCAAATTTCCAATCATAGACTTCTTCCTCCTGATTCCCCATCTCCGCCCCTGGTCTCACGATCCAAGCGCCCATAACCCCCATCTTCTTTGCCGGATGATGATCATGAAACTGACTCTGCGCCGTCTGCAACACTTGCTCCTTCTCAACTCCAAACCTCCCCTTCACTTCTTTAAGCATATACTCGAAATTCTTGAGGTTAGGCTTGTAGCTTCCAACATCTTGAGCCGTGAGGATGGCATCGAAAGGGAAGTTTTGAAGTGGTCCCGCATTGGTTTTTGAAAAAGAGGTGCGGTCGACGTTGCTGAGGACGACGAGTTTGTAGTGTTTCTTGAGAATGTGTAGAGCGGCTACTGTATCAGGGAAAGCAGGCCATTGTCCTACTGAATCGCCGAATGCTTTGTTTGCCTCCTCTGATGGTTTCTCGCATTCCAGATCTGCGGCGATGGCTGGATGGATTGTAGACAGCAGGTCGCAGTATGTCATTTCTGGTGTTTTGGTTTGTTGGGATGCTTCGTGTTTGTGGTAGATTTGGAGAAGGTGCTTGCGTGTGTAGGAGGAGGTTTTGTTGTTGGTGTCTAGTAGAGGTTGGAGGGCATTGATCACGCCGGTCTCCCAATCTATCAGGGTGCCGTAGACGTCGAAGGAGAGGAGTTTGAAAGATGTGAGTTTGGTCATGGTGGTGTTTGGAAAATTGACAAGTTGGGTTTGGGAGATGATTGGTGTAGATGTCTCGAGACAAGAAGGACGTTCGTGGAAAGTGGAAATGAACTTTCTGATATAGTCTAGATAGTGATATGCACGCCCTTGAGATGACTGCTTATGTATGCAAGCCAAGATAGAACTCGACTTCAGCCGAGGGATGAGGTGGAACTGGCCGAAGCGGGCAAGCGGCGTGGCTTTATCTCTCCTTTCCATCTCGCAACATCAACCTCCGTCTTCCTTATATTTCTCGACATTACAAGCAGACCTTCTGGTTGAGTAGTTTCAGACGGCACTCGATGCCTTCAACAGCACATGATGTCGTCGATCGCTTCTACTTTCACTAAACAGACAGCACCAAGTATGATTCAACACGGCGGCGGCCGTCTAAAGCACCACCTGGCTTCTTCGCGTTGAGGATACATTTACCCAAATCTTGCCATTCCTTCCATCGTCAACAGCCAGTTCACTCAGTGAACTTGATCATCAGACCTGCCGGGGTAGCTCAATCGGTAGAGCGTGTGGCTCTTATCAATTGATAAATCCAAACCTCAAGGTCGCGGGTTCGAGCCCCGCCTTCGGCTATTCCTACACATCCAGTTGGCGATTCTCTTTTTGCTCTTTTGCAGGTTAATTCCTTTTGTGATGCTGGAAGAGACGGCGGAAGAAATGGTGGTGGTTTCATGAGAAGTTGAGAATTTTTGGGCGTATGGATTCATGGCTTGGCGGACAGGGTGGGCTGAGGAGAGATTATGCGTAGGCTTGGCGTGCTTCTGTTTTGCATCCTTGATCTTCGTCTTTGTAATCCTTTCTCTTATAATACGTTGGTACAGGACGGGAGAGGGTTACTGCGGTCCTCTGATGGTTGCAGCAGATTTGAGACACAAGTTTGCTCGTGATACCAGTCCACCTCCAGCCGAAGACAGGGCCTCAACCCGCTTGGTGAAATCGTGGGTTCAAGACCCGCCCTCGGCAATTTTTGAAATTCGAGCGAGAGAGTGAGTAGAGTAAATATTCACAAAACGAACTTTCAATGAGTAATTTGCAAGAAAATAGTGCTGTCAGATACAGTTGATTGTTGATTCATTTGATTCACATTTAACATTATGCACAAGAAAGAAAAATTGCGTTGCTAGACAGGCAGCCTCTCCTGGAGTCAGCACCCTTTCCTGTCCATTCCATTTCCCTCCTTTGCCCACCATATGAGATTCCCGTTCCAGCCATGCCCTATCAATTGGGTATACAAAAGATCCTTCGTCGTCAATGAACTCCCGAAGTATGAGATAAGAAATGAATCTGAACAAATGAGAAGAAAAAAAGTGGTTGTCGAAGAGAATTTTGTTTGTCGATGATGGTGATCAACCGAAGAAGCTCTTCTGGGTGGGTGTTTTGAGATCTCCTTGGTTGATGCCTAGGCCTGCCAGTCCTTTGACTCCTGGTCCGCCCATCTCGAGCACAGGGCTGGGCAGTTCGCTGTCTTCGCCTTCGGTGGCGGCACTGGAAGAACTTACACCATCGACCATGTCTTCAGGACTACTCATCTCGTGACGGCCCAGCAAGAACTGCTTAAAGCTAACCGATGGTTGTTCATCCTCTTCAACGTCATGGCGTAGTTGCAATCGTGGTGGGAGGGATAGTCTCAGTCCTTCTCGCTGTTGCATGTCCTCCTCTTCCTCCACAACGTTCGGTTCGGGTAGTCCATATCCATTGCCGAAGTCTAGCTCTTTCTCTGCAGTGGGGGTCGAGTCAAGTTTCACTTTCTCGATGAGTTGTGACAATGTGCCAACACTAGTTGTGCGCTCGAATGCTTCTTCTTCGATCTCCATAGATGTTGGTACACCGTGCAGGATGCAGCAGTTTCTTTCCAGATATTGTTGCAGTCGGTACTGTTGGCGATCCCATGACTCGGTGACTAGGCGCAGAGCAGCTTGTATGTCTTGATCTGTAAGCGAAGGAATTGGTGCGGTAATCGGTGAGTTAGAAAGGTTGTTGACTTTAGTTTTGGACGGCGAGAATGGGCGTGAAGATGAAAGTGGGGATGAGGTGTGGCGTGGGGAGGGTGCTAGCGAAGGGAAGGATGGGGCAGCTGCTGAAGAACTCCGGTTGACCGTTCTCTTCATGTTGGCGAGTCCCTTGCGAAATGTAGAGGACGAGGAAGAGGAAGGCAGTGGTTTTGCGGGAGGTGCTGATATTGAAGGTCTCAAAGGCGCCGTTGTAGCTGGAACTTCATCGCGAATATGCTTGACCTGAGTCTCTGTGTGCTTCAGAGCCGCTAGACGGCTTTCGTCCAGGTATGGCATGTAGACAAGCGTGGTGTTCTTGCCTAGTGCATTGATCATATCGGTGAAGGCGGATAGGGGTATATCGTTGTGTTCGCAATGCAATTCACGCAATGTTCTGTTCACTTTCAAGACTTCCGCTAGCATACTGGCACCAGGCAGACCGAGTCTTTGATACTGGACTCGAAGAACATGCAAGCCTGTGTTGTGTCGCAGACCGTTTAGCGCTTGGTTGAGCCCGACACCAAATCGTGAGGTTTCCAGACGTGAGTCTTCTCCTGAAATGTCTAGTTCTTCAAGCGTACTGTTCTCCGCGAAGAGCGACTCCAAGGCGCGACTGGTATCATCGTTTGCGTCACTGGGTAATGTTGTTCTGGAGATATCGAGATATCGGATACTGTGATTCTTCCTCAAAGCGTTGATCAAGTGTCGGAAGACTGATTCCTCACGATATTCGATGGCACGGATCGTGAGGTGAGTAGGTGTTGAACCATCCGCGATAGCTTTACATAATTGATCGTGATCCTTGGTGATATTGTTGTGACTGATGTCGAGATGAAGGGAACGGGGCTCGATTGAGCCACGCTTAGTGGCGCGCATGATGGTCGCAATATCACTGCCAGACATGTATGCTGAGTCCAGATAAAGTTCCCGGAGAGTATCTGATTGCTGGTGCTTGAGGTATGTTGCAAGTGCTTGGATTGTGTTCTCATTCAGTGAGGTGCCCGTCAGCCTGAGCTCTTCCAAACGCCAGGTAAGGAGAGTCTCGGCGTTGAAAAGAGGTTCAGCCCCTGAAGTCCGAGAAGCAAAAGACAGGTTGAGCTTTCGAATGAATCCAAACACGCTAATCTGCCCATCGAACACGGCCGGGGCAAGACGTGCAAGGTTTCCTGAAATGTCCAAAGCCTCCAGAGTATTGTCTTGGGCACGAAGTGAATCCAGAATCAAACTCAATGTACGATCAGTCAACGAGCACCTGCTCAGTTCTATGGCGCGGAAATGACAGGCCTTGTCGCTCGCTGCCCCGACCAAGTAGTCAAGATCGGTCTCACTCAGGTGGATCCCATTCAATGCGATCCAGTCAACATTGGTGATTTGATGTTTGCAAAGTGGAGAAAGAGCTTCGACCACACCACACCCAATATCCTTGATTTTGACCTCCGAATCGTCCGTGTAATCCGGAGGCTTTGCGACAATGCATCTGGAAAAGTCCATTCTCCGAAGCTTCTTATTTGTTGCGGCCAAAGCACGAACTTCTTGTATCAATAGGCAAGATTCAGTGAGTTCCTGTGCGGTTAGACGAAGCGGCGTTCCTCGTTTCGTTCTTGTACAGACATGCTCCGAGCCATAATTGTCGTGAAGTCCATTGAGCACATCAAGCTGAACGTCAGCAAAAGAGAGCGAATTGAAAGACTCGTTGTATCGCAAAGCTCGCATGACAGCCAGTAACTCGGCTGCGCTGTGCTTTTGTCGACGTGCGTCCGCAAAGGGTAGTAGTTGGAAACGAGGCGCGTCTTCGCATGTGTAGTCGATGGTGTAACAGATATTGGACGGATTCACGTCGTATGCGATACAATAAGCTGTTAGCGTGCGTTCGAAACAGCAATGGTCCTCAGCGTCCGAGTTCACCGACGGAGGAAGATGGTCTTCAATCTCTTGTGGGACATTAAACTTGAACAGGCGAGAAGAGCACTCGGGACGGAGGACATTCTCAACATGATGAAGACGAAGCGCAATATCTTGAGACGCCAGAGAAGCCAAGTACAGGGTTTTTGGGCGTTTCATGGGTTGTCGGAAGGTGAGTTCAAAATGGTCATCTGAATGACTCAATCGAATTGCAGTCATGTTGAGAATGCCATACGATGTCGGAACATTGCTTGCAGACAGTGAAGGCGACGAAACACGGCTAGTGGTCTTGATCAAAGGGATCATGTGGACCTTGTGTATACCAATGGCTAGGAAGCAGACAGTCGAGGCGATTTTGGACAAGTCATCGGTGGACGATCGAGATTTTGAAAATTGGCGTTGTACAACCTTGTAGATAACGTAGTTTGCAGGATCGTAATCGTTTTCGCGCTCCACAGCTCTGGCAGCATTTTTGGAATTGACGACAGAAAATGGATTAACGTCTTGAAGACGAGTCTTGTTGGCAGCTGTGCGGATTGATCGCAACCAAAGGTCTCGGTCCTCGGGATCGCCAAACTGCATGACCATGGCGGAAGCTTGAGAACCTTCCTCATCAAGGTAGCAGACTTCAATGGCAAAATAAGGTCGGCCATCATCGAGCCTGTGAACTGCAACAATGTGACGAAGAGTGACTCGACCTTCCTTGTCGCCGGACGAATCGGAATGTAAAGATTGTAGATCCTGTGAGGAGCCAATAGATTGGGTCGAGCTATGGCGGATTGTCGGGCTTCTGCCGAACGGAGGAGGGACTCCACCAATGCTGTCGGCAGCCTTCGACTGGTTCTTGTAGCGTAGGATGTGGGTGTCTGTCAAGACCAGGTACTCTTTCTTCTTACGAAACATGCTACTGCTGGTCTGAACTTCGCCATGGTGTAGGACTAGTCTCTTTCCGAAATGGCTGTTGTCGAAATCGGCCCAATTGATGGATGGCGTACGGCTCGATGTGGCGGTCAAAGGACCGTCGTCTTCGTGCATGGATCGCATGGATCTGAGGGAGCCAAAGACGGATGAGACAGGACGGCCACCACTCCGGACGCTCAGTGTGGGACGGCCGGTGGGCTTGGGCGAAGGAAGAGTGTTTGCTGAGGAGGGCGAAGGGTCCTCATCGTGGACCAGCTCGGGTGAGGATTCGAGGTTGGTGATGAGAGTGGGGCCGCGACGCTTCTTGAGAGTCTTGGACGAGTCCTTGTTCAGCTTGTCCGGGTCGTCGCGGGTGGTGGGGTGGATCTGGGTGAAGGAGGGGATGCTGAAGATACTGCGCCTCCGGCCGGCGTGCTCCCGACTGGTGGAACGGGGCATGACGGACGGCGCGGTGGGAGAGTACAAAGAAGAAGGTGTCGTCGAGAGGGCGGGCGTGCGTGGTACTACTGGGGCATGGCTGGCTTAAGTCCGGAGTTCATGGCGGCGGGAGATCAGAAGGAGAGGGAAATTAGATGATCCGGCGTCAGATGAAGGTGATTGGCAGCACACGTCAGAGCGAGAGGGCTGCCGACATGTCGACCTTGAAGGCGATAGAAATCCGTAGAGAGAGTGGTGAGAAGAGAAGGTGCAGAGAGGGCGGCGCAAAAGATGTTCCTGAGCGAGCCGAACGATTTGGACTTTGAATGTTTAAAGCGAACGGAAAGCATCGTTCGATCGTCGTCAGAGGCGTCGACGCAAAGGACTTGGTAAAAACAGGAAGCCGTCTTTCTAACCACCACATGCATGCGTCTTTCGATCAAGTTATTGATTCTCTAGCTTGGCAGACATGTACCACAGCATGGACTAGGAGACTGATGTCTTGAGCGACCATCTCTCGCAGACTCCTGTTGTAGTGTTTCCATAGCTACGCAAAGCACAGAGAGTCACATGGAACATGTCTTCTGCATTGGCGTTGGATAATCGGATTCGGCGCTTTCGTATCAGAACGCAGAGTGCACAGACGCCCCGGCCACTCGGCAGAACCCTAGTGATAGTCTCCGTAACGCTTTATCGATAATTGTCGAGAAGAATTGGTGGTTGCCGTCTAAGTTTTGATAATTCCAAACGCATACCAAGCGCTACTTTCGATGCCCAGCTGGCGCACCCACGGCGTTCGCCCTCTCAGGCCGCTTTTCACCACCCAATTCTATGTCTGTCCGCCATGTCGACTGCGTCTCTTTTCCGCTACAACATCACGCCCGCTCCGCCACTCGACGCGCCTGCTAGACGCCGAATCCGACAAGAATCATAATGCCGAGGACGAGAATGTCAAGCCTACTACTCCCGAAGACAACAAGGATGAAAATGTTAAGCATACTGCTCCCGAACATGCCAGCGAGGACAACGACACCGAGACCGCCGCAGATATATGGCCCTTCGTTAAGGGTGACTTGAAAGAGTCTGGAAATACCCAAACCAATGAAAAGTCTAAGAAGAAGCCTGTCAGACCCGTCAGAACATACGGCGCTGTACATGAGGAAGTACGCGAAAAAGCAGAGCATGCTTTTACCCTACATGACTACCGCCGTCGGGAAGCACTGCTCCACTACTTGGAGCGCACAAATGCCCAGCGAGAGACTGAGGAGGCCTCGCCCGAGTCACAAACAGAGAAGGCCAGACCGGAGTCATTCCAGTCTCTTGTGCAACCGATTGGACATGACGAGAAGGCTGGCGACACTCTCCAGACCATCTCCAATTTCTTCAAATCCTCAGAGCCTTCTTCTGCCTATGACGGAGGCGCCATACAATCCTTGAAAGATGCCATGCTGTCTATCAAGAGTGATCCTATATCCATTGGCTGGAACAGAACCCCTAGGAGGTTACGGACTAGGCGTAAGCGCTTCGTGAACAGTCCCGCGCCCCAGACCCCTGAGCGTGTCGCTAAAGCCGAGAAGAAGAGGGCGTCCGACGAAAATCGTGCCATGAAGTTTCTCGCAGATGGTACGGGATTCATGGAAGCCTCCACCATCGAAATGGAACGGTTACATGTGGACCAACCACCCGTTCCTCGTGTACAACATGGCCTTGATCGTGTCCTCTTCACTCAAGGCGTTTACCCGTTGCAAGACTCACGTTCAAAGGTTTTTAACTTTGACCCCTACCTCCAAAAGATCATGCCCGTCACAGAGTTTGATTACGATGCACTCAGTGCTTACAAGACTTCCTCTCAAGACTCTTTCCTCTCCGATTTTGCGAAAAAGCACGGCAAGAAATATGTCGGTTCTACCTCGAGTATGACGAGCACCTTGTCACACTTCCACTATCTGCTATCTTCCTGGCGCAAGATCAACATTAGCATGTTCTCGAAAGACTTCCCTGACACCCTACAAAGCTTTACCGCACTCAACCGCGCGCCTACCTCCATCTTCTTGAGGCGAAAAGGCGATACCTGGGCTGTTGATGCTGACAAGGAATTCGATGGCGCCAACGTTCTCATGTTGCTCGGAAGATCCATGGAAAAACTTATGACCATGCCTACCTCCGAGTTTGAGAAGTATAGAAAGGGCAAGTCTGACGGCATTTCCGAGGCCGAGCGTAACAGGCCCGAGTCTTTCCATTACTCTAGCCTGGGAGACTTCTTGCTACGATCCCAACTAGACGCTCAAGATGACCGTCTGCCCGGAACCGGCATGTTTGATTTGAAAACGCGAGCCGTTCTTCCTATCCGCATGCAGTCTCAGGACCACGAGCCCATGACTGGATATGAGATCGTACAGGCTCAAGGCCAGTATGAAAGCTTCGAGAGAGAATACTACGACATGATGCGCAGCACTGCGCTCAAGTATTCTTTGCAGGCTCGTATGGGACATATGGATGGTATCTTTGTTGCATACCACAACGTCAAGCGCATCTTTGGCTTCCAATACATCAGTCTTAACGAGCTTGACCGGGCTCTTCACGGACAAGCTGACCGCACTTTGGGAAATCAAGAGTTTGGCCTTAGTATCAGTCTGCTAAACGAAATCTTCAACAAGGCTACTGAGAAGTTCCCTGATCAGGTAAGCATCATTCAGCTATGATTCTCGAGTGAGTACTAATGTCAATACAGTCCATCCGATTTCATTTCGAGACCAAAGCCGCCGAAACGCTACCGATCATGCAAATCTTTGCAGAGCCCATGAGTGAAGAGGATATCGAAACAATTCAAAACTCACAAAAAGCCAAGATTGCTGAATGGGAGCGCGCGCTGCGTGATCCAACTTCGAAGTCAAACAACGAAGAGTCTCACGATACTGTCGAAGAAACCAACGAGGAGAAATTCAATGATTTTGGAGACTCAAGCAGTGATTTGATCAAGTCATCGGAAGTGCCCGAATCACCATCAGAGACGACCGCCACAGAAGGCACGAGAAAGGATGGCTTCGTCGAAGAGATTGAGGCCATCTCAGAGAAATCCGAGCCTGATGCCGAGCCAGAGGCAAAAGAGACGAGAGGGCCTTTACTAGGAATGACGCTTACAGTCCGTTCAAAAGTCAATGGTGTATACGTCGAGCGACCAGAATTCCTCAGGAAGAACCACGACTGGACCATTGATTACTCTTTGACCGAGATGACGTCAGAGGATCAAGCGTGGCACAGTTACAAGGCGACTAAAGCGCGGCGCAAGAGAGTATACAACAAGATCAACAAGGTGGACAAGAGTGATCCGGACAGCTCTGCAGCCACTTACAACGAAGCGTATATCGGCATGCTGAAGGAGCTCAGCGAGAAGGGCAGTAAAATGAGGGCCAGACTTGACAAGGCTGCGGCAGACAAGCCAAAGATTGTGGTCGGCATGCCGTACGTCAAGGCTTCGGAGAGTCATGGTGTGAGGACGGACGATGTGAGGATTGAGAGCGTTGATGACTACTTGACGTGGCTGTATGCAGAGAAGGCAGCACCTGTCGAGAAGGAAAGTCCTGTCGAGCAGGCATGATTGATATGACCCATTTGTACAAATATTATGTATTAGCAAGAGAGCATTGTATGATAATCTAGACTCGTGGCCAGAGCTCTGTGGCCGAACACAGTAACTATTAGAGGACCAGGGTCACTTGAAATGTGTTGGATTTTTGGTGAAGGAGAAACGACATGACGTCGCAACGATGGCTTTCGAGGCACGAACGTCTCAGTGTCTCACAGCTCCGTCGCACTGCTACACCAGAGTAAAGCAGCAGCACAACAACGAGGCGGCGACGAGTCTTAGCACCATCACTTTATATATCAGATATTCACAATGCCGCCCAAGAACCGCAACAACCGCAACTCGCACCCGCGACCTACGGCCCATCACCACGTTCCTTCAGACTACGACACCGACACTGCATATGCGACCGACGCCATGAGCCTCCCACAACCAGCACCCATTCCGGCGCGCACCAACGAAGAGCTCAACCTCAGTGTACTGCAACGACACGACCCTTCGGTCCATCAAATCCTATCTGTCGCTCCTTTTGCCGTTGTCTACACCTTCAACCCGGTCTCGACAAGCTGGGAAAAGCAAGGAGCAGAGGGCACATTGTTCGTCTGCTCGCTTCTGCCACCGGTCGGAGGTCCCCAGATTGAGCGATACAGCTGCATTGTTCTGAATCGCCGCGGTCTCGAAAACTTCTCGAGCGAACTGTTCTCGGCCGAATCCGTTCAAGTGACGGACGACTATGTCATCCTACAGGTCGAAGGAGAGGATGGAAGTGCGAACATCTACGGTCTCTGGATTTTCGCCGAAGAAGGAGGAAGCACGGTACAGACGAGGGTGGTGAATGCCTTGATCATCCAAGAATGTGCAAAGAGGGCCGAAGACAGCAGGGACGCGGCTGCTGTGGCTGATGTGGAAGACGAGTACATTGAGGAAGAACTGCCGCCATCGATGCAGCCGAATTTCGAGGAGCCGCCGCCGCCGACAATACATCGACAGCAAAAGGAACCGGAGCAACAGAGATACGAGTACGAGCAAGAAGCACAAGGCCAACAAGTAAATCTCTTGCACCTTTTCAAGAGCAACCAGCAACAACAACGTCCCGCGCTTGCCTCGCCTTTCCAATCTCACGATCAGCAGCAATACTACGCCATGCAACACCAACACCAACTCCAGCATCAGCAACATCAACAGCAGCTTCAGCAGCAACAACACCAACAGCAATTAGCTGCCATGCAACAGCAACAACAGCTTCAGCAGCAACAAATGCTACAACAACATCAAGCCATGCAGCATCAGCATCAGCAGCACCAACATCAACCTCAAAACTTCAACGCTGCTCCCCCTCCACTACCTGGATATGGTGCTCCTCAACAATACTCTCAGCAATACCCTCAACAGCATCCTCAGCAGCACCCTCCTCCTCCTCAAGCACAACCTCAAGGACAGGCCGATGTTTTGATGAGTCTGTTCTCAAACGCCAGACGTGGATATTAGACGGAAGTGTAATGGCACGCAACGACAATGGCCAGAAGAGCAAAGAGATGGTTATTACGAAGATACCCCCCATTGTTTTGACAGAAACTCACAATCCTACCTTCTTTTCCGATCTTCAGATCTCATTCCAAACTCTTGCTTGCTATGTCGTAACTCTGATATTGACCAGGTACACAAAGGCCGCTTTTAGCAGGATTTACTGATCGAGCAGAGACGAGACTACTACAGTTATGCAACTCAGAGGAAGATGAGTTCTCAAGTGCATAAGGAAGGAACGAATGTGACATGACCAAGACGAAATCGAGATGATCGATAGAATTTCGGTGTGACTCCGGGCTGAGCATTACGATTCAGTAACGATCGCAACTGCTTGTCTTTGCCATTTCACTTTCATCACAATCACCAACCCTCTAGACTACTTTGCTATGACACAAACACACCTAGTCATTGAATTCCAATCAATTGCTCAAAGAGCGAATCTCTCTTGTATGACCAAAACTCACATCAAGCCCGATATTCATGTTGACACCATCTATGCCAGACCTCCTCAGCTTTCTTTCACCTTCCCATCAATCTTCTAGTCACAATGAGCTTCCTCTCAGACTCGATCATCATCTCAATCTTCTTTCTCATCTTCCTCTACTTTATCTTTCCTCGGGGTTTCAATTGCCTTTCCATCGCTCTGGCCTTGACGCTCTGGGGTTCCGACCATATGACATATAAGCAAGTTGTGGATTCTTGCACTGATGGGAATAAAGGGTGGACGGTGGATGAGAGGTGTGAGGCTGCTGTTTGGATCTTGGTGTTGCAGGTTTTGGTTACGATGGTTGGGGTCATGTCTGGTATTGCCGAAATGGAGGGGATTATCGGAAGGATGAGAATGAAGAGGGTGGAGGGAAAGAGCATTGACGAGAAGGCGACAGGAGGCAAGAGGGCGTAGGTGGAATGGTCTTTCTTTGGCAAATTCGACTTTTTTGGGAAATGTTTGTGCATTTTGATGTGGTCCATTTAATTTGCAGGGTTGTGATGGAGACTAGCGATCATGAGGCCAGTTGACAGGGATGAGCTCACTCCCCATGCTACTGCGAAGTAATGTCAGATGTCTGCTAAAGATGCAGGAAGCATTTGATGTCCATAGACAGGGTCTCAAGAGCAGCAACATCATTTGTCCAAGATCAAAATTCATAGAACAGCAAAGAGAAAGAAGAGAGTATAGATACAAAGCTCACATAATGTTCAGATTAAGCCTTCTTACCTCTAGTCTCCCTCCACTTTGCAACAGCATCCTCAAACAACTTCTTCGCCGGCACGTTAGCACCCAATCTCGCACACAACAAGAAAGCACCACTCAATTTTCTATGCAACGAATAAGTTTCCTCTGGCGGCGGTGCCAATCGTTCTCTGACCATCAGACCAATCTTTTCCCTCACTCGGTCGGTGATGGTCTGGTTCTTGAAGTCGTAGAATTCTGACGCACGACCAGAGTCAAAAGGTTCGGCGAGAGTGAGAATGGAGTCGACGTGGGCGGTCAGCATGGCGTCGCTTTCGGCACCGGTGAGGTAGCCGAGTTTGATGGAAAGATCGCGGCAGGCAGTGCGGTCGTGAGTAGATGCTGCAATGAGCAGCTGCACATAGGGGGTTACAAACGTCTCTGGGAACTCTCTGGAAGCTCCAAAGTCTAGAAGCTCCAATTTGCGCTCTGAAGCAGAAGTGCCACGGTTGTAGAGGAAATTTGTCCAATTGGGATCGGTTTGCATGAAACGCCATTCCATGAGTTCGCGTAGGCAGAGGCGGAGGACTTGAGTACCTATCCAGTCTCTTTCTTCTTGGCTAAGGTCGGGGATTTTGGTTGCGCCTTTGCCGTGCATGAGCTCGGCGGTCAAAACTTCAGGGCCACATGCTTCGAGAAAGACTTCAGGGACACGGAAAGTGGCGGTCTCGTCCTTGAGGAGAGAGGCGAAACGGGTACCGCATTCTGCTTCACGTGTATAGTCGCATTCCCAGCCTAGCTCAGTGCGAGCATTGGCAATTGTCTTGTCGAGGAAGAGGCCAGGGGGAAGAAGGCGTGATGCTGTGAGGAGAAGAGAGAGGTTGTTGAGATCGCTATCGATACTGCCACGAACACCGGGGTACTGGATTTTGACGGCGACTTCGCGACCATTGGAAGCCAAAGTAGCGCGGTGAACTTGGCCGATGGATGCAGCAGCTATAGGCACATCTTCGAAACTCGAGAACAGATCTTTCCAGTCAGCACCGAGATTAGCAGCAAGTTGCTTGTTGCGTTGCCATGGAGGCATATAATCAGCACTGTCTTGCACACGTTGAAGTACGGCATTGATGGCTGGAGGCAACATCTTGGAGTCTTGGAAACTCATCATCTGACCAAGCTTGAGTGCTGCACCACGCATGCGGGACAACTTAGCAACAAGTCTTTCCATGTTGGCGGGGCTAAGCAAGAGCGAACCACTCGCGGCTGCTGCAGCGCCTCCAGTCACTCTTCGTAGGCTTTCGCCTACAGCACCGAAGGCCATGCTTGTAGCTAGACCGCCATATTGCCAGAGTCTACCAAAGCGAGAGGAAGGTACGGCAGATTCACGTAGTTGGTAAGGAGTGGCTGGCTTGTCAGACTCGAGCGCAGGGGATGAGGAGGCAGCAGTAGCATCGGCAGCCATGGCATCGGCCAGCTCTTGTGTCTCCTTGTCGCTGATTTGCGACTTGGCTTCAGCGACAGGTGCAACAGGCTCAGCGACTGAAGCCGAAGTAGCAGACTCCGGCGATGACACACCCGGCCTTGCGCTGAAAGTGTCTGCATTATTGTCTTCGGCCTTGATGCTCTGCTGGACTGGCTGCGCAGAACCTTTCCTTGCAGCCTTCATCTTAAGCTCGTAAGCCTTTCTTCGGTCTTCTCTACCTCCACTATTGAGTAGAGATGCAACTCTGGGACTGTGGAAAATGTCAGTGTTGATGCCTTCAGGCGCTTCGTCCTGTGCGGGAATGGCCTCTTGCTTTGGAATTGGCGGTTGAGCAGGGTGACCCTTGGATGAGTAGAAGACATCCTGGTTAATTTGGCCGTCCTTGACATGATCATCACCACCCTGAGTATCTTCGACAGATTTGGGGATTTTCGTGCGAGGTAGAGAGGATAGTTCGACGGATGACTCCGTAGGTCTCGTATTGAAGGTGTCCTGTCCAGGTGTGGAGATGGATTGAGAGCTACCGGAGACGGAGGGAATCTGGAACTCGGCCATACGCTGCATCTTGACTGTATGATCGGCATGACTATCTTGTGTAGCCGGCGTGGGGATAGTAGAAGCACCTGACTCTGTAGGGTGCAGGTCTTTGATGATGGATTGCTGGTCTGCCAGAGGGTCCTTGGGGGCGTCCGTTACTGGTCGTTGACTGAAGGTGTCTGTACCCTGGCGACTCGGCGACGGATCGAGAATTGCGCCTTCAGGAGGTATCGTGCCGTCGGGTAGAGGATGGCGACGCGCCTTTTCTTGTGTGATGTGCAAATCGTCCTTTGGGGGTGCTTCTGCAGCAGCGTTTTCCTCGGACCTCTCCCAATGGTGATCCTGACTCAATCCTTCCTCGTGTATGTCGGGCCTGTCTGCACCTTGAACCGTCTCTTCACGGGGTATCGGTTCCTCATGTCGACTCGTCTGTGGGTATGAAGGTCCAGTTTCGTTGACCCTCCGCGAAAGGGCATATGCAGCTCTTGCCGTAAGGGTCACGCGATCTGTCTGGTTCTTGACAGCCTTTGCCAGACTCGAAGTCTGCGTAAAGAGTTCCCATTGTTGCGCGCGGATGTTGAAATGGTGTTTCGCTATCGATCCAGATGCGCTGAAGAGTCTAGCCGCGTCTAGCAGCCGTCTGCCCGCCATTGTGTTGTCTCAATTGTCTCCCTATCGATATTTCGTGCTCATAGTTGAGTTGCTGTTCGACTTTCGCCCGCGCGTGTTTCTGTAGAGGATCAAAATCGCTGACGTCGATGTTGTCGAAATGCGGGCAGCTGTCAAAGCTTCCGGTCATGCCTGCAACTGTTTCTTGACCTGGAATATTCACGAAATTACATATCTAGACATGAAGAAGGTAATTGTGAATCTCAAATAAGTAAATAATCCAGGTAGTAAGTCAGAGCGACGCAGATTACGATACCGCATGTCTGTTGACAGCATTGACTCGGTCATGACAAGACTTCATCTCGAGTCTCGAGTCTCGACTTCCGTCTTCTGTGCTTGCTCTCACCTTCCTTCTGAACAGGCTTCCTACCAAACCACCTTCTGTTACACTCTCTCAAAACCACCCCCCTCTCACACTGCAGGATGAGAATTGGCTGCCTTCAATTCGCCCCCAAGCTGGGCCAGGTCGAGGAGAACATACGTAAAGCAGACTCCCTGCTCGAGGGCACCTCGGCCTCCGAACTCGACCTCCTAGTCTTACCAGAAATGGCCTTTTCAGGTAATACTTCTTTCGGGTCACTTGTCCAAAATCATCAAAATCTAAATATCATGCCCACAAACACAGGTTACAACTTTCCCAACTTGGAAGCCATAACACCATTCCTTGAACCTTCAGGCACTGGTTCCTCATCCCAATGGGCAAAACGCACAGCCGCTCGATTGAACTGCACAGTCGCCGTTGGATACCCAGAACTCACTGCAGACGGAAAACGATATAATACAGTCATCAGTATATCACCAGACGGCACGACCGCAGCAAGCTACCGCAAGACCTTCCTCTACTATACAGATGAGACATGGGCTCTTGAAGGCGACACTGGCTTCTACAATGGCGAGCTAGGCGCTCTGGGTCAAGCTTGTATGGGAATATGTATGGATATTAATCCCAAGAAGTTTGAGGCGCCTTGGTCTGCGTACGAGTTCGCGACTCATTGTGTGGATGCAAAGACGCCTTTGGTTGTGCTTTCGATGGCTTGGTTGACTAGATTGTTGCCGCAGCAATTGCAAGAGACGGCCATGCAGCCGGATTTGGAGACTTTGAGTTATTGGTTGGAGAGGTTTATGCCAGTAGTGCAGAGTCAGAGAGAAGGTGGGACTGTGGTGGTCATGGCGAACAGATGTGGTACTGAGCCTGGAGCGGTGGCAGGAGTGAGCCAGGGTGTCGATGATGAAGGGCAGGAGATTGTGGGGTATGCGGGAACGAGTTGTGTGTTGATGGTCGATCAGGGAGAAGTCAAGATCTTTGACATCCTGGGGAAGGCCGAGGAGAGATTGTTGAAGATCGATACTACAGAGGTGAGTTTGTCCATCTGAAGGACTAAAATGTCAGTCGCTAACTCGGAACAGCCGCCTCAGTTTGCATTGCGTGCCAAAGTGTCGCAATGAAGTTAGGCTATGTGCAGTTCCTGAAGATCATGTAGAATCGAGCGACTCGGGTCGATGGGCCGAGCTTGAGAGTGCAGCACACTGGCTGATAGAGAAGGCGTCGCGCATGTATAGTATCCAGAACATCACAAATATGCAAAGAGACAAGACTCAAAAAGGTGTCAAGGCATTTCATCATGTAATTTCCATCAACCAGAAGTTTTGTTTTTTGTGATACGCATCCCCTAGCAAAGAACTAGCGCCATATTTTGATTCTTGATTGTCATTCCCTGCGTGATTCACAAGCCCCCACGATGATGGAAAAAAAGAGGGGACCCTTTCCTTCCTTCCGTTGAGAAAGGGAACACGGGCCCTAGAGCGAAACAGTCGGCTTCTTTCAGAAACAGGTCGCCAACGACGAACGAGTCGACATCGAGGGAATAGGTTGGCTGCTTGATATCGTGGGCGAGTCGCTTAGATACCGATGCGGGTCTTGCGCCAGTGACGTCTCTTGGCGTTGTATCTGGAGGGAGTCCGTTAGTCTTCAGGTTCTGCAGAGTTCGTGCGCTCTTCGAGTATGTGTGTTCGGTGCGTCTGGTGGTCGTCGGGCGTGCAGGGTCGGTCCATGTTTCCAAATGCTTCGTTTGCATCACACGTCGCGTGTCTCGGTCTTCTTTCCAGGCTCTTTCTCTTTTGATACTTCGAAGATGGGGCCGGATCAATCGTACCTGATGGTGTTGTTGGTGCGCAGACGGATCCACTGAGGGATGGGACGGTTCTGCTTCTGCGCCTTGGCGAGCTTCTGCTTGGTGCGGAAAGACTTGTGGGACTACATTGTTATATCATGTCAGCGAGACTGTCTGGCTGATCGAATGGCGCGGGCGAGGGCTCCTTACAGGCATCTTGACGGTCTTTGTCGCTGGTCGTAAGAAGGGAAGAGACGCCGGCTGTGAAATTCTACAATTCGATGTGGCAGGTGCGTGCGTCACCTTGGCGCTTGCCGAACTTGGCGGCAAATCCCGTGACAGCGAATCAGCTCCGCCCGCCACTTCTCAAGTCCGACGAACATCAATCTGCGATTGCCTATTCACAACTTTTCTGCAACTCGACCACAACACTCTCGACAGCTTTCACTTCTTCGAATCACTGGTCGCATAAGCCACTACTTCCGAATCTATCTATCATCATGCCCAAGGCAGAAGTCGGCAGCACAAAATGGCTCTCCAACAACATGAAGTCCAAGGGCCTGCAAAGGCTGCGCTGGTACTGTCAAGTGTGTCAGCGTCAAATGCGCGATGAGAACGGTTTCAAGCAGCACACCTTGTCCGAAGGCCATGTGCGCGCTATGCTGCTGGTCGGCGAGGATCCCAAGAAATACATTGCCCAATACTCGGAAACATTCAAGAAGGACTTTTTGACTCTCCTGAGGACGTCTCATGGAGAGAAAAAGGTCTATGCCAACCACTTCTACCAGGAATACATCCACGACAAGGAGCACATTCACATGAATTCTACTAAATGGCCAAGCTTGACTGAATTTGTCAAATACCTTGGAAGAGAGGGTATCTGCAGAGTTGAAGAAGGCGACAGAGGCTTGGAGATTGCGTGGGTCGATGACAGTCCTGAGGCACTCAGACGCAGAGAGATGGTTCGCAAGAAGGAAGCCATGGAGAAGGGTGACGAAGAGCGTGAGACCCGCATGCTTGAGGCGCAAATTAAGCGTGCACAGGAGAAGAAGCGACAACAGGAAGAGGAAGACCGATTGAACCACAAAACTCAGGACGAGGAGACGAAACCCAAAAAGGCCCAAGAAGGACCCTTGTCATTTAGTCTTGGTCTAGGATCCAAACCAGCGACTACAGACTCAACAGAAACAGCTACGGAGAAGGCACCTTCGCCGACAGAGAAAGCTCCCGAGTCCAAGGCTGAGCCTATTCTAGAGTTCAAGACTGGAGACGAGAAGCCAGCAGAATCTCCCGCACCTCCAGCTGCACCCAAGCTTTCTCTCGATCTAGGATCCAAGCCCAAGCGTGTCAACGTGTTCGCGGCTGCATCAAAGTCCAAGTCTAATCCTCTCAAGGAAAAGAAGCCTGCGCAGGTGATCGAGGAACCCAAGAAAATGAGCGCAGCAGAGCGCATCATGAGAGAAGAGATGGGCCGGAAGCGCATGCGTGACGACCGTCAATCTGGCGGTGGTAAGCGACCCCGTCTTGGTTTGTAAACTATAACTCTATGTTCTGCACGTTTAGCGAGGCGCTTGGGAAGGGGAAACATGGCATGACTTACGACTGCATTATCGGTTATCAAAGGTAGGAATGGACACTCAGTTCCTGCTTGGATCAAGTCTCAGAAATCAGAGTCCTCTTCGTGAATTGTTTGAGCCAGCAAACCATATCTGCCTGCGCCTGGCGTGTCGAGCACACTGCTCATAGACAAGGTAGGCGAGAGCATAGCTTCGGACTGATACATGTCTTTGCGTCTTCGTGAAGCACGATATTGTTTCGAAGTAGGGCCCCGAATGACAGGCTCTGGAGCTAGGTGTAGGTTCGAATACAGGAAAGAGTACACGAAATGCAAGAGCAAGCCACAAGATAGACCGGTGATAGAGGCGACACCAAGATAGATGTAGATTGTCTTGGCAATGGTTAGCATATTAATAGTAAAGGATGCGGGGCAGCAAGCCATGGGGTAGATGACCTCGAATCTCTGCAAGAAACGAAATGGAGCAAAAGTGCAGTACGCAAGCAATTGACCAAAGAGGACGACGGGTTGGAGCAAGAAGAGCAGAGCACTCGTGATTGGCGAGAGCAGGGCTTTGAGGCACAAAGCAACGAAGGACAGTAGAAAGTAGACGGGATATATGAGGTAATAGAGGCCAGTCAGAAGCCACGACACGTAGATGTTCATGCTGGACGAAGGCTGCGAGAGGATGGACAAAGTCGACGAGGCGGTCTTTGACGGGCGAATGGACACAGCTAGCTCAGCAGGACAATGCAAAGCGAAGAAAAGTGCTGAGGCTCGGACTGCGGACTGGTGTGGCTGACGGGTGTCAAAAATGGCCCCGCTGTTGACGACGGAGGAGCTGCAGCGTTGCGGAGAAAGCACGAGCGGACTGGATTCCTACCAGACCGATCTTCACCTCGCTCAAACGATCATCCCTAAAAACCACATCATTTTCCGATGGGCAACACTCCGTCATCTGCCAAATCGGAAAAGGGCAGCCAACCGGCATCGCCGGCGCATGCTCTCCATCACCACCACCACCGGGAGCAGCACCAACACGAAGCACGTCGCGAACCGCGACGCCGTGAATCCATCCCAGCACTGACGTCCAAGACGGCCGCTGCATCTCCCTCCCTGGACACCACTTCAGCAAGCGGACAGGCCATCTTCCCTTCGGCCTACTCTCCTTCACAGCCGCGCTCGACTCCTTCGTCTGGACACCAGCGCAATCGCTCAAACACAGCGAACACCCCCAAGCAGGAGTCGTCGCCGTCGGTACCCCGCCGTTACAAGAGTCTCAAGTCCCCTAGTCCCCCTCCAGAGCCCCGACTGTCGCCTGCCTCGCAGCCCGTCGACGTTCCTCAATCGCAGAGACCCCATCGTCCTGCGTCTCCTGCCACCGAAGCCGCCAATTATCTCCCACAACCAGCCAGCTTCTCCCGACCCCCACGCTTGCCTTTGCCAATTGAGCAGGAAGACCACACTCCTGGCTCTCCCATAATCTCTGCCGTCTTGCCAGACGACGGTCCCGAACAAGCCGATCTTCCTCGGCGGTCAAGTGTCGTTAGCAGTACTGTCGATGACGATGATGAAGAGCCCGACGGCTTCGAGGGCTATGAAACAGACGCCGGCGGTCCAAAGGTGCCTACACTGATAGAATGGCGCAATGCCAAACCTGGCGAACGTGTCTACGTGACTGGCACATTCACCAATTGGGAGCGCAAGTTCCGTCTACACAAAGAGTAAGTCAAAAACTGGTGGCGTGACCGATCCCAACTGCATGCCAGACCAAACAAGATCTGAACTGACTCGACTCTCCCAGTGGACCCAGCAAACATAAGAATGCCCTGTCGGCCACACTCCAGTTACCACCGGGTACACACCACATCAAGTTCATTGCCAACGGCGACATGTTGACCTCGAACGACCTGCCCACCACTGTCGACTACACGAACATCCTTGTCAACTACATCGAGGTCTCTTTGGATCAGTTACCTTTGGTTCAGCCCGGCAAGCCTGTGCCTGCTGGCCCCCCTCCGGTCAAGCCCCAAGAACCTTCGCGACCCATGGACATCAGACCCAAGCCAACAGCCCAAGCAGAAAAAGAAGCTTCCGCTGCCAACCAACCACAAAACACTCCCCCAAAGTCAAGTCACGAGCCTCCTGCACCAAGGTCGACCGCAGGAACACCCGCTCAGCCCCCCGCAGACGCTCCCAAACCTCGCCAACAACCTCCCTTGGTCCGTCAATCCAGCCGAGAATGGACACAAACAATCCCCGCCTATCTCACAGATCTCGACTCCTGGTACCCACCGCCATCAGCGAAAGAGGACGCCCAATCGCCATCTGGCTCTGCTGCGCGGTACAGATTCGAGCGCGCAAACGCAGCTGCCGAGTCACAACCAGCGCCTCCTTCACTTCCCATGTTCCTTAGCAAGAGCATTCTCAATGGAACCACACCGACCAAGGATGACAGTAGTGTTTTGATCATGCCAAACCACACCGTATTGAACCATCTGGCGACGACGAATATCAAGCAAGGCGTGCTGGCCACGAGTGCGACTACCAGGTACAAGAGAAAGGTATGTTTGCTCCCTACATCCAACAATCGCGAATCAATACTCACTCTTATGCACAGTTCCTGACTACCATCATGTACAAACCGCGTAGCGACGGTGAGGAATAAATCAAAACGAATGGGAACAGGACTTTTTTAACGCTAAATGCATTGTACATAATTTAATTTCTCTCCTTTTGCTTGATAGAGTCTGCGGGATAGGTTTTCTGTATGCATCATGGGCATTTATTTCTGTCAGAAAGAGAGAGCACAGGATCAAGAAACGAACAATGACTGTTATCTCACATCCTCAATCGTCTGTAAGCTCCCTCTCCCCTGCGAGGCTCTTGAAATAGACATTAAAAGGCAAGATGCTCTTCATGAGCTCATGAATGTGCGCTGAGAGCATCGCTCCACATGTGCTCTCTTTGGACAACTACACCAACATGAAAATCATCTTGCATTTTGACAGACAATTTGACGGTAATATGGGGGTCCGAGATGGGGTCCATTTCTCTTGCCTAGACTACGTTCGTTTCCCATCGAGTTATGTTTCTATCCGCTTCTGCTCGCCTGTGTATATAGCCTGCATCTTCCATCCGAGGAACGCGCATTCTTCTTCTCCAAACACCAAGAACTCCTCTTGCTACAAGCAGACCAGTTCCCGAGATGCACATTGTGTGATCTCGTCGAGATGAGAGTGATGTCTGTTTGTGTTCTCGGTCATGCGCAGGGCGAGTCCGGTCCTTGAACGTGATTGTGTGGCTCTCATTTCTTGAGTCGAGAGGTAGGGATGAGATGATTTATGCGTACCGTCATGAGTGAACGGTCAGAATGAGCCCGGTCATCGTCTTCAGCGGCGAAAGGGTTAGAGGTGATCTTTCTTGTTCAGAGGAGTGTGCTGTTGCGTATACTGCCGAAATGCAGAGACCAGTTATTGACAAAGAGGTGGGACCTAGGGACACATGTGTACAAGTGTCCATACCAGGTTCGCGAACTTAGACACAAAGGCTGCTCTATCCAGTTATCACACAACTCTTTGGAAAGTACTCGTCTGAATGCACAATGATTTTGAAGTCTTTCAAGCAACTCGCGAAGAGCGACCACTCCACTCTCTCCTACCACACCTCCTCAGCTCCTATGCACCCATTCCCATATCCCAAAACCCACATTCCATCTTTGTAGCATGGATAAAGATCTTCACCAGTTCCTCGATCCTGCTAGGCGACTGCTTGAAAATATGCCCCTCTACCAACTCTGCTTTCACATTAGCACATCTTACTCTCTGGCTCACGTGGTATTGGGGGACCAACTCACTCATTCCTTTCCCAACAGCTTGTGTATAATCATCGGCAATGTAATTATCAATCCATTGGCGATAGCGATTTGCTGTCTTTGGAGCAGCAGGGTCTTGAAGCGCAGAAAGTCGTTTGGCAATGTGGTGGTAGCCAAGGAGGCAGGGGAACATTGCTATCTGCAGGGCGAGCCAGTCTTCGGAGGCGCCGATGTCGAGAATGTAGCGGGAGTATGCTGTGCATGCTTGGTGTTCTTCTGAGTTGCGGAGTTCGTCCATTGTTACGCCTAGCTCGAGGCATTCGGAGACGTGGAGTTTGGTTTCTGTATGGATGTGGGTTACGATGCCGGCGGACTGCGGAAGAGGTTAGTTGAGCCACAATCAATATGTTTGCGAGTATGACATACTGCGGCAACACCTTCCAGGGTCTTGGCCTTGTAGCCCGCGAGCGCATTCGCTCTAGCAAATTGTGTCTAGCACAGTCAGTCACGTTCCAACAACAGACCATTATATGGCTCACCAGATAGAGATAGTCTTGGACCATGTAGAACTTGAATCTCTCCACAGGTAAGGTACCGTCACCCATCTTCTCGACAAACTCGTGCTCTGTGAACTCTTTCCAGACTTGTTGGACGTCTTCGCGTTCTAACAGCCAGTCCACAAAGCCGCCACTGCAGATCTTGGTGTTAGCGTAGCTTTGTGGAAGTGGATACGGATTGACTTACGGAGGAAAGGGCATGATATTGAGGGAGTGGAAGTGGTTGATCGGACCGGAGCCCTTGCCGAGATCAACACTGGTCTTGATGCCAGCCTCAACATAGCGGCCAGCTGCACGAACTGCTCTTTCCATACTCAAGCCATTGGCAACATTACAGGCGATTGCAGCTGTGAATTGTTTAGTCTTTCATCAATAGTTGCAAAGACGTAGTACATACAGGCGAGTGAGCATCCAGTGCCATGCGTGTTTCTCGCGACCTGATACTTTGACTCGAAAACACAAAAGTCACCATCAGTATAGAGGACGTTGACCAGAACCTCCTTCTCATCATCAGTAGTAGCAACCTCATAGTTCTTCTTCAACGGGATATGTCCGCCTTTGATCAAAACACTTTTAGGGCCCATCTCAGCAACAGCCTTGGCTAGTCGCTTCATACCGTCCAGATCCTTGATGTCGTCGATCTTGTTTCCAGATTCCTCAAGCAATAGGAGTGCTTCGGGGATGTTGGGTGTGATCAGTCCTGTCACAGGTAAGAGTTCAGCGCATAGTGTCTTGATGGCTTCTTCTTTGAGTAGTCTTGCTCCACTTGTCGCAACCATGACCTTCAGCACGTCAGTTGAGCGGCTCTAGGGCTGGCGATAATGCATACCGGATCGATGATGCTGCACGCGGGCTTGTATTTTCTGATAGCATCTGCGACGACCTGTATGGTACCAGCGGAAGCCAGCATACCTTTTGTTCATCAGCTTGAATTTCAAGGAGTCACAGTAGAAAGATGGAAGATAATAGCAATGCGAAGAATAAAGAGATCAATTTACCTGTCTTGACTACATCAACTCCGACATCTTCAGCACAAGCATCGATACACTTTTTCACAAAGTCTGATGGTGTTTCGTGGATGCCAGTAACGCCTTGGGTATTTTGAGCGGTCAAAGCGGTGGTCGCAGTCATAGCATAACAGCCATGAGCAGCGATGACTTTTTGGTCGGCTTCGAGGCCTCTGTCAGTTCATCGAAATCAGTCGACCATGGCTTATTTTATCGAGCTGTTGATTTCTTACGCGCCACCTGAACTGTCAGACCCTGCAACGACAAGGATACGTTTTGCATTTGCCATTTTTTGTGTTTGTCTGATAATAAATTGTGCGAAGGATGCGTTGGGTTGAATGTCGAGGTTCGCAGCTGCCGTCATCGGGTGATTTGACCGAGCCGCTTTCGGCCCGCTCTGTCATTTAGCTCCTCCTCCATCCGACCACTTCTAAATCATGAGTGAGGTGCTTTTTCACGCTACACAAAGGTTCTCAATCCGAATCTGACTCGTCAAATTCAGGAACGTCAGGATCTGAATAATTGTCAGTAAGATGAGGTTGGGTTGTCCGAAAGTTGTGGCCTGTCTTACCTCTCACAAGTTGATACTCGAAGCGACCTTGCACCTTGGTCGCCAGAGTCTCACGAATCAGATCCTGCTCCTCACTGCTCAAAGACGCATCTAGAGATGCCATATCGATCGACAAAACCAGGCCCCGACTTCCTGGTCCCAAGTTGTCAATGAACTCTAGTAGGCCATCCGCCGTGAACACTGATAGACCATTGAAAGTGACGGTTTTCAGGTTACCCAAATTTGAGAGTTTTCTCAAGGTCTGATCGCTCAAGAGCCAACCACTGACGGAGAGATCTTCCAGCTTCAGTAGGTTTTCTCCAATGAGCTGTAGTTGATCATCTTGGAAGTAATCGGATGTTCTAGTGAGTTCGAGGTATCGCAGATCGCTCAACTCGCATAGAGCTTCGCAGAGCTGATTACGAGCGGCAGGCTCCAGGGGATCGGGGTCCGACTTCAGTACCAGACTCTGGAGTTTCGTCTGCAGACCAATGGCTGCATGAAAGTCTTGGTGGTCCCGTAATACGTACATACAGTCATCTTTGGCGCTGATCTGTAAGTCTTCCAAGTCAATACCTTCCTCGCTCAGAGCTGGCGTCAAGATATCAGGGGCTGAGACAAAATCAGTCAAGTTGACTTCGCGCAGCTTGGTGCATTGCTTCAGCCACTCTATCATGCCATCCAGAGTATCTTTATGCATCTCCTTGAGGTCGTGCGGTGCTTGCGTGTCACGCAACTTGAGCGTTTCGACCGCTGTACAGTCCTGCATCAGTCCAAGCCCTTCGATTCCCTTGTCTGGGACTGCAAGTGATAGAAACTTCAGCGATCCAGCATGTGTGCTGAACGCCTTGCATGTTTCGATTCCGATTCCGCACTCTCCTATGTTTTCGAACCATTGCAGTGTGTTCTTTGGCATATGGTTCAAGAATCGTGCAAGCTGACTGTCAGAGTCGTCATCGCGCCTAGTACGTTATGAGCATGATTTAGTACTTCTAAAGGGGGAGAACCCGGCTTACCATTGATAGATGTTGATTCTGTTGAGATGAGGGCAATGTTCGTGTAGCAGATTTTGGATGGTTTCATCGCCTAGGGTCTTGCCATCCCACAGTTCAAGCGACCTTAGCCTACTCAAATCAGGTGCCCAACGTGGCAAAGCACTGGTAAAGACTTTGGTCAAGTTAGTCGTTTTGTATGAAAGCGTCCGAGATAGGCTTACTGTTGTATTCGCTCAAAATAGGCTCGGTGAGCTCCTCGAGCATTGGAGCAGCCTTGACGATAGCTGGGATAATAATCAGTTGGACAGCACGATGATAACGCAAGCGGAACACACCGTCTCCAATTGCAACGACTGTCTGCCGCATATTGCTCGATCTGAGAGCACGGGTCTTGCCCCTGGTCTGGCTGGTAATGTTAAACCTGGCAAGAGATCCAGAAAAGAAGTTTCTGGGCCGCAGTCAGCATATGTCTGCTTCAATGCTGTGCTCACAGACTTACTGCTGGATCTTGCCTCTGAACTTGTCGTCGTCAAGTAGCTCATGGAGATCCCGTAGATCAAGCACTCTCAAGTAGTGACAATACGGGAACAACGTCTCTTCAGTGCAAGAAAGCAATATGGTTCTCCATAGGATGGACCACCTTTGAACAGCTGTTTCTTGCTCTTGCAGAGGCGATGCTTCGTTACCTCCGCTTTTTACTGGTGCATTGTGACTTGCGCTGAGGTATATTAGCAACTTTAGCAATCATTCATGAGAAACACCACGGTTACCGATAGAGATTTGCCAGAGCTCCAGAGCCAGCTAGATGTTTACTAGACACGGCACAGTTGTACAAGCTCGAGAAGTCGTTACGTGCAGCAAGCTCATCGAAGAGAAGCTGCCAGACGTCAGGAGGCAATCTCACTGCCGTAGTGACAACTTCATCGTCGGCAGACATTTTTCCGATACAGTGTTTTCAGTAGATACGAGAGCGAAAATAATGGCTAGTTGTCGCCGTCCGTTTGGTTTGGTCCTTGAATGACGTGCCTTCCTGTTTCGACGCGTCTTATCTCCGTGTTAAACCCAAAACGCGTCTTCCCACATCTATACTCCGTACAGGCATCAACTCTTGGCAGCCAACACTACAACTCTTTCTTTTCGCGTTGCTGGTATTTTGTTCTTGCTAGTCAAGCTCAGTCAGCCGATCGAAATGTCCGCTCTCAGTTTCTCCTTCTCGCCAGAAGCTACTGCCAAAGTACACGATGCTTTGATCTGTTTGGCCAAGTTCGGCGAGACAGTGTGTATGGAAGCCCGTGGCGACATCGTAAATTTCCATAAATGCATGATATGTCTTCTTGAATTTGCTAATGTTTGGATTCTAGCTCACTTTGACGACATTGAATTCCTCGAAGACCTCGTATGCTTCTTTCGCTCTGGACGCAAAAACCTTCTTCCTCTCATACAACTTTGGCTTGGGGGAAGGCGCCAGGTTCACATGTCAATTATACAACAAGGTCGGATTCCGAGTAGTTGGCAGGACTGAGCTTGGCTGACAAGTGATTAGGCTCTACTTGCTGTATTCAAAAGCCGCGTAACAGATCCTCGTGGCGGTGACACGTCAATCGAGAGATGTGAAGTCAGCGTAGAGGATAAGCCCGACAAAGTGCAATGTCGCCTCGTTGTCAGGATGGTATGCAAACATGGTAAGATTGTATCTTGAATCACATGGAAAGAACTGAATTTGACAATCCAACAAGGTGTTACCAAAACCTATCGTCTGACCTACGAGTCGGTGGAAGTATCACATGCACTCTTCGACCGATACAACGCTCCGAACGGATGGAGAATATCCTCACGCATATTGAGGGAGTACATTGAATACTTCGGGGTCAAGACAGAACAACTGGATTTGCTTGTTAAAGACGAGAAAGCTATTTTTACCAGCTTCACCGAGAAAATCATGGATGGCAAAGGTGTGGAGACTTATACAATACTTGGAGAGTCTTGCTAACGGCAAAATCTAGAGATCCTCAAACAACCACTCGAGACAGCCATCTCCCTAAGCATCATGGATTTTGATGATCTTCATGCTGAGGAAGATGTTCATATTGTCATCAACGTTAAGGATTTCAAGGCTATCGTCACACATGCTGAGACTTTGAAGGCACCGATTTCTGCACAATTTTCGCGTCCCGGGCGACCGCTATTGTTCAGATATACAGACAAAGGACTGACTTGTGAGTTCATACTCATGACAACTGGCATCTCCCAAGCCATACCCCCTGCAACCGCACCAAAAGTCGCATCGACCCGTCCTGGAGGTCGATTCTCCAGGCAGCCTTCGACAGTACCGCTTCGACCATCAAGGCAATCCACAGTAGACGCGGACCCCTCTACAAGAGAGCCGTCTATGGCACCGGTCGTGCCCTCAAGGCAGTCTTCTCATGTGCCGGCACAGAGCGTAGAAGGTATAAATGCCGATATGGCACCTCCACCTAAGCCTGCTTCTGTCACTGGTGTGCGTGAGCGTAGGATCCTGGGCGGCACTCTTGGACGTCAGATATCCCAAGCCACTACCACTTCAAATCCAGATCGCACCAGTCTTTTTGTGGCACAAGATGAGGATGACGAGCTGAGATGGGAGCCAGCGAACCATGAAGAAGAACCGGAGCAGGATGAGATGTTGGCGTGGGATGCCAATGCAGATGTTGTGAGTGAGGGCCAGCAATTTTCTTTGAGCATGCTGACTTTTCTTCTAGGGAGCCTTCCATCCTACAGTCCGCGATGCTTTTACCCACGAGCCGCCGCCGCTGAGCCAAAGTCTCAACAGAGAGACGCAGGGAATGCCGCCGACCCAGAGACTTTCTCAGGTAAGCACCTTCTTGAGGTATCTGTTTACGTGGCTAACACTTATCGCAGATGAATGGGTTATTCGACTGAGTCTTCGTGGTGTGGTGTACCTATCACGAATTCTTGCCAACGTATATTTCGACATTGATCGAATGTCATGAGGTGATTATCCAGCTCGTCGCACACCCAGCACCAATATGCTGGACCTTGCCACCCACATCGAGCTCATTCCAGCGACCTTTGACGTCGCGTTGCTCATCAGTAGGCAAGCCGCAATTGCCGTGCTCACCCCAGCCCCAAGCTAGAACTTTGCCAGCAGTGGTCAGAACAAGCATGTGCTCACTACCAGCAGCCATGGCAGTCACTGGTAAATCTGCAGGGGGGAGTTGCCCATGGTCGTCTCTGCCCCAAGCGACGAGCCTGTTATCAGATAGTAGAGCATAAACACCGCCCCATGTGGCCTGTACATCGATCCAATCGTTGAGTGTCTGAGGAGTGCTTGGCTTGATGTTGAATCTGTCGCGCTTTGCTAGACCGAACAGTTGTAATTTGCCTTCGGTAGGGTTGCCAAAAACGCAGGTAAAGTCTTTACCACAGACCGCCCGAGAAACTGGGAATGATATGTCATCAATTTTGCGAGGTTGCCAGACAACACCAAGCGGAGTACCCAGCTGGCCATGCTGACCATTACCCCAGCCATAGACATCTCCATTGGACAAGACAACTATAACATGACCCATACAGGCAGCCAAATCGATTACCTGAGTACCTGTAGGTGGAAAGTTTGGGATCTGACTCAAGGATTCTGATCTCACTACACCTTGATCAAGACCTAATTCTCCTTTGGCGCCACTGCCGCAGGCAAAGATTGGACCTTGCGTCGACGCAAAGATGGAGGCATCCCATGTAGCTGCAACAAAGTCTATGCTGGGCAACTTGAGTGGAGTGAATGATGAGATAGAGACTGTCTCTGTATCAAGAGCACACCGGCCATCACTGTTTTCTCCAGTAGCATAGACAGTCCCAGCTTTTGTGAGACTCAAGGTATGATTCCCGCCAGCTTTGATGGAAGTGATTGGGGCATCAAGTTTGTGACCCTCGACAAGTGAGGGCGCAGAAAGGTCATCATCGTGACCGATTCCAAGCTGACAAGATCCATTGGAACCTAAAGCGAAGATTGGCATTGTCAAAATAGTTGATGTTCGCAAAAGTGAGGGATGCTCATTAGCATGAGAGAGAGTGAGCTGCGAAGCGCCAAGACCTCCCGACGCACGGCTAAATCGCGGCAAGTTCCAAGCCGAGCCACTCGCACCTGCCAGAATTTCGCAAGCCCACGCTCCCGCCTTCTGAAGACCCGAGAGAGACCTTTTCCGCGCCGACCGACCAGACGACTTTTCGACAACCTCCACACAACCAACCGCCAACATGTCGTCCTCCCAGAGCGTCCAGTGCTTCGGCAAGAAGAAGACCGCCACCGCTGTCGCCCACTGCAAGCAGGGCCAGGGCCTCATCAAGGTCAACGGCCAGCCCATCTCGCTCGTCCAGCCCGAGATCCTTAGATTCAAGGTCTACGAGCCTGTCCTCATCCTCGGCCTCGACAAGTTCGGTATGCGATTACCTATTTCCCGGAAAGACAGAAAGAGAAGATGAAGGAAAGAGCATGGGACAACGTGGAGAATGGATGGGGAGGCACACTGCTGCACACGCGAACTTGGATATTGTTTTTGGACACGAATCGCTGACAGGGTTTTCTTCTACAGCCGGTGTTGACATCAGAGTCCGCGTCTCCGGTGGTGGTCACACCTCCCAGGTTTACGCCATCCGTCAGGCCATTGCCAAGTCAATCGTACGTTACAACTCTCTTCGCAAAGACAGCACCCACCACGATCCGATCGCAGAATATAAAGAGGAGGGACTTGAGGAATGCAACACATACACATGGACCTTTCCGATGTGATTGCGCGCGACACTCTTTCCAAACACCACACGATTTAAAGGACCCAGACTAACGCGCTTTCTCAAAGATTGCCTACTACCAGAAGTTCGTCGATGAGCACAGCAAGAACCAGCTGAAGCAGGCTCTCGTCGCCTACGACCGCACACTCCTCGTCGCCGACAACAGAAGATGCGAGCCCAAGAAGTTCGGTGGTAAGGGTGCCCGCTCGCGCTTCCAGAAGTCCTACCGTTAAACAATTCTCCTTTGCTGGAGACTGTTTACTGGTGGGTCGGTGGCACATTCGCATTGGTGACCTTCGACTTTGGGGTTGCTGTGGGTGGTGGATGTTGTGATATCCCTCCCTTCAAGCTAGGCGCGTGTGCACTGGGGGAAAAAGGGAAATGTTAAAAGGGAATCCAAAATCTTTTTCATGACGGCATAGGCAAGAGAATATTCCAAAAGCGATAACTTTTGCTGTTGTCCAGCTTCAACAACAAACACCACCCTGTCTTTCCCTGCGCATGGTGCCAGCTTTCCAAAGTCGTAGCGAGCAAGAGAGAGAGAAAACGAAAAGTTGTGTTGTCGAAAAGCAAGCATACCAAAAACGAGACCAAAGACCTTTTATCATTCTTTCTCGACACCTTGACAAGCATTTGCTGATTTGTTGGAGCTAAATATCTGTGATATTGACATGTTCATCTATGATAGAATGACGGCCAGCATTGCTCTCCCCAGACTCTCCCGCCGTTGGCTGGTCCACTGCTTGGTAGCCATCAATGTATGCTGGTGGTTGCTGATCTGCCTTTATTCCCTGACGGCATCTGCTTCACCATGCTTGCTGTAGCTGCTCTCCCATACAACGTGATGGTCACCCAACAAAGCGACGAAACCCTTCATCTCTGCTCTGGCTCGCAGTTGCAGATACTGGGTGGAAGGATGTCTCACTTGACAGTGTTGTCGTAAGCTCTTCTGGCCGCGAGATCAGGTTGTGATTCCCGTAGTTGAGCACTCCTCACGTTCAGCCTTCGTCAGCGGTCGAATCATTCTGCGAGTCGTCTGCGCCGTCAGTCTGAGCTGTAGTTGAGCGTCTTGAAGCACCGCCATTTGTGCTTCTTCTGTTTTGCACTGCTGCTTTCTCACCCACTGGCAAGGCATTGTCCCAATCCTTCTTGCACACTGGGCAACGCTCATTGTTGTTTTGAGCTCTGAAGGCCATGCGTTTACAGTGATGATGTAGTCGGCCGGAGCAATCTAGGTCGGAGCATCGTTCTCCCTTTGTCGAATATTAGTGACTGTACATGATTGACGCGAAAAGGGTAGGGAGTACCATTGTGATAAGGCTCTTGCAAGCAGAGCAAGTCTTGATCCTCTCATCTTCGTCATCGTTGTATGTCTCGACCAGCCAGCCGCGTAGCTCCATCAAAGCGCGTGGAGTCAAAGTGTAGAAGTCCTTCTTACTGTGCTCGAACCAGCCCTCGTCGACCATGGCTTGCAGCATTCTCTGAGCCTGCATCATGGTCAGACTTTGGGCCTGTGCACCCTGTGTCGCTTCCACATCTTGATTTGCAGGGGCCTTTGCCAGTCTCAAAGCCTCGGTCGACTTGATGGCGAGGACTTCGCTGCGGTGGCTATTGTTGGTCTCGAACATTGCATCAAGGCAGCGTTTGACCCAAGAAATTTCGTCTGGGGTATGCGTGGTTGCCAGTTGAGTGATCGAGTCTGATGAGACATTGACGAGAGCGTAAATGCGTGTCCGGTCATGTTGAGAGAGCGTGTTACGAATCTCGAGATCGAAGGGTGAGATGGCGGCATTAGTCACGTTGATGTAGGTAGAGACATCCTCTTCGGTTATGTCGGCGGGTTGGATATCGCGACCATCTTGTGCTTGTACCGGTCAGCCGTGTGTTTCGAAGATGCGCGTACGGGCGTCTTCCTACCTTGAGCATTCTTAATGGCTGCAAGGATTGGTCTGGCTTCTTCGAATGTCAGAGTAGCGCGGGACAAAAAGGACTGTAAGAAAGCGCGATGGCTGTTGTTGTACACATCATCATCCTCTCCGTTTTGTGACATGATTACTATGCGATGGTGTGGTGCACGAGAAAATGCAGGACGACGAGACTCAGGAAGACGCGTTCCAATCTTGGCCGCGTCGGCTCGTCATCACACTTCCCTCTTTGGTCGCTCCTGCCTCGACGCTCCATCTGTCTCGAGAGCTTGACAATCTCTGTCAATTAATTCCATTTTTGTATTTGAAGTAAGTGTATGATTGCACCTTCTCGCCGTTGTCTTCTCCAAGCACAATCCAAAGTGTTGCCACTCGCCCAAGTGTCCGACTGCCTTTCAACATGCGGTCTCCGTTCATAGATGCTCCACTGCCCGACGCTTTCAATTATCAGCAAACCAAGCTGTTCAGCGGCATACAAACTTCCCGTGATGCTCACAGACGTGTGAGCATAAGGCGTAGATCGACCCGATCTCAACCCTCTGCTACTCACATCCACCAATTCACTCTTCCTTATCGCAATCGCTCTATCACCATGAATCATCCCAATGACAAACCCACCAAACCCAGAATTTACAAGAACCACACGCGATCCATCAAGAAACACAACGGATCAAAAAAGAATAACAAGAACGCCAAAGTGCAGAACAAATCCCACCAGAACGACCTGAGTCAGCAGAGTAACAAGATCGATAAGAACAGCCAAAGCAACCAACCGCCACCGCCGAACAATACCGACCAAGCTCAAGCTTCTCATCTCTCATCTGCACCTTCATTTCCCGCCATGTCTGAGCCACAAACAAGCGAACCTGGTATCTCTGAACGAAGAGGCATCAGATGGGTACGTGGCATGACTTTTTGACCCGGACGAACACTCACATCTCTCCAGATCCCCGACGACCTTAAAGAGCCGACTTCCACATTGGTCTTGACTAGTTCGAGAAAACAATTCGTCGACATTCGTATCTTTTGCCAGAGAGGTCATCCATTGCCAAATGAAGGTCAGTACTCGACTCTCATCCTAGACTACTGGTCTTTTATCCCTCGTCACTACATCGTCGACCAAACCTGTCCCGTATCTCAATGCTAACACCTCTCTAGGCGGCCCATCCGAACTCCTGGACTGGGGAATTGCTGGCGAATCATCAAGCACCTTCGTCGATGCACCATCTCTGCATCACCCGTCTAATCCTCCTCCGCCAACAGATGGCTCTTTGAGGTCTATCTGTCACACCACCTTTTCCCACTGGATCGACAGTCGCACCGATACTCCTGGGCCCGATCAAGGTGACATGTATCCCCAGAACGAAAATCTGACTCTTGAACTTGGCTCCATGTACAACCCTCTCACCAGATCAGAGCAGCCCTATGAAGAGCATTGGGCCGACTTCTCGGCTTCTCCTGTGGATGGAAAGCGTTGGAGCATCGTCATCGATCTCGACGACCCTGGGCACAGAGCCAAAGGACGTGTGATTAGAGTTGGTGAGCACTGTCAGGCTATCCTCAAAGTCGGAGAGCAAGTCTCTGTCGAGCGCTGGAAGTTCGAAACCTCGGAGGTAGAGGGACAAGGTGCTTGGAAACGCCTTGCTAGATTGGGAGACATGTTCTTGCCTGTCTCATTGACCTTCACACCCGAGAGAGTGGTCGAGGGCAACACTCTGACTTATGGAGATCACAAATGGGAGGTCAAGGAGGTTCACTCGTGGTGAGCGTTCCTGTCAGAGAAGCCAGATGACCGCAGAATGGGATCGAGGATACATTCACTTCAGTAGTTCTGAAGTTGTACTCAGTACAGCCAAGGTAGACCTCCCTATAGCAAAAAGAAATTGGAAGAAAGAACGAGTCCCTGGTCCACGTACGGGCAGGGTTATGCCAACAGCTATTGAATTTCTTGCCAACCAGGATCCATTCTTGGACCTAACATTGCTTACTCACTCTTTTCATTCTCGTCTAATACATCTATATACATTTGACCAAGCCCCCGCCACATAAATCGTTGGCGGATCCTCTGGCAAGAATCTTCTGACTCATCAACTCATCCCATCACACTCCACCAAAAAAAAAAGGACAAGCAGTGTGAGCAGGATCGAGGTTGGGCTGATCGAACAATGGTGACGGTAGCGTCTCAATGCAATGCTTTTCATACTGTTTCTCTCTGAATCCACCACTTCCTACATGCGCACCTCTCCTTGACAACTTCTCGCTCCCACCTCTCGCTTTCTCATTACTTGAACCATGATTCCTCAAGTAACCTTCTTTCCGATAGCCTCAGCCTCCTGCCTCAGCTTGGCAGGAATAGGCAACCCCCTCTTCTTCCTCTCCTGCACCTCGGCCACGATTTCCTCGACCATCTCATCCCAAGCACGACCCGGGTCATCAGGCAATCCCAAAGTCGGACTCCTCGCTTCCTTCTCAAGACTCTGTCTGACCTGCTCTTCACTAGGCTTGGAATGTTGCTTGACCTTTTGCTGCAAGAACTGTTTGCCGGGAGAAAGCAGGAACATGGAGGTGGCGGAGACGGCGATGATGGTGTAGAAATAGACACGTTGCCAGATCAGGAGGGATGAGCTGAAGCCGAGGAAGATGAAAGGCGCGACGGTGAAGGAGAAGGCGAGTTGGGTGCAGAGCCAGGTGAAGATGTCGTAGTAGCGTTTTGAGGGGAGAGCTTTGGTGCCGTCGGCGCTCATAAAGAAGGGACGGATCAGGCGGCGTGAGTCTGTTTCAATAGTATTAGTATCATAATATCTTAATAGTAAGAACTTGACAAGACTCACTCTTTGCAGAATTCTGAATGAAGCTCGCGAGCACAAATGCAAGGTAGTATCCAGGGTAGAAACCGTGCCAGAACGCACTGGTAACAAAGGTAGCCATACTAGCTCTGAAGCCAGGCTTCTTGCCCTTAGGCGTGACACGCAAGTAGATATAGTTCCTCAACCACATGTTGGTGTTGATGTTCCAATTACCAAGGTAAGCATGGCTGTTTTGAGCCAATTCAATTTCAAGAGGTTTCACGTTTTGCAATCTGTTCCAATCAGCCTTGCCGGTCTTGGGGTCCACGCCCTTGAAGCCGATGCCTGAGAGAATGCAAGCGCCTTCGGTGAGAGACCAGACACCGTAGTACTTCATGCGAGTGGTGACTCCCAGCATGTGCAGTACCCATACGCGGCGGAAGAGGCCATATTGCTTGTAGCCATCGGAGAGCAAAAAGTCGGGATAGTAGTAACCAGAGAATTGAAGGAAAGCAAGAATCCAAAGAAGTCCAAAGGCGGCCTTCCATGCTGCGGGTGTACCGCTACGAGGAATCTTGCGCTGCTTGCGAGTAGGCGGTGCCTTGGAAGGGTCAACACCAGGAGGTAGCTCGAACATGGTAGTCTCGATCCATCTGCGGTAGTCCACGTAATCGAAGGCAGGGCCAGCAAACAACGAAGGGAAGAAGAGCACGAAGCCAGCATAATCGAGCAAGCTAGGCAACTTTCGCAGCGCACGATCCTTCTGATGGTCGGTCAAGGAGGCTTCGGGAAGCGTGCCGTCGTATACGTTCCAGCAGAAGGCTGTCAGTTTCATGACCAACACCATCTGGGCCCCAGTGATGTCGACCGAGCTAGGGTCGTTGACAATTTGACGGTAGATGTGGTTAACAGACATATGGCCCATCAGGAACACAAAGCCGACCCATGGCATATACGGCCCCTGTACATATGCTGCAATCGAGTACGCACCCGCAGCGCTGATGAAGATGGTACGCAGACCGGCCCACAAGTCGAAAAGACCGATGAGGTAGAACATGGATACTCTGGAAGGAGTCAGTAACGATTGTGGAATCACATCGGTGCGACTCTTACGCAATAATGAAGCCATTCTTTTGGGCTGGCTTCGAGTCGGGTATACGCTTGAGCACTCCAGCCAGAGGATATGACAAGAGGAAGGAGAAGATGAGTTTGACTGCACGTTGTCAACTTCGTCTGTTGGCCTGGACTGAGGCTCGCTTCGTCGATACATACGTTCATCAGGAGCTGCCCCAAGTTTGCCAGCCACGTAAACAAACGCTATAGCTCATTGTCAGTAAAGCTGCTTTCCTGCCCGCATTGAACCCATGTCCAATATGCAGCACTCACGGGCGTTGATGTAGGGCAACATCGTGAAGCTTGCGTCGTAAGATCAATCCCAGGGAGATCTCAGCAATACGATTCAGAGTGTTTGAGAGATTTTGGAAGGTGCTTCAAAAGATTCCAGGTTTGGCTTCTGGCACACGTGGATAGGTGGTTTGCTGTCTCAAAAATGACGTAGCACAAGCTTATGACGGATTAGTGCACGTGTTATGCGCTCGCAGGTCTCGTATACGTGGAATATATGGACATCAAATTCAACGGCAATATCATGTTCATCACTTGCATGTTTGGGTTGGAAAGAAGTTGTAAAGGGCAAAAGACAACATGCTCATATGCGACTATACACGCTGGCAACTTGGCCATTGCAATGCATGAAGCAGTGCTTTCATAAGTATTTCTATGGGAAGCCTCGATCAACACGGCTCGTTCTGTGGGCAGCACCTCTCATCATTCTCCAACGTCTTCTGTCTGCGCTTCTTGCTTTGTAAAAGGAAACTGCTTCATGTGGCAAGGAACCACGGCTACTCGTCGATCGGATCAAGCAGAGATTAGGGGGTTCGTGAGGGCGAGATGTTTAGCGACCCTTGGCGACTCTGGAGACGATGCTCTCGTACTCGATGTCATCGGGGTCGTTGGCCTGGATATCGGCGGCAAGGCCGTTGAGGGCGCGCTTGATGGCTTCCTTGGACGATGAGTACATCATGCGGGGCTGCAGGGAACCAGTTAGTCTCGTGTGTATTTGTGGATTGGCTGCGGAAGGTATGCTCACGTATTGCGATGCATCATCGGGGACCCAGGCGATGAAGGTAATCTTGCTTCTGTAGCAGCAGTCAGTATGCGACGAAGGGGCAAGACAGATCAAGTGTATTGTGACGCACCTCTTGCCCTCGCCGGCGGTGTCGTACTCGACATCGTAGACGGCGTATCTGCCACCAATGCCCTCGTTTCCTCTTCGGTCCTTGCTCTTTGCGTTGAGAAGCTTCTCGCGGAAGACGGAGTAGTTGGCCTCGGTCGACGAGTCCTCAACGACAATCTCCTTCCAGTCGTCCGAGATCTTGTAGATGATCCACTTGGTCGACTTGCCGAGCTTGAGGTCGTTGAATGCAGTGATGCACTCGGGCGAAACGGAAACACTATGGTCGGCAACGTCAGCGCCATCTTCTGGACATCGGGCCGCAGTCAGGGCGGGCGGGAGGTGAGGATGAACATACCCAGATTGGGCCTAGAGATGGCCATGTTAGTATTTGAGCGAACAGAAGTGGTTGGCGAGGAACATACCATCTTGAATGTCTGTCTAGCAGTTATAACACACGGTGGTGGCTATTCGAGCGGTGTCAGCCATCAGTTATGTAGCGCCGGGCTGAGGCAACAGCATTCGTAGCAACAGCACATGAGCAGGACAGGCTGCCATTGTACGCGTGTGCAAAAGATAGCAGCAACATACCAATTAAGACAATGGATCGGAAAAGTTCGAAGGTGTGTTGTTGGTAGACAACAAGTGGTGCTGGCGCCGCTGTGAGCTTGGTGCCCCTCCCGCGCCCCGTGAACTCCGCGACTTCCCTCGCTGGCCCACACACGTGACATTCAAACAATGACGACGGCCTTCCTCCCAATTTCAGCCTCATCTCTGTCGACTCCGACCTTTCACATGCGGACAATCGGCTCCAGTTGAGAGGCTTCACGTAACCTTGGTGATGCATCAATCTCATGGAAACACGCAACCTCGACAGCACTGTCTACGAGGAGGAACATTTCATCTTCTTGCAAGTACACATCGCTGAATGCACTATTTCACTGTCTATCAAACACACCATCTGAGAGAGGAGAAATGTTTGTACATTTATAACGACACGGCAGAAATGCCACAAGGCTTTTAGCTACAATACATAATAACATAAACGCCCGTCAAAGGCTAAAGGAAATTTGGGGTATCATCGAGTCTTCAAGGTGCGATTGGCTTAGAACATGCCGCCACCGCCCATACCACCCATACCGCCCATGCCACCCATAGGAGGCATACCAGGGCCCTTCTCCTCAGCGGCCTCAACGATGGCAACCTCGGTGGTACCGAGGAGCGAAGCAACACCAGAAGCATCTCTGAGACCGGTGCGGACAACCTTGAAGGGGTCGAGGATACCGGCGGCAATCATGTCGACGTACTCGCCCTTGGCGCTGTCGAAGCCCTTGTTGAAGTCCTGACCGAACTCATCCATGATCTTGCCAACGATAACGCTGCCCTCAGCACCGGCGTTCTCGACAATGGCGCGAGCAGGGCGGGTGATGGCGTTCTTGACAATGCTGATACCAAGCTGCTGGTCGAAGTTGGCGGGCTTGAGATCGTTCAAGGCGTTGGCGGCGGCCTTGATCATGGCGGTACCTCCACCGGGGAGGATACCCTCCTCGACGGCAGCGCGAGTGGCGTTAAGAGCATCGACGAGGCGGTCCTTCTTCTCACCAACCTCAACCTCGGAGGAACCACCGACCTTGATGACGGCAACACCACCAGAGAGCTTGGCAAGGCGCTCCTGGAGCTTCTCCTTCTCGTAGTCAGAAGTGGTGGGGTCGGCAATAACACCGCGGATCTGCTCGCAGCGCTGAGCGACCTGGTCCTTGCTGCCCTCACCGTTAAGGATGACGGTGTCCTCCTTGGTGATGGTGATGGAGCCAGTGGAACCGAGCATCTCAGGAGTGGCCTTGTCGAGCTTGATGTCGAGCTCGTCGGTGAAGACGGTACCGTTGGTCAGAACAGCAAGATCGCCAAGGATGGACTTGCGGTTGTCACCGAAGCCGGGGGCCTTGACAGCAGCAACCTGGAGCTGACCACGGAGCTTGTTGAGAATGCAGACAGCCAGAGCCTCGCCGTCAATGTCCTCGGCAATGATGACGAGAGGACGGCGGAGCTGCTGGGAAGCCTCGAGAGCGGGGACAATGTCCTGGACAGCGGAGATCTTCTTCTCGGAGAGAAGGATGAGGGGCTTCTCAAACTCGACCTTCTGCGACTTGGTGTCGGTGATGAAGTAGGGCGAGATGAAACCGCGGTCGAACTTCATACCCTCGGTGATCTCGAGCTCGTCCTCAATGGTCTTACCCTCCTTGACGGTAATAACACCCTCCTTGCCGACCTTCTCCATAGCGCTGGAGAGGAGAGCACCAATGTGGGTGTCGCCGTTGGCAGAAATAGTGGCGACCTGGGCGATCTCGGTGCTGGTGGTGACATCGCGCTTGTGGGCCTGGAGGTACTGGATAACAGCCTCAGTTGCGGACTGGATGCCGCGTCTCAGGTCCATGGGGTTGCAGCCAGCGGCAACGTTCTTGACGGTCTCGGAGAAAATGGCGCGGGCGAGGACGGTGGCGGTGGTGGTACCGTCACCAGCAACCTCGTTGGTCTTGCTGGCAACATCCTGGAGGAGGCGGGCACCGAGGTTCTCGAACTTGTCCTTGAGGACAATGGCCTTGGCGACAGTGACACCGTCTGATACGCGCGTTAGTCATCAATTGCCCGTTCATCTCTTTCTTTGGGCGAAGAAGCGCATACCCTTTGTGATCTTGGGAGAGCCGTAGCTGGACTCAATAAGGACATTGCGACCCTTGGGACCGAGAGTAGTGGCGACGGCTCTGGCGAGGGTGTCGATACCGTTCAGCAGAGCCTGTCTGCCCTCAACACCGAACTTGAGCTCCTAGAGGCGATTGTCAGCTTGTGGTATGGGACAGGTCAGACACAATATCGTACCTTGTGGGCGAAACGCTGCTGTTGCAGGGAAACGGAACGGAGCTTCGAGGCCGAAAGGGCAGAAGCCCGGGCACGAGAGGTGAAAGCGCGCTGCATGATGAGGCAAATGAACAGAAATGCAAAGAAATTGATATGAACCCGTTCGCTCCTGTTACTCCGCAAAGCAAATGGCAGACGAGATAAGAGGGGGAAGACGGCGACGGGGAGCGTGGAGTGTCAGGTTGAAAAATATACCAGACGCCGGCGAGCTCGTCCGAGGTTACCATTGGACAGTCTGGAAGCTTCGGTTCGCCTGGCCCGAGCGTCTCCGTTGCCATCGAAGCCATCTTGCCCGGTGCCGGCAGTGGAAGACCGACCGACCGACATTAATACCTCTGTCGCGAGTGTCTCGCCTTGGTTCTATCTGGAGTTATGGTGTAGCCATCCATGAGCTTCGAGACTCAAGTCCCATTAATCAAAATGCGCAATACTCTTGAACAGTAAGGTGACGTCCATGGAGGGTGACTGCTCGACGTTCTCTCTGGACCTTGCTCTCTTGTCCCAAGATCACCCTGTATCTCTAGAGCAGCGTGGTGACAAACACACAGAGCAGTTATTTATGGGAGGCAGTCAATGTCACAATGCTACCTGTCATCGACTGGTCAAGTGTTACAAAACAGAGACATAGCCATTGTGCTGGGGTCCGGCGTCACCAAGGCATGTAACCGATTGAATGCTTCAGGTAATGCATTCCTCGTGCCCCCAAAGGCCGCTTTAAGCTGTCGCGGATAGCTGCGCCAGGTGACGGTGGAGCCTGTTAATTCGTTGCTCATACGAAAGCTTTCGTTTGCATCTCCTTCACCGTAGTTCAATGTTCACTCTTTGTCTCCAGCGATCCACGTTCGCGGCCACAGTCGTCACTTTTCTTCTTTCATTATCTCACTCGTCCCTTTTCTTACTCACTATGCCCGACTCTGCTCGCTTCTATTAATCTACAGCATAACTCATCAAAGAAACTACCACATTGAGGCGCTCTGAACCTCAATCCGGCACAATGCAACTAAGAAGTCTTCATTATCGCCAAAGCTGTCCGGGAGGCGCATACTATGTCTGCCAGAATGGATTTAGAGGATGTTGTTCCATCAATCCATGCGATCCAGGCGCCACATGTCCAGACACAAGCAGTACTATGTCGTCCTCTCTATCCACCACACCAAGACCAAATTCGACCATAACTCGAACAATCTTCTCAACTTCTACACCGACAGTCACAGTAACTCCAACCACATCATCTTCGGTGACAGTGTCCTTGTCTTCGGCCACAACTAGTTCGACCAGCGTGCTACCCATTGCGACAAGTCTGACGTGTCCAATCGCCAACAACACACAATACATCGACTCCAACAAAGTTCAATACTCGATTCGCTGCAATACCGACAACTCTTATGCCTCATTCAACTCAACGTCAGTCAGCACAGGCGGTTTCAGCAAGTGCTTCCCAGCATGCGATAACTTCACAGCGTGCGTGGGCTTTACGTTCGTGGGAACTGACAGTGGGGAGTGCTTCTTGAAGTCCGATCTGCCGGACGATGGTTATTCAAGCACTGCAGGAAGCAATTATGTGACAGTTGCCTTACTCGATCGGAACGCTCAAATTGTCCCACCCACTGACGCCCTGCCGACAAGTTCCTCCAACTCCTCGACAAGTTCTAAGAGTGTACCAACTGGTGCTATTGTTGGAGGAGTGGTTGGTGGCTTGGCGCTTCTCGTTCTCCTCGCTCTACTCATCTTCTGTTGCCTTCGCAGAAGACGTAAGAAGAGGGAAGAGATCAATGCGGCTACACAGAGAATGCCACCAGATTCGCTTCAAACTGATGCAAAGAGCAACTCGCCTTTTTCAGCACACGGTGGTAAGTGAAAGGGCAGGTGTCTCTAGTCTATGAGCAAAGCTAAGTCTAATACAGGATTCTATCGAGGATGGTTCACAGGAGGAGCGACATCAAAGCAACCGCAGCTGGACGAATCTCAGCTCGCCAGAGAAGATTCTGCGAATGGATTCTTCGCAACTAAATACGACAAACCTGCACCACCTCCAGTCGCACACAACCCAACAGGTCCAGCTGAAGTGGACGGCCGACCCATCTATCCGTCAGCCAGTGTTGGTCCGGCTCCTGTCGAGATGGATGCAAGTCCTATAATGGCACCCAAAACACCAATGTCGCCACAAGTCGACGAATCGCCTGTCTTGGGACGGTATGCTTCGACCGCCTACACTAACCATGGGCAGAGTAGTCTTGCAGATGAGGTACGCAGGAGGCAACATGGTCGACACATCATGAGTTGGAACAACTACGATGATAGAAGTGCCATCTCGCCACCTGCATCGACGACGATGTCTCCACGAATTGGCTCTCCTGATGTTAGTCCGCTGATGAACAGCTCGCGCGATTCAACCGCGAGCAAATCGCCACCAGAGGGATATCCAGGGAACTTCATATAGTGGTACAAAGCGGAGTCGATTTTCCCTACACATGGCATCACTGATTTTCTTCGTCTGAGATGTGCAATCGCTAGATACCATTGTAAATAATCCAAAGAGAATCCTCATCATCTGCGTCTTCCGCTTGAATTCAATCCGTGATAAGTACGAGCATTGCCTCGCCTATCTGACCTGCCCCAAGCGCTGCATATCGATCCGTAAACACGGCAAGCTTGTCCCGGCTCAATTTGTACTTTTGAGGGGTCTGTTCTTATCAACCGCGTGCTGACTACCGAGACAGTTTTTAGGACAAGCCTTCGGCAAAAGCTTAACGAGGGGTTCTTTACACGGATAAGCACTCTTGGTCAAGTGTCAAGCCGAGTGGTTCCCGCACTTATCTTTACATGCAGTGGTTATATCGGTGTTATCTACACCCACAGTCGAGCGCCACCCCGTGACAAGAGTGCGGTGTTGACAAATGGCCGAACAAAAGTCTCTTGACACTTGGCCTCGCTTCCTCAAGAGAGTCTGGATTATTGACACGATTGTGAAAAGGCACAAACTTATTGAGAATTAGAGTCAATCCCACTGAGAGCCACTACCGTTGGGGGTGTTTTTACCCCCAGCTCGTCGACCAGCGGGGCAAGGTCCATCCGGCCGCGGCACAGCTGGCGACGTCTGCTCGCGTGCTTTCACCACGAACACCCACCTTCAGCCTACCCATCTACTCGTACTATCGACCTTCTGGATTCGAACAGCTCAAGTGACCGCTTTTTCATCTATCTACACTTAGCTTAGCTAGAAGGTTGACACGGGAAAGCATCTAGGTACGAATGAAGATGCCGCTGGCTAGTCTACATGATCGTTCTATCCTCCTTCCAAACAAGGCACTAGCAGATGCTCATCTTGCTCTCGGCCTCTATCTCCTCCTCTTCTCATCGCGTTAGGGCTATCCGAGTTAGGTATTCATATCATCCGGCTGTAACATACTTCCGGATCGATATGCAATGCAATTGCAATCTATCAAATGGCTGTATGGCGATATATCCCCTGAACTCTACTATCTCTAAGAGGAAGGAGGAATGATTGATGGCTGACCTATAAGATTGAGCTCGAACGCTTCGAGGTAAGTCACAGTGCCATAATCTTTCGCTCTTGAACTCGTCGAAGGCACACCTTGCCTCCCAATACCCTTCGTTACCATGCATCTCTCCTTACTAAGCCTGAGTGTATTGGTCTCTTATGTCCTCGCCTCGCCTACTGGAAACTATGTTATCCACGAAAAGCGCGATGCCACTCCTATGGGCTGGAGCAAAGCCGACCGCCTCGACCGCCATGCCCTGATTCCGATGAAAATCGCCTTGACTCAACGCAATATTGAACAAGGTGCCGACTACCTGCATGAGGTCAGTCACCCAGAGTCTGCCAAGTACGGTCAACACTGGACTGCTCAGGAGGTCGCAGACCATTTCGCGCCCAGGTAAGAGCCCCTCTCCTGATCACGAAGTGCTTAATCTGTAATTGTCAACGTGCATGACGCTGTTAAGACGAGGAGAGCTACCCAATGGGAGCAGTGTTTGCACGTGCTCTCACAGGAAGAAGCTTCCATTTCTCAAAAGTTTATGCCTCTCCATAGCCCGGTTCACCACACTCAATCCTCTTAGGATCGCCGTGTGACTATATGACAGAGAATAAAGCTGACATTTCTTGCTCCAGTGATGAGACCATCTCGTCTGTTATGGACTGGTTGATTGCTTCTGGTATCTCCTCCGACAGCGTCAAGTTGAGCAAAGGCAAGAACTGGATCAACCTTGAAGCTTCAGTCGACCAAGCAGAATCTCTGCTCAACACCAAGTACCACATCTACGAGCACGGTGCTACCGGTCAGCCCCACATTGGCTGCGACGAGTACAGTCTCCCCAAGCACCTCAAAGATCACATTGACTTTGTTACTCCCTCGCTTCACTTCGACACCAGAGTCAGAGAGCGTTCTGACAAGCTTGACAAGCGTGAGGTGACGCCCGATACTGGCAAGTCAATCGGTCAGCCGGGTAGCTGGAGCACCCCTCACCTGGGCAAGTACATCAACAAGTCGCAATTCATCAAGGAACTGGAACAGTGTGACGAACAGATCACTCCCAACTGTCTCAAGGCTCTTTACAAGATTCCCAAGAGCACTGGTAAGAGTGTGAAGAACAGCTACGGTATTGTCGAGTACACTCCTCAGGCCTACGTTCCTTCTGATCTCGATCTGTTCTTCGCCAACTTCTCGGAGAAGCAAGTAGGGGATCGTCCCATCACTGACCTTGTAGATGGAGCTACTGTTCAGCAAACTCAGATGGGTTTCAACTACAATGGCGAAAGCAACCTCGATCTCGAGTATGCCATGGCCTTGATTTACCCCGAGAAAGTGACTCTGTACCAAGTTGGTGATTTGGTATGCTTGTCCATTCCAAACTATACACTGCGATTAGTATGCTACTAACAAACCCACAGGTCGAGGGTGCATCCTTCAATAACTTCCTTGACGCCATCGATGCTTCATACTGCACATACGAAGGCGGTGACGATCCGTCTCAGGACGGTGTCTTCCCTGACCCGTACAAGGGCGGCTACAAGGGCAAGGAGGATTGCGGAACATTCGCACCTACCAAGGTCATCAGCACATCCTACGGTTACAACGAAGCCGATCTCACACCCTTCTATGAGAAGCGTCAGTGTGATGAGTACATGAAGCTCGGTCTCATGGGTACCAGCGTGTTGTACAGCAGTGGCGATTACGGTGTCGGCGGCAACAGCGGTCAGTGTATCGCAGCCAACGGAACCTACAACTCTGGAAAAGATGGCCGCTTCAACCCCTCTTTCCCCGCTACTTGCCCCTATGTGACTGCCGTTGGAGCCACTCAAGTCATTCCTGGTACGAACATCATCACCGCCCTTGCCAGTGGCACTCAACCTGAAGAGGCTTGTGAGACTGTCATCTACTCTGGTGGTGGCTTCAGCAATGTCTTCGACCTTCCCAGCTACCAATCATCTGCTGTCAAGTCTTGGTTCAAGAACTTCCCCCCACCATACGGCGCCGACCGCTTCAACAACACACAGAAGACTCGCGGCTTCCCTGATGTCTCCGCCAATGGAGCCAATTACGTCGTCGCTATTGACGGAACCTTTGCTCTCGTCTACGGTACTTCTGCTTCTTCGCCTACATTCGGTGCTATCCTCACCATCATCAACGAAAGACGTCTCCAGGCTGGTAAGAGCAGTATCGGTTTCATTAATCCCACCCTCTACGCTCATCCTGAGGTTCTGAACGATGTCACTCAAGGAGGTAACCAAGGTTGTGGTACTCCCGGTTTCACTGCCAGCAAGGGATGGGACCCGGTCACTGGCCTCGGTACTCCCGACTCCGTCAAGATGCTGAACTTGTTCATGAGCTTGCCTTGAAAAGATGGACGATTTGACGACGTATGAAGAGGACGCCTGAGCTTTTGTATTTAAGCATTGATCAATTGAAAGTGATCTGTTGTTATTCAACACCTCTCTGCGGACGATTTTACTCATTGCGAATACAATGTGCATTCCTACAAACTGAATGACTCTAGCTGTGGTCATGGGAGACGCCTGCAACCGACAGATTTTAGAGCCGGAGATGTACGTGAATGACTTACGGAGATATGTAGTTTGAAGCTGTTCTCCATCCTCCCCGAGGCCGCAACTGTAAACATCATGAATCCCTTCAAGTTTGTGGATTCAACGATTGAGTCTGCCGTTGAGCAACACTTGCAGAACAGCCAATGACACTAGCCTGGTCTTGTCTAGTTCTCAACAAAATCAAGTTCAGGAATGACGAGAGGCAATCAAAGCACTCGCTGAAGTCTTGAGATTCGATCCCATCTTGAGATTCGAACTCGTCGTAGATGTTGAGAAGAGGGCAATGGAGTGTGCGGAGTGGTCGAATATGTAGGTACGAACGACATCAATCGCGTCAGTGAGACCGGCGGTGCTGTTGTTTCTGAAAGCACATGATACAACATTCAAATGATCAAGAAGCTTGGTGGACTTCATCGCAGCTCGTGTGTGTGACCACCTACTTGACTTTGGTTCCTTTGTAATACGCCAAGAATGAACTACGAACAAGCAAAGAGATCATGGATGGTATCTTAGAGAAACTCAAAAGAGACAACAAGATCTCATCTATACGGTAGATTCTACATACAAAATGAAAACGACAACGAGATGCAATGCAACAACGTATGAAAACTGATATCAAGCAGCTACACACGCTACTTCAGATCAGCCATTTCTTCTTCGAGTATGGTTTCGAAACTGAAGGGCTCGAATGGAACACCATCACCAAGGAAGTGCTTGCTCATGGCTTCGACCCAGTGCAATCTCAAACTGTGCAACATGGCAGAGGTACCCTCCATGACGACCAAGACAGCAACAGTAAGGAAGAACCAAACAACGAAGAAGCCGAAGATGACAAAGGCACCAGCGACACCGGTAAAGGCAAAGGCGTTAGCCAGAGTCATAGACCACAACACAATAGACAGCTGCTGATGGGCAAGTGACAGAGCCCAAAGACGGAGGTAAGAGGCAGTGTGGGAGACACAGTTGAGACAGAACTCGATGGTGTGAATGACCTGGTGGATCATGACTTCTGAGAATTCGAACTCTTCATGCTCCTCGCTGTGGATGTCCTGGGTGATGATGGCGGCACCGTCTTCGCTGGCAAAGCTCTGTCTACCACCATTCATGCCGTGGTGCTCGTCGTCATCATCGTCAAGGGCACTGACTCTCTGGCTTTCACCAACAGCGCTGTAGCCCATAGCTCTGGCACGGTTGTGCTCCCAGCGCAGGTAGAAGGGCTTCAAGAAGAGCATGATGGGTACACAGCAGACGGCGGCAAGAAGCAGGATAACCTGGACAGCAGCCTGGCCAGAGTAGAGTTGCTCTTCGACGGTACCAGGTTGCAAGAACATGTAGATGAGCATGTTGAGCAGACCAGGTGGGTTTGCGCCGATGGCATACCAGTCGATTGACCACTTGTAGATGATAGTGAAAACGAGGTAACCAAAGATGGACTGGAAGAAGATCATGCCAGGAACAAAGTTGCCCCAGATGTCGATGGGGGTCTTGAAGTGTCTGGCGTTGATGTAGGAGAGGCAGAGAGAGTAGGTCATGTGGGCCCAACCAAGAAGAATACTGAGCTTCATCTTGTAACTGTTGGAGAAGAGAAGGTCATTGTCAGTATCGTGCCAGCGCCAATCCATTCCGAAGGGGTAGGTGTAACCCTCCTTGCGAACCATAGTGACGGTCTGGTTGGGCTTGAAGTCAGGGACTTCCCACATAGAGGGGAAGATGGCGAGCTCCTTGGAGAAGGCGTCACAGTAGATGAGACCAGTGTACATGGAGAAGATACCCATCATGAGCATGATGTAGCGACCGAAGAAAGCCATGGAGAAGAGCTCGTCCTGCTTGGAGCGCAAAAGGGGCTTCTCCCAGTAGATCATGGCGCAAGCAGCCATAGTCATGAGGAAACCGTGACCGAAATCACCGAACATGACAGCGAAGAGGAAGGGGAAGGTAACAATGGTGGGCAGACCGGGGTTGACTTCGGTGTACTTGGCGGTACCGTACGCATCGATGATGGTCTGGAAACCAAGGGTGAACTTGTTGGTCTTGTTGTAGGTTGGAGGCGTCTTGGACGTCTTGATGGTGTTGACAATGGTGGGAACAGAGAGGCCAGCACGGTCGTTGACATCCTGCAGGGTCGACTTGACAAGAGCAAGCGAGTTTGTAGGGCACCAGGCTTCGGCGATCAGCGTCTTGCGCTGCTGGTCGTAGGAGAAGCGGTTGAGGGTCTGGTAGACGGCCTTCTCCTTGGAGACGATGATCATCCAGGCAGCCAGGCTGCGACCGATCATGGTCAACTCGGCGTCCAGGGTGCGCTTGGTGTTGGAGAGGACGTTGGCCAGGTCCTGAAGGCGAGTGTTGACCTCGTGCATCTGGTCACGGCGGAGCTCACTGTTCTCATCGACGTTGTAGATGTCGGCACCGAGGGATTCCGAAATCTTGCGGATCTTGTTGATGATCTCCTTTCCGTGGGCGAAGATGACGAAGACGCTCTTGTGCATCTCTTCGTTGGTCTCGGGGTTGATGATGGGCTCCTCGATTTCGCTCTGGTTCATGTACAGGTTACCACGCAGAGTACGCCAGAGGATGCGCTCGAATGCGGCCATGCGCTCGCGAGGGATGACACCGGCAACGAAGCCAATGTTCATGACGGAGAAGGAACGCTCGCCCGAGCCGTCACCGTTCTGAGCCTGCTCCATATCGGCGAGTAGGGGCGCATCGTCATCGTGGTCCTCGTCAATCGAACGGCGAATCTCGTCTGTCTGTCCACGAGCCTGATGTACATGTTAGTCTCTGTATCGGCCCGTCCGCAGCGTCTGCAAAACTCACGCGATCGAAGAAGCCACCAGCCTCACGCAGGACCCAGCGCCACTCAGTCAGCTCCATCTCACGCTTCTTGAGCGTCTCGTAGCTGTCGTTGAGCGACTGGATTCTCTGCTCCAGAGTCTGACTGCGGTCGACAAGCTCGTCGATCTCCGAGGCCGAGGGGGCGGCCAGGCGGTCGCCAAACTCGTACATGGAGCGCATCGAAATGTCGGCCTTGTCCATCTGTGCCTTGAAGTAGCCTGTCCACAGTTGTCTCAGTCTCTTGTTCCGCCATCCTTCTCAGCAGGGGGCGATTGGCTTACGCAGCTGGCGTTCAACATTGTCGAGTCTTCGGATCTCCTGAGTGAAAGTACGCTGGAAAGCGGTCGTGTCCGAGTTGAGCTGAGTTGGATGGTCAGTTTGAAGTCGTGTAGGTTGGAAGGTCGGGCCAACACACGTCTCTAAAGTCCATGATGCCCAGTTCTCCCAGGGCGCTCACGACTTCGCGTCCAATCTCGTTGGCCATGTACAGCTGGGTCAGCGACATGTCCGCCGAGCGGAACAACGAATCCTGTTGCGTCGCCATCTTGATCGTCTGTGTAACGATGAAGACTGACCGTGGTCGGGGTGTTGTGAATGTCTAAAGGCAGCAAGCTCGACGCCTTGTCGTTGGCCAACTCGAAACATGACGATGCGCCGCCGCACGCCTCTCCCGTCCACGTGATATGCCTTTCTGCGCCAGGGTGATACCCTTTTCAAGACTTTCGATACATAATTTTCTGTCTGACAACCCACAGTTGACTAGATACTGACTTGTGCCTCTCGAGTACTTCTTGATAACACAATCTGTTGTATACGAGTATTTGGGAGTAGCAGAGCATCTGGTTGTGGAGACACGCATCTTTCTTCATTTTGACTTCGTCAACTTCTGAACGCCGGAACATCCACGTGCAAACTCAACCCATACTTGGAGCGATTTGGGAGGGAGCAGCACTTGAAAAGTGCATAATAGAAATTGGAATAATCAATTAAACAAACTCAACAGCTTCGCCATCTCGAAAGTTCCGCCACGCTCCATCTCAAATTCTGCTTCTGAGAGGAGTGAGGCCAAAAGTCTTCCAAAAGTCGCGGCTGTCGTAGCATCTGCCCAGCGTCTCCATGTCTCTCGGCAATGCCTTGACACCCTCTTCTTCCATCAGCTCATAGACCCACTGGCTCTGTTTGCTAGGCTCTTCGTCCACATGCTTTCCTTCCCTGGCCCATCCTACAAACAGCGACCACCAGCAGTAGACTTGGCCATCAGTAAGCATCCAGCGGGTACCCGATGCCTTGTTCTTCTCCCATTTATCGAAGATCGCCAGAATTGCGCGTGCTACGTCCTCGCCGTGCACCAAATGCAAACTCTTCTTGCTCTTGACCTGATCCTTGGTGGTGGCAACCCTGCCAACCCACGACTTTGGCTGTCTCTCTCCACCCCACAATCCTGCGAGGTTAAGCACACATCCGCCCATGGACATCAGCTCGTCTTCAGCAATTGCTCGTGCATTCTCCTTGTTGTAGTCTGAGTGTCGGTCGACCCATGTCGTCTTTTGTTCGATTTGGAAAATGCCGGTCGACCCCAGCTGCAGGTACCGGACATTTGATGCCACGCGTTGATGTGTAAAGTTGTAAGACCACACAAGTCTGTGAGCAGGACCTTCGCCAGTGAGTGGGAATGTGATCAAGATGTTGCGAGCAGCAGGCAGATCAATAAAGTAGGTCGGGTCCGGATTGTCAGGGTCGAACTTGAACTTGATGGTTCCGTCGCGTCCCGTCGTAGATGTTGCAGCATATGTCAAATTACGAGCTTTGAGTAGTGGTATCAGAAAGGTCGATGTCCAGCCGGCTCCGAGAATCAAAACGTCCATTTCCTGCATGTTCTCTGGTTCTGATTGTTTTTGATGTTCGATGTTTCTTGAAAGTGAAGCTGAGCTGGAGAAACATTCACATTGATGTCTTCGAGCTTCGGTCAAGCGGGGCAGCCGGACAGATGACGCGGTTTTAGGCCACAGCAATAGACATGGAATTATTGGATGCACATTCGCTCAACTCAGCCATGTAATACCCGATATTGGCTGACATACGAGCGGTTCGCTTTGCTGACAAGGCAGCAACATAAAAATGCGATCGCAGCTGGACCGTTGGCGCCCTCAGCAAAATCAACGTTTACGGTTCGCCCCGACCAGTGCCAGTGTCAAACAGAGCAAGAGAGCACCTGCTAGAGCGCCACAAGCGCTCTGGTAGTCCTCCATGCTGCTCATCGCTCGGGTGTCTCTAGGTGTCTCTAGGTGTAGCAATGACAGCAGCATCCACCGATCGACAATTCCAGACGAAGCTCACAGAAGCACGGGATTCTTGCAATGGCTTACCTGATCGGGCTAAAGCTTTCTCGAGGGCTTCTTGATGTCTACAGAATCTCTCGAACGCTCGATTATCAGCGAGCAAACAGTCTTGGGATCAGACTGAAAACATGCACCTTTGTTGCATCTTGCAGTTAGTTTATCGGCTATGTCTCTGACTTTGCATGCAATGCAGGCAGCCACTATTCGTCAAGATGTCGGCATCAACAAAGAATTGCGTCTCTCTTCGACCGCCGATCAACCTTGTGACTGTCAAGAGACGAAGAGAAAGGCAAGGAAGCATTCCTTGTTTTTGCTGCTTATTCAAAGTGAGACGTCTTTCCCGAGTCTGCCGTCCTTTCCCAGCTTTATCACCACTCGTTGTGGCACTAGCTAAATCTTTACTTATGCAGCTAAGAAGTCTCCGGACGATCGGCGTCGCGACCGTGATACTGCCCCTCTTCTTCGACGACGAGTATCTTAACAACTAGTAGTCGTATACAGTCAATTCATAGCTTATTTTGTAGGTAATTACCTATGGAAACTGTTGCTAGTCCCATCTTAGATACACAACTTCGCCTTCTTGACAAATTTAGCCGGGTCCGTTATGTCCTCTATCCGCTAGCCGAACGTTTCTGCGTTCTTCTAATGCCATTTAATCGCTAATTTCGCCGCCGCCTTTGCTTCTATTAATACACTACTTAGTTTGTAGCCTTGTAAGGCATCTTTAAATGCATCGAAAACCCTTTTAATAGGGTGGAGGTTAGGACTATTTCCTAGATGTAGTGCGAAGAGTATAGCCCCTAAAAGATCCTTATCTGTTATAAACTCCCTTGCTCTTTAATAAGCACCTAAATTGTCCTCTATAAGGTATACATTACAATCTAGATTGGCCTCTTTAACCTTGTAGTAATAAGGGTAAAGATCTAATAGCAACTAATTATATAAATACAGTAATACTATGCAAAATCCATTCCTTTTTCGCCAGTTCTTTTAAACGTCTTCTTATCTACCTTAAAGACCTTTTTAGGAGTTAACTACCTCTTATTCTTAGGTGTATTAGGCTTGTTTTTAGCAAGATCCTTAGCATGCTGTTTAAGAAGCCTTCTATTAGCATCCTATATAATATGCTACTTATCGGTGCCCTCCTTTTTTGCTTTCTCGATAGCTTTAGTAGCATCTTTATAGGTACGAGCCTTACACCTAGCCATTTTACCTTCTATATCTTTCTTCTCATCCTTATCCTCCTTAATAAAGCACTTGACAGGCCTCTTAATTAATAAATTAGTAGAGCAGGCGGCTAGAACTTATAGAGTAAACTTAGGATAAGAATCCTAAAGTTGTTTTAGCGGCAATTGATAAGTAGGAGTACCTTTAGGGGCACTTAGCTATTCTACATAACGGTCTAGCCCTCCGAAGGTAATAGGAGTCTTATCTAATATAACAAATATAGCCTTTCTTATAGGTATATAGCTAGGACCGCTAGTAATTATATTAAGAAGCTAGTAGGAGTATTTCCTTCGAAAAACTAGATCTATCGCGTTTAAGGTAGGTTTCTTAGGTCTCTTCCTCTTAATAATACGGTAAGACCTTCTAGGAGAGGTTTGTCTTACTACTCTTTGTGCTATAGTTAATGTACAAGGCATATCTAGGTCTAGAGCTACCTTGATAAATGGCTTATAGGGATTTTCTAGAAACGCCTAGCGAAGCCTCGAATGCTACTCTAAATCTAAGGCTAACGGGCGACCTAAACGTTTAAAAGGTTCTATATATCTTGCGAGGATATTAGGTTATGTAAAGATCCTAGCTTAATCCGAGCTCGTTCGTAGGTATAGTTCTAGATATCCGTAACGGTCGAGTGTTATATATCGTATCTAGCCTCCCGCGCGAAACGACGCGCCGACTAGTCAAACATTAACATAATAGTAATCATCGCGATCCTAACTTTAAGAGGGGTCTCGCGGCCATCATTTTAAGTCGCCATTAAACAAATCGGATAAGAATTAGTTGTGTTACATGCGTTAAAAGAAAAGAGATAGAAACGTTAAGGTAGCTTCGGCTGTCCGGAGACTTTTAGGGTATATAAGTACAACATGAAAGAAAAGACTACACGTAATAGTTTAGGACACGTTAGGTAAAGCACGTGATAGGTGTTTACCTGGTGTTGAACATCGAATGGAAGGACGAGATCTAGGCCTTCCTAAGTCACCACCTCGTACGCTAAGCTCCTTCAATATCATCTAGGGTTACAATGGCGAAAAGCAGAGAAGTATTAGTGCCCCCTTTCGATCGCTGGCTGCACTGCCTCGATCGAAACAAGAATCGCAGGTTTGGGTGTTTCAATTAGGACCGAGCCTCGTTAAATGGCTCGTCGACAGGCACAATAGTTTTCAATACGAGGGTCTCAGTCCAGTGAGAGCGCGTGTTTAGATCATTCTCAGTGGCCAATGGAATCAGATAGAAAATCATGGTGCCTTTTAATCAACACACGCGAGCGTGAACTAGGCCTTGGTAATCACGCGACTCTTAAGAGTTGTGGTCTTGTTGATGCCTGGTTTATCGTTCTTATATGGTTTCGATAATGTAAAGAGTGTACTGTCGGCGTTGATATCCAGACATTCGAACGGAGCAGCCCTTTTGGGTCGGGACTGTAACAGGGAAGAAGACGCTGGCTACCCATATTTTCATTTAGCAAGAGCAAATAAGTATCTAAAACTACACCTCGAGTCGAAGTGAACTTGATGTTAACGTGTAGATACTGTCGTAATTTTCGTCCTTACAAGACCTCATGGATGCTCTCCGTGCCCTTCATGAACAGTCTCGGATGGTCCTTCCTGCTTGGCAGGGGTAGGATCGTTGCGGTGCCTAGTGCATCATGTTAGTTATGGTCGAGAGACTGCTTGAAAGGAAAGACTTACTTCTTGACAACTCTCTCAATACCATCGAGACCCATCTTGAGAACATCCATTCTTGGACCGTAGCTCAACCTGACGTGCTTGTGGCAAGGTGAGTCAAACAGATCCCTGCGTTTCGACGGATTCAAATCGAAGAAGATACCAGGCACAACAATGACCTTCTCCTTGAGACAAGCATTGAAGAAGTTCAGACCGTCGTTGATGCCCTCAGGGAGCGAAGACAGATCAAGCCACAGGTAGAATGTCGAGTTAGGAATCAGCGGGATTCTGAAGCCCATCTCCGTCAATCTGTCAATGACATAGTCTCTCTTCTCACGGAAGTGGTGCTGCAGGGCACGCATTTCGTGTTTGACCTTGGTGGGTTCGAGCATAGGAATGGCAGCCTCTTGGAAAGGAACGTTGGTGCCGCCATCGAGGTAAGATCCACACGAGCCAATTGCTTTGATAAACTCCTTAGGTCCGATGATCCATGCTACTCTCCAGCCAGGAAGACGGAAACGCTTTGTCAAGCCGTCAATGATGAGCACATCTAGTCACATCAGTATCTTAAAGTGTCTTTCCATTTCTCTAATTTGAACGCACCATCTTCGTCAACGTCTTCGATGTTGTCGGCAGCAGAGATGACAGTACCATCGCAGTCAGTAGTGTAGTTGTAGCCTAGATATACGGTAAGTAAGGGGCTTCCATGGAAGCTGGTACAGCATTGTGAGTCAGTGACGGATACCATTTTTCTTTTGACAAAAATCAAAAAAAATCATCTGGCAGCCGCTGACCCTCGTAATGTACACCGCAAACCTACTCACCAGAGTAAAATTCATCTAAGACGAGCGTCGCTCTATCTCTGCCTTCAATTGTTGTTAGCTCTGTACAATAAAAGGTTCAGTAATCCTTGAGAAACTTACAAATATCTTGAATTTGAGCAAGCTGGGGATTGGCCAGGACCTGGCCTGTAGGGTTACGAGGGTTTGATGTCAAGATGACACTAGTACCCCGGGCGATTTCTTCTGCAATCTTGTCTGGGTGCATGTGGTATCCATCTTGCTTCGACAATGGAATGGGGATAGCACTGAAGTTTTTGAAGAGCGACAGCATCTCGTTGTAAGCGGTGTAGTCTGAGAGCATACGTTTAGTTGCCAGGGACATCGCAAAGAAGGAATAGCATTAAGCCTACCCGGAATGAAGAATCCAAGATAGGCATTTCCGATCACAGCAGCAATTCTGATGAGGCCAGCTCTGCCGCCAGGGACGATGCAGACGTTTTCCCAGGTATACTGACTCTCCTTGCCCTTACGGTGATGCTCATTGTAGAGGTTGGCGACAGCTTCTCTCAGAGGTTTGATACCAGCAGTAGGACCCTAAGCCGGTGTGTCAGCCAACCGAACCAAAAGAGGTTGTGGAAACAAAACCTACGTATTCACGGCCGGACATGGAGACATCGATAGTATGAGGTCTCTCAAAGCAGCCTTCGATCTCATCATCGACCTCGGGGGCACCTTGACCCAAGTTTGCCCACTTCTCTGGATGTTCGGCAAATCCATGCTCATAAGCCCTTTCAGTGGTCCAGACTACTCCTGTGGATGCACGCGAAGGGTCTAGTCCAGCATGTGGCTTGTGTCCTTCATGAGCGTTGCGGAACTGACGGTGAACTGATGAGCTCAGCTCTGATAAAGGTCAGCAATCATGTATCTTGACAAAAACATACATATACACATATAAATCTCATAGCAGACTCTAGGATTTGAACCAACAATCGGACTGTGACAAAGCATGAAATATTCTTACCGCTGTCAGTGGGCTCCTTGTTTGTCGAGAAACGACGCTCCTTGGGTCCATGAGGAGAGTTCAAAGGAACATCAGACGCAGAGAAACTAGCTCTCATAGTGGAATGAGATGATCTTGCAGAGCCAAGAATACCGTATTGTGATGCCAAGCGTTGGCTGCTGGGACCTGATGGAGGATGCAAGAGTCGCCTCATGATGGGGTGAGGTTGAAATTTGATGAGTCAGCAGAAACGCGTAAGCATCTACTCGTACAGTGGAGCAACCAGCAACGAAAGCAATACGACTTTACTCACAACCGCAAGCACACTATTCTCTCAAGCACCGCGAAAAGAGAAAGTCGCTATATTACCTCCATCCAACAAGAGTCACTCCATGGGTGCTTGACGCATTACACAAAGTTCGGTCGTTTGGTATTCCAACTCAATTTGTCCTTCGACTAAAAACTGCTGTAGTTTGCAATGTGCAGTTTATTGATCCCTCAGGATTCGAATGCGACGTGACGCGATTCAAGACCATTTTGAATGGGTTTGTTAGTAGTCGCCGCTCAAAGCTTGCCTCAACTCCTCCTTCAATCTCTGGATCTCGATATCTTTGGCCCTTAAAGCGCCGGCTGCTTTTGGATTGTTGAGTTGTGCTCTCAAGCTCGCAATCTCCCCGTCGCGCGAGCGCAAGAGGCCACGTGCCTGCAGGAGCTCTTCCTCGATCCTCTTTACGTCCTGCCACAGCGGTTGCTCACTACCCTGCGCATATCCAGTGTCGTGAGAAGGAAGCTGTGAATCTGGTTCCATCTCTGAAAGTTGAGACTGTATTATTGATGCAGGTTCCCGGCGTGGAGTACGCGCATCCAACGAGCGGTCGACGAAGGGAGTGTTTGCGCCGATTGCGTACTCAGTCCTGGCACCATGTGGTGTTCTCCAACCAGAAGTCACAAGAAGGCCGTTTACGCGCTCAGGCTCTTCTTCGACATTTGCAGCGTACACGGTTTTGCCGCCAGCTGCTATCTGAGGCGACAATTCTGAGCCATAGAAATGATCGTCCAGTTCGCGATCAGCATGTCTTGCCCTTTGGACCGGTGGTTTGTTCAGACGTCTCGAGCCGCCGGGCCATGTCGGGGACGGGGTGGAATGGAGGTACTTGCCGACTTTCTCACGCTTGTGTCGTGGATTGAGAGACTCTTCTGCCTTTCGCTTGCCTAGCAGTCCGATCTTCTTGCCGGCATTCTGGGATGCTGTCGGGTTCTCGGTTCTATTTCCGTCATCAAGTACTGAGGTCTGGTTCGCAGCAACGGGCTCAGCCGTAGGGACGTTGAAGATGATTTCTTCGTAACCACCCTTTTCTCCGGAAAAGCAGTACGGCCTCTTTTTATCCTTCTCGCCGATCACGGTGTAACCGACATGTCTAACACCTTGGCCATCTTTATCGTCCACATCCATCCCTGTTCCCTTCGCCACCACGGCTGCCCTCCCCTTGTTGAACCTGGCTGCGAGGACACGGCCGCCGCCCGTAGTAAAGTCCAACGCCCAGAAGTCTCCTTTGTCCTTGTTTGTGTACTTTTTGGACGACATAATATCCCAGGCAGCTTTATCATCTAGGACGACATAGTGTGGAGGTGAATTGGTTCCGCGTTCGATGGGCCCAATGTCGGTCTGAAAGAACCGCCATCTCTTGGTATATGTGTTGTTGGTAAATTCGGTTCCTCTCATGCCATCAGGGTCGCCAGGTTGCCATATTTCACGGCCGATACCTCCGATGTCACGGTATGTGAATCGCTTATGTTCGGACTTCGGCCGACGATCCAGCTGGTTGGCGTTGGCTTTTGTTTTCGAATGGGAACCATTTCCGGGTGGGCGAGCTGGAGGTCGTGTTGAGTCTGTCTTCTGCGCGGGGCGATCCATCTGCGACCAGTCAGGCACTCGGGTCCAGATCTGATGGAAGTGTACTCACTTTAGGGTCAGTCGACTTGCGTGCACCTCGGGCATGGGAAGGCGCCGGAACCATCTGTTGCGTGACTGTGAGTATAGAAGACAGATGTGGGGCGGACGAAGACGATGGCCTACTTCAGTTTGATCAGGAGTTTGGTCGCCAAGGGGCTCGAAGAGAGGTGAACCGTCGTCTTCCACCACGATGACTGGGCTTTTCTCAGCTCCAGCTCGCTTCAGCCGTGGCGTTGCTGCCTTCTTATAAAGATCATTGGGCGCTGCTGGCAGCTCGGAGAAGTTGAAGACAAGTCCTCCCGGCTTTGTCGCTCTCATTGTTCAGCAGCTAAGTCTTTGTAGTGAATGCGTTGAGGAGGGTCTCAGAAAGAATAAAGTGCACTTCCAAAATCAACTCGCTGGATGCCAGCGAGGGTGATGAATCTTGGCACTGTTGGAGAAGCGAGTCTAGAGGAATGATCGGGGAGCAACTGGTATCACGTCTTCATGCGCTCTGTCATGTGCGACTGCGAAAAAAGGGCAGACTTTCACCCCAGAAGACTTCACCCCAGAAGACTTCACCACAGAAGACTTCGCTTCGAATACTTCGCTTCAATCGGGGAGCAACTGGTATCACGTCTTTATGCGCTCTGTCATGTGCAACTGCGAAAAATGGGCAGACTTTGACCACGGAAGATTTCGCTTCGAAGACTTCGCTTCGATACTTCACCCCGACCCGCGAGCGCTGTGCCGCCGACCACAGGATGGCCTTCATGAAGTACAGCAGCAACGGAGCGTAGCATCATGAGCCATGTTTGAAGATTGCATCGTTCAGTATCGATAGACTCATGGGCACTGCTTCGACATTGCGTCTTGCTACAGATTTCCCTGCGCTCGCCAACTTGATCGAGGGAGAACATAGCGATGCGCTACTCGAACATGAGTCTCTTTTGTGCCCCTTGCAATTGAGGTCGAGGAGCCTGTTATCTTCGCCAACCCCTCCCGCAAGTATATCGAAACACTTTTGGAGACGATGACTTCCTGAAAATTGCGATGCTCACAGGATATCACGTTTCCAATCACCTATTGAGTCCAACAACAGATTAATGCCTACGCCCCCGATAAATGATGTGAAGCAATTGAATGGCAGCCGCGATCTGATGGTCCTATTTAGCTCGTTATCAATGTATTGGTATTCTACCGTAGCGTGTGTTGGAGACCAAGACAGATGTCAGGGGTCGGTGAACCGTGTACGGCTTTTGGCAGACTCCGCCAGTGAGACGCCTGCATCTCCGCAAGAAGCATTCTAGATCACAGTCAAGATAACCATTTTAGCGATCGTTTATGACTGTCTGCATGGACTGCAGAAGAAGAAAAACGAGTTGGTGGAGCAAAGTGGATTAACGCATGTCATGCAGATTTAGCGTGAGCCCCCTGCATGTCGTCGACGCCTCGCCGCCAACCCGGCCTCTGGGTATCCTGCAGGAGTCTCGACCGCATCACCGGAAGGATTGCATGTTGCTGACACCTTGCTGTGCATCATGCTGCAAGACATGGATGTGAGACATTGGTCGTGACGCAATAACGCTCTGAGGCACTCAGGAACCTGATCATTGATCTCATGACAAAGGGTATATTCTATGTATATATGTACAGAATTATTAAGTCGTGTCGTCGTTAAGTTGGGTTGCCTGGAATCATCTCATACAGATCCAGGTTCAACTCTGGTGATCGCGACTGTGACGCTCTTCGTAATCGTGGGGCCTCCTTGTATACTGTCCTCGCTGACCGCATCATCATCAGCCGCACCGTTCTTGATCGCCCAGTCGCTCCGTCCTGCGTTGCCGGCAAGCTCAAGTTGGCTGCCGTTGTGTGCTTCGGACTGAGGCGTACTGTGTAGTTCATATCCTCTGCCACCGAAGGACTTGTCGAGCCATGATTTTCTTGTGTTTCCGTATTGACCACTGGTGCCTGGTGCAGAAGTACCGAATGTAGAGCCCATGAATCCAGGAGCGATTTGTCTGAGAAGTGGCTTGAGAGATGGCACGGATGCACAGATAATGGACACGTTGGCGTCCACTGCACTCCAGATGGAGGAGTCGAAGGAGACCCAAGTCTTGTCCTCGGCGTGTAGAATGCTGCTGACTCGAACTGCTCGGATGATACTGGCGATGATGGGAACACCACCCAGGCAGATGGTGAAAAGAAGGGCGTACTTCTGGCGTGCATGAAGGTTGAGTCTCATGATCTTGGGTGCAGCGAAGGCAATGAGGAGTATATCCACAAGAACGCTTTCAACTGTCGAAGTATAGAAAGCCGGAATGGTGTCGATGCACTTCTTGTGTATGTTGATATCCCAAACGCCTCTGACAGGGTTGCATTGGAAGATGGATACGCATTCAAGACAAACAGTCGCGATTACCACGAAGCCAAAAACGCTGTACAAGAAGATCCGGCCAGAGCGACTTGTCGTGAAGACCTTGAGGTATAGCGCGCAGAGAGACAGCTTCGTGAAGCAAATCGAGATTTGATAGGCGATGAGTGTGCCGTAGAGAAGTTTGAGAGAGGGTATGATGGTGGAGAATGGCACATCGGCCTCGTGCATGCCACCACCGTAATTGGTCAACAAACAAGCCATTATGCAGTTGGCCAGAGCGGCGAGCTATAATCATGTTAGAGTACAGTCTTTCATGCATTGCGAGGAAGTAGCATACCCATCCAACAGTGAGAAGCCAATCATCCCAGCCAAAAGTTCGTAGAATCAATGCTCGACTGTAGACTCGGCCAAAGTAGAAGATAGTTGCCAGTAGGAACGGAAGGATGTTTCCCAGCAAGATATATGGTGCACGGGTCTGATAGAAGGTCAGTTGCTGCTGGACTAGATCTACAAGAGTAGGAAGAACTTACTTTTGCCATGATGTATGACTATCTGCCTCAGCGTTCTGCAAGTCCTATACCAGATTGATACAGAGACCAAGGGCAAGGAACAAGGGCAAGATATGTAGATCCACAGCGCAGACGCGTTTCTTAATGAAATGCCAGCAAGAGAATAGAAAAGTACACTGCAGGGACCATGATCATCTTATGGAACCTCATTCAACCGTCGAATATCAAGCTACGAACCGAAAACCTTAGCTAACCTTGAGTCTAGCGCGGAACCGTTGGACGGCGCGCCAAACCTACCCCTTGCCCTTGCGGCCGGAGGAACACTTCTAACCTCTTTAGTACTTGGAGAAGTTCGTGCAAGGAAGAGTTCCTTCCATGCTGAGAGCCGCTGGTCTCGAGGCCATCATGATGCACAATTGATTCTGGCGTGGAGGCTTGATCGATGGAAACGGGTCTAGAGACAAGGGTTCTCCCTTTCGCAGACAATCCCGGGCAGCTTAAAGGCATTGTGTCTTTCGATAGCTCTTTCGCGGAACTCGGCGCTGGTTGGAGCTATGTGCTCCTATTTGCGTCAAAGGAGTTCGTCGCTTTGCATTCTGGTCCTCGGTTGGGCAGAAGCGAGCGAGCACGGCATCAACGGAGGAAAGGTGGAGACAGGGTCGAGGGCAGGCCAGACAAACACATGGGGATCCACGCGACAGACACAGCAAGACATGCGACTTTGTTTCACAGTCACAGCCTATGCTTCTACAATGACAAAGTATAAATTCGTGAAGATAAGAAAATGGTTGGAAGCCAGACGCGATGAAGAACAAGAGGATTCACAAAAGCTTCCACGTTCCTTCAAATCCCGTCGGCAACTTTGCCGGCGATCAAACAAGCCCTGCTGATCTACATCGCATACCATAGCCTGGCTGCTCGTATAATCTCTCCATGCCCACCTGCAGGATTGTGGCTTTTGCTAGGAGATAGGTGGCTGGAATACAGATATTTTTCCATAGCTAGCAGAGCCACAACTGAGTCAGTGCCGGACTTGGAAGTCATGCAAGCAGGGCGAACAAATCTCCATACTATAGAGTCCGAAACGTCTTATTACTGTGAGAACGCCAGAGTAGGTTGGTGGCTGAAGCAAGATGGACGAATGCAGAACTCTTATGCCGCCCCAGATCCGGGAGCCGCAAGAAACGAATCATGAACTGAAGCGTGCTCACCCGGATGTGGTCGGTTCTCGAGACCAGCTCTGAGCTTAGAGCTACTAAACACAGAGATAGAGAGCGGCACTTGTGGGCCTGCAGTGCTCAGTTGGCGGCAACAAGCAGTGGAGAAATTAGCGACATGCATCGTTGATCATACCACCCAGTTACAGGGTATGATAGAGTCATCAAGTCCGGAAAGTAACACTACTCGAATCAGCTGCCGCCGAGTGAACATCAGGTGGAACGCGCAACATGTGAGATCTTCAATATTGATCAGAAGCTGTACCGATTTTGGATGGCGTTCTTTCGATCGGAATGTGGAGGATTTACAACAGTGTCTCATGGGACAGCCCCGAAGGGAGATCTGATCAAGCACGTTCTGTCTCTCGTTGATCAAGAAGGCCGCACCGAGGCATTGAGAAGCACGGATATGTCGATCTCTATACCAGCCGCAAGACACAGGGCTTAGTTCATGCTAACAGCTACAAGTACCGGACAATCAACTTGATCTGAAACGCAGGTCTGTTGCTGCTGCCGTTGGAGGATCCGAGGCCAAGAAACTGTAGAACTTGGAGAGACGCACCGGAGTTGGAGCTTCCATCTATCGTTGAAGTCAACGCATAACTGTCAAAGTCACGGTACTCTGAAGATCGATTCAATTTATCCCACGTGGGTGACTGTTTCTCTAATGAGTCGGTCATCACCTAACTACCATGTGCTTCGCAATGAACGGTACACCAAACTTGGTACTGATATAACCGCTACGCCTCTGCGTTGCTGCTATGGGGATACAAGATGATCTCGTGGCTTGATTGTCATTACTGAATCTGTGCAATACGATGTTTCTAGTTACTACATCCGCACTGCGAAGTTCTTTCGCTAGTCTTGCGGCCGTAATCATGTCGTGAGAAGGTCTCTTCGTTTATCTGTCGCGGCCGAAAGTGGCGGGCCCAGCGGGCTTGTTGTCGAGGATCTTCTCAATCTCCTCCATGAGCTCGGGAGTCAGCTTCTCGAGCAGCTTCAGGGCGCCGAAGTTGTCTTCCAGTTGCTCGACCTTGGTAGCACCAAGAATGACAGTCGAGACATTGGGGTTCTTTGCAGCCCAGGCCAAACTGAGCTGGGTAACAGTGCCACCGAGCTTCTCAGCAATGGTGGTAAGCTTTCTGACCTGTTGAATGTGTAAGTCTTTGATCATTCGAATCATCGATGTAGTGCCCAAATACCTTCTCGATCTTGGCCTGACCTTCGGGGCTCTGGAGCTGCTTGACGGTGTTCTCGAAGAAGTCCTTGTTGGTGGCGAAACGGGAGTCCTCGGGGATGCCATCGTTGTACTTGCCGGTCAAGAGACCGGAAGCGAGAGGTGACCAGATGGTGGTTCCGTACTTGAATTGATCGTACAGAGGAGCGTACTCAACCTCGAAGCGCTGTCTGTGGAAGGCGTTGTATTGAGGCTGTTCGGCAATCGGAGCGATCAGGTTGTACTTCTCGGCGATCTGAGTGGCTTCCATGATCTGAGTGGCAGACCACTCTGAGGTTCCCCCTAGACGAAGACTCAGTCAGCATGATTTTCGCAAACCCAATCGAATCGCCCCTTACAATAATAAGCCAAATTCAGGTTGCGAATTGCCTGGGTGAAACCCTCAACAATCTCCTTCATGGGAGTAGCATTGTCAGGACGGTGAGCCAGGACAATGTCAACGTAATCGTGGTTCAGTCTCTTGAGGGAGCTCTTCAGGCCCTCGATAACGTGCTTCTTGGAGAGACCACGAGTGTTGGGCTCCTTGCGACCAGTACCAAAGAAGATCTTGGTCGAAATAACGTACTCGTCTCTGGGGTAAGCGAGCTCGTTCAGAGCACGTCTGTCAATGCGAGGTTAGTCTTTGCATCCTCATACCACTACGTCTTACTGCGAGCGTCTCGGGAAATACATGCAGTGAGACATCGATACTGCTTACCCCATCTCAATCTCAGACTGGCCGTTGGCGTAGACCTCGGCAGTGTCGAAAAAGTTGCAACCTATGTCAAGATCAGTATGCTGCTTCCGAATGCAGTGCTGAATCACATACCGTGGTCGAAGGCCTTCTGGATGCACTCCTTGACGACATCACCCTTCTGAGTACCACCGTAGGTCAACCAGCCTCTAGATCATCAATGTTAGTGGCCACATCACAATTGGTCAAGAAGCACGCATAACGAACCCGAGGGAGAAGACGGAGACCTTGAGACCAGTGGGACCGAGGTGACGGAACACCATGTCCTTGGGATCAAACTTTGATTCGACAGCCATTGTGAATGTGTTGATGCTATACGGTGCTGTATGCAGTTGTACGAGATGTATCAATTGAGAAGAGTTCGGTGGAAGAAGGCTTGGTTTTGTAGCCAGCACATCACCTTCCAAAAGCAGATGGAATCCACATACCCCTCAGCTATCCCGCGCCTAAACCCCGATAACGCCGCCAGCAAATATCGTCATCGTTTCGTGAATTAGATGATTACTTAAACGGAAGGCCTTTCAACGGAGCAGTAAACTGTATCAACTACATATAGTGTAGTCCACAGCTTTGCACACACACGGGTGGACATGTGTCAGAAGGTATGTGTAGGTCTGAGAACCATGAGCTTGGAAGAAGGCCCCAAGCTGACCAAGCAGCAAAAGGCAATCCGGACCTCATTATACCGAGTTCAAAACCTTGACATTTATCGGTCGACAAACACAGCGCTCGATACAGAATGTCAGTTTTGAGTGCCATTTTACCAATCAGGCACGGATGAAGGTGCTCCGGTCAATGTCCAATGCTTGTCTGAACCCACGTTTTTGGAGCTTTGAGGCTCTTGAACGACACGTCGGATAGATCCGAAGCTAGCCTCGATCTAATCAGCAGCTTTCTCCAGAGACTCTTGCTCTCAATCGACATGCTTCCTCTGTCAACTCGGCCAAACACAAGTCACAGTCATGGCTGCTCTTCGAACAATACGACCCACGGCTCTGCCGACAGGTATCCGTCAACTCCTCACCTCTCCACGCATAATGTCCTACTCGTCACCCGCCTCATCAACACCACCGCCTCCACCAAAGTCCTCAGTGTCCGAAACCGAAATGTCGCACTTCTCCGCCCTCGCCTCTTCCTGGTGGGATCCCGAAGGCCCCTCCCGCATTCTACACGAAATGAACCCTCTTCGCCACGTCTTTATTCAACGCTGCCGCTCGCTATATCCCCGGGATACCACAAAACCTACGCCAAAACTACGATACCTTGACGTCGGCTGCGGTGGTGGCATCTTCGCCGAATCAGCAGCGAGATTGATAGATACAGAGTCAGTGACGGCAATCGATCCGACGAAAGAGGTATTGGCCGTGGCGAAGAAACATCAAAAGAGTGATCCGTTGCTGTGTGAGCCGGGAAGATTGAACTACGTCAACACTGCCATTGAGAATCTACCCTTGCCCGTGACGCCGGACCAAGGCGTGGATGTGTTGTCGGTGTTCGAGGTTATCGAGCATGTCACGCATCCTGCTCCTTTCCTGGCAAATTGCATGCCTCATGTCAAGCCTGGTGGTTGGTTGGTTCTCAGCACTATCAGTAGGACGTGGGCGAGTTGGTTTACTACCAAGCTTGTTGCCGAGGATATTATGCGCATTGTCCCGCCGGGTACGCACGACTGGAACCAGTACATCAATGTTGACGAGATGAAGGCATGGGCAGCCAAGCAGCCAGGCTGGAGTAACCCCATGACCATGGGCGTGGTCTACATTCCCGGTTATGGCTGGAAAGAGATCCAGGGCAGCGAAGGATGGGGCAACTACTTCTTCGCCATCAGGAAGAATGCTTGAATGAGACATATTTGATCATGTAATTCTAGTGTAGCAATATCGTACATTTTTCTTCTGAGCAATTGCCGTCAATTCACAAATGAAAGCAAACATTTTCTATAACCATGCACTACTTCTTTTGAGACGGCGACTTCTCATGAGGCACTTTCTAAGCGCCTGCTCCAGCTCCGCCTCTCATCCTCTTTCCAGCTCCCTCGTCACCGCCCTCGTGTGGACGCTTGTTTCCTTGCAGACCAGGTGTACCAGGTGCAAACTGTTGCGCACCAGGATTCATACCTCCACGGCCTCCGCCTCTACCTCTGCCGATCCCTCCGCCGCGAGGAAGACCTCCACGTTGAGTTTGGCCGGCAGCACCTTGGACACTGATGCCCTGACCTTGAGCATTTTGTGCTCCGGGCTGTACAAGTCCACCTCTGCCGCGGAAAGCACCGCCGCCACGAGGGAGCATGCTGCCACCACCCCTGGGGATACCAGTGGGAATACCGCTTGGAATTCCGGAAGGGATGCCGCTCAAAGAAGGAACACGCACTGGTCCAGGTCCCGCGGCTTGTTGACCAGATACTTGTCTCAGAGGCGCGCCAGGAGTCTGCGGCGGCGTACCGGCTGCACCTTGGGATTGTGTCATACCGTTGTTCGCCGATGGGGGAACAGTGGCTTGGGGTTGAGCCTCAGAAGAAGTCTGGTTCGGCGAGAAGCTGGGCTGACCAAAGGAGGAGCCCTGTTGCGGCGACTGGGTTTGTGCTCCAAACTTCTGCATCCTTGCTTGCATTTTGTCTTGAGGAGCTTGGCTGTTAGGAGTGGGCTGGCCAGATTGAGTAGCCTGAGGAGGCGCCATGCCTGGCGATTGCGGCAGACCGGGACCGGTTGCCTTGAACGGGGAGCTCATAGGAGATTGAGCTGGTGGTTTGTTCACTTGCGCAGCTACCGCAGGAGCGGGTTTGGCGATCTTAGCGACCTCCCACACTTCGACGACTGGTCGCTGTGGTGTCTCTGTAGCAGCCTTTTCGACAACTTCCAGCTTGGCTTTAGCAGCTCTCGTCTGACCTTCTGCCATACCAAGCTTAGCCTTTTGCTTGATTGTTTCCATATTGACAGCTTTCAACAAGGCTTGTTCGCTCGCCTTCTTAGCCTCTTCAGTCTTCTCTTGCAAGGCGTGTTCTCTTTCCTTCTTGGCTTCTTCGGCCTTTTCTTGCAAGACCTTTTCGTGCTCTTCCTTGAGCTTGGCAGTCTCTTGAGCAATCTTGTTCTGGATGTTTCTGGCGACAATGCCCCTAATCACGGTATTCTTACCAACCAGTGTACGGGCTTGTTCATCAGTGAAAGTCAACTGTGATGGGTCGATTTCAGCAGTCGAAGTTGAAGTTGTGGCTGCAGTGGTGGTAGGAGGCTGGCTTGGTGCTTGTTCCATAGAAGCTTCAGGTTGCTCCTTGGCTTGCGCGCGATCCACAGCAAGCTGGCCCTCCTTGGTGAGTCGTTCGACTTCGAGGCGATGCTCCTCCTTGAGCTGTGCAATGGTGGCCTCGTGCTCTTGGCGAAGCTTTTGCAGCTCTTCACTGTGCTTGATCAGAGCTTCTTGGCGACCCTCTTCCTTGAACTTATCCTTGTCGTCTCGAAGTTTCTGGTTCAGCTTCTGCTTCATTAGATTGGTGCGGTTGTTGTAGAGAGTTTCGAGCTGCTGTTGGCTGAGGCTGTGCTGCTCCTCGAGCTGGGCGCGAAGCTGTGCGACCTGCTCTTCCACCTGTTCTGCAACCGACTTGGCCTCAGCGGTTTCAGCATCCGAGGGCTGTGGTGCCGCATCTTGAGAGACAGTGTCGGTAGATGCAGTATTGGTTGCAGCGGCCTTCAACGACTCTACTTCCTCCTGTGCAGCAGCCAATTCTTGTCTCAACTTCTCCAAGTGCTCAGTGTTCTCGCCAGATTCAGGCACTGCCTCGGAGATTGGTTGTTGTTGGTTCTGCAGTTCTGTGATACTAGCTGCACTGGTCTCAAGTTGCTGCTGGAGCTCGTTCTGGATGGTATCAGTGATCTTGTGCTTGCGAAACATGTCAGAATAACTTACCACTTGACCCTCAAGCTCGGAGATTCTTGCCTGAAGAGCCTCAACCTGCGTAGCTAGACCAGCAGCCTTTGCAGCTTCCTCGGACGCTCTTGCCTCTGACTGCTCCAGTGCGTGCGCCGATGCATCAGTTTCACCATCTTCCTGGATCTGACCCTCCTCGGCTTGTGATTGAGCTGTCACCTGCTGAGATGCGGCCTCAGCAACAGCCACAGCTTCATCTCTGGCGGTCTTGGTCGACTCAAGCTCTTCCTTGACCTGAACGAGTTCCTGGCCAAGTTGCTCCTTTTCTTCTTTGATGCCTTCAAGCTCTTTCTCCAGCTCTTTGATCTTTGCGCTCTGCTCACGAGATCTTGCCTTCGCTTGCTCAACAAATCTGGCCTTCTGTTCCTTCCATAGCTTGTCGGCGTCGTCCTTGATCTGCTGCAGCTCTCCTGGAACGGCATCAACCTTGGTCTGAAGCTCTTGCTTCTCGGTTGTCAGTTGATCGCGTTCGGCTTGAAGGTCGGAAATCTGTGTCTTCATCGCCTCCATCTCGGCAGGGTCTACTCTGTCGTACTTGGAAATGATGTTTTGTGTACGGTCTCGCCAGCGATCGCGGTCTTCTTGCATCAACTTCATCTCGCCTTCCTTGGTCTCGAGCTCATTCTCGACCTCTTGGATGCGAGTCTGAAGAGGCTGGATCTGGCTAGTGAGACTTTCAATCTCCTTCAATTTCTCTGCAAGTTGTGTCTGGGCTTGTCTCGCCTCCTGGCGAAGCGTGGTGCTGCTTTCACGGAAGACGTTGAGCTCATTGATAGTTTGCATGAGCTTGTTGTGGCTGACTGTGTTGGCTTCGTGGTCGGCGTGCTGCTGGCGTTCCTCACCGAGCTTCTGTCGTGTTTCGTCGAGTTGTGTCTGTGCGTACTCGAGCTGCTGCTGGAGACGCTTGCTCTCCTGAGTAGACAACTCGTACTGAACGTCTACGATCTCCTTCTCGCGACGCAAGTACTTGATGACTTCCTGGAGATTCTCGAACTCGGAGCCGTGGGCCTCTCCAGAGTCTTCCTCCTCAACCTCGGGTGCTGTCTTTTTGTGCTGCAGTTCAGAAATCTGGCCGCTCACAGATTCAAGCTGTTCGTGGAGAAGCTTGTTCTGAGCCTTCAAATCTTCGCGGCCAAGTCTGACTTCGGTCAACTCACGTTCGTATCGTTCTCTCACTTCAGTCCAGCTTTCCTCGCTCTGGCTCAAAGTGACCTTGGCGGTTTCGGCCTCAGCCTTGATAGCAGCAACCTCAGTCCTGAGCTGATTGTACTCAGTGCGGACGGATTGAAGGTTCTTGGCAGCGTCTGCATGCTTGACCAACTCGTTCTCGTAACTTTGTTGAGCTTGTTGGGCGATCTCTGCTTGTGCCTTGAGATCCTCCTGGTGAAGCTTGGCAGTCTCAGCATAGCGCTCAGACTCATCACGAAGACGAGCAATTTCGGCTTCGAGCAGACGTTTCTGGTCGTCCAACTGAATAGCACTCTCCTCATGCTGAGTACGTAAGGTCGAGAGTTCGCTGTTGGTGGTAGATAGCTCAGTACCCAACTCCTCGACTCTGCTCTCCAAGTCCTTGATCTTTTCATCCTTTTCGGCAATGATGCGGTCCATCTCCTCGCGGTACTGGTCGTTGGTTTCGTTGAGACTTTGGAGCTCTTCTTCCGATGCCTGACTGATGTTCTTGTATTGCTCGACTTGAATTTTGGCGTTCTCGAGATCGCTGCGGGCCAATTCAAGATCGTGCTTGAGATCCGCGACTTCTAGAGCGAGCTCCTGCTCACGAGATAAAGCATCCTCGGCAGGTGCGTTGTTCTCGGTTGGTTGATCTACCTGAGGTGTTGGACGAGGCTGAAGTGCCTGCACACGTTCTTCAGACGTGCGGAGTTCAATCTTGAGCTCTTCAACTCTGGATTGGAGTTGATCGCGTGTCGTCTTGGCTGCAATAAGTTCCTCACGGACACCAGACAGACTCTTGACCAGATCATCAATCCTAGTTCGACTCTGCTCCTGGTCATATTCCCTTCTCAGGGCGGCCTTCTTGCTCTCGTCAACCTCGGACTCCAACTTCTTCTTGGTGGCGTCAATTTCTGTTTCTAGTGCTTCGACTCTGTTTTGTAACCTCCGTCTGGTTTCTGACTCGGCCAGCTCACGCTCGTTCTGTAAAGTTTGAAGGTCGGCAATCATCTTGTTGAGGCGGCTACGCTCGTCCATAAGCGAGCGGTTATCCTCGGTCATGCGGGCTTCAATCTTCTTCCAGAGTTCGCGCTCTGCCTTGAGGTTGGCCGTGTCGTTGCGCATGCTGTCAGCAAGAGTACGTGCCTCAACAAGCTCCTCCGCAACCTGCTGTGTACGGAGGTCCTGCTTGGCCGCCACTTCGGCCAGAGACTGAGATCGCTTTTGCAGTTCCGAGTTTTCTGATTTGAGCATATCGTAGTTGGCTTGCAGCATTCCGTAACGTTCGTGGGCAAGTGTGATCTGGCCACCAGTGCGGGCAACCTCTCCTTGCAGCTCGCCCTTTTCACGAGCAAGCTTGTCGACCTGCTGCTTGAGTGTACTGTGGTCCGTTGCAGCCTCTTGTCTGTAGGCATCGAAATGGTTCTGCATCTCCTTCAGGAGCTTGGAGTAGTCGGACAACTCCTTAGAACGAGGTGTGTCTTCCACATCTCGAGACATACCGCCTGGTGGAGGCGTCGATGGAACTGGGCCGACGGAACGACCAAAGGCCGCCTGCAGATCGGTGCCAGCTGGCAGTTGTCCGCGGTGAGAGAGCATACGTCTGAACATATCACGCTCACGCATAATGCTCTCGCACTGAGTAGTCATCGACTTGATCTCATCTTGATGTCTCTGAACGCGATCGCGGAGTTCGTCGAGTTCTTGCAGGGCCTGCTCGGTCTCGGACTGCTTTGCCTTTGCAGCTTCGCCCTCCATGCGATCAGCAAGACCGCGGTTGAGTTTCAGGAGCTGCACGTTCTGGTCTTGAAGTTCCTGAACATTTCTGAAGAGCAATAGTCTTTGGCTAATCAGAGCTCCGGCTGAAGTCTCCTCTGCAGCAGAGGCCGAATCATCAAGCTCGCCATTAGCAAGCATCTGCAATTGCATTTGGCCTGCTGCATCGAGAGCTTCCAACCCCTGATCACGGGCTTGCATCTCGACCAAAAGAATCTTGATCTGTGCGCTGAGGTCACGAAGTTGTTGACGGAGGATATCACCTTCTCTGGATAGTCCTTCGGTTTGGCCCTTGAGGTTGCGTGCTTCCTTGCGTGCCTCGTCACGTTCAGCAGAAGCTGAATCGAGCATTGAAGACATCTCGAGGATCTCGGCCTCAACACGCTCCTTCTCCTCACGTAGTTCCTCTTGCTCGGGCCCTCTGTTCTCAAGATCACGAATCATCTCGTCGAGCTCGTTGCTCAAAAGGTAATTTCTGCGCTTCTCGGCTTCGAGGTCGGACTTCATTGTACTGTACTCGCTGTAGAGCTGAGTGAAGCTCATATTACCCTTCATGCGTGCTGATCCAGGTGTGAAGAGAGCAGGCGATCCATCGCGTCCAGGAGTCGAAGGTGCAAGACCGTTGGAGTTACGTTTGGGTGTAGCCAGGACGGAAACATTGTTCTGTGCCTCGGAGGCAGCAGCTTGGAGGCGCTCGACCTCGAGCTCCAGTTCGGCCAGTTTGGCCTCTACAGCCTCACGGTCGGCTCTCTCGGTCTCAATCTCGGCCTGGAGCTGACCAACTTCTTCTGCGGCGTTTTCCTTGATCTGGTCGATGTTGTTTTGAAGATCCAGCAAACGTGCCTTGGCAGTGTCTGCACTCTGTTTCTGAAGCTCGGCAAGGCGACGGGCGCTGTCCAGTTCGACACGGAAAGATTCTTCAGCCTTTGAGGCGCCTTCTTGCATTTGTTGGATTTTGGCAAAAGCATCGTCGGCCTTCTGGCCCAGCTCTTCAAGACGTTGACGGAGTGTTTGTTCTGTACGCTTCAAAGCCTCAGCTGTGGCATTGGCATCCTCGTTGGCGCGCTGCAATTCAGAAATACGAGCATTCTTTTCCTTGCGGAACTTTGTGTGTTCAGTAGTGCGTGTCTTGAGCTCAGATTCATGCCATTCGTTGTTACGCTTGAGCAGATCCACCTCTTGCTGCAGAGCTTGCTCCTTGAACTTGGCACTTGAGGCGGCATTTTCCAAAGACTGATTCTTCTCTTCCAGAGCCGAGATGTCGCGACGCAGAGAGATAATCTTCTGATGTTGAGTAGCGAGTTCCTGGGCGAGATTGTCGTGAGCGGTGGACTTTGATTCGAGTACGGACAGAGTTTCGCGATTGGAAGTTTCTAGAGAAGCGATGCGGGCACGCAGGGTGTCAAGCTCAGAGTTCGAATCGGTCGATGAAGCCTTTACAGAGTCGAGCTCAGTCTGCAGCTCGGCACGGGCATTGTCTGTTGGATGGGTCAGTAAGGACAGGGGCAGTCTAGGTAGTAAAGGTACGCACATTGGTCATCGAGAGACTTGCGGAGGTCCTGTATTTCCTGGGCGTTCTTGTTCAGAGTGGCCTTGAGAGCTTTCACCTTTGATTCTCCGGCGCGAACAGTGTTCTCAAGCTCGACATCGGATCGGAGCTTGTCTGCCTTGAGGTTGTCAAAGTCCTTGGCTCTGGCGGTCAGAGTGGACAGGAAGTCCTTGATTAGGTCCTGGGTAGGAGCGTCCAGAAGTGAGTCGAGCTGTGGCTCATCGATAGAGAAGGCCTGGGCGATAAGAGCCGTATCGACGGCGCCGGCCTGGGCGCGCGTCCTCATTGTCGCAATGGTTATAGCCTAGTTGACTGTCATGAAGCTTTGGTGCCGAAGGGCAAGATTGAACGTGTCAGTGTCAGACACGACGCGTAATGAGGGAAGGTTGTGAAAGTGTGAAGAGGCAGCGACGAAGTGACAGAGCGACACGCAATTGAAGGCGTGTCTTGCAGAGAGTCGAGACAGAGGGTTGGCTCTGGACGGTTACAAAGAAGCGTGAAGCGGAAGCCCTCCGAGCTGCGATTGACGCACTGACCAAGTCCGTTTGCGGCTGCTGCCTTTAAACCATCCATCATCCATCTCCGCATGTCGCTTTCGACATTTGATCGTGAAGCTGTCATACATTGACCACGCCGTGACAAGACGTGCAATTACTTCAGACTCACCATACACTATCCCCACCATCGGTTTGCGACTGTCGCCTTCTCTCTCCACCGACAACGCCCTGCCTCATCGTCGCCTTGACTGGCCGACGCCTTCTCTCTCGCCAACATGTCTCTCTCGGCCTCTTTCAAGACTTTCAACACAGAGTTCTCGGCTGCCACCACTCGTAACACTCAGCAGAAGCGCCCTGCTGCTGCCGCTGCTGCTACTCCTGCACCACGTCCCTCCACTCCGTCGACCCAGCCCGCAGACCTCAAGCGCAAACGCCAGGACCTCCCACAAAATGCCGCATATTCCCAACCCGCCGACACGGGCTCAGGCCGAGAAGTCATGACACAAGTTGTCTATGCCATCGATTATCTCAAGTCCAAGGATCGTCCAATCAGTTTCACTGATATCTGGAACTACCTCTCTATCCCCGCCAACCAGCAGCAACACCGTCAAGTCCTGCGCAGGGCGCTTATGGAGCACCCCAAAGTCGACTATGACCCCAAAGGCCTGGATGGACAACACCCTTCTTTCCGTTTCCGTCCCATTCACAACGTTCGCTCTGCCGACGATCTCAAGGCCTACTTGCAGCGTCAATACACGGCTCAGGGCATCAGTGTAAAAGAACTCAAAGAAGGTTGGCCTGATGCTATTCCTGAGATTGAGCGTCTCGAGTCAAGAGGCGAGCTTCTGGTTGTGAGACAGAAGAAGGACAACATCCCAAAGATGGTCTGGCCCAACGACCCCTCGCTCGACCAGCGTATAGACCAAGACTTCAAAGACTACTGGTCAAAGATCACTCTGCCTGCCAACCCTGGTGAGCTAAGAGCCGAACTCGAGAAGGCTGGTCTCACTCCCACCAGTCAAGTCAAGGAAGTCATCAAGGTTTCGGGTGGAAAAGACAAGAAGAAGCGTACTTCGAGAAAGGTTGGCAGAAGTACCAACACTCACATGGTGGGCATCCTCAAGGACTATTCTCAGATGAAGAAGTAGCGACATCTTCTCTCACATTTTGGTATTATGATTTTAGCGCGGCGTTGGTCAAGGAAAGCTTATCAAAGGCGAGTCATTCTCGTATTCATTGGGCAATCAACGGGTACAACGGAAGAACGAGAGCATGCCGGGTAGTACCTTGCAGACTTCCTCGTGTATACCCAAATTCAGAAGCGAATATTTATGACAAAAACGGAAAAACAGGTTCGAGCTCAGTCCTGGGTTTAGCTGCAAGAAAGTAGTTGTCAAAGGCAAGATTGCTTTCGAGAACCGACTAAATCTCCACAGAAAGTGACATCTCTATCTCTTTCCTCTGGACAAGCACGTCCACACCGGAAACATGTTGCCTTTTGATGGTTGATTGAGGGCGTGTATCGGCAGGCCGGGAGCCCAGCTCTACCGCTTGCTGCGAGTCCAGCATCAAAGGTTCGGACCGACAATCGACGAACGAGGCGTGGTGTGAACATGCATTCATTCGGGAGCAATATGGTGATAAGATGTCTTGTGATACAAGATTTTGGAAGGTAGTGGTAGTGTACAAGAACTGTGCAATGATGTATGCAAGGCCATGGGTATCATTAAAGTAAAAGCCTGGCGAACTCGGAACGAAAAAGGTGTAGATGATGTGTTGTTTGGCAGGGGAATTTTAGATGTCGCCGCCCTGGTACTTCCATGCATCGAGGTATTTCTGACCAGACATGATGCCGGCAAATTCGTGCTTCTTGGTAGGCTTCTCGATGTTCTCGGCGACGAAAGGCTTGAGCTGTGGATGTGTTAGATTCGCACGGGATATGGATGGAGTAAGTGGAAGACATACAGCAAAGTCGGACAGGTCAGGGACGACATAGGTGCGGACCTTTGACCAGTCGATGCGGTAGCCACCGTACTTGGTGTGACGACCCATGGAGCCAGAACCGGTACCCTTGTAGTAATCCTTGCCGGCTTGCTTGGTTGTGAGGGCGAGACGACGGAGAGCGCGCCCCAGAGGAGCGGTGGGAGTGAAGACCATGGCGACGAGGCTAGAGTTGATTTGATGATGGAACTGCTCTTTCTCGCCAGAGTCTCTACCGCTTTGCGACTCGGAGGTGATGCGGACTTTAACAAATCTTAGCGTGCCTTGGCGGAGATTTTTGCCGCTACCGAATGTCACTTTTTTGGACAAGGTCAACTCAAGACTTTGAACTTGAACTTTGAACTTTTTTTGTAGTTCGATTTTCTGGTTTATCGACTCGACATTATGCCTGCTCGTGTCGCTCGTTCGAGCGTGGCCATCGCCAAACCTACAAATGCTCGCAAGAAGTCACAAAAACGCACTCTAGATGCTTTTGCAATCGCCTCGCATTCCGCCCCGGATACATACAAAGTTCGCCAACATCGCCTGGGTGATTCGGTTGGAGAGCCCCGCCAAAAACGCAGAAGACTCGAAGATGATGACGAAGACGACAACGACGAGGAGCATGCCAGCAACGCCCGACGACTGCAACAAAAGACGGTGACCAAGAGAACTGGTACCGGAAGAAGAGGAGGCTTGGATGAGGAGACAGATGAGGGAAGCGATAGTGACGGCAACGAGTGGCGCATGGGTGGCCACATCGGCGACGAAAGCGACAGTGACCTTGACAGTGATGAAGCTTTCGGGGAGAGCGATGAGGAGCGTTTTGAAGGTTTCACCTTCAGAGGAAGTTCGACAAATGGTCCCTCGAAGAAGAAGAAGAAGAGGCCGCAACCTGCCTCGGAAATGGATCTCGACGAAGGCGGCAACAGCGAAGATGACGAGTCGGCCAGCGACTTCGGCGACGAGGGTGTCGATCTTGCTACCATGCTCGACGAGAACAACGAAGACGACCTTATGCAGACGGAGGAGAAGCACGGAGACGACTCGGAAGAAGACTCTGACGACGAGGATGATGATGCAGAAGAAGAGTCAGAAGACGACGAATCAGAGGAAGAATCCGACGAAGACGATGCTACCAAGCTATCCAAGTTGCAGGATCTGGTCGCTTCGCTGAACAAGGACAACCCGGAGAAGCGCATTGGTGGACGTACACAAGACGCCCACGAGTCGCAAGAACCCTCAGCATACGGATTGTCTGCGTCACAGAAGCTCAAGATTTCCGATTTGCTACCTACAGTTACCGATCCTGCTCTTCGCAAGTCCCTGAAGCTTCTGACCGCTGAGAAGACGACCAAGCGCTCAGGCATTCCTGGAAAGCTCGACGCTCCCCTGCCAAAGAGACAACAAGACAAGCTAGACAGAGCTGCTGCTACTCAAGAAACCAAAAAGACTCTCGACCGATGGCGCGACACCGTCATCCAGAACCGCAGAGCCGAGTTCCTCCAGTTTCCTCTCGCAGACCCCAACGCCATCGAAGCCGTCGGTACCCAGAAGATGCTCCCCATCCAACAAGACAAACCCGCCAACGAACTCGAAAGCGCTATTCAGAATATCCTCGAAGAGAGTGGTCTCAGCAACAAGCAAAAGCAAGGCAAAGAGGAGGACCAGCTTCAGCAATTTGAAGAGCTGCAGATGAACAAGATCCCCATCGAGGAGGTCATGGCTAGACGTGCCGAACTCCGCAAGGCCAGAGAACTGCTTTTCAGAGAAGAAGTCAAGGCCAAGCGCGTCAAGAAGATCAAGTCAAAGGCTTACCGCCGCGTCCATCGCAAGGAGCGTGAACGTGCCGAGGCCGCTGAGCGCGATTACCTTGTAGCTGAAGGCATCGAGGACGAGGATGAGAAGGAGAAGAACGACCGAAGACGTGCCGAGGAGAGAATGGGCACCAAGCACAAGGACAGCAAGTGGTCAAAGGCCATGAAGAAGTCAAATCGTTCTGTCTGGGACGAGGATGCCAGAGAGGGTCTGATCGACATGGCCAGACGTAATGAAGAGCTCAGAAGGAGAATCGAGGGCAAGGATGTCTATGACCGTGAGAGTGACGACTCAGACATCAGTGTCAGCGACGACGAGGATGAAGAGCTCGACGATGACGAACTCGAGAGGGCTCGTCTATCCAAGAAGATCGACAAGCTCGGCGCCAAAGATGGAGAGAAGTCCAAGATCGGAAACATGGCCTTCATGCTCCGAGCTGAGGCGTCACGAAAGGCTCAAAACGAGGAAGATATTGAGCGTCTGAGAAAAGACCTGGCTGACGAGGCTGGTGAGAGTGAGGAAGAGGCAGAGACTACTGTTGGTCGTGCTATCTTCGGACCTAAGCCCAAGCAAGGTGCTGCTAATCCTTTCAAGGCCACTCCTCGTGGTGAGCTTGAAGAGAACAAGGCTCTCGATGAAGAAGACAACCGCGAGATGGAGGACGAAGCTGAGATCAAGGTCGGTGAGCAAAAAGACACCAAGCCAGCTCCTCAGTCAAGAAAGTCAAGATCTTTCCTCCAAAACGCGCAAAAGGTTGTCGCCGACGTCGACGAGCCCAAGGAGCCTGAAGAGAACGCTTGGTTGACCGGTTCTTCCAAGAGCAAGAAGAAGAACAAGAAGGCTTCGGAAGATGAGATCCTCGATCTCTCCAAGCCTACACCCGCATCCGTACCTGCGGCAGCAAAACCCGCCGCGTCCAATAAGAAGGCCCAAGCAAAGAAGACAATCAAACCCTCTGCCAACGAAACAAATGCCCCCTCAACCGAAGGCTGGGAAACAGTCAAGTATGACAACGACCAAGAAGAAGCCGACGCCGAGGAGGACAACAGAATCAACCCCATGCTCTCTTCCAAGGACAAACAAGCCCTTTTCCACCAACGTGCTTTCGCTGGCGACGACGTAGCCGCCGACTTCTCCACCGAAAAAGAAGCCGCAATTGAGGATGAAGGCGACAAAGTCGAATCCACCTTCCTTCCCGGGTGGGGCTCCTGGACCGGTGATGGTCTCTCCAAGGCCGTGAAGAAGCAAAACAAACGCGCCGCCCACAACCCTCTGCATAAAAAGGTTACTGAAGGTGTCAAAGCCGCAAATCGCAAAGATGCAAAACTGCAAAATGTGATCATTTCAGAGGCGCAGCAGAGAAAGGGAAAGAAGTATTTGGCGTCTACTTTGCCGCATCAGTTCGAGAAGAGGGAGCAGTATGAGAGGAGTTTGCGTGTACCGGTGGGTCCCGAGTGGACTACCAAGGAGACTTTCCAGCGTAACACGAGGCCCAGAGTTGTTGTCAAACAGGGTATCATTGCCCCCATGGAGAAGCCTTTGCTGTAGGCATCTCCTTCCTTTCTTATATAATGGCATTAGAACGAGTCGAAAGTTCATGAATCACAAAAGTATTTGCATGGTAATCATCACTGTCTTGACACGATCCAAAGGGCTTCAACGATCATGAATGTGACTTCTGATGTACAGCTTATATATAGAGAGACTGGGAGAGACGCGTAATATCATGTCTTCCGGTTGAAGTCGTGATGATCCTCTGCAATATGTTTCTTTCCTTTGAAGGATTGGAGCAGAAGGAGCGACGCAACCATTTTTGGGACGCTGGGGAAGTGACTCAGCTCGACCGCAACTTCCCAATCTGCATCTTCCTTATTGACCATTTGAATGGGCCATTAAAAAGCCCCACTATGCACTTCTCCATCTCTCCTACACCTCCTTCGTCTTTCTCCATCACCTGCATCCATCATCATCACCATTATCATCCAAAACCTTACACACCAGCCACTTCCAATTCCCCTTCCACCCAAGTTTCATTCCATCAGCCCTCCAACGATACATTCAACCACGCAACCCTTTCTTATCCCAGATAAATCCTGAGACCGTTTGAAAGCATCTACTTTGCTCCGGTCAATGAAGGTTTTGGTGATGGATGGGTGTAGACGCGACGTTGGCGTGTACGGTACTGAGGTGTCTGAAGGTCTAAGAGCACGGTGCGATTGAGGTTTGATGTGCGTGTGAGGTTTGGAGATGTGTGGTGTAGTGGTAGGGTCTTGTGATGGTGGGAGGTGATGGTAGCAGGTTGAGACGAGAGCATATTTGCACATACAGTACTCGATAACGTTGTGTCATTTCGTCCTCTGATGTCTGCCACGTGTATCGCTGTGAGAACATAAGGACCGCCTCAGACAAGAGTCGGGTCCACCCCAAGATTGATATGTTTTCTTGCTCTTTCTTTTCTGTTCGGAGTATTCAAAGACTTCCTTGCATAGATCAGATCGGCGTAGTAGGCTAAATATAAATTGAGACAGGCTTGGTGGTGCAGTTGATAATGTGACTTGTCCTGTGACTGAATCGTTTTGCCGAGTCTTGGACGATATTGAGCATCTCTTTGACAGCAACGGGGTTGGTGGGTTAGGCGATTTTCTAAGCCCTTGTAGCCTATGGTAAGTGGTTATCGAAGAATGTTTAGCTATGCCTCTGTCTACGACATTTTCCGACCGCGGATTGCCGGTCTTCTACTACATCTCCAACGAGCCTGAACTGAAAAGGCTCCAACTAACGTTGGGTTGGTAGATTGGTAGGTGATCAGGAGAGACGGCGGATGCCTTTCATATACGACTATATACAGTACAAGGTGTAATTAGGGGTGTCATTATAGCATGAGCGGATGCAGCGAATCGCTTACTGGAAGCGCTTCTCGGCAGCCTTCCAGTTGATAACATCCCAGATGGCGTTGAAGTACTCGGCCTTCTTGTTCTGGTACTGGAGGTAGTAGGCGTGCTCCCAAGCGTCGACGCCAAGGATAGGTCTGAATTGGCCGACAACGGGATCCTGGTTGGCGTAGGTTCTGATCTGGATGGCGCCAGTCTGGGTGTCTTGGACCAGCCAAGCCCAGCCAGAACCCTGGATGCCGGCAAGAGCGGCGTTGAACTTTTGCTTCATGGCATCGAGGCTGCCGTAGTGTGTGTCGATGGCCTTGGAGAGTGCGCCTGATGGAGGCTCACCACCGCCCTGCGACTTGGGGGCAAGGTTCTCCCAGAAGAGAGTGTGGTTAACGTGACCGCCTGTGAAGAGAAGCGTCAGTGATGCGGGTATGGAACAATAGCATGGCTGAAGTCTTACCACCGTGGAAGTTGATCAGAGGCTGGGTAGCAATCTGGGTCTGGATGTCGTTCTTTGCGCGAGCCTCCTCCATCTTCTCGGAAGCAGTGTTGAACGAAGTAACGTAGGTGTTGTGGTGCTTGGAGTGGTGGAGTTCCATGATCTGGCCGCTGATGGCGGGCTCGAGAGCGCCATAGTCGTCTGCACGAAGCAATCAGTATGACTCTATTGCGCAATATACACATGGATCGAAGCTCACAGGGCAGGTCGGGAAGAGTGGCCTTGCCGCGGGTGAAGGTGGTGCTAGCGATAGCTGCACGCTTGGTGGCAGAGGGAGCGCTGGCTCTGAGAGCAGAGCGGACAGCAGAGTTGCGGAAGACGGCGGCGGAAGACATTTTGGTTCTGTGATAATCAATCGATTGTTTGAATGTCGAGTGTTTCAAAAGATAGAGTCAAACGTCGAAAGCGCAGCTTCCTAAGCTTCGACTTTGGCTGAAGTAAGTGCTGCGTCATATCCGTCGAATCCCAGCCAATTACATTCTCCATGACCGCGACCATTTTCGAACCCCTCAAGGACTCACTTCACAATGCTGTCGCTCTTTGTTTGGAAAGAGGATTGAAGGATCAAAGGATTAAAAGGGGTTGAGTCGGTAGGTAAACTGTTGGAAGCAATCGGCATACGGACTCTATGCTACACGCTTTTTACCGCTCGTGAACGACTCGTCTAGGATAAGGAACAGAAAGAAAAATAGTACAATTCGTGGTGTAGAGAAAATGCTTTGTACAAGAGGTTAATGTCATCGCCTCCACCACGAAAGAGCCGACTTGCTTGAAAATGGCCCATTGGCGCGCGAGTCGTTTATCGGAGCACCTTGAAGAGCTTGGGGGCGGCGCATGCGGTTGCGCAGTGGGCGAGGTGGAAGACTAGCAACATATCAATATCACAATCCCAATTGGTCAATTGCCACCGAGAAGTACTCACATTCCTCAACACAGTCCTCGTCGGCCTTGCCGTTCTCCTCCTGCTGCTTGGTGACGCGCTCGACACAGTGGTCGTAATGGTGCTTGTAAGGAGCACACTCGGATGACTTGGCGCACTCTGTCGTCTTGTCAGACTTGTTTCCTCTTGTGTCCTCGTGGTCAATGGCTCGTTGACGTACCTTCCTCAATCTTGGGCTTGGGGTCTTCGGGCTCATCCTCTTCCTCCTCCTCTTCATCTTCCTCCTCCTCTTCCTCGTCGTCCTCGTCCTGCTTGCCGACGGGACCACCGTGAGGACCGGCGTTGTCGGCGCCGACCTGGCCAGAGGCAGCACCGCCCTCGCCGGGGGTGTGGCCCTTCTCGTTCGAAGGCTCGGGCTTCTTGGCGTCCTGCTTGTTGGCCTCGGCCTCGGAGTCGCTCTCCTCGTCGGTGCCGGCGGCAGGGGTGGAAAGGCTGACACCGCCTCTGGTGGTGGCACCACGGGTTTGCTCAGCCGTGCCCATGCCGTTCTGTTGGTCCTTGTCGGAGTTGAAGTCGCCCGAGGCGTACTTCATGTCGTCCTGAATCTCAGCCTCGCATGACTGGATGGACAGAGACGAGTAAAGGTCGGAAACGTAGTCGAAGATACCCATGGTAGCGGTGATGTGACGACTTGTGAATGTGTTGGCTGGCGTGCTGTCGAAGAGGCGTCGAACCTTTCGACGTTTCCCGGCTCTCTCAGAGGACGAACTGGCCCGTGCTGCGAACTGGCCAATGAGAGCCAATCTGATTTCTCACATATCACTTCGATTCCTTTTCTCTTTCTTCCACTCAATTCACAGCTTCTGATTTTCAGCTTCCTGCGACAGGCTTTTCCAGAGCGGTGCGAGCTCAACCCGAGCTCCATGGCTCTGACAGTGTGATACGACAGAAACCGCTCTTCACAACAAGCACGGTGCTTCATGGCTGGCCTGCCACTTTCACACTGGGACTGGAAATAATTGTCTGGAAAAGAAAAATTGCTTGCTATGAACAGTCATGAGTCGTTTCGTGGCATTGCTTCATCACTCTAATTCTTCTGCATCGATTGCAGCACAGCCATGGCCTCCTGCACCGAATAACCGATGAACACGGGCCCCGTAAACACCATCTGTGCCTGTTGCTTTTGCTCGCCAGTTTCCGTTTTGATGAAGACTGGCTGCTCTTCGGTCATCTTCTCTGCAGTGGATTCGAAGTTCGCTTGACGGATGAATGTAGGTTTCGCTTCGAGCTTCTCGACTTCTGGGACAGTCCCCTTCTCTTCGGCTGGTTTCTCGATTTCTGCATCTTCCTTGTCTTCCTGGCTGGGTGGTTTCTGCTCGTCAAATCCAAAGGGACATCTGCCCTTGGGTCTTTCTGCCTGAGTTTCGGCTGTTTGTTGTGGTTTCTCGGGTACTGTAGCAGCTGCTACGTTTGAGGTTACACTGTGTTGTCGTTCTCGTGCGTCGATCGGGACCTGGATGCCCCATGGTCGGCTTGGGCTTTCTCCTAGACGAACGTCCCGTAACGGCCGGTCAAAACGAGGCAAGCGATCTTCCTCGGTTTCCTCTTCGGGTGGGGCGTCTGGTCCTGTGTATACGGTACTAGCCCATTTGCGGATTTTCTCATTGCTGGCACCGCCGTCATCATCGAATTCTTCCTCTGCCTCGTAATGATCATCGCCCAGATTCTCAGGCAGCAGGGATACATGTTTTTGACCCAGCCCTTGAATCATGCTAACGATGTTACCGTATTTGGCATCAAGCTGTCGGATTTGTTCTTCATTGCTTTGGTATCTCTTTACGCATATTTCGTGACTCCTTGGAAGTTCGTGTTTGTGTAGCTCAAAGTAGGCTGCCACTTCCTCTGGGCTATGCTGGTCGAGGAAGCGGATAGGGCAAACTTTGTCGGTGGAAGAGCCTTGGACTGATGGCTCGACATCGGGATTCTTCTTATGTGAGTCCATGGCACAAACCTCTCTTATGGGATCAATAACAGAGTTGCGTGCGCTGGAGGAACCACGTCGTCCGTTGATGCGGGAACCAGAGGTGCGCGGTTGTCGGACAGACTCGGATTTATAACGTGATACGACCGAGGCGGCGTGCGAGCTCAATTTGCGCCTTTCCATGGATGCGAAAGGGCAATCAAGTCTGCTCGGAGTACCAGGAACGGTAAAATCTTGTTCGAGAGGAGACTCTGAAATAGAGGGCATAGCAGCAGATGAGGTGGGAGCGGAAGGTTTGTCGGCCGAAGGCCCAGAATGTATGGCTACGCCGGTCGAGCGCAGCGAATTTGTGGTACGAGAAGCGGCAGTGATTTTGTCACGACGGCTGGCGTCAACTATCTTAGAACTATTTATCAAGCTCTCAAAGTCAACAGCCAAAGGAAAGGCTGGAGAAGCTGAAAGATCGAGGGGTTGGGCCTTTTCAGGACTTTGGTCGGCAAGACGCGAATACTGTTTGTTCAAAGTCAGCCATGAGCCGGTATGAAGCGGGATGAGGATTGAGCAAAGTGAGGGTAGGAGGATCAGTAACATGCTATGGTGTGTTATCTGTCAAAGCTGCGAACAGCTGCAGGTCTAGAGCTAAAGGTTGTTCATCACAAGAGGAGGATGGGTGCAGGGTGGGTGAGGGGATTAGGCAGCACTAACCTGTGATTTGGCCGTGTACAGTTGAGACTCAAGAGTTGCACAGCGAGAGTATACGCGCTGATATTCAAGTCGCAAGGCGTCGAAGCCGTCCAGCAAGCTCTGCAGCTGCTTTTCGACGATGGACGCCATGGTAAGCAGTTATAAAGTAGCAAGCTGTGGTGGAAACAAAGTCAGAAGAATGAACGAACGCGGACGCAACAAAGAGAATTCGGGATGAGCGCACGGATGAGCATGTCTTGGCGGACGGGGACGGTTGCCCGATGGGTCTCGCGACGAGGCGAGTCGGGCTGCGGGCGTCGTGACACGCGGCAGGCTTAGCCGAGAGCTGACGCAGGAGCGCATGGCAGCCATGGCATTTGTTCGACCATGGCCGCCGTGAACATTCATGGTTGATGTTGTTGTCTCTCTTTCAAAGAAACGTCGCCATGTCATCCGCCCATCTGACCCGCCTCCGCAAATGGTTCCTGACATCCCCTCCAGCAGAGTGGGGAGTGCAGCGGATTAGAGAGCTGCTGATCGGAGCACTGCGACAAGGGCCCATTCCAGGGCATGTGGCCTTTGTCATGGACGGAAACCGTCGCTATGCACGCACTCATCATATCGAGACGGTCGAGGGACATCACCTGGGCTTTGAAGCTCTCGCTCGTGTATGTCTAGCCGAAGCTTTGGTTGTAGTTGAGACATACTAACGTCTCGGGGGCAGATACTCGAAGTGTGCTACAAGTCAGGAGTCAAGGTCGTGACCATCTACGCCTTCAGCATTGAGAACTTCAAGCGCTCCAAATATGAAGTCGACGCCCTCATGGACATGGCCAAGTTCAAGCTGAACCAGTTGGCACAGCACGGCGAGCTCCTGCACCGCTACGGCGCCCGCATCCAGGTCCTAGGACAGAGGGAACTCGTACGGCCTGATGTGCTGGAGTCCATAGACGAAGCCGTCCGCCTGACCAGCAACAACACAAAAGCCGTGCTCAACGTCTGTTTCCCCTATACTTCACGACACGAGATGACGCATGCCATACGCGAGACTGTTCGCGAGTACTCGACTCCTCTGCGTCCTACCAACAAGCGTCCCTTCTCCGAATCTCACATCGCACGCCATCTTCGTACTACACAACTGAGCCAAGTGCAAGAAGAAGTCTCGGCCGAGGACTCAAACACTGAGGAGACGGACGACTCGAACATCAGCGCTGCCTCGGACGACCACCCTCCCTCTTCTCGCACATCCAACTCTGCACATTCGCCCACCTTCAAGCCCACAAGGCCTCAGGCTGTATTTCCAGATCCCGAGACCATCACTGCCGACACTATCAATACTCATACCTTTACTCATGATGCTCCTCCTTGCGACCTCTTAGTGCGCACCTCTGGTGTTCAACGGCTGAGCGATTTCATGATGTGGCAGTGTCATGAACATACGAGTATTGTCTTCCTGGAGTGTCTTTGGCCTGAGTTCGATCTTTGGCAATTTCTCCCTGTTCTGGTCGAGTGGCAGTGGAAACAACGCAAACTCAACGACGCCCAGGCCCTATCACGCTCATCACGATCCCTAAAAGTTGCATAATCACAAAACTGTTCTGGTTTATTCCTTTCTTACATACAAGCGAGCGACAAGATACCCTCTGAGAAACAGCATGGCATTCTGGTCTGGTTTTTAATCTTTTATCCTTGGCAATACCTCGTTCCCTCTATTGGCCGATCCTGGCGCTTATAGCGAGATACACTCCTGAAATTGACCATTTGAACAAGCACTACTTTTTTGCTTTAGCTTGCAAGTTGGAACATATACTCAATCTAGAATGCTCGACAAGTAGGCTTTGATCATGGTGGTAAGTCATCGGTCTCAAGATTTCGTGGATGTCTTTCGCAAGTTAAGCGCCGAATCCAAAGCCACACGACACGCTAATGCAGCTTTCCGGGCAATCACTTTGCCTGCCACTCCAATGGCTCACCACGACCTGGAGGTGTCGCCAGATATCTTCTTGCTGTTGCCTCCGCCGTTTCTATCTATGTCTTACTTGATCGCGGTGCTGAGAAACGGGCCACGCTGCTTCGAAAATGGCTGATCGAACAAGTCGCCTACTCCGAAATATCGCTCACACAATCCTCCTAGCATCAATTGTACAAGCGAATATTTGGACAGTCGATATTGACAATGGACCAGCACCGTCCCCTGAAGACGGACCTCCACTCTCTGCTCATGCTTCTCGCAACCCGGCGTTGCTTGCTGGTCAGATCTGTGGAATCATAGGCGCTTATCTGGCGACCGTGTTTATTCTGGGGAGCCTTCTTCTGACCGTCGGACGAAGCATGCGGCGAGTTGCTCTTTCGGCATATCATTCGGCCTCTACAGAAATGGTCAAGCCGACGATCAAACAATTCGACGACTCGCCATTGAGCCCTCACTCCCAACGTTCCTGGTACAGTCCTCGACGTCTGAAGAAAAAGCGCAGTATGCAGGGCAGTACGAGAACAGTCAGCAATCCAGGTAGTCCAGCTGTGCAAAGCATCGCATCGTTTGATCCGGGTGTGATAGAGGCAGATAGAATGGCTAGACAGCAAGAGTTGGAACATCTCTATGCAGCGGCACTGGCACAAGAAGCAGCAAAATCGCGCACAACGATCACAGAGGATGAGGTTGTGCCAGCGGGGCCTGCCTCATCTCGGTCCAGACGGCAACCTCCAAGGCTCTTGACATCGGCTCCTGCTCTTGCTCATCTTCACTTGCATGACTCTCAGGTCAGCCCTGTGTCTCCGAGAAGCCCGATTCGAGCCATCTACCCTCCTCGCTCTCCTCGTTTCCAGCCAACATCGCCTATCTCGCCCCTGCCGCCAGATTACGGACCACCGACCTCTCCCAAACCGCGTATGCCAAATTCTCCAGGCGCAGCATCGACGCGTACACGTACGTCTTCCTTTGGTTCCCAGGCTGATGGTAAACGTCCTCGAAAAGGACTTCGTAACCTACGTATCCAGCATCGTCATTATCCGAGTGAGGTATCAGACGAGGAAGTGCGCACACCTTTAACTCCACGCTATTACACGGATCCGGGTATCCCACCAAGTCCACCACCGAGGAGCGAGGCACCCACTACACCTGGAACTCATGACGGCTACGGCACACCAGTTGATGTCAGAGACTTTGACGAGATCAGAGCCATGCCACGACCCGAGCCACAGCGAGCTGGTAGTCATCAATACGAAGTCCCTCAGGTCGACGGAAGTGCTTCAAGGCAGATGGAACTCAGACTTGATACTGCAGTCTTAGGTGGTCGCAACATCAACAACAGGACACCTTCGTCAAACATCTCTGTATCGACGCTTGGGACATTACCCTTCCGTGCAATGGCACATCCAGATGGCCTGCCATTGCCGTCTCCAGGTCTCGTTACGAGGACTACGTATCTCGAGCGGCGTCGCGACATGTTGAGTGCTCCTCGTACGGGCATGGCTACACCATATAGCCCTTACATGCCCTTCACTCCCATAACTCCAGTGACACCTCATCTCACAAGCAGAGCAGAGAGAAGACAACGTGAAAGAGATCAAGGAAGACGCGCTCCAGCGGCACAAGATCAAGTCATTGACGAGGAGGAGATGTGGGGGAGTGGTTACTGAGTCCGTTCTTTCCGCTGATTTCTTGTTGCTTTGTCCTACCTATGTAATGATCAAATTGACAAAAATATTTGTCTGAGGACGACCGTTTTTGGCAGTCACATTCCATATGATACTGTGACGATCCTCGGCATGTCCTATCGTCCGGACCCCGCGGATCGATTGGCGCAAGACCCTGCCTCCCCACCAATCTCAAAGGTTAACTCTGAGGGGGCTGAGACATATACTCTGATGTCACCACCACCCTTTCACATGCAATATAAGTCCAGTCTCACTGACTTCTTACCTCATTCTTGTCCTCAGCTATACCATCTCTGAAATCAGCTATACCATCTCTGAAATCCAAAAGGACTACACACCGCAGCGATGTGGTTCCCAAGCCTGGTCCAAATCCTCTACCTCCTCTTCATCGGTGCCCAACTCTACGGCCTCTTCCTCCATTTCCTCAGTCCCTCCACGGGCCTGGTAAACAACACACGCTCTCTCCAAATCAAAGGCCTCTCTTTCCTCGCCTTCCTGATCTCTTTCCCCTCAATCTTTGCAACCAGTCTTCCCACGGCGGTTTCTCACTCCACAAACACCGGACTGTTGCATCTTCTATCCTGGGTCTTCCTAGCTGGCAGTCTAACGCTGTATTACTGGTGTCTTGAGATCACCGGGCAAGGTCATTTGTCCGTCATCTTCGGCAAAGTCACACCGAAAGAGGTTATCAACACTGGACCGTATGCGCTGGTCAGACATCCGGTTTATGTTTCTTATATGCTTGGATGGCTGGGAAGTTTGATCGCCATGCAGCAGGAATGGAGGCATAACCATGCATTCTTTGGTCTTGTCAGGATGGTGGGCATGGCGGTTGTGGTCATGGGGCTGATTGGGCTCTACAGGGAAGGTGCGGATTTGGAGGAGAGGCAGTTCATGTTGAACGAGGATGTTGTCAAGGGTGAGACCGTTGAGTTGGGGGTTAGGAGGAAATATGAGAGTTACAAGGGTGTGGTCGGAGCGAGGTGGATCCCTGGTATCATTTGAAGAGAGAGGGAAAGGAACGAAAGAGTAGTCGCTTGGGGAAGCAGTTGCTTCAATTTGCTTCTGCGTCAATCAAATGCTGTTACAGTACGCAACGAACAACAAAAAAATCATTACCAGCCCATCAAGAATATCAAAAGCGCCTGCCCGACCGACCTTTCCTCATTAAAAAATGTCCTGCCAAAGAAAAACCATGAAACTTGTCGTGGGGTATCATCATTTCATCGTACACATGATTGGAAGTCGTGATCAAAACCATCACTAGAGGATACGACCACTGCTCAATCTCCTCTCCAGCTCATCTTCCACAGTCTCCCTTTGCACCTGCTCGTATCCTGGCGGTGGCTCAGCAGGGGGTGTAAAGACCTCTGGCGCATGAGACTCGGGCGACCTGGTAGCTTGTGTGGTTGCCGACAGCGGGACAGGCTGAGCATGGGGTTGAGGCATTGGAATTGTAGAACCAGTCTCCTCATAGGCAGGCAAATCGTCGAGATGGACGTTTGCGACGTCAACGGCAGCAAGCGCATCTCCTCCCCTTCCTCGTCCAGCCTCGCTGCCGTCGCCTTGCAGATGACCCGACTGTCTTGCAACATCGACTTGTTGTTGCAATCGCTCCTTTACTCGTTCATATCCAGAGTGGAAGTCATAGGCTCCTCCATCCTTGAACGAGAATTTCAGTTCCAATGCTGGGATGTGTGTAGGGATGCCACCACCTTGGACAGGCTGCGCAAGAGCAGTCCAGACGTTGGGCCCTATCCAAGGTGCGACTACATGCGAATCGTGTGTGTTGAGAAGAGGTACGGAGAAAGACTGGAGTTGAGGCGTCGGCGTGGTGGGTAGGTAGACGAGACGACGGTTGGTAAGATACAAGGTGCCGGCCGAGGCTGACCAGTGAGCAGGCTCCTTACCAGGGAACTTGTTGAGCGACTGTAGGGAGAAGGTGGTGCGCGCTGGCGACTTGTACAGGGTTTGTTCGTGCGGCAGAGGTGTAAAGGGCTGTGTCGAGGAGGGCTCAAGCATAACCCAGCTTTCTCTACCGTCAGCACCTGCCTGGACATGTTGATGGCCTCATCGTGAAGACTCACTTGACCGACATGTTTGTGTTGTTCGTATACTGCTGCAGCAAAATGTCTGTATGTGATGCGACTAGCTAGTAGCTGCCTCCGGGAAGCATGTGAAAGATATATAGGCCCGCCAAGCCCACGTCATCTGTCGCCCGACCGCTCTGCTATACCGCTTCCACCGCCTTCTATCCATGCCATAATCTTGAGCAAGCCACTATTCATCTTCCTTCGTGCTTTGCACCCGAGCAACCCTTGCTTCGCTTTCTGACCTCTCCTTGTTACATCAAACCATCTCGACCGTGTCTCCGAACTCTGCGGCCAACCATGCTCGCAGCTCCTCCACTTCTCGCTCCTTCTTTCTTTCCTCACTTTCTCCACTCACCTCATCTTCTTGCTCCTTAGGACTCTGTGCTGCTTCGTGGCTGGCTATTCTGACTTTCTTTGCTGAAAAGTAGGCTGATGGTACGCCTTCATCGCGTTTGCGTTTCACAACACTCGTGTCCAGCGACGCTGCATAGCTGTCGTCGCTGCTCTGGCTGAACATCGCTACTGCATCTTCGAACTCTTCTGGCAAGACGTTGACTCTCGCCTGATGTGGCGTCATGAACAGCTCTGGCTGGCCGTCTTCTTCCTCGGGATGGTCTGTCTGAGAGTCCAGCATACCTTGGCTTTCCTGTCTCTCCGTAGGTTCCACGACTTCATCCGAGTTTTGAAGACTTTGTGAATCTTCCAAGCCTACCAAAGCCGCATCTAGCATTTCCTCGTCTCTGTCAAGGTATTCTTCGTCGTCTGTGAGTAGTTCTTCGTTGTGATCTTCATGCGTCTCGAAGGGCTCAATAAGTTCTGGCTCGTCGAAGATTTCGTCAATGGGATCCATAGGACTAAGAGTCCGGATGAATCTTGGTCTTGTGTATCCTCCGGAGACTGGAGTCGTACAAATAGCAGGAGCCGTTCCTAAAATGGGTATCTCGCTGGACCTTGTAGTCTTGTCATGTAGACTCGCTAGCCTCGAGGCCGCGACAGGCACCCTGGTCTTTCGGGACTCCTTCGTTTGGGACAGATCAAGGTGTTCGACAGCCTCACCTCCTTTCTTCCTGATAGGAAGGTCCAATTTAGTCTGCATCTTCATCGATGACTCGGACGTATTGTTGCTTTTGCTTGCAATGGATCGAGTCTCGCTGTCTTTGGGCTTTGGAGGTTTTGGCCGTGGCTTTTTCTCCATCCCGACCTTGCAACATCGATGTTTGCATGCTTTCTTGTCCTTGCATGCGTGGGCACAGGCAAAGTTACCATTCTCCAGTCTTTGTTCTTGTGGAGCTTGAGCAGTGTTCACAGTGATGTTCCTGCTCTTGGTCTTCCCAACATTCGGTGGAGCAGATATCGTTTGGTCAAGAGCGTCGACATCCATGAAGTCGTCCTCCTTGGGCTCAGCACGGATGAAGTCGTCATCATTCAGTCCTCCGTCGTCCCACTCATCAACGTCGGCGATTGTTTTTGGTGGAGTGACATGACCTGAGGCATTCGCGGCTTTTGAAGATCCAGCAATACGCTTGTGTTTGACAACATCTGCTGTAGTATCCTTGATGAATTGAAACGCTGTCACTGGAACATCAGGCTTGAGCACTGCTTGTTGCATGGTTCCGGCTGTGGCATGTTAGTGCAAGAGCTTGAGATGAAACATGTTATGACACTGACCCAGGTCATCACACATGACATAGCACTCTATCAACTGAGTCGGGCTTGTCAGATATGCAGTCGCATTGATCGGGTTGATGCGTTCAAGCTTCTGTGCACTGTAGACGTTATTAGTGGTTTCGCTCCAGAAAAGGGATATCTTCTGCGTACCTGATGCGGAAGAAAGTTATTTTCTGTCCGTCTGAAGTGCCAACCAGGACAATTACGAAGACTGGCTTGGTCCGATAATAGACAGGAGTCTTCTGATTTAAAAATCCGAGGTCAATCTTCAGCTTCACGGCAACATGCTCTTGAGCTTTGACAAACTAGTAACGGTCAGCGGACAATCGATGGCGCGGCTCCTCCTGATCACTTACAGGCTGACCGATCATTTGCAAGGCGACTCTCAGCTTCGGGAATGCTTGAATGCGGTTGTGCATATTTAACCCAAATGGCGGAGCTTTGTTAAGGACATACTCCAATCGGCCTGGTTCTGTACTCGCAAACTCATCCATCGTGGTGATCTTTGCACCTACAAGCTTCCTCAAAGCAACTGGGCCGATCTGCTCAATCTGCTGGAGGACCATGGGTGAGTCGTCCCATACTCGTGCAGCGAGACTGCGTGATAGCATGAGAGCATTTCTTATACCGATCGCATCCTTGTCGAAACTTTGGCAATCGACAATGCATCGAATGAGACGATGAATATGCTGGAATATCAGAGATTGGTCGATGCTGTTTTGAACGCGATGATTTGGTTGATCGGCCACGTGTCTAACTCCGCCCAACACAGACTGTACGATCAAGGAGACCTTGTGAGCATAGGCAGAGAGATCGACCTTGATGGGGAACCTAATGTCGGGCATGTCGTTCAACTCTTTGTACACTGGCTTTTCGCCAGAGCGGAATCGTAGCTCTCTGAACTCATGAGCCTGTGATATAACGGCCAGCTGTCACACCTGTTAGCATGCGAAAGTGGTTACCAGTGCAATCACATACAATTTCTGATATCTTTGGCTTCCGCGGAAGGCTCAAGATCGTTTCCATCGTCGTGATATTCATGTAGTAGCGTGCCATGGCCTCTCCGTAATCTGTAGTCTTAAATGAAGGCGTACATTCAATCAGTCCAAGCTCCTGCAGCTGTGAGATTGCACTGTCGCAGATTTGTTCAAGCCTGGCTCCAAGGTCCCGATCTGGAGTATCTCCTTTGATTTGGTAGTGTGTGGGGTTGTCTTCAAGTCGAACTCTGAGGAAAGTACCGGCGAGCCATTTCTTTGCTGCACAAAGGTCTGGAACCATGCCTAGCCCGATCTCTGCGTTGAGGTGCTCGACAAGATTGAGATGCAAGCTATGCAGTGTAAGCCTTCGTATTTGAGCTTTCCAATAAACGTCTTACCAGCTTTCCAAACGTTCCTGCCCACTCAGAAGTTGTTCATAGTGCTTGACCTGCTGCATCTTGGTCATTATCACTGCCAAAGCCGAAGTGTCAAATTGTGGTCGACCGGCTCTTCCAATCATCTGCATGATCTCAAGGTCGGAATATTCTTTGATAGCTCCTGCCTCGTAGCTGACGGTGTTCTTGATGATAACCATGTGGCAAGGTAGATTCACACCAACCGCAAGCGTTGAGGTGCAACAGATCACACTCAACTCGCCAGCAAGATAAGCGCTCTCCACAGCACCACGATCGTCAAGACCGAGACCTGCATGGTGTACAGCCACTCCAGCAGAAACAGTGCCTGGAATCGTCAGTCATGTGGAAATATATGATTGAGCACGACGTACTTTGCAATCCCTTGTCCTCGACTCTGATCTGTCGAGTAGGTGCGTGCCAATATCTATTCTTGGGCGCACTATGTTTCCACCACTCAGCAAGAAACTTCGCAGCCTCCGAGCATGACTTTCTCGTGAAGCAAAACACCATGATTGGTTTTTTCTGGGAGTACTTTACGACAACGTCTGAGAGTCTACTTGAGATTAGCAACGAAAAGAGATGAGTTACAAGGTTACTTGGGCTCACTTCTTGGTCAAGACAGTGTCGAATCCAAATGCATTTGCATTTGATTGGTACCCACAGACGTAGCGTGTGAGCTCGACGGGTCGAAATTCTTCACCGAATCTTTTATGTGTTGCCGGAACATTGGGAGTATCGTCGTTTCTTCCAAGCCAGGTTGCGATATCTTGAGAGTTTGGCACAGTCGCACTAAGCGCCACAAATCTGGTTCCGGCGCCGACAGACTTCATCCTGGAGACAACAACCTCGAGGGCGGCGCCACGGTCCTTGTTGAGGATATGAACTTCGTCAATCAACAGCAGTTTGATGAGTCGGACCAGCTTCTCGTGATCCTTCCATTTTCTTGTCATCGAGTCCCACTTCTCCGGCGTGGTCACAATAATGTCGGCCCGCTGTACATGATGAAGCGAGGTAATATCAGAATCACCAGTCATCTCTTCACACTTCAAGTTCAAGGGCCCGAACTTGGCTTTCCAATCACGAGCCCTCTCGGAACACAAAGACTTTGTCGGGGCCATATAGACGACCTTGAAGGTACCGTTTGTCCAGCCACGAAGCATGCGGCAGATTGCGATTTCGAAGAGTACAGTTTTGCCACTACCAGTAGGTGACGAGAAGACGCAATTGTCGTCGGACTCGTATATGCTTTGAAAACAAGCGGATTGTACAGCGTTGAACATGGCAAACGGAAAGATAGTCCTGAATCGGTCTGGCAGTGTGTGTACTGGAACGAGCTGTATGCCCTGAACCGTGGGAGGTCCTCGATCGATTTCTGGCTTTCCTTGCTGTGCCGTGGGAAAGGCGTACGATCGAATCGGCATCGAGGCTTCGGGGTTCTGCTGCCTTTGACTGGCTTGATAGGTTGGGCTCGAGGGAACAGCATTGGTGGGCGATGAGCTGCTCTCTTGTCTTCGAAAGATGTGCTGATACGGCCTGGACTCTGTCGGGGCGAGGGCGTGTACGGCTTGAATTGAGGGCCTTATGTCCTCGGATTGATTCTCCAGGTATGCTCTGGTGTAGTCGTCAGAAGGCGTAGAAGCGTAGTTGTATCCCAGGTAGTCGTTGACTTCGATAGGGACCGGCGCAGGTGGTGGTAAGGACAGTCGAGCTCTTCCAAAAGCAGCCTGGCTCTGGCGAGTCACTGTATCTGGACGGTGTGGGCGTGATAGTTCTGAAGATGTCAGAATTCGACTACGAATGTTATCATAAGCATGATTATGGCATACCGTAATCGACTTGATCATCCTGATAGCCGGCGTTGAGAATGTAATCGTCTACGTTGTTGTTCGCATACTGCTCATACGGTAGATAGTAGCTGTACGGATCGTTGGGCTCCATTGTGACCGATGTCTCGATGGCCGGGTCAACAGTGGTCAAGAAGTTCAAGACGCCGAGAAAGGCTGAGGGAGCGCTGAGCCAAAGTCTTTCGGAGCAAGGTCGCGCCTTCTGTGCTGTAGGCAGTCGCGTCATCGAAGCCTTCCAACGGCAGTCGCAATCGAGTCCTGTAATGTTAGCCAGCGTCCAAGTCCGGTCTCACTACCCATCTTTCAAGGAAGGAACTTCATGCAACTGTCATCAGCGGATTGAGAAGATCATTCTGTCACTTTCAAAATAGAGCGTGTCAGCAAGCAAGAAGACTACAGGGGTTGGCATCAAGAAACACCTATTTTATAGACATGTAGACGAGACTAGGTGATTTGGCAGCTTCTCTATTCTTCTCTTTTGAACCCACCTCCACGTCGTTCAAAGTTGACTGGCGTGCTTGGTCTGCTGGTCGTCAGAGCTTCTCTAAAGCTTGATCTCGACCCTGCCTTCGAAGTGCCCCTATCGTCGCTGTAGGGTCGTTCGTTACCAATGGTGGTCTTCTCATAGTCTGCAATCACGAGCTTCAATGGAGGAAGGCCGCGATCACTGTTCCATAGATATGTCGCCAAGAGAACAACCGCGGTTCCAAGTAGGTACTGTATCATCATGTCAGCGGCTGTTTCAAATAAATGGTACCTCTTGTATCTCAAAGTCCGTCAATTCAGCTGTCTGCAACCGCAACCGGAAGTTCTCGGACTGAGAAACACACGATGTCTTGGAAGTCAGTACAGCTTTGCACGGAGATGCACTGCCTGGTAAGCTCTCAGTGGAGGTTGCGTCGAACTGCAAAACGATCGCGCGTGCCTACAGCTTAGCACTTGGAGCTGTTCGTATCAAAGACTTACACTTGTAGTGATCTGGAAATGAAATAGCCAAACGCTTGCTAGGAAGCTGATGACAATGCTTATGCTCGTGGCGAAGTTCTTTGCAATGTTGTCGGCGTGTAGTACAACCAAAGCTACAAGAACACCGCCAAATGCCTGCAATAGGATAGCACTCCAAACTATCCAATTGTAACCTGAGAAAAAGCCATGCTTTGCTATGTCTGCACCGTCCTTGAAGACGACACCGATGAAAAGAGAAGGAAACAGCGAGTAGAATGATAGCTGCACATTCCTGAACCAAAGGGAAGTTTGACTGGTGGAGTCTTTGAGGACCTTTTCAAAGTACACACCTGCAAGGCCAGATAGTAAACAAGCAACTAGGACAGCGGCCAGACCGATGGAAGCGTCGAGTTGAGGATGTTGCATGGCAAAGTCCTTGTCAATACCCTCGTACGTCGCAGACCTCTTGGTCAGTTGCCCCGCAGCACTGCTCCCCATTTCTCGCATCTGCTGAATAGTCCGCGGTAAGTGTAGGCCCGCATTGGCTTCTTTCAAGTCCTTCAAAGTAGGCATGGCCGGATCGGAGCCAGCAGGAATCTGGACTATGGCCACACCTACTATGAGCAGCAACAGAGAAGACCACTTTCTCAGTCCAAGAGTATGTCCCAGCATTGTAATGCTAAAGATAGCGGTCGTCAAGATCTTCAATTGGTAGGTAATTTGGAATGTCGCAGCATCGAGATTGCTCACGGCAACGTATTGTAAGGAATTTTGTAAGGTATAGAGCATTGCTGGTATGGCCAATCGCCAACTATCGCCAGTAAACACGCGTCGTATGAGCTCGGTGAACAGCGCGGTGGCTGAGGAGGACGGGGCCATATTTTGAGAGAGATCGTGAAGGGCCATGGTAAGCGATATTGCGAGTTTGATGACTTCGTTCAGGAAGACAGCAGTCGAAGCGTAGTATCGATGTCCACCCACGGGAGGCATGATGCGGGAATAGTGCATAATCTGGTCCGATCATTAGCGACCACGCGATTGAAGGGAACGGGTCCGCCATACCAAGATCAAGGCAGAATTTTGGAAGGTCAACTAGAGATAGACATTAGTCCTGGGTTCAGCAAGTTGACGGGTGTTAGTATATCGTACGGTGGCCAGAGTGAGGTGTTTCATTGGAAACCCATACAGGGTGGCAGAGCGGCGCGAGTCCATTGTGAATTGGGGGTGAAGATCAGAGCTGGCGATTCAAGAAAGCGAGAGGGAGAAATTTCCGACTTCTGGAGGATGACGGCGGACAAAGTAATAGAAGACGGTCATTTGTAAACTTTATAGACAAAGTGGTGAATGCGTGACTACAGTTACAAAAGGTAGAGCACGCACTGCAGCCCCATGCGGGGAGACTGATGACATGATGGAAATAACGCGGGAATAAAGGCCCTGGAGATGTGCCAGTGGGATTCTGAAGAGGGCAGCTCACTGCGACATTCCACTTATCCTGGGTACGGTAAGCCATTAAGACTCATACCAATATTGAGTTGATCAATCCGCTACGTTTGATCAACGTCCAGGTTTTGTCAACCGACTGTACTGAGCACTTTCAGAAGATGCATCACGACCTAACCACTCGAGATTATGTATTCCATCAACCCAAAAACAAAACCATAACTACAGGGGTACACAGATGGCAACGAAACAGCAATCTTTTCACTTGCCAGACAGCCACGGGTATATCTGAAATCTTACAACTGCTACCTTACTTGGTCTCCGATGTTTGTTCCTGCTCGCGTGGCTGAGGCTGCACCAGACGACTTGAGATGGACAATCATGCATGGAGATACCACGAGGACGCTGGATCTCCGATACTTGTTCTACAGATCAAATTGGCGGCCATCTCAGATTTACAAGAACGGCTGCATGAGGGCGATGAGAGATAACGAATCTGATATCCACATTCCTCTGGTCATTTTTTTGCTCGACGCCTGCGAGAAAGACAGTACTGCTAACTTGTACGGATGATAAAGTCGCTCCCTGTATGTGGACCGTCGGGAGCTGGAAACAGCGTTCTCTGGCGGTGGTCACATCCCGCAAAATTTAAATGCAAGAAGGTATTCGGTATTGAGCAAAGATTCAGTGAGAGAGCGAAAAGTTGATCTCTCGATGGACACTGTTCGGTCCCTTAAAAATACCGTCCCTTTGTGCAGCTTGGGCACATATCAGCGTCTGCAATTGGAGAAAGGCTTCGGCGAGAGATGTGTACGTAGTATCAGATGTCGAGCGGTGCGAGGGTGGAAGTCGGCAGGTTTGAGTCGGATCTCATCGGACTCGGGAGATCAACAAACCCCGAGAGGAACACTCGGACCCTGAATGTCGTCATAAACTTAGTCCGAGAGAGCTCGATTCCACTACTGCGATGGATCGAACAAGCATCGAAGGCAGAAGGATTGTTAGCATTATATAGGAGCAGCTGTGTCGTCTGCCGGGGTGTACGCTTTTCTTTTCTCCTTTCTTCACATTCTCATCCAACATGACTTTGCTCAATACTCTTTTGACCTTGACCAATTTCAGGTCACCCTTCCTCCGTACTCTGGTACCCAGCATTGGTCTTGCATATGCCATTCAGGCTGGTGTTGCAGCTCCCAGCATCTTTTTCCAGACCGAACGCTTCTATGACCTCAGCGGGTCATTGACCTATCTGTCATGCACAGCTCTTTCTCTGTATCTGCCTACGCTGAGAGCTAGAGCTGCTGCTGAGACCGTCTCTGCTGGCACCGCAGCACTTCCTGGATTTCCTAGTTTGCTGGCCAGTCTGGCTAGCAAAGGCGGTGTTCAAGCTTGGAACTGGAGACAAGTTGTTCTCAGTGCTGCTGTTGCTATCTGGGCCACCAGACGTACGCAGCTCACTCTCAGCCCATAAATGACGACCAAGAACTGACATGCAAACAGTCGGCACCTTCCTCTTCTCTCGCATCACTTCAGAAGACGGCCGCGACTCCCGCTTCGACTCCATCCGCACATCTCCCCCTAAGTTCCTCGGTGCCTTCTTCGCCCAAGCAACCTGGGTATCGCTCTGCCTTCTTCCCGTCCTGGCCTTGAACTCTGTCCCCGCAACCACCCTTTCCGCTCTTCCTTTCCTTACCCTCACCGATGTGATTGGTGTTCTCTTGTACATCGGTGGCATTGGCTTCGAAGCCACCGCCGACAAGCAAAAGAGCCAATGGATGGAAGAAAAGAAGAACAAGAAGCACAATGAAGATTTCTTGACCAGAGGTCTTTGGGGAAAGAGCAGACACCCCAACTACTTTGGCGAGAGCACTTTGTGGACTGGCATTGCTACTGTAGCTGCTGGCGTGCTTGTTACCAACGTTGGACAAGCTGGTATGGGTTTCAGTGGTAGCCTCGGTGCTAGATTGGGTGCTTTGGCTATGGCTGGTGTTAGCCCTGCCTTTGTCACTTTCTTGCTGTTCAAGGTATGTATTGAGCACCTTTCGACGTTCGCGAAATGTACACTTACACGTGATAGGTTTCGGGTATTCCCCTTAGTGAGGAGAAGTACGACAAACGCTACGGCGACCGCAAGGACTACCAGGAGTGGAAGAAGGTATGCTTGATATGTTTCAATTTCTCAACATGACCTCTGCTAACTTCCAACCAGAACACACCCATGTTCTTCCCCAAGTTCTGATCTCATACGGACGGTATTGCTCTATTGAGCATTCTTGCCGAGTATTCCTATCCAGTACGGTCACATGACAAGTGTACTGGAGAATCACGCATTTTGATGCAACGAAAGAGTCTCGGGAGATCACGATATCTGATGAGGAGTAAAAAAGTACGCTGCGTTGAGAGAGTGTAGTATTGATTAATGCCTAATGATTTGTCGTGGTCGCGTATCACTTCGTGTCGATTTTGTATGTGCATCCGTAAAGTCTCAACCCCGAATTGATCAGCAAATTTACTCGATCAATCAATCTTGGCACCAGCCAGGCCTCTAGCTCTAGGCTTTGTTCCAGGTGCCTCGAGGACGTTGGACATTCTGATATAACGCATCCTTCCGTCACCTGCTTGAGCAACTGGCAATCCATCCTTGTGGAGGCGTTGTTTGGAGTGTTTCCTAAGTCTGGCAAGAGAATCAGTCTGGTTGTCCTTGGGATATTTGGTGGTTTGTTCGACGAACCGTTTTCTGGCAACCATGACTGGCACGCTGGACTTTGTCACGAGATAGTTACTGAATGAGCCGAGCAAGACACCTTTCAGTTGGGAGCGACCTCGCGATCCAAGGATAGTAAGCGTTGGAGACAGGAAGTCGATCTAGACAGAGGTCAGTAGAGTGGAAGAGATGTTGGGGCAAGCATGTACTCACCACCTCAGTGATCATATGTCTAGGACTCTTGCAATGGAAAACCTCAACCACGACGCGGACTTGAAGTCTAGTCTTACGAAGCAGCTTAACACAACGCTGACTGATGTCTTCAGCGGCACGGAAGCGGTCCTGCTCAGCCTTTGACATGTCCTTTCTTTCACTGAAGGCCAGTCTCGCAGTGCTGCTGTCTCGCGGCAGTGTCGCCGGGGTCATGCTTTCGGCAGTCATGGATCGCACGATGGTAGCCGTGTCCTTGACGACGTCGGCTCCATGTCCAATTTCTACTCCTTCTGAAACTCCACCAGTACCAGCTTCTTCGTCAACTGCATAGACGGCCAGGAGGGTGTCACCATCGCGCAGAACAGTACCAATGGTCCATTCAAGGGCATACTCGGCTTCGGAAGAGAGATCGGTCGCGACAAGGTAAACTCTTTGCCTCCTACGGCCTTCTTCAGCTTGACGCTGAAAGTAGAGATAGTCGCCACGGATGATCTGACGGATGACACGATGTGCCGAGGGAGTGCTGTGGATAGGGGAGATATTGAGAGAAAGGCGTTGGGCACGGCGCAGGTCGGAAAGATGTTCTTCATCGTCGGAGTGTACAGGCGTAGAGGTTGATGAAGCGGCAAAGTCGAAGGCGGTACTGGGATGGACGTCGGGCTTGCTGCGAGAGGAAGTGTGCGAGGGTTGGTCCGAAGAAGGTGGAGTGACGGTAATTGTGGGATCAGCGCTTAGTGGAGGCGAGGGCTCGTCGTCGCTGTCTTCGTCGTCGCGAGAGAGGCCTACGGCATTGCCAACTCTAGCGCGACCTCTGCCTCGCGACGACTCGTGGTCGGTATCTTGTTCGTCGCTGCTTTCTTCATCACTGCTGGCAGATTCGTTGTCGTAGTCCTTTTGCAGGCGCACACCGCCGTTTCCGAGTTGAGGGCGAATTGAGCCAGCATCGGACAGTCTGCGCTGGGCGGGCGACTTGTCACCAGGAGCCAGAGTGCTCACACCGCGAGTGGGACTCAGACTGCGGGCTGCGGAGCGAGTGCCGTCTGAGTTGGCGGGTCTGTTGCTGCTGCGGCGCGGATCTCCTGGACCAAGGTCGCCTGGCAATCTCGAGCTGCGTCGCGGGTCACCAGGACCAAGATCGCCAGGGAAAGCCGGTTTGCCTTTGCCGCGTGGGCCTGTTGTGGGAGCCATCTGTCTGTGAGCCAAGACGGGGCTCGTAGGTGTGGTCGGGTCTGGGGCTGGAGCTGGGAGAGGGGGCAAGGACGACTTCTTGCGCGTGTTGTGGTTTTGCTCAAAGTCCCTTCGCAGGTCCTTGGCTTCCTGGTCGATTGCTGCTGATAGCGACATGGTCACTTGTCTTTCTATCGCCGACTGCCTTGACTCGCTATCCGCTTTCACCTAGCCTATCTCGGAAGATATCAATGTGGGTCTCGGTCGTCTTTCTTCCGGTCGACCTCAAAAGGCTATATCTCGTGTCGTGGCCTGGAAAGAGAGTATTGAACAGCGTCGACGTCGTTGTTGCTGTCGGAACAGTCATGGACGTTTCTACAGACATGCCAGCCTCCCAAGGACGCTGATCTAGTGCTGGTGTCTTGGTATTGCGAAGGCCAAGGCCGCCTTCTAGGCATCACGCCGTGGGCTCGTGCTCCGCCCACCTCGGTGATGAGTGACGGTGACGGGTGACGGGTGACGAGTGTTTACTGCGGGGCCGAGAAGCTCGCTTTTACAAACCTTCCTACAATCTACCCATGGCTCTCCAATTTCCCTGCATCTTAATTCTCCGAAGCCATTGCATATCGACTGGTCGCTTGACAATTGCACATACTGTTCTAGCACATCTCTGCAGTCTCACTTTCTGCATGTGCAACTGCCGTGTGACTGTGCCTCACCATGTCTCCGAACTCATCCAATCCTCACTCATCCACTATGCGGTCCTCCCCTCAATTCCCGACGGACTTTCTGATACTGTAACATGTAGCTCAATGGTTCTAGTATATATCCTGCCTAATCCATTACCATTTTGCTCTTGGTTATCCAACTCAGTCTCTGCTTCCATTCCATCATGTCATTAACTACACCCACAGAGCACAAATGGATTCTTGGTGACAAGTTCGACCAAGTCTATCCTCATCTGGAAGGCATTCAAGCATTGTGGGAGAAGAAGTGGGCATTCCCTTGCTCAAAGTCTCTCTATCCCTTTCACGATGGCAAATTCGAGGACTTCGAACCCGTCTTCAAGACACTAATCTCAAAGAACATCAACTCGGGCTACACCGACGAATACACCAAGGAATTCGTGCCCACGGCAGAACGTCTAGTTGGAGAAGCAGACAAGCTTGCTTCTTCGGACAAAGACGCCGCTTCAGCTCTCTACCTTCGTGCTTGCGCCGTCTATCGTATCGCTCGATTCCCCTACATCAATTCGGACTACAAGCGAGAGATCTACGAGGCACAGAAGAAGGCATATATCAAAGCCACGCAGCTCTGGCAGTGCCCCATCAAAGATATCACCATTCCTCACACAGCAGCAACATCGGCCGACGCCGACTCTGTACCGCTGTACGTACGCATACCTAAGGACGCCTCAAAATCGAAGCCTTGCCCTGTTGTACTTCTCATGTGCGGATTGGACGGCCACAGGCCCGACAACACGACACGCAGTGACGAATTCCTTGCTCGCGGTTGGGCTTCGGTCATTGTCGACATCCCTGGGACTGCCGACTGCCCTGCCGACAGGAAAGACCCTAAGGCCGCTGACAGGCTCTGGACGAGCATCTTGGACTGGATGGAGGCAGAAGGTGTTTTTGATATGAAGCGTATCATCACTTGGGGGCTGAGCGCAGGAGGTTATAACGCTGTAAGTACATCCTCCATCTCATCGCGGACAGGCCTCTCAGGAAGACACTGTCAAATTGCCAAATGCTTTCCAATGCTGTTGATCTTTCCGTAAAAGGTCTTTCTTCAAAGACTCTCTCCAGATGCGGTCATTCGATTTGAAGATACTGTGCATTTTGTCAACCGCGGGAGGCTGGGTTTGACTACCACATCTGAACCATGACCTATCTCAGCAGCAACTAACACCTTCCAGGTCCGCGCAGCACACACCCACTCCGAACGCCTGGCAGGCGCAATTGGTCAAGGTGCCGGCACCCACCACTTTTTCTCTCGCGAATGGCTGCTCAAAGCCCAGAACAAAGAGTATCCCTGGAACGCCCTGCCTGCCTTGACCGAGAAGTTCGGCTACTCCTCACACGATGACTTCATGGACAATGCCCAAGACACATGGTCATTGGTAAACACTGGAATCGTGAACATGAAGAGCTGTAGACTGTTGTTGATGAATGGAACGATTGATGGTTTGATGCCTGTGGAAGACTCTATGCTGTTGAGTGAGTTTGGAACTCCCAAGGAGATGAGGTTCATTACCGGGAGATTGCATATGGGTAAGCGTTCTTGTTCTACTCCCGTGGCTAGAGGAGATTTGTGCTAATAATGTCTTCAACCTCAGGCTACCCTGAGGCCAATAATCACGTGTACACTTGGATGGAACAAGTCATAGCATCAGTGCATTGAAGGGGCTCACAGACACATCTCGACGCGTCGAGAAGAGTGATCTCAAAGAGATGAAGGTTGATGGGTGGTGTAGTCGTCCGCAAACAATGTGGATCTCATGATTACGTCCCCATTGTATTGTCTTTCTGCGCTGAAGAACGACGGAGAAATCCCAGCTGAATATGTTTGGTCGTTATGTGCTATCCTTGGATTTATGTGAAGATCCCGGTACTCCAGGAAAATGTCCAGCATCCACCTATCACCGTCTAGCGGCTTAGACTGTCCAAACTATATCTATCTAGCTTCAAATTGGCCCATGCCCATGTCTCCCCTGCCGGTGAGCAGCACTATGTACTCGTTTGATCTCGGCATGTTGCTCTCCGGTCAATTCTTCTTCCAGTACTGACACATCAGGCTCAGACCTCTTGATTGAGTATTCTGGCGAACCCCCCAGCGCTGCTGAATAAGTCAAATACCAAGTCAGACTAGCTCCGCCATCAAGGTATGCCGGATCGAAGTCAGGGTTCGAGAAGAAAGCATAACTAGCCGCGGGATCAATAGTCGCCAGGTTACCATACAAAATTCCTCTCCAACCACCATCTACATCGGCACGGCCATCGGAGAAAAAGGCGTTCCACTCCTCGGTGACGAATCTCTGGGTGCGTACGTAGGCGCTGAATGGGAAGCCGGCAGGAATCATGTGGATGCCGTGAACGTACTCTGGGTTGGCACCTAGAACGGAAGTATTATTAGTATGAATGTAGTGCTTAGGTCTCGCAGCTTAAACATACCGAAATAAGTCACATGGTCTATCTTGTTTTCGAACAACTGTGATATTATGTCAGCATGGATCTCTGTTATTGTAATGAGGTTCCCCTCTTCGTGCGCCGAAGGGCGACTCGCGTGCATAAAGTCTTGTCCAGTGAGATCGTGTCAAGTAGCTTATCGCTGTGGACACTCTAGCAAAGTAGAACGCATCTTAAATTTATACAGCTTCAACTCTGTATAGTTGACGGCAGGGTGATGGTGATGGTGATAGATAGGAGGCTGTGTACTTACGATGCCGCTGACTTTGTTGCCGATGAAGTTGGCAGGTTGAATCGTGTTGTCTGAGGTGTAGAGGAAGTAGTTATGGAGCGACCTTGCTTGAATAGCGAGCATGAGGTTACCTCGGGCTTCCAGTGATTTGTCGTTGATCGTGCGCCCCCACATCTTGATTGCATAAGTTGAAAGGGTGTCTTCGGAGGAGCTCTCTTCATCTTTACCGTCTCCACTTTCAAACAAACCCTTAGCCCAACTGTGACCATGGTACCAGTCAAATGATCTGGAAAATGGGAAGTATGCGTCATCAGTGACAGAGTTAGAGTAGTCGCGGACCAGCATATTGACCCATGCTTTATTCGAACCCGCGTCTAGCCAGCTGGGATCCAAGTAGCCGATTACCGCTGCTGCATAAACAAAGTAGCCGTAGTGGAAGTGGTGATCATTGTAGTACGTATTGCCGAAGTCGAGACCGGAGTCTCCAGTCTGATATGTGCCACTGGACACTGCACCACCCCAGGAGGACTCGTACACCAACGGTAGTATCTGTTCGTTGCGAACGAAGACATTGAATGCGGTCTTCAACTTCTCTAAGCCACTGATGGCGAGAGTGGCATTATCGGCGACGTCGTGTACGGCGTAAATTATGGCGGCGAACTTGGCAAGAGCCTTTCCAGAGTAGTACATAGAATTCAGATTTGACTGAGCGCCCATATCCTGGCTGAGCTCGCTCTCTCCAGCTTCGTTTATTAGTCGGGTAGCTGCAGCAGAGACCTTGTCGACGCTTCCATGTGTTGGTGACCATGGGGCGAAACCGATGTCAATTGGCAGGTCTGGCTCGGTCAAGGTCCATGAGTCGCCAACGACACCAGTGGCAATCCCCTTGGTCGTTGTTTGGAGCTTGATGTCTGTCACGGTTCCGGAGGCGAGACTTTGCACGTGATGAGGGAGAGCGAACATAAGCAGAGTGCGGTTGGCGACCCCCTGCTTGGTCCATGCCAGGTTATAGGTTCCAGCTGTACCTGATACAGAGCCGCTTATCGTCGCAGCAACAGGGTATGCTCCCGCTGCCTCGTCATAAACGGTCTCTGCATCTGTGCTTCCACTCAATGGCACTTTGGCAACTTGAATGAATCCCTGGAATCCGGGAGCGCCTTGCAGCACACGCACCCCAGTCAATGTGAACGAGTTGACAGGATATCCGGACTGAGATGTCGTGACATATACATTCCAAGAAGTGCCGTCGGCAAGCTTTGCTTGGTACTTGTAGGTGGATCCGGAAGCGACCCTACCGAGATATGTAATCTTAGTAAAAGATATGCTGCTCTCAACACGAGGTGTGCTACCACTGTACACCGCCGTGACAAATCCCATGCCTTGGACCAACGGAAAGGTGATAGCTGGAGGAGCACCGACCCTTGGTAAGAGGTTGACGTTGGCCGAGAAAGCGTCCAGGGAGTCCATCGTTAGCTGTGTCGTTATGTTTAATTCAGACGCAGATAATGTGATCGACTGTATCCCGATAGGATTGATCAGGTATTGCACAGGATCCCCAGGACCAAAGGCTACCTGCGACCTCTCGATGTGACTAATAGCTAGACCGTAGCTCTTAAGTATCCCGGAACCTCCCGCCCAGGCCACAGAGTAGGGATGGGTAAACGTAGCTGAAGCTTGAGAGCCCAAGAAGAAGTTGGCATAGAATTTGTTGGTCTGAAGCTTCTTGGTCTGCGGCGCGATCATAGACCTCTCGACTGGATGATCGGATCTTTGTGAGACCTGCGACGGAGGGGGTCCAGTCGCGAACGCCACGAAGATGTTGTTTACTGACATGGTTGAAGCGGTGGTTGTCATGTTCGGCTGTGGCAACGACGTGCTGGCTGTATTGATAAGAGAAAGCGTGGTTGAGGCAGACACCATCGAGGTTGGGAACGGCTGGACTGAGCTTTTGCCGGACGTCTCTAACGATGATATGATGCTCTGGAACCAGATGGTCAGCTTCTGGACAATAACAAAATGATGAACCACACAGATTCGCATCGGTCTCCTTATACAAGTGCGTAACAGTGCCCAATCAAACGTCAGAGTGTCCTGAAACCACAATGGACGTCCGTGTGAAATTCCGTCTTTAAATCCTGCACTAGACGCCAAATCTTCTCCTCGTGTCCGCAATCTGATCCTTCAATCAAGCAAAGCAGTTACTTACTCCAGAGGTTTGAGGCTTTACTGTTGAAGAAGCAGTTTGTACCGCAGATGAGCTGAGAGAGGTCAGACGGCTGGTAGCCGACAGAGAATAAGATGAGGTATCCGGATGTCTTGTGCTGACAGAGGAGACAGCAACTTTCGAAGATGTCCGCGACGAATGTTTCGGCAAAGATTTGGTGCTGGGCCCGCAATCAAAGTATTCCCACTCATCGTCGTTTGCAAGAGGTGCAGCAAAGGCAAGTTGGACTAGGACCACGTTCAACAAGAGCACTAAGCGGAAGATAGAGCCGCCCATAGCGAAATGAGTGTACTGATTGTCTATGAATTCGACCCGAGGAGTACCAGAACATATATAGTCATTCTCGATGCCCAGTATAAGCACCTAAGAGAATAACCGCTTGGCATCTGCTTCGGCCGTTGTAAGGGGGTGGGTCAGAGGGCGCAATAGGCGTCGAAGAGTGAGAACCTAGGGGAGTCCTGTGATTAAAAACATCTTTCCTTTTCTGCGACTTACCGAGAATCATCAGGATAGTCAAGTCGAGGGGGGTATAATGATCATGCAAACGTGATGCGCCTTGCATCCCAAAAAGGTCTAGGGAAAATGTCTCTTTCGGGAGGCCCTAACATTCAAAGACACGATTACAGGAGCACAGAACGAGCTCGAGAAGAAACTAGATGTGATCATCTTAGCGTAGAGGCTTATTCAAACAAAGAAGTCTTGTCGATATGTCATCTTGGAGACGAATTGCTGAAAGGCATAGATGCAAGTGACAGGAAGATGCCACATTCGAGGAATGTGGAAGCATCCCTTCCAGGGGCAATTCCAGGGGCCCAGGATGATGTTGATGGGGAAAGGAGTTTTTAGACCTCGGGCTGTGTTGGCCGTCTCAGAGATCAACGTTTGACAAGAACGCCACGAGGCTGTCGAGTGCCGCTCGGTCTTCCTGGGTTGAATCGCTTTTTAGCATGTTACTTGTAGCTGCCATTGCGTAAGAACAGATATTGTCATAGTAAAGTGTTAGCTAAACGAGGGGTTGGAGAAGCTTTGTTGAGTGAGGGTACTCTACACGGACGCGTTTCGTGAAGCTCTGCAGTCGCGGAGCCGCCTACATGTATCCTCCTTCCCTACCAACAAATACAAGCCAAACAGATAGGTAATGCTCAAACGCTCAGGAAAAGGTCACAGAAGAAAGCGAAATTTCCTATAGAACTAAAGGATAGTATTGTGTCGAAACCAAGTGTCTTACATGCTACGCTTCCCTTGGATAATTGCAGTTCTCGATATTATGCCTTTTCACAATTTCAAGCCAACGCTTCGTGGACGAGGAGAGCAGCCCTGAGACCCTTCGCAACTATGCCTAAGTTGTTACTGACCGTGCGATATTGCATTTTCTGTCTGATAAGTCGGGCTCTGGTGGCTTTCAAGCGGTCAGTTGCTGCTCAATCCATCGATGTCGTCGTTGACTTCGTTGACGGTCAAGACGGCGTGGGCAAAAAGCTCCGTACATATGACAGGTCAAGTCATTTTCTAGCTAAAACATGCTGTGATCTACGTATTAGTGATAGATCTGAAAGAATCATCCATGGTGTTGGTTGATCACACAGCCACCTGCTTGTGTCACGTTCAATTTCTTGGTCCAGTGTGATACAGACGACATGCAGGTTTCACAAGCTGGAGACACTCGACTAAATCATGCGTGGAGAAAGGCATCGTACCTGGTTGGAAACCGATGGTCGATGATGCTGGGAGGTGATTTGGTCGGCAAGTAAAACTGTGCATCCGCGTGGCTTTTGTTCAACCTTCATGAAGCTCATTATGTTCTGGCATTGTCGAAAGACTGTGAAGATCGAGCCTCGAGTCTACCTTACTACAAGAATTCCGTTCAGCTGCAGACCCATAACGCTTGCAGGGGGGTATTGAGACAGAGGAGGAGTTGAGACAGCTAACTCAATACAGTAACTCCGAGCTCCGGTCATGCACCTCGTCGTCTCTATTACATTAATTACACCGCTGCTACGCGCTAGCTAGTCCCTCCCCTCGTACACGTCGTCGTTGCCTCGGAACCATGTCTCTTCCGTTCCTAGTATAGCTCGCTCCTCGCTATAGGTTACCGTCGTAAAACCGACCCGCTCGCGGTACTCGTACGCGAGCTTAAGTACAAAAAAGCTGTAGATTATTATAATAAGAACACCTACACTATGCGAGAGGTCGCTCGCGACTATAGCCTTAATAGATCTACGCTCTGTCGCCGCATTAATGGTACGCATAAGTTATACGACGAGTCCTATAGCTAATACTAGCGCCTTACCCCTGCCGCCAAGGCCGCCCTTAAGTAATACGTTTACTACGCCTACGACATTAGTTTCCCTCTAACTCTAACCGAGTTTTGCGAGTAGGCTTAGGAATTAGTAGATTAAGACTATTAGCGTAAGAAATTCGAGGGTTTAGTCCCTATATATAGCTATGCCGACCCTCTTAGAGCTAATTAGCATCGCTAATACCTTAATCGACATATAGCCTTTAAGATTAAATTTTAAAGGGCTCTTAATGATGCTCGCGCTAAGTAGAGCAATAATCCTTCTATTATTTGTAGATAGTTTAACTACCTTAAGGGAGTGATTAAGAACTATAAGATCGAGCTAGAAAATATCTCTAATATAGATAACGTCGCAAAATCCTAAAGTCCGATATCGTGCTACGGTGCTACGCGTTACTACGCTTACTATAGGTTGCTATAGCACGGACCTCTATACTATAGCCCTTCTCTATCGTCGCTAAGGCCCGCCTCGCTACGCTACGCTTACTACTAGCGTTNGAGATACTAAGCTTGCACTTATAGGGGCGTTTAATCTTGCCGTATATAATGCTATTCTTGTCCTAAAGGATAAACATTAAAAGCTAAGGTCTACTATTATGCTTGTTACTAGCTAGCTAGAAGGCCTCCTACGCTAAACTAGTAGGATCGGCGTTCGAGGTAGCGTAATAGGTAGAGGGGTCCCTATAGGCAGGAGGAAGAGTAGCACTATAGACGGCGTAGGTCTAGATAAAGGACTATAAGAATCTCTAAATAGTAGCCTTATCGGCCTACCTTCAAAGGGACACTACGCTAGGGAATAGCGTAAGACATATTAGCTCCGAAACCTAGATTAACGTCCTTATTCTATCTACGGCCGTCCTTGCTAGCGAGGGTTATTTATAAGGACATCGTTATAGAAGATTTTAATCTGCTTATCGTCCTACTCCTCGAGCTCGTCCTCGCCCTTAATTAAGAAGTAGTGCTTTCTAAAGGTAATAATCTTAAAGACAACTTCCTTTCTGCCTCCGTTAGTAGTAACGAGATCCTAAGAAGACCTTAGTAGCCTTATTAGGTTTACTATTAGCTCTAATGGCCGTAAGGATAACGGCTAATAGAGGTGGATGTAGTCTATAAGCATCGTTATAGAGGCTATAGTGGTCCCCTTAACCTAGTTGCTAATAGTAATGCGACATAGAGCCTTACGGCGTCGTTACTAGTACTGCTTATAAACTAAAGGAGGCTTATAGTGTTGTCGAACTTAAGTCTAAAGCCGTATAGAATATGGCGAGCTTCGGCGGCGCATTCCTTACTAAGGATAGTGCTAGTAGGTTTATGTTTAAACTCCCTAGCGTACTCCTTAGTAGCCTTAATAGTACCGGCCTTCTTAATAATGTTAATCTTGCTAATTAAGTCCCTATCTCCGTGCTTAGGAGGTAGGTTATATCTTAGGGGTCTGCCATAGATGTCCTTAGGTAGCTTTATAAACTAGAACGGGGTAGCTAGCTTAATGATAATAGCCTAGTAGCCGTTATTAAGCATGTAGGAAGCGACGAGCTCGAAGGATTAAGTAGTAGAGAGCTTTATAGTCTAACCGAAGCCGCCTTCCTTAGCCTTAGGCAGAGGCTATAGATTGTTAGTATTAAATAACTAACACGTTAAGAAGGACCGTACACTTATAATAGTAAGAACATATTTGTTCTCGTAAGTAACATTAATCGGGCCCGTACCGCTAGTAGGAGTAGCTAGTTTATTAGCACCCTTAGGAGTGCCTCTCTTTCTAGTAGTCTTAGTCTTTACTCTAGTAGAAGGAGTTAAGGGAGTCTAATTCTTATCTCTAGACTTAG